TACACATGTCGTTCCCAGCCAACTCGGCAGGGCTGGCAATCAAAAACCTTGACTTGGTGTCCCGTACTAAGCCTCAAAAGAGGACTCCCACGAGCGCGAACTCTGCATTCGGAATTCATTCCGTGAAGATATTGGACACTTTCAGCCCGGATATGCAGAATTTTTGGCGAGGGGGCCAAATGGGGGCGCCGCAGCGGCGTGGTCTGTCTCTGTGGAACCTCGAGAGGTAAAAAAAAAAAGGGCAGAGAGAGTGTCGTCATTGCGATCGGCTCGGGACACGACGCGAATCGTAGTTAAGGGGGGAGTGGAGAGAGAGGGCCGGCGCACCTCAACCCCGGAGCAGGACGCCTGTTCCGCAGGCCGCCGACTGGGTTTCGCAGAGGAGTTTTCTTGTTTTTGATATGCAATATTTCGGCATAAACCGAGAGTTATTAAGGCCCGCCCCAGCCAGCGCCGGCCGGAGTCAAGACGACATGACAGACAACATGTCAGCAAGAGTAAAGTCCCCTCTCGGTGTTAATGAGTAAGGTGAGTGCATTTTCTGGGTCTCGGGTGCGACTTCGACATGGCGGCGGTTGTAAGTTGTTATCCTATTCGGGATATGTTGCTATTTACGAAGCGTATCTTGCTTTGTCAAGTGTTCGTAACGGACGGGCGACTTAGTCATGGCTCATGATTGCGCGCGTCGTCCCATCTTGCGTGGACGGTCATGGTCATGGTCATGGTCACACGAGGGCTTTGCAGAGAGACAGAGAGGGACAGAGAGTCAAGTTCCACCAGAGTATTGGCTCCATCTCATCTTGCCACGAGGTTCCTTCGTCGGTACCGTTCGTGTGTGTGCGTGTGTGTGTGTTTCGGGGTGGGCGAACGACTGTCTCGTCTCGTACAGGCAGGGCCGGCAGCTCTCTCGTCTGGGTATCATGTCAAGTCATGTTCGCGCTACATCAGGAACTTGGAAATCTAGCGCGGTTTCTCCCCCCTCTCGTGCTCGCAGTCTATTGAACCCGTTGGCACCTGCGTTTCTGCAGCCCGGATTGCGCGATTGCGTTTTTGGGTTTTGGGGGACGTGAGGTGGGTGTGGAGATCTTCTCTCTCTGCTCTTGTTAGTCTGGTCGATCACTGGGATAATCAAAGTCTGCGCGTCCCGGCCGTCTATTGAAGTCTGTTTTATTCCTCTTGGGCCTGCAAAGGGAAGAAACCTTGCGTCTGAGTGTCGGAGGTGTCTCCGGTGGGAGAAGAAGAATTGGGGGTTGATTTGTATTTCGGTAGGGTTGAGGGGACGGAGGTCCGTCTCGGATGTAGTGTAGTGTGAAGCAGTAGTGCCGTTTGTTAGTGTGGAATGTCTCGATACTAGTATCCGACTGTTTGATTAGCCGTGACTAGTGCTCGTACAGAGAGAGGCTGGGTTTGTCCTTTGCAGGATACGGGTTTGCAAGAGCTAGGGGTAGCTCTGGGGAGTTGTGAAGTGTGCGATAGGGATGAGTCTTGTCTTGGCTCTTCTTTTTCGTTAACTTGAGAGGAGCTTTTCAATATTCGTACCGCGGTAGGGCTTGATCCTGGGGCATAGAGACGCGGGCTATGTTTTGGGTGGGCGTTATGGGACGGGTTCGTGCTAGATTGATTGATTGAATATTGAATCTTTGGGACACACGCCCCCTTCTTCCACCTCTGGAGGTTGTGCCTTACGATCCGTAGTTATTACTGCCTAGGCTGGGATGTGAATATAATCTCCGATGGGAGGGGGTGAGTTGGCAACCTTGAAAGACGACTTCCTTTTCACATGGCTTTTGCCTGCTGGGCTGGGAAGGGGGAGGGTGGTCGGAGCTCGACGGGGGACGGCGTTGTGTACATACATGGAGATAGCAAAGGGACGGGATCCACTATTCGGACCTCGGAGGCAGGTCCTGCCTTGCGGTCCACGGGATACGGAGTCGGTCCAGGAGACGCAGCATCTTGGGTCGTCTTGGCTGATGTTCCGAATCGAGATTGGGAGAAATTGGACGTCGTCGTCATCAACATAGTGTTCGGGGGGCGTTGTGGGCGGCGGCCCGGGCTGAGGTAGCGAGCGGTTCTTGTGAACCCGCAGTTTGGGGGCGGTTTGCTTGGACAGCCCTAACGGGAGAGTGGGAGGAAACACCCGGCCGGGGGAGGCGAGACAGGAGGTGGTGATCGTTTGACAGGCTTATTGTTCCTTTTTGTTTCGCGGTTTGCGGGGAGAAGGGAGATTCCGGTTCACGGGGTGGGATTCCGTTCGCGTGGGCTTTGAGAATCGGGAGTACGCGGTGGTGATGGGGATGGAGGATCGTGGGATTGAGCTGGAGTGTCGGGGTTTACCGGTTGGATCGTTTGTCTGGTTTCGATGTGAGATGTTATTTTGGGTAGTCTTTGAGGTGGTCACGGGAGATGGGCGGAGTTCCGTTCGAGTTTTGCTGGTGCTTACTGTTGTCTTCCATGTGATCTCGAGGCTTACAGGCAGAGTAAGCTGTCGTGACTGCCATCTAGTCACGTCGTTCATGAAGGCCACCGCTTCGGTTATGTCGATATGATGTGAGCTTGTGTCCATCTTACATTGGTGTCGTGACCTCGACTGACGAAGCCAATGACGGGTGAGCGATGCCGCTTGGATCATGGTCTCGAGGCCGTGGGATCCAACAAAGTGATCTCAGAGTCTGCCACCCTGCTGCCGCGTCACGACAGCGGAGATCAAAAGGCATTGAGCAGTATTGCAATGAGATTTGTGTTGCTTACCCGGTGCTTCGGGAGCTCGATCGGACCTCATATGCCATATCTTGTTTACGGAAGACATGGGTTCGGGGGAGGCTGTGTGATGCTGCAGCCAATCTGGATGTTTTCCCGAGGACTTGTAGGTGTAGATGGCTCAAAGTACTGGATGTTCATAGCCTTGATAGAGAGCGATGTTGGTCCCTTGGATATTGTGCATCGGGTCGGGGTCTTCGGGCTGGGGGATTCTCTCTTCCCCCTCTCGTTGCCCACGTCGTCCCCTAGTCACACTTGCATGTAGACTAAGTTGAGCAAGCCGCTTCACTCGCGTTCGATTCATCTGACTTTCTGCAACTTGAGTTAGTATCAAGGACCAGGTCTTGACCGGTCGGGCCTTGAAGTGATACTGACTCCGTCCTTCGAGATGCGCCAGTCAACTATTCTCCCTCATTATGATACCAGCACCTCAGGTACCTCGCTTTCGGGTGGCTCTCAACGGTCCTGTCATGCTAAACGGCTAATGGGTATGCCTTATGGTATGACCGAGATGCCTTCGAGGAACTCCACGACTCCGTTTGTGGTGGGATCGTATGGGAAGCACGTGTAGCGGCACACTCGGTCTACCTGCATGTGCGTTAGCTGTCAGCATCAAGGTGACTTTACCATCGACTGATGGGACGGTATCGACCTTCTGAACCTTTCATTGCAACTGCCATCTCGTGATGCGGCATAAACAGCGAGTTGTGGCGATGATACCCCCGCGTGCTCCGCGCGAACCGTGTGCTCCAATTCGACCAGACCGATGGGTACTCGGTGAGGTCCTTGATGATAACCCCGATAATTCCGTCTGTGATCGTGCGGCGTAATAGGGGTCGGCGGCCATACCATGGGTCTCAGAGATTGGTCTTGCTGTGCCTTATCACTGGCCTTGACAACGACGTCGGCGAGCCAAGTAATCACCCGGAACGGAGCGCCGCAACATGAGGTCGGAGCGGACCCCTCCGTGGCGTATCTCGGCCTCCGCCAAGCGTCCCGGCCCGGTGGCTAAGACGGGACACCGAAAGCGACCCCGAAAGCGAGCCCGAGACGAACTATACCAGCCACATTGTCACTCGTCTCAGTCTAAGTCAGCCTCGCACAACTCCCACCGAAGCCCGCAGACTGCGGCGTCGAGCCTCGCTAATGCATTGCCGGCGTAACACTACCGGCAGCGGCAGTCGAGCCTGCTGGCGCTAGCACTGGGCTTAGCTCCAGGGAGGGCGACACGGGTGAGCGATGAGAGCATCTGACTGGTTCAACGGCGTCACGGGTTGACGACGACTTTCGCCTGTCGGGGTTGGGGTTCTGATGAAAGGGCGGAGTGCCAGGGTCGTGTTATGCTTGATTTGAGAGATCAGGTTGTCGTGCAATCAACGTGTCGTTCACCAATAGGGTGGTCTGTAGATGGAACAACTCAGCAAAACGCCTTGTTAGCGGGGCTCGGAGAATTGAAGGTGAGGGGATTAGGCTATTTGAACATCGCCATGGATTCAAGGATGTCGGATTTGAAACTTGCCAGACTTGATTGGGTCAACATAAATGAAATGTCTCTCCCGTTGGATAGGAGATGAAGCTCCTGACAACCGTCGCACGGCGGTACCAGACCAAGCGCAATGCCGGCGCAATCAAGTCCTAGAATTGAACACGATGTTACAGCATTCGCGCGTATTCAGAGTAGAACGAAGATGGGTTCTGATGTGGTTTTGTAAAGAAGAAGAAATAATGTTTGTTCCGCGTATACGCTGTGTTTCGCGATGGTATGACGTAGCATGAAATGTTTCCGCGTACAGATGTGGCTTGGCAACGCCTTCCCGGCACGCGTTTCACTGGGAATAGCGACGCAAATGCCTGCAACCATCCACCGCCTCCGCAAAGACAACCATGCGGAATGGTAATCACACCGTCTCTCATTGGTTGCGTTATGCCCGTGGAGTATTGAACGGTTCATCGCAGAGCGAGACCGAGATTCTAGATGGGATGATCTACGGATATCGACGTCTTCTCATTTAGCATTGGCCACGAAAGGGGGGAGCAGTCGCGGCTGTGGTAACCTCAAGGTGAAACCCACGTGGTGGTTGGAAAGGGGGTTCGTTGAGAGAAGCGGTGTTCTCGGCATCGTCGAATATAAATACAAGAATCCTACATCCCGTTCAGGAAAGAAACATGCCAGACAGCAATCATCCAATCTTTCACTCGTTTCTTGACTCGTCTAACTTAACTACAACCTTAACAAACTCAAAATGAAGTTCTCTACTGCCTCCGCGACTCTTGGCTTCGCCGTCCTGGCCTCGGCCAGACCCGAGTTGAGCAACACCAACTTGTTGAACAACCCTCACTTCAGACGACAGAACGAATGGGCCCCTGCTGGACCCGACGACTGTATGTTGACCTAATTATGCTTACCTGACTTCCGGGGACTGATGACTTGCAGTTCGGGGCCCCTGCCCCATGATGAACACCCTCGCCAACCACGGCTTCCTCAACCGTGATGGCAGAAACCTGACTCAGGAGGTTGTTGTCAACGGTCTGAAGCAGGGACTCAACTTCAACGAGTCTTTGGGAACCCTCATGTTCCAAATGGCTACCATCGCCAACCCAGAGCCTAATGCCACTTTCTTCACTCTGTATGAAACATTCATGTTGAATTTGCGCAAAGCTTTCGTGTCTGACCGTTGAACCAGGGATCACCTCAACCGCCACAACGTCCTTGAGCATGACGCTAGTCTTAGGTGAGTACCCATCTACGATATGACTTGTAGAGACAGACGGATCTGACGAATTGATAAGCCGTACCGACGCTGCTTTTGGCAACAACCACATCTTCAACCAATCCGTTTTCGACGAGTCCAGAGCCTACTGGACTGCCGACATCATGGACGCCAAGATGCTGGCCAACAGCAAGATCGCCCGCCAGGTCACATCCAGAGCCTTCAACCCCAACTACACTTTCACTGCCACTGTGGAGAACTTCAGTCTTGGCGAGGTTGCTGCCCCCATCATTGTCTTTGGAGACATGACCGCCGGCACTGTCCAGAAGCAACTGGTTGAGTACTTCTTCCGTAAGTCTTGGCTGGCCATGGTACATCATCATCTTTCGTTCAATACTGACAAATCACACAGAAAACGAGCGTCTTCCCTCCGAGCTCGGTTGGACCAAGAAGGAAGTCCCGGTCACCCAGGATGATATCCTGAAGGTGGTTGACATGATCAGCAAGGCGACTAACCTTCTTACTGGCACTGAGGAGGCTGCTCCCCACAAGTTCAAGGCCCGTGACCTGCACACTGGTCTGGCCCTGATGTCTCAGCTCCAGAAGTAAGAATGGGGTAAAGCATAGTCCAACGCTCTTCTCAACTGCTCTGGTTCCTGCAGTGAGCTCAGAAGCTTGTCAAAGCGTTCAATTACGCAAGATATTCAGCACTATGTGAGGTTTCAGCTTCAAGTAAATAGTTTGAGATTCGATTTGAAGGCACCTACAATGATGTACGAATGTAAATAGCACCAATCAAACCAATTTCGGCACCTTCATCACACAAACAAGTGTCTCGAATCTGTAGGTCATTGGTGTCAAGGACACTTGGTTCTTGTTTTTTGTCTAACTAATACTGCCAGTTCATTCTTGTGCGGTTGTAACTGAAAACTAACCCTGCCTTCGTCGAATCCAATTCAGTTGTTTATTGGTCATTCATACCTCAGATGTTCACTAGATGCGGTGGTTTTTGTTTCATCCTCACATGTCATCTCGCTCAACCGAGGCCCACTCCCTCAGGTCCAAAGCGTCTCGGAGTTGTCCAATTTCCTTCTGCAGTTCGCATACTTTGCATTCTCCTCCAGTCACTCTGAAATGTGATACTTTGATCTGCTTGTTGTCACTATTGGTAGAGTTGTTGACGGAAGGGCCGCTGTGGTGGATAGTCTCAGTTTTGATGATAGTTATGTTCTGGCAGCTTTGGACCTTGCAATGATGCTCCCAGATGATGAACTCGCACATTTCTCTGACAGACGCAGAGGCCTCAGCTGAGGAGTGAGAGTGAGACATGAAGAAGGTGAGGAGATTGGCGGGGTTTAGAGAAGTGCTGGAGTGATGCCAAGGAATGCGATGTGACTTTGGAGTTTTGTTTTCTGTCTTCTATGCCAGCAACAGACAATAGCATCTACGCCACGTTCAAGTCTTTATGAGTCTGAGAAAATCCCATTCTCAGTGATTCAGCTCAGTAGTAAGGGTAGTGAATTAGATGAGGTCACAGGTGGAGTTTGGCATGTAGGGAAACAACTGAACTCCTGGGCTTCATTCACTACTTTAACGAACTGCATCCGTGATAGAGTCTCTTGAATTCCCTCAATTGATCTATTGTCTAGGGAAAAGCCTGCACTTGATATTGCGTCACAGTCTTTGAAGTGATTGCTTGACTGGGAGTACATCCTCATGAATGACAACAGTGGCTGTAAACAACAGTCAGAACAGCATACAACTAAAAGGAAGCCATAATGTTCGTTTAACTCCATAAAACAAAGAAAATGAAATACAAAGGAAAATGTGGCTTCTCAGCGCAGCTGATCTTAAAGTACAGGGGTCTTCCAGCCGATAGTAGCAAAATTCATGAGTACGGGCTCTCCTAGCTACAAACCGAACAACAAGATGATCCCATAGTAGGAGCCAGTGTGCAACCCACATAACCGGAAGTGGCGCAGATTACAAGCCGCCGACGATAAGTCTAAGAATCATTATGTTCTTGCTGCTTGGGATTCCTCCGGGTGCTGCCTAGCCATGCTAGAAGGAGATGCCTGCAAACCCCATGAGGCCGGCCTGCTCGTTTCTGGCCTAAGTCTTCCCCACGGTGGCAGCATGTAGCAGTTACTTCCTCGGTTTCGACCTGGCTGGAGTCGAATAACGCCCCTAAATAGGGACAGGACACATTGTCGGGGCGGGGGAAAGTTGGCGTCGATCAAAATCCTGCGCTAAAACATGCTGTAGCATCTGCCTCAGACGCAACGGCTGTTTGATACCTCCACCCCATACAGGCCCGTCGGACTTTCCACCTTCTTGGCGCAGAAGCGTGCCATACTCAACAGTTGGCGCAATCCTTCACTGGGAAGGACATCAGGTCTTGAGCAAGACAACTGTGTTCTGTCCAATCGCAAGACCCTGCAACGGCATACATAGCTAGGCTTGCCGCGGCAGCCTGATGGTCAAATTACCTCACTCCCTGTCTAGTTACTTGGGAATCTGTACTTCGTAGGCATCAGTGATATTCGAATGCTGGTCCCTGTCCATGTAGGATTATCGTCTTGAGATCGACCAGCATCGACTCCTTTCTAAAGCTGCAGTGAAGCCTGGGATCGGGGTCCGAAGACCCCCTCCCGTCAGTGCAATCTTGGACGGGAGTCCGACCACGGGTGGGCCTTTGCGTGGGTGGATTAAAACGGGCATGGATGAAGTTCCTGCTAGAAAGCCATGTTCAACATCTCATCAAACATGCGAGCCGAGAAGACTTTGAAATTATTGTGTAATGGACTAACTTGGCGACACGGAAGAGCTTGATATGAAGAGAGGTAAGGGGCCCCGAATAGGCAGGCGTTACGCTTAGAGTATCAAACAGCAACTGCCTTGCCCTGTTCGTTGTTCTCTGGAAGGATTGACATCCTAGCATTGGCAACGAGTGATAACCATCGAGAAAGTCGTTCGGCCCCGCTCCTGGATTGAGGACCTGGTTCAAGTTTAGGTCGGATTGACTCGTGCTTCTGCTTGTACCTCTTGGTGTTTGGGCAGCAACAGTCATGATGTCTAAGAACTACTTTATTGAGAGGACTGGACCCTATAGGGCTGGGTCTTAGGCCCTCCGGGGTGTGGTCTGCATAACCTTCTGGACCAACAAATACAGAAAGGAACGCGGTTCATTCTTCATTACGCCAGTACTTAGGTATAAGTATCTCGACGTCCTGAGAAACTGATTGGTTGGAATACGATCGGATTTGCTTAGAGAACTTTTCGGCGTCTCCGGAGCGACCAACAGACTGCATCTTTCAGGGGTACCTCAACCTACATGTACCATTTGACCTCTTCATTATTTCATAACTCATAAAAACAGTCAGAGATTTGTACTCGAGAATCTGAATAGCCTGAATTTATTGCAAAAAGAAGGTTGTAGAGCGGGAATTAGGTGTATTTGATAAGCAAAGTCCGCCCACGTGCGAATCACACGGAACAAGCCCAGGCCGAGGAGAAGCATTTGCGTCCAACACTGCACCTAGTGCCTTTGAGGAACATGACCAAGTTGCATTTGTTTCATTTTATTAATTACCAGCTCCAGTATGATTGTGTCTAGAAACCTCTTCTAATGTTTTGGATCGACTTTTCGAGATCAGGTATTTGACGTTTGACACTCATTTTGAAACCTCAAGATAACTACAAAATACAACATTTGTTCTTAAGATGCCTCATTTTTCTTTGCCAGAATGATCATGAATGTATGAGTGCTTGTAACCAGCTTCTTCTAAGTCAGTCTCTTAGCCCGAGCATTCACGTAAATTTTGAGCCTTTGTCTCGAGTTTATTCCTTTATTGCTGAAGCCTTGATGGATATTCCTATTCCATCTAAGAAAGCCCTCGAATGACCCAGCGGAACAAGGCTATGTCCTCACACAAAGCATCAATTTAACTTGATTCTAGAGAAGTTCCGGTCAAATCGTCAACTTTAAAAGCACGTCAACTTTCCTCCTCAACCTGTTGAATGTCATTATCAATCTCTCACAACAAGCAGAATCATTACCACAACTTCAAGAAGTAAGTCGATATTTCATCAACCTTTGCATCCATATACACCGACAAGCATGTGTCAGATTAACCAAGACGTCGAGTATTGCCTCAAGTGCGGGAAAACCCTCTTCTACAACGCCGACTTGGAGCGTTGCCTGGGATGGCACCAATTCCCTCGATCAGGCCGAGAACCAGGCCAATGGTGCAAAAGAACTCTCCACCGACATCTCGAAGAGGCTTACATACAGCAATGCACCGACTGCAGAACCAACCCTCGCATTATTGTAGAAGGAGACGAACAAGAACTTCCGGGACAACGCACTCCGCCACATCAACGTTACCTCCCACTGCCTGGAGCGATCTCGCCGCCTACACGGCCCCGTGCTCTTCCTCGGATGCCTTCTCAGCCACCCCCATCTTACCGAAGTCGTCCGTCTTCAGACTATGAGCGTGGATCTCCAGAACAGTATCGTCAACCTCGTCGTGTCCGCACCGAGCCGCAACACCTCCCTCGAACCCCGTCACCGCACCACGACCCTCCCCCGTACCAATCTCCACATGCGTACTCTCAACCTCGGCGAACGCAGACTCTTCCCCGCCAGCCTTACCCTGGCTCACAGAATCATCACCAGCAAACGCGAAACGACCACCTGGACATCGTGCAGATGCTGGGAGGTCCCGATCGGCCTCGAAGTGCGCATGGCCTTCGAAACCGTTTCAATCGTTGGATCAATGGACCCGAGTTCTGAGTTGTGTCAAGTGATTGTACTGATGTGGCATTTCTGTGCTGGACTGTTGTATTCAAGTATGTTAGAGTGTAAAATAGATGATATCAAATGAGTTTGTCCCGCTGAATCTAAAATTGATGACCACACGACGCAGCCTGCTGCTCCCCCTAATGCATGGCGCTACATGTATTGTCATCTCCAGAGTAGCTTATCTTCAAGTACATTAGTGTCCAGATTCGAGATTGACGAGGGCGATGGACGATGCCGGGAGGTTGAATCGTCCGTTCTCAATATCCGTCTCGACAACAGCCCCTGAAGGCTCACCCGACAGGGTCTCGAAGCTTTGGCCCGCCCAAGTCCTATCATTCTGTCAGCGGAAGGGGCCTTCACCCCTGGGTAGGTTTTCACTCACAGTCCTGTGTATGAAGTGGTATTATCAGAGACCAGGAACTTGACGGTTGCCCGCTGTCCCGCGACCACTTTGCCGACATCGACGTTGATGCTGGGCTTCTCCGGCCCACCGAGATAAATCTGTGTGTTCAGAACCACGATGCGAGCTAGTTTCTCCTCCTCCCAGATCCCATACGCCGTGAGAGTCAGGTTCGTAGTGGCAATTTCGGCCACGTATGCCCGACCTGACTTCCCAATGGCCTCATTCACAATCAAGAAGGCGTGGTAGGATGGTAAGATGTGCGGATGAGTTATGTTGAGACCGTCGTCGGAGTCGTTCGTGGGCTGGATGAGGTTGTATCTGAAGCCTACGCCGTGATGGAAATGAAGTCTCTGTATGCCGGAAGAGGCTCCCAGAAGCAGCCAGTCCGTCGCCCACAGGGCGCTTTCGACGGTGTTGCTAAGTCCGGGCTGACCGTGGCTGGCGCCGTGTCAGCTTTATACTCGTATCAAGATGATGGATAAACATACTTCGCATAAGAATTCGTTTCTGCCTGCGCCATTTTGAGCTGCATCAGCACCGTGTAATCCGGGCTTCGAGAAGGCGTAAACCTACCAGAACGTAGTCCAAACCCACAGATCTCACAGCACGTATGCCCGAGGTCCTTGTCGTCATGTTGTTGCGGACAGAGACCTTGCTCATCAGCTCCCCGGGTCTGACCACCCTCCGAGGGTCGAATCCACCAGAGTAAGCGTGCTCCGTGAATTGGGATATGTTGGCTCTGACTTGCGCGTCTTGAAGCAGGCCGGCTTGAAGTGGCCCAACGGGTGTCCATTCCGGCGCGTTGAAGCCCGTAAAAGCTCCTGGTGAGAGATTCGGCTTGTCCGACCCAGCTTCCCCGAATTCGATCTCTTTGCTAACAGCCTCGGCATACTTAACCCAGGTGTCTGTGTAATTGAAGACATCCCATTCTGGTCCATATGGACCATTGCGGCCAGTTCGCGTCGGGCCGTAGAAGTCAGGTTCGTTTCCCAGTTCCACATCCATAAGGTGCACATTCTTTGTCAAGTTGGCACGACCTCCTTGAAAAGTGTCCGCCAGAAGTCGGGCCTGGATAACAGTCTCAGTCTTGTTCAAAGCCTTGAGGTTGAGACCCCACATGAACGGAGTGCCGGCTGGGAGGTTACCCGAGAGGGCGTAGAAGTCGCGGCCGATAAAGATGTGGTCAGCTTCCGGGTTGGGAACCTCTTCCGTGGGCTGCGGAAACGTTTTGTTCATGACTTGAAGACTCAGGTCAACCGTGGCTCTGTCTTGCGAGTTCGCACCGACCCTGAGGAAAGGCATGTGTCCTGTACGTTCGCCCAGGTTTCGCAGCAGTTGGTTGAAATACTCGTTGGGCTTGCCGACTTCCTGGCCAGCCCAGTCCGGCCACCGGTCCATTTCGAGACTAAAGCCAGCGAGGTTCGGCGAAAGCTTCTCTGCCCATTCTGGTCTCTGTTTCGAAACATGTAAGGTGAAGTTGTACTCAGGCCCTGCCGCCACGTAGCTGGCTGCTTGCAGAGCTATGAAAATCGGAAGCATTCTAGTCATCGAAGTCATTGTTACATCAGGTGGTCCATCAGCCGTAATCGATCACATTTCCGTTTCCATTCAACATCACCAAATCGCGGCTTATATACTGCCAGTATTCTCGGGCGAGACGCGTCGTGTAATTGAAGTTCTGCGAGTTGACGTAGCCAAACATGCTCTATCCAACCTATTGCAGTGGCTAATTCTTCCCCATGGGGTATGCGTGAAGTGCCGGGGATACAAGCCGATCAAGGTGACTTCAAGCCAGTATCATCAGCAATGGGGCCTTTTCTAGATCATTTCCCCACGAATCGGCTCCGGGAAATTGGTTGACATTCACATGTTCGCACGACTCGATGACATGGTTCCCCGCGAAAGCATGGTCATTCCCAGGACGCTAACGCCAACTTGAGATGGCACGGGTTTGTTGAGCGGGGAGAGCCCTCAGTGTCAGCAAGTCGCAACTCGGAGATATCCCCAACTCCGGCTGTGTAATACGCGTATCTGATGCAACCTTTACTGCATTTGGAGATCTTCATTCAATAATTCTGAATTGAAATATTGCTTCAAGCTCGATAGCGTTTACGCGTATTAGAGACTATTTAATTGGAAAAGACCTTTTGCACCATCACAAGTCGGACCGAAACATTCGGGAAATTCATCCAGCATGGCGGGGAACCTCAAGAAGCACGGGTAAGTAGTCCGAGATGAACGTGCAAGGGCACATATATTGTCAGAGAGAATGCGTATGCGTGATAGTCCATGTTTTATGGTTGACATGGGTAAACAATTTCAAAGATATAACGTGACGTACAACATCCAAAAACGTCCATCTCAAAGTGTAATTGGCAAGTTAGTCCATCACAGGCAACTTTGATATCTAGAAGCCTTAGAAATCAATATATACGGCAGTCACTCATTGTTTGAAGAATAACAGGAATGTCTTGATTAATAATGCGTATAATGCAATCATGTATTGAGAGTATTGTTGACTGAATCAGAGCTTCTTCCTTGTTCGTTTTCCTCGGCCGAAGCTGTCAATTGTTCAACTACAATCACTAAGAGAGCATGCAGTCGAAATGTTTCAAAGCAAGAAAACAATTTCTTCATCCGGTATAAATGCATATAAAATCAGAAATATCTCAACCTTCCCAGCATCACCACCAGTCAACGCACCAGCACACCAAACCCCCACCAGCCATCACCATGTGCAAGACCTTCAACTGCCTCGAAAAGTGCCGCCAGTGCCACAGCGTCATTTCGTCCTACGTCCTCCCCAAACCTTGCCCTCACCAAGTTTGGGTTGCCGTCTCCGACGATCTAGACGCTCAAATGCAGCCCTACTGCCCCAACGGCAGCTTCCCGCAAGGTGACCTGGACTTTTACCTTCCGCATTGTGCTCGTTGTTGGCGCCAGGCCCAGCTTGGTCAGTACTTTATGAAACCCCATGGACATCGGTAGGTGGTTGCAACGAAAAAAGAGAAGAAAAGCGATCAGGAAAGACAGCGAAAAGTAGCAGAAGTAAGAGAGCATAGACGTATTGTTTACCGGTGTGGCTTTGTTGGAGAAAGCGGGGGGGAACAAGACGCAGGAGACGTAGCCTAGACTGACAAAAAAAAGAGAAAAGGCAGCCGACTTAGATGAGGTAGATCAAAATGCCAAAAGAGAGGTTCTCCCCTTCCAGAATCGAACTAGAGACCTTTCGATGACAATGTAACCATTACAGTCGAACGTGATGAACCAACTACACCAAGGGGAGTAACAGGGCTAAAGCCCCGCTCGGTGTGATGGCTGCAAATGAGCGCAAGTGACCCATAGAGGCTTTGTCGCGGGCTCCACATCTTGGACATTGACGATGAAGCGTCCGGACTAGCACGATCTTGTATTTTGAGAAATCAAAACAGTTGAGTGGAACATTCAGTGAAAATGAAGGCTTTGAATGAATGAGTTGACCGTCTTCTGGAGACCCAAACGTTGTGAGTTCTGAGGCCAGGGCTTCGCAACCGCTGCGGCGGAAGAAGCATGGCTGAGCCACTTCCCCACCGCATGGGATTGGCGATGCTGTTATGATCTTTAAGAAGGAAAGAGATTTAGCTAAATGTGTAAAAGGGCGTAATGTTATTAAAAGCGGTGAATCAAGTTAATTTCCGAGCTGGGAAATTCTGGCTTGGCCGGCGTGTAGTTGCATCAAGAGGGAGGGTAGACGTCTTGTCTTCCCTTTCCTCGCGAGGACTTGGTCACATTCGCATCAATTCTCTTGGAACACCCTTTACAGAACCTAGAACTTCTCGAGAGCGATAGAATAAGATTTCAAAGACGCAACTGTACGCGTGCGGTTGGAGCTTGTTGATGGCCTGTCGAGGCTTCACGGCTACTTCGTCTTTCTGGATGTGACATCGAAGTCGGCTAGAACTTCGCGCGACCCGTGGAATTTCATGTCCTGAGAAGTTACCAGTCTTTACCATTTGATTATTGATACAAAGTACATCGCCGTACTGGCGAACTATCGTCCTCATTGAGACATTACACAAGCTTTTGCAGGCTTTACAGCCTCTGCTTCGCACGCTTCCAATCTGTCCCCAACTGCCGCCCCTAATGGTCGTATACCCATCATACAACGAACCCAGAACTAAAGACATTCGGTAGCAGCTGCACATTCAACCTCTTACTTGCCCGGCACGACCTTCTTCGCAAGCTCGTCAAAATGGCCCTCAGGCGTCGTCGAACCCTTCGGCTTCCCCGTCAGGTGAACCAAGTACGAGCCGACGCCGAATCCCACGGCAGCGATAGCAGCCAGAGTAGGCCTGTCATCAGATCAGCGAAAAGTTCCACGGGAGAACGGGTTCTCTTTTTTTCTGGCTCACCAGCTCTGCGACGGGCCGCTCTTGGAAGGAATCGGCTCCTGGCCTCCCGGGCCGCCGAGGTCTCCGTCCTTGGACTTGGAGCTCTCCCACCTGGCCTGCCTCAGAGAGGCGACGGGAAGCGATGAGCGGGGGAGGGGTCTGGGAGACGCCGCGATGCGGCGGAGGGCGAGGGCTCGTGTTGATGACATTGTGATGGTTTGTATGTGGGGTTTGCGGCAGAGTTGGATGTTGAAGGGGTGACTTTGTGTCTTTTTGCGGTTCTGAGTTATTCTCTGGTTTTGATATCGACGATTCCGAAATGAGGCAAATGATGCACCGGGTGATGATTGAAGTTGAAGTTCGAAGCGGCTCAATCAGTGACGGCACGATCACAGGGCAAGGGGGTTCGTGAGCTACGGAGTGCGTCATAGGTACATCATCTCCGGAACGCCCTTGCGTCGTTTCTTCCCCTCGCGACTCCAACTCCAGGATTCCCCAAAATGCCACTGCTGCCAATCAGCGCAATGGCAAATCAAACGGTTTATGGTCGGGCTTTTTTTTTTTCAGCTGAAAGTTCTGGACTGTGTTCTAGAACATTGCCGTTATATTGTCGTAGCTGCACAAGGAGCGGGCCGCTGCACTGCTCATGCAGCTCGTGGGGGTCACCGTCGGCGGCTTGGTGAGATGGGACATCAAGTCATGACTCGGCTTCGATTCCTTCCAGTTGCATTTTCTGCCGTAAGCCTCGTTATTACTATCGTCGCCTTAGCTTGGAACGGAATGCTTTACACCGTTGTGTGAAGAGAAGAGTCATATTTTGGTTCCCGCTAGAAAAGATTGGTATCTAATACGCCGCCGTCCGATGCATCCCAGAAACAAAAACGCCAATGCTTCGCTAAGTCCTGCTCCTCAGCGACTTTTTCGTTCTCGTCGTCTACGAGTTCTGCTCCCCGAAGGCTCACTAGCGGAACACTGGCGCCAACATCCAAGAGACATTAAAGAAATCAAACACTTCCTCGCCGTTGCTGCGGGCGCCCGCCAAAATAATGACTACCACAAGCGTCCACTCAAATCGGCGGCCAGGAATGTTGCTCAACTAGAACCTGAGCTTGTGGTCGTGGGACGTTGGCGCGCCGCTCCAGTACTTGGTCTTCTGCACAACTCTGACTTCGGGAGGCGTCCAGCCAGGGCCCTCCTGCTCTTTGACAGCGTCCAAAACCCAGTTCTTGATCTCGTGCAAGGCGCGGCGTTGTTGCCTCCGCTCGCGGTGTCTACGGGGCTCTGAGCTGGGAAGGTCTGACTCGAGCTTGAAGTTGACGAGGAGGGTCAGGGTCTTGAGCGCCGGGAACTGCTGTATGAACTTCACGCCGACGTGGCACTGTCCCTGAATCCAGCATGGTCTCAGACCCCATTCCATGGCGAGATTCTGGACATTGGCGAAGTTGGAGGCGTCTGGCATGATGGCGCGTTGCGGAGCTGCTTTTCGTTAGTCGTCGACTTCCGTCTAACGTCAAAGAGAGAAACTCACCTCTGTAGATCAACAGAGTGTCGCTCGCGTAGTTCATATAAGCACCCTTCCTACTCTCCCGGTCCTCTTTGGAAAGATACACGATCTCGAATTGCTCGTCGCTGGCGCCGCGGCGGCTGTCGCTCTCATAGAGCAACTCGGCCCGCGACTCGCGGCAGACCTGGAGAACGGCGGGTATCGGTGCGTGGCGGCGGAGGCCGTACATGGTTGTGCTCTCGACGGCGCGCTCGACGACGGCCGATTTGGGCGTCGCGAGACGCCATATGCGGATGCGTAGCTCGGCGGGGAGATCGCGGAACTTGTGGAAGGAGCGGCTGAAGGGGCTCGTGACGTCTATCGTGGCGAGGTCCATGTTGGCGATGTAGCTTGGTGATCGTGTTGTTGGAGTAAGACGGTGCTCATAAATACTCTGCCGATGCCGAAATAAAAAAGACGAAGACCAGTCGAAGGAATCGATTTGTGGCGTGTAATAAATGGAAAAGAGGAAATCTGTGCTTTTTTTTATCGTGACCAAATAAGACGACGGCAACAAGGGGGACGTCGTCGACGACAATGATAGCAGTAACAAGCTCGGTCGGTCTTTCGGTCGAGTCGGATTCAAAAATCTGGCAGGGGATGTGGGAAGGTGCAGTCGGGTCCGATAAGATGCGGCGTAAAATATCGGTTTTGCAAATCTGGGAAAATCTAGAACGGCTTGGCAGTCCTATTGTTTCCGTCCAGGTCGCAGTACTTTTTTTTGGCTCTGAAGTGAGGTGATTTGAAGGGGGCGCTGGTAAAGGTATCAAATTGAAGGCGCTGGTTTAATACGGCAAGACGAACCGTCCCATACGATAAAACCAAGTGGTCTCAGAATCTGCGCAATCTGGTAAAATCTACTTTTAGAAAAACGACAAAAGCAAAGAATCAGATGGCAAATCTCTGGGCGAATATGAACCGGAACGAGAGACCCTTTCATATGAAGTAAAGCGGTAGCAAACACCATAAAAATAAGCCCAGCAACAAAATAAGGCGATGAAAATTTCTCGGGTGCAGTCATTTCGACCACTCATCTCATAGTGAGTAAACACAGCCTGTACAACTCACACCCGTCACGGCCGGGCCTTGGTTCAGTCGACACACGGCGCCACAAGCGGCCAGTGCAGCGCGAAACTGGCTCGATCTTGAGCCCATCTCTGGCTCGACCATGCCGGGTCCCTCCCTGACTCGGGATGCAAATTATTGGATGAAAACGCAGAGACGGCGAGGGAGACGGGAAAGATTGAATGAGATGTGGGAGTGGCATGTTTTGTGAGCTGTTGCCTTCGTCGTGCCAGGAAGAGCTCACTTGTGGGGCCCTCTCGATAGCACTGTGAACGGTCTGACGTCGGAACAGCCTCATGCTCGGTCGCTACCTAGTAATTAACTGACACCACTCTCGGGACGTCCCTTGCCTTGGCCTGTCGTGTTTCAACTCACTCTGGGAGACGTTGAATAATAAATATCCAGTGAGATGAGCCAGGTGAGATATTCTAACTGAGGTGGCCCGCCATATCACAGCGGGCCGGCATCTTTCAGGGGGTTATCAAGCTACCTCCGGACAACAGCATCAAACATGATACGAGAAGATGTCACAACAGTAGTAGAAACAATCACTCATTCGGTTATACGTTTGTTGTGTTTCGTTTTCGGCACCACCCTGTTCTGGGCGCCTCTTGCTTCTCATCGGCGGTGACCCCCACGAGCTGCATGAGCTGAGCAGTCGGTACCTTATCAGATCAGCTTGGCACGCCACGCAGCCGCCATCCATCTCTCTCGGACCTTTACCGACATGTCCATCTCCAAAACCCATGCTTTCGTGGTTTTGATCCCTTTGACAATCTCCGACGCGGCTCTGCGAGTACCTCAGAACTTGGCGCTCGGGAATACGAAGCGCGTATCGTCCGAGTCGGATTTGACCGGGGCGAGCCCAGGTTTGGCCTTCCTCTGGAGCGGTTTGCTAGAACCCAGCTGTGAATCGTTCAAGTTCTGGACATCGTGTGTTTACCCATGCCTCAAGTTCGGAGATTCTTTCATGCAGAGAGACGGTTCCTTGGTCACTCTCTCTAATGCCAGACCAATTTGAAGAATCCCCCAAAGTGTCCAAACTAACGCTGCACGGTAGAGATCTAGCATAGTATAGGGAAACGCAGTGGAAGCAGGTCAATGTACTATTCAGCGTCGTTATCGCAACAACCACCCGGAACGAGGCCATTCGAGCATTGCCATCCGCTGTTCTGCTGTTTGGCCATAAGTATTCCATGATGATGTGACTGATTTAGCCTGGATGATGACGTTACGTCTCCGTCCATCTCCACCCGTTAGAAACAATCATTAGTGGCACTCACCATCCAAATTCACTTAGACACGACACCAGACGATTCACTCCAACTGCGATCCGACTCTGCCGTGTAGCACATTAAACAGAAAGTGGTATTTGCTAACTAACTCCAAAAACCCACGCCTACCCGACCTTGATCTTCCGACACCAATCCCGCCCCCTCGCAACCTGCCACTCGCAAAGCCTGACCTCCATCAAAATCCCCAGGAACCCAGCGACGCAGATCCCCCCGCTGTCGCTCACGCTCGTCGCGCTCAGGCTGAACTCCCGATCCTCGGCCGGCACCCGCTCCATGATCTCGGCAAAGGTATTCACGTACACCGCGCCGCCCAGCAGCCCCTCCCAGAAGACGACCACGAAGACCACGTACACGGACGGGATGAAGTCGAACATGGCGTGCGCCGTCAGCAGCGCCAGGTTGCCGACCTGCAGCAGCGAGGGCAGGTACAGGCGGTGGATGCGCACGAAGGGCGTCGAGGACCGCGAGACGAAGACGCCCAGCTGGTACAAGAAGCCGTAGAAGGGATAAAACTCGCGAAACTCGTTGAAGGGCGACGACGACAGCGGGAACAGAAGCGTCGGCGACACACCCTGGTTGATCGTGTACTCGGCGATGTACACCAGCAGCAGCGGCAGCATGTAGGGGAAGAAGAGCCGCTTGGCGCGCCGCAGGTTCGCCTCGAAGCTGGCGTCGTGGTGCTGGTGGTGCTGGTGCCCGCTGCCGGCCGGGTACGCCGTCGAGGTGACGCCCGGGCCAGGGGCGAGGAGCGCCGAGGACGCCGCGTTCTGCGACAGCCCCTCGACCTCGTCGTCCTCGAGGTCCTGCTCCGGGACCGCCGTGTACTCCTTCTTGCCCGTCTGCAGCGGGCCCTTGGGCAGGATGAGGAAGAAGCTGACGAACATGACGGATGGCAGGCAGGCGGAGAAGAGCAGGCTGTTCCGGACGCTGAACTTCCACCAGTCGGTGAGGACGACGTAGAGGCCGGCGCCGATGAGGCCGGCGGCGCCGGTGCCGCTGCCCCAGCCGGCGAGGCTCATGGGGCCGTAGTAATGGGTGAGGCCGAGGAAGCTGAGCTCGCCGCCGCCGGAGGAGAGGCTGGCGATGACGACGCCGATCATCTTGACGGCGACGGACTTCTCGGGCGGGGTGAGGGCGACGAGGAGCATGCCGCAGACGGAGAGGGCGATGAGGACGACGACGCGGAGGGCGTAGGGGACGCGGTGGATGAAGTAGGGTGCGACGAGCTTGGTGAAGAAGGAGGGGAGGACGTCGGCGAGGAGGACGACGCCTTTCGGGACGGAGGAGCCGACGAGGTCCTGGGCGGCGGAGAGGATAATTACGTAGAGGACGTTATTGATCAGGCCTGCGTTCGTGTCTGCTGTTAGTTCCGGTCGGGATCGCGAGGGAATTGAGAACGCACCGAGCAGCCAAAAGGCCACGATAACTTGTGTGTCGGCATGGCGGAAGATGGCGGACAGGCGGGCGCGGTAGAGCGCCCAGGACGAGGACGGCGAGCCGGGCATGGGGAGGAGGCCGGAGGACGAGGGAGATCGGCGGCCGGTCATGTCTCTTGTCACCTTTCTCGAGGAGGCATCGAGAAGAGACGTTCGGCGGGAGAGGACGTCTTATCGCGGACGAGATGGGATGGAATGATGGGTGAGAGTTTCGGGTGTCGGAGGTCGGTCACAAGATAACCGTGTCTCAGCGGTCAGCGACCGGAGTTTGCCGTGCGTCAGTGAGTGACCTGACTCTAGACCCTGGCTGGATGGATTGTCACTGGCCCACCACTAACGAGGGTCTTGGGCTAGGAGTCCCTGTCCAGACCACGCGACCCAATGACGTCGTGATGGTGACAACACCGATCGGCGGAGCTGGTCCCGAGGCAGTCTTGGTGAGTGTTGGGCTTTGAGCACGCAATTGTCAAATGGGAATGTGTGAGAGGCATGCGTGATTTACTTTTCGATTGATTCGACCTCGTAGATGAGGTGAAAACTGCGCATCTCCTATATCATGTATATGAAGTCCTTCATCGCTCGCTTCATGCAAAATCATACAAATAGATCAACTCCAGCAGCAATTCGACAACCACCTTTTCAGTAAATTTCAACAAAATCAAATCTTCAAGTCCATCATAAGCCCGGCCCGTCCCAAGCGTCCCTGTTCAATCGCATAAAGTAAGACTGCTTGTGGGCAAACGCAATCTCCCTCTCCTTGGCGAAGCCTGCGCTCTGCAAATGCTGGAGAAACCTGCAGACGTGTGTGTTAGCATCGATCCTCCGTACCGTCAAATCGCGGAACATACCTCGCGTTGTCTATCCGCGGCTCCAGACAAACATGCATCGTCCTGTAGTCGTCCGTCAAGCACCAGTGCACCAAGCTGGACAGCCACGCCAGCACCCGCCCGCGAGCCCACTCCTCGCCGATGAAGAGATGTACGCCGCGGTCCCAGTCGTCGGCGTCGTTGCCCAGCTTCTGGCCCAGAATGTCCTCTTTTACCCAGTAGATCTCAAAGTATCCGAAGGGCACGCCGTCCCACATCCCGATGACGGGGAACGAGTGCTTCGAACTGAGCGCGTTGGTGAGGAACCCCGGCGTGTAGTCTCCCCAAAACTGCTGGACACGAGGATTCGCGAGCCACTTCTGGAGGAGCGATGTATCCGACATCGTCGTCAGGTGAGAGTTTTCGACCGGTTTGGGGCCCACGGGTCCAAGGTAGGGAACGGCGTTCGGTGCGAGGGAGGCGACGCGGAAGGAGAGGTACTGGCCGGCGCTCGGGATGTAGCGGGTGTAGAACACTTCACCCATACGGCCTGGCTTCGGGCGGATGGGGTGTCGCACGCCGTCCGTGACCGTGTACATCAGAGGCGCTGGTGGGTAGTACGTTGGTAAGTGCGAGCTCGAGTAGAACGGGCTGATGGGGAAGCTCGGCATCGTCATCGGGGACATTGGCGGCGGGCCTCCTGGCAGGTCGACTTCGAATCGGCTACCCGTCGACTGGTGCGGGGAGTGTATCGGGGTGATGTGTCGAGAATGGTTCGAGTCGGCGAATGCGGGTGAAGTCGGTCGGCTGCCGCCTGGCGAGTCTGGGAAAGATCCTCCAGCACTATTCCTCTGCAAGGTGAAGAGGAACAGGCGCCCCGGAATCTGCCAGAACATGCGCCGCGATACAAACATCTGCGACCACTCATCCCCATTATCTTCCAACCTTGTCCCGACGGCCGAGTCCATAGTTGCAATCAGGCCCATGCGTTCCAGCTTCGGGATCAAGTTCCTCCCGCGCAGTACGCCGTCGCGCTTGATGTTGATGCGCCACTCGCCCTTGGGCCTGGCCGCCTCGGGGGTATGCCGCGAGGCGTTGGTAACGAGGTACGGCGAAGGTCGGGTCTGGTGGAAGTACCAGTAGAGGGTGACCCAGAGCATCATGGCAATCTGACGGGTAGGGCTCGCGGCGGGCTTGAACTCGGAGCTCGACGGTTGAGAGATGGACGAGATGAAGAGGTTGTCGTTCTGGAGCGTCGGCTGCTTGAAGCTGTGGATATGGCGACGAGGTGCGCGCTCGGGCTCTTGTTCCCCGTTGACGGAGCCATTTCCGAGTGGCTCGGGGTCGTCGTCATCGTCGTCCTCGGTGTTTAGCACGATGGTCCAGCCGATCGGAAACGGGTTGTTGTGGGTGGTGAGATCGTGCGACTTGAAGAAGAGACCAGCGAAGACGGGTGTGACTGTGAACTTTTGGCCATCGGGCAGGTGGATGATTTGGGGAGGCATGCTGAGGTCTGGGTGCTGGGTTCTGGGTTCCGTCTGTGGAGCGGAGCTAAGGCCCTTACGCCTTTAGGGCAGACAGGAGGGGAAAGGAGGGGTCACCTCGGGCGCGGTGAGTCGGTGTGGTGTGCGAGTACTGCGATGATTCGCCTTGTGATCGGGTTCCTGCTTCAGAATGATGTCTCTTGCAGAAGAGGAGGTAGTAAGTAATCCGGAGTAAACAAAGAGGGCGGGGTCGATAGCTCCGAGGGCGCGGACTGATATCTTTAAGTAGGTACTCGGTCTCAACAAAACCAACACCACAAGACGTCGCGATGATGTCCCCAGAAGCACATGCGACTGTCGAGATCTGGAGAAGCCTTCTAGAACCGTTTCTAGAAAACCAAAGCAGCCATTCAAGGACGGGCCATTTGAAGAATTGGGAGATTCTGACAAACGCAGAGGTGTTGGTTGGGTGGTGGCATGATGATGCGTTAATCATGTGGGGTGAAGCTCTCCCGCTGGCGCGCCGCGGCGGGGTGATACCAGCCGATAAGGGACTGGTCTGCCTGCTAAGAGCATGCTAAGAGCACTGGACAGCCCTGGAAAGGCCAAAGCTCCCTGCCAAGTCAGCGCACGTGCAGGGACGGTCCCCGCAGTCGTCTTCACCGGCGGCATGTGGGGATTCTCGGTGAGGCCGACCCGATCCGCCTTCGCCCGACACTCCACCGGTCTACACCGAGAAAACGCTGAAGTGGGCTGTTCTTCCTGGAGCACACACTCATTTTGTCTGCTTCAGTCAGATGGAACAATCGAACGCTCATGTTGCTAACGTCTATCATGCTCGAGATGCAAGGTGATATTATGATGTACAGGGTATCGCACTGAGAAACGGGTAAACACCCCATGACTATGACGCCTTCTTACTGCCGTCACCCTCTGCTGGAGCTTTCTGCTCCTGCTTCTTTTGCTCTTTTCGCTCGCGTTTCGCGCGGTCGTCTTCCTCTTCCTCGTCCTCCTCGCCGTTTCTGCGTCGCGCGTCCTTCCTCTCCTTGTCCAGCACCTCCTGGACCTCTTCACCGCCGAGATCCTTGGTCTCGTCCCAGTCAACGTCGTACTCCGTGGCTACCATCTTGATCTCGCGCCTCAGCGAGTTCGCCTCCTGCACGAGATGCTCCCACACCTGAGGGTCAAAGCCTCGTGCTTGATACAGCGCCTGCTGCCGCTTGGAGACCGTCACGTTGAGTGCGGCCTTGTAGCTCAGCTCGCGGCTGATGTACAAGAACCACAGGTAACCGCCCATGATTGTCGTCAGACCGACCAAGTACGTCACCGGCTCGACGAGATCCCAGCCAAAGTCGGTGTGGAACGTCACGTAGTACACCACTCCCCACCAACCGAGTAGCACTCCGAAGCCGCCCTGGGCGATGCGATGGGCGCCGCGATGCGCGAGGGTGTCGCACTCTTCCTTGAGCTTCGCCATCTGCTCGACCTTGTGCGACATCTTGCGCAGCCGGATGCGCATGTAGTAGGTTCGGTCGTTGAAACTAGGTACCGCTACGCGCAGCTCCTGGCTGTAGCCCTCGATGCCGATGGAGAACTCGCGACCGCGTGCAGCATCTCTGATAAAGTCGCCGACCTCGGTGCTGCTGCTCCAGCGAACCCAGTTGGTGTCGTCCCGCTCCTTCTTGGGACCCTCGTGGCCGAGACCCGAGTACGAAGCGACGTTGCCTTCCGACTTCTTTGTGGCCCCCGCATCCTTCTTGCCTTCGTCCTTGTGCTCTGCCTCTGCCCTGAAGTATATCTTTGGGATACGCTCCCGACGCCCGTCATCGATGGGTGGAATCTCCGCCTGGAGTAGCCTTTCGAGATAGGAGAGGGGCTGCTGAGGGTGGACGAGGAGCGCAAGGGGCGCAATCTCCTCTTTGTCATCGTCTTTGCTGTCCTGGTCTACAAGCTGTGTAGTTCTGGTTTGCTCGGCATTGAACGGCAGCGGGAGGATGAGCTTCAATAGGCGCGTTGGGGTTGTCAGGAGACGTCCTTTCAAGAGTCAGTAGCTGAATCCAATACGTAGGGCAGCCCAAGCACAGGGGACGGGAGTCAGGGCGTACCGCGGGTCTTATCGCCGTTGGTCGGATCTTTGGACGAGACTCGCTGCTCGACCTCGTTGCCTGCTCGATGCCACGGCCGTTCTTCCTGCTTCCTCAGGGCGAACAGCTCAGCTCTCTCGTCCTTCTCCTTTTGCTCTTCCCTGTGCATATCATCGCGATTCGTCTTCTTGGCCTTGGCATTCTCGACCTCTTCCCGGCGATTAGCTGAGTCGCCAACAGCGCGTGCGAGGGCTGGGATGCGGCCGCCGATGCCGACTCCGGCTGGGCGGAAAGCTTGACGACATAGGGGGCCTTGCTTGGTGCTGAAGCTGGCAGGCAGTTGGAGGCATACGCGACGGAACGCGTAGCTCATCTCGATGTGTGTGGGTGTGTATGTGTTGGGTTGGTATTTGTTTTCTCGAACTTGAATCGATTATCATAACATTTCTAATAGGTACCGAAGAACAGCGGGAAAATGTCAACAGCAGCAACTTTTCTGGAAAGAGGCCTCGTTCCTGCTTTCCCTGTAAGACCGGTCTGATCCAGTGTCTCTGGTAGGTCTTCGCATTATGACGTCAAGCTGCAATTAATGTGGCTGCTTCTCGTGGCTGTGGCTGCCAGCTGTCAATCGCCCTGCCTGCCGGAGCTCCAGCTCCCCAACAGCTCCCACAGCTGGCCCCAGCTTGGCGCTGGTGCAGCTGCAATGTCCACCTCATGTCTTGGCCAAGAAATGGGGCTGCTCGACCTTGGTTCCCAGCTTTCCTTCATCATCATCATCATCACCACCCAATCTCCGCGGGACCCTAGCTGCAATAATACGTCGCCACGACCGCCATCCTGCCACATTCCGATACTCGGATGTCAACACGCGCTGATCGGAGGCCTGCCACACGAGACTAGATCCATCGCGAATGGGGCCATCAGTCACTTCCGTCATCATCGTCAATCGTGATGGAGAATCTTACCATCGCTTGGTGCCAAGAATATCTGCTTTTTGCACACAACATCATCAAAGATCGACAATTTGGCATTGATCATTTATCGACATTCACCGCTCACACAGCCAGGCAGTCATCCTCCAAGACTATCAACTGCTGTACAGCCACTTGGTGTTTTCCCATCCCTTCCGCTTCTCGACCCTGACCCCGAAGCCCTCCCCGCTATCCACCGGCTTAGCGGCGGCAGCGGTCATTGGACAGCGGTCCATTTTTGGAGGCTCGGTCGTCGACTTCATGCTGTTGTCCAGCGGCGTCACGTCGAACCCCAGCAAGAGCGACGCCACGAACCCCAGGTTTTCCGCAAACGCAAAGTTCCGCCCAGGACAAAGATGTCTCCCGCCTCCGAATGGGACCCACGCAGCTTTCTTCAGCTTTTCCGCCTCCAAGTTCTCCTTCTTGGCCTTGCTGTCGACGAATCTATCGGCCACAAAAACGTCCATGTCGGATCCCCAGACACGCTCCAAGCTGTGGGCCACCTCGTGTGAGACCTGAACGTTGCAGCCCTTCTTCAGCAGATACGACCTGCCCTTGCCATCCGACACGGTCGTGTCTTGCATCACCCGGCGGTTGCCTGAACCCTTGTTGGACAGTCGAATGGCTTCGCGGTAGCAACTAACCAGCAGAGGGCACCTCTCATCTATAACGGCGATGTCGATGGTGACCTCGCCGTTTTCCCCGTGCGTAGCAACTGCCGCCGCTTCGTCTCGCAGTTGAGCGATGACATCAGGACGCGTGAAGACAAATGCGATGAACCAGAAAAGCGTCGGAATCGTGTTGGACGTCGATACGTGCAGCAGGGCAATCTCTATTTTGCCGACGTCGTGGCCAGAGATGCCGTGTTTTCGTAAGACGTTGGCGCGGTTCTTGGTGATCTGCCCCGCGTCCTCGTGGTCATCGTTGTTGGCACCGTAGTATTCGGCCAATACGGCCTGCAGTTTTGCGCGAGCCTGGTAGCACTTTTTGGCTGTGATGGACGGGACGACACCCAACATCAGCATGGCCAGACCAGCGTCAAAATCCCTAAAAGCTCGTCAGATATTTGGTCAAAATGGGACGCTGTCGCCAGGCAAAGGCTTACCAAACTTGCTCAAGCAAGCTTTCATCCTTCCTGATAGGGTTTTCGGGGCCATACAACGCCTCAGCCGTGGCGATGGTCATCAGATCTCGCACCCACACGTAAAAGTTGGCACTCTCAAACGCCTTTCCATCAGGGATGTCCTCCAACACCTTGGCTACGTGCCTGAGTGCGTTCGCGTTCATCCGCCGTACGTTCCTCGGTGTCATGGCCGCATGGATGCCTTCGAAGAACTGAGGGAGCAGAACCCCATTCGAAAGAATCTTGAGCGTGTCGTTGTCAAAACCCAGCTCCCTCTGCGCGAACTCGACCGCGAACGGCTCAAACGAGAGGTCCTTATTGCGGTAGATTGACTGTATCAGCACCGGGTCCCAAACACCGTACAACTTGCCGTTGAGGATGGGCAGCGTGGCAATCGGCATGTTCCTGTGTCTACGTCACGCATTCAGCTTCGGCTCGCGCTTCCACCCCACTGACGGTTTACTTACTCGAGGGACTTAAAGAAGTGGGCTTGGTGCTTGATCATCCCGAGCAGGTGGCCGATGACGGGAATCCGGGGCTTCATCGCCGGCGGCTCGCGCTCGTCCAGGTTCGGGGACGAGAGCTTGCCCACGATAACGATCAAAGCTAGCATCACCGCGAAAGCCGAATACAGAATCGGAGACCGCTGGACGTCTTCGGCGAAGAAGGACAGGAAGCTCCCCGCCTTGGCCGTGCCGTTGGCCGCCATGCCTCCGATCTCGCCGGTGGGGCTTGCGCTGGCCATGTCTCGTCGTCGAGCGTAACACGTGCTTGCTCGAAGTTCAGTTCGGTGTGTTCGGACGGTTGTGTATCGAGATTGGACGAAAGATGCTGGAAATCTCGGGTTCTGATGGCGGGCGGATGTTGAAAGGGGGGGGTCCTTCGTCAGATATACCAGACGATGCCGGGACCCTTCACTCTTACCCACGAAGCCGGTAGTGTGAGGCAGACCCGTGCCCCCGGACTCCAACTAACAAAAAAGCGAGCGATCCCATCACAATCGCGGGCGTAGCTTGTCAGACTTTAGTGTTGAATCCTGATGGCAAGGGGGTTCCTTTGGGATGACGCTAACCACTTCTTGGGTAAGAAACCTAACTCTAACAACCAAAGTCCCCCCTCCTCGAGGTCCGGAGCTTCGAAAAGCCGGCCAATGGAAATCAGCCCATTAAGAAACACTACATTCAGCATAGTGCGTCTCGATGTTGACGCCGTTGCACGGCGGCTGTTTGCGTGGATGCCTGCAAGCTGCAGCAAGCCTGGGGCTTTCACTTTCTTGGGGGACACTTCACTCGGCGGCAGGCAGTGCACTTGACACGTCGACTTCGACCGCTTTGTGATTCGATATTCATGTCGGCCGGGAAATCGTCTGCTATGCACTTTGCCACGGAGCGGATTGCATCCGAAGCCGTCGTGTCGCCTGATGTTGGCGGAGGGAAGTGGGCCTTTGCACCGCTTGGTGGGGCCGCACTGCCGGGTGCCTCTCACCACCACCTCGTCACTAAGCGTGAAGTTATTGCGAACAGCGGATAGAGATTCTTAAAATGAATTTCGTGAATGAGGCATGATAGATGTCACCCAAACTCGTAATTTAGGTTTGAGCAGGATGTCGCCGGTGGGAAAGTATCCCATTAAGGTGATCACTAAACAACATGCTTCCGAGGTGTCCAATGCATCTGATACCGAAAGCCTTATTTGCGCATCGTCCAACGGCACCTCGAAATCTTCTATGAATCTTATGTGCGGATTTGGGTCTCGCGGGGATATCTCCTAGTTTGTTATTTTCGTTGTCGGTCTGAATGATTGGATATCAAAACGTTGGTCAGCATCCGCCAGAAGAGTATGTCAAGGTACACCAATCAGACGTCGCGACTCCCACGCCACGGCCGGTTGTGCCTGGGACCTGTCAGAATTCGAAGGTAAGATGATGAGCTTGTTGGTGGCTTGGAGAAGACGGTTGCCAGGTGTGCTTACTGCTTGGCACCGCCGCACCGTTTTGAGAACCTTGAGTTGACGTAGACCCAGTAGGGGGGTTGACGATACGCATTCGGCAGCCCGTAACGCTCAGAATTTCGTGCTAAATATACAGCTATCCGACGGCAGCGTTTATAGGTGTCGTGCAGATTCTGGGTTCTTCCCATTTCTTCTTCCGAGAATGAAACGAAGTGTCTCTTAGCATTCGCAACAACTGCGAAGAAGATCCTAATACGTTGATTACCGGATCTCAATCATCAACGACGACGACCAAAGGCGATACCAAAAGTCAAATCCCTATCACAGGACACCATTCTAAAAGCACCAAAAAAGAGTTCGCAAAGCACAGTGGCCTACTACGTCTCAATCCCTGGGTGGACCCAGGGGAAGACGTAACCCGCACCCTCGCCGTGGAGGAACGGTGGGAATCGAACCCACGATCGTTCGAGGCCTTGGGGGGACCTCGACAGCCATAGACCAGCTAGGCCACTACGGTGTCTTCGAGGGAGCGAGGAGGTCAACCGGATTAGATACTCAGGTCAGGGTGAAGAGGAATGCAAGGAAAGAAGTTGGGGGAGTGGAAGCGGCAAGCATGGAATTCAGGGAGGAGGGGAGGATATGTGTTAGGAAGGTAGGTTGGTGTTCTGAGGACCGTACTTGAGGGATTAGGTAGGTTTAGACCCATACAAGGAAAGAGAGTGAGAATAAGGACTTGCCTGGATGGGAAAGTATAATCGAAAGCCATATGGGGCAGGGCTAACTGGAAGGAAAGATCTAACTAGTTACTACCTTAGTTATGGCAGTTGGAAAGAAGCTTGTCTTTTGAGAACGTCACAAATGGGAAGGAAGAAGGTAGCATTAAGGATAAAAGGTGTAACAGTAAGGTAACTGGGACGGTAGGAGCACCCGGTTTGCAATTTCTTCTGCAACTTCAAGAAACTGCTCCACTACCACACACAGAAAGGGAACCAGGACACCTGAGAAGCAGGCGTCATTCAGTGATGTTCAGTTATGGATCAACAGTCTTTTGGTTTTGGCCTCTGGCCACAGCGGCAGCTTTATATACGCTTTTGCCACCGCCGCCTTTACCTGGGGGGGCCTCGATAGCCGTAATGACCTAACGGTACTTACGTGTCTTTTTTTGTTCTTTGCCAGATCTACGGTTCGATTTTGGCCTTCTGCTTCTTTTTTTGCTGGCCAAGGCCTGAGAGGCGGCCGACGTGTGACGAAAGCATTCCCCTTCCTCTTTGGTTCCAAATCACGGTGGCGACGAGCACATCATATCTCCATGTAGTTTGATTCTCGCCATCAGTATCTCAAAAATCTAGATTGTGAACACAGCCTTTTCGGTGCTGAGGGGACGTTGTCCTCCACTACCCCGCGGATCCAACAACACGAACCCATCAGATGGGATCTCTTCCAGCCCACCCCGAATCAGACGCACCGGGTTCGGCTGCAACTTCACGTTCCCCAAGGAGGCTTCGGAGCCGAGAAAGCTGTAGAACTCCGTCGTGAACTTCCGAGCCACGGGGTTGGCCGGGATGGTTGCACCTGGATGAAACCATCTTGTCAGCATCATTCGCCATCGCACTACGGCGGCTTGAATGGTTGCTTGAATCACTCCAAGTCCGATTTCACGTACCCTGGTACTGAATCTCCGCCCCCAAGCCCTCCCAGACGGCTCCAATGACGGGCTTGTTCTTCAACTTGTTCAGGTCGAAGCCGCCGATGGCCGGGCTCCTGAATACGGCGAACTTGCCGTCCTCTGCTAGTGTCTGTTCAACGAGTTCCACCGACGGACTTTGCGAAACGGCGTCGACCGCAAACTGGACGCCGCCGTCGGAAATACCACGCACTTTCTCGGGCCATTCGGGGTCGTGATAATCAACAAGCTCGTCGTACTCGTACGGCTTCTCTTTGAGGACGGCATGCTTCGAGGCACTCGCGGTCCCGATGAGTTTGATCTTCTTTCCGGATGTTCTTTCGGCCAAGCGGATGAGTTGGGCGGCGTACAAGCCCAAGGATGAGGTCGCGCCGTAGACGAGGACGTGGATGGGTTTGTTGTTGTCCGCAGCTTGAGACGGATCAAACCCTTTAGTGCTGGAGAAGGGGCAGGGAAGCTGAAGACGAGCGAATACGCCTTGAGCAGCAGTGAGACCACATAGGCTTATCGTGGCGGCAGCTTCGTAGGTCACGGTGGTCGGTATGGCCCATGTCAGATCGTACTCGACCGCGACGTACTCCGCAAAAGCGCCAGGTCGTTCGTTGACGGAGCAAGCTGGGCGTTTACGTATCAGCTGAGACCGCAGTTACATCTTGTCACAGTACTAGGAGACTGTGGATATTGGAAGAGTGATTTGAGGCTTGAACTCACCTCCCTGAACGAACCCAGCAACTCTCGCTCCGACCTCGGTGCGCTGATCATCAACGCCGACAAGGTCTGCGCCGACAGCGACAACTTCACCGGCAAAGTCGCTGCCAACAACACGGTAGTCTTGGGAGGCTATCGGTTTTTTTGTGTAGAGGGCGTCGACGTGGTTCAGGGCCACGGCGTGGACTTTGATTAGGATCTCAAGGGGCTTGGGATCGGGTTTCGGGACGTCCTGGACGGCGACGGTGCGTGTTTTGGGGGTGATCGTGAGTGCCTTCATGTTGGGCTATTGAGCAGAAGTGCCAGCTTGAAAATAACGTAAACTGGCGGCAGTTGTTTGGTTCGCCGGGTTTTATGAAGCGTGATAAGAGAGTCGACTGACGGAATCCTGATCTTGGGTTTGGTAGATTTGTTTCGTCGATGGGAAATCATGATCTTTGAGTCGATCGACTGTGATGTATTTAAACCACTGCATCATGATCCCACAGCCCGTTGCAAAACAAATGACTCGATGGATTTAAACGGAGTTATCTCACGATCAAGGCTGTGAGTTCGTGATATCCTAGCCTGCTGGTGGGTCTTAAGGTATGCACTCCGGAACGCTTACTTTATTGAGTTTAGTCACCATAGAGAGATGTGAAACGGAGTGCCATTCGGGACGTGTCTGGAAGCCTATGAAAGAAACTTTTCAGAATATTGAATGGAGAAGAATGTGTCCTCGCCGGCTATGGCGAGCTGGCGAAGAGAGTATAAACGACGGACGGCTGTACTTCGTTGCTTAGCGAGTTGCTATTGTCTACGTCTCATGAGGTGCTGCATAACGCCCCAAAATATTGTCTCCAAATCTAGCGATAGTTATTGAATTTTACTTTTGGTTAACATCTATGTCACCTTGTACCCGCCTACCTCTTACTGACGTAGCTTCCGGCCTTATTCAGAAACTCATGATGGGGAGCATAACAAAAAGCTGTTTCTGGCAGTTACATATGAACCAGAAAGGAGTGAAAAAGAAACGAATAGGACTAGACTTCATTTGTGGATAGCTGACAATTTATAAACGTTTTGAGATCTCCAGAACACAGCTTTTGCTTTATCTCCCCCATCATATTCGCACAACAGGTTAATAGTGACTCTTGTGAGATGACCTTAGTACCTGGTTGCGGATTCTCTAAGTACAGAGTCCTAAGGCTTGAGAGGTTTGAGGGCTTCAACCCACTCAATGTTTCCCAGTTGCTTGGTGAGCCACGTGTCACCCGGCCCGGTAGCCCCCCAAGGACGATCTCCGGTGACCAATGAGCCACTCAAAAATGTGTGGGGGAAACCATGATCGAAATCATAAGACTTATCGACCTGCTCCATCTCTTCGTCGGTCAGACTGACCTCCAAGCCGGCGATACTGCCTCGAATGTGCCCGACCGTCCTAGCGCCAACGATGGGAAAGACATACGGAGCCTTTTGTCGCACGTACGCCAGCGCAACATCAAGTATCTTCACGCCCTTCTTCACAGCCATAGTTTCCAGAACTTTGGAAACCTGCCTGTCGCGAGCCGTTGGCTGAATGTAGTTTCGTCCTCCGTGCGGCTTCTCGCGCTCTCTCCAGCCCTCCTCGGTCTGGAACCTCCCTTGATTCAACACGCCATACGGCGCGATGCCCATGCCCTCGCTCGCGCACATGGGAACGATGTCTCGCTCAAAGTCCCGCAACGCCGCGCTCCACATGCCTTGGTACACGACGAACTGACGCAGTCCAGCCATGCGTGCGTACTGATTCGCCTTCGTGACAACCCAGGCAGGCGCATCGGATATTCCCAGATAGATGACCTTCCCAGACGCCACCAGATCGTTCAAAGACTGCATGACCTCCTCGATAGTAGCGGTGAAGTCCCACCAGTGGAGGTAGAAGACATCGACGTAGTTGGTTTGCAGTTTCTTCAGAGAGTCCTCGAGGGCGAGCCGCATACTCTTGGTGCCATTGCCACCGTAGTTGACCTGAAGACGGTCCTTTTGGTGAAGCTTGTACCCGGTCGAGTACTTGGTTGCCAGAACGATGTCGTCTCGATTCCCGCGGGAGGCCATCCATTCACCGAGCCACTCTTCCGACTGGCCGCGCTGATAGGCGCTGGCTGTGTCTATGAAGTTGCCTCCACAAGAGTAGAATTCATCCAGAATCTTGAAAGCTTCTTCCTTGGTGATCTGTCCGTAAAGATCCTGTAGCTGGTCGCCAAAGGTGAGTGCCCCAAGACAAAGGGGGGAAACGCGAACGGAGGCAGTCGGTGCCAATTGACGATATCGGGCCAGTGGGCTCTTTGGAGGGGGATGCATTGTAAAAGACATGTTGACTGTAAGACAGCTGACAGTCTGATTATTTTATGAGATATAGGTCAGCTCGGATATGCTTTGCGTCTGGAAACCATAGCTATTTCTGTATGCTTATATAGTAGGCGAAGCAGTACAATCAGATTAAAAACATCATTCAATAAACCATCTGATCCAAAGTCATTCCATGTAGTTAACCCCGTGTTGATCTTAAGTCCGGCGTGTAAGTGATGCATGCACACGTCGAACACCTCAGCTTCGTCCATATAAAATTGTACTCTCGGAGTTTGGGAGGCCTAAGTCCGGCAACTCAGACGGACCATGAAAACAAACGATCGAGAGCTGATGTTTACAGTAAGCATTTCTCCAGGCAACGATCGCCGAGAACTGAATTAGAGAGTATTAAAGTGGGAATTCTGTGGGTGTGGTCAATACCAGGGTCTACGGTCCACGCGGTTAGCGGGTAGAGTCCCGATATGTCGTGCTCTTTTCAGTATGCTCTCTCAGCGAGTGCCTGCTTGATGAAGTGATGAGCCGCAGCGTCGCTGATCATTGAGGCGGGACTGGTGAGTATCAAAGTAGGCAGTTCTGGAAGTAGGTATTTTAGTCTCCTCCCTTTTTCAGGCGGAGAAGCTATGCTCTTGTGTGCTGACCTACACCGAAAAATGATAGAACCGTCGATTCTTGCTTGATAGGAGAGGTAAGCCCAACATCTAGGCACCACAAGTTGACACAGAATATTCTTCCAATGAGAATAATTCACATTCAGCCCATCAGAGGCATCCACCCAGTCGCCGGCACATTGTTCTCATAGTCGTAAAAGGCCTGCTCACAGAGCATCATCTTGAGATCGTGCTTCTTCAAGTAGCCTTTGATGTCGTCCAAGAGAGAGGGATCCATTTGTCCGAAGTTGATCAGTGTTGCTCCGCCCTCTCCGTCATCGTAAAAGGGTTCCTTGGCCCTGCAGATGACATTGAGGCCGACAATTTTGTCTTTCTCACCCTTCGCCCGAATCACCATTACGCTGTCCAACGATGGAAACGTCATGTAAACACGCTGCGTTTCAGAGGTGAAGAGAATGCCTTGGTTGAGGAAATTAAGGTGACCTTGAGCTAGTCAGCATGACATTCAACAGGTGTGAGAGTATTTGTGCTATCGCGGCTGACACTCACCGTTGGCCTTGGACTTCATGTGAGATTCTGTAGGTGGTGATAGAACAGAGTTCCCGATCACTAAGCCATCGCCAAGCCCGGCTGTCAGGTCAATGACTGCCTTGTCGAAAGATTCCAGTTCCTTGTCCAACACCCTTTTGAGGACAGAGAGATAGGTGTCATTCTCTTCGTACGTCTTGCTAGAATTCTTCCTTTTCAACGCCTCGTCGACTGGCTTGTCGGGCCATTTGAACGATATAATCTGAGGATACTCCCGTTTGATTGAAGATGCACCTGTAGCCCCAGTGGGAACGATGACGACCTCATGTGCCTCCTCCCCGGGTGTAGAGAGGCTCGGGAGGACGAATATCTGCTCTGTCGTTTTGTGAGCAACGATAAGTAGAACACCTGTCACGGGGTGTGCTCACCGATGTGCCGGAGGGGAACCATGAATATGGCACCCATGTCATGGTCCCAATAGTCCGGGGGCCCGCACAGTCGAATACTCCCATCTCCTGGCCCTCCAAGCCCGGACATAACTTCGATGTTGCCGTCGCCAGTGAAGGGCGCCTGGAACGGGATCTTTGGCGTTATCAGTCCACAAAACCCGCAACCTATCCCGCCGAGGTCTTCAATGCCGACGCCCTGGTAGTATTGCTTCTCCCATTGTACGCCTTCTTCTCTACTCTTGGCGTCGGTTCTCCGTTTCTGGATACCGGCCACGTTCTCCGCCTCAGACGCGTCGCGCTTGCGCTTAGCAGCGCCGCCGGCCGCCTTCCCTCCGCGCCCGCGTGATGAACTTCCGCGCTTGGGCATGTTGCCAGAGTGATATGTGCTGTGAGAAAATGAGAACGGCGTTCTATGTCAAAACGAGCAGTGGATGTCGGTGTTGAAATGCTCCGGGGACAACCGAAAGACGGAGTCCGGGGTACGCGGGACGTGGATCTCGACGCGTTTTGTGGCGCTCGCCAGGGAGAAGTTAAAACATGCAACCCTGCAAGCGGCTTTGGGTGAGGTCACAGGCGAGGAAGGTGCTCACTCAACGTTTTCTTATTGATATTCGATAAGCTTTTTCTCAATTATATTATCTGTCTCGGTTTTACAGTAGCACTTAATCGAATTGGATAAATAAAGCTGCTTGCCTTGAGATGGTAGTTTCTCACTGTACAAAACATGCCAAAGGCATGGCCCCGGACCCAACTCCGATCCAAGTCCGGCTCCTGCGGCGAAGGACTCGGTCCACCCGGTCTGAACGCTATTTGTACAATCCTTTCAGAAGCCCAGGATTCCAACCCGACCCATCAATTGCCAGGTTGTGTTTTTGGAACACCACATGCCGATGTCCTGTGTATGATGCTCTCTTGCATTTACAAAGTTTTGTGTAAGTATCACCAGGCAGCACATATCGTAATCAAAGCATCTATTTAATATGCATGTGTTCTTGTGTTCGTAATATCTGATTTGGTGTACAGTCATGGGAATGCTCATATCTCTGTATGTTGCCAACGCCTGCTTAAACGCCTGAGTAATTGTATTCCTTTCTCACTCTCATCGTGATTTCAAAGCACCCGTCTACCATGCCTCCCACATTTGTGCGCCCATAGCAACAAGACGGTTAAACAACTCATCTCGGGTTACAATTGCGGTGAGGTGGTGTTGCTTGCCCATGGTGTCGGTGATGACGAGACCATCAGCGATCTCGCGATCAGTCGCCCATCCCACAAAGATCTTGGACTTCCAGCCGAGACCTCCAACCTTGCGAATTTCCTGCCGTTAACGTCAGCATGTGGACTTCAATCTTTCATCGAGTGGTGCCTTACCTCGATATCGGCGATCGCCATGGACCACACGGGGTTGACATCGTCGGATTCTGTCGTCCAACTCAATGCCGGAGTCGTCGCGGTGGCCGTGATGAAGGCATGCCCTCTCTTACCCTTGTAGCGGGCCGGAAAGCTGATCGGACCCTTCTCAGGGTCGGGCTGCTTCTTCACCACACCCAAGCGGTCCTTCGCATGCTTAGCGCCTGCCTTAGCCTTGACCTTGTCTGCTGCCAGGGTAGTGTTGATGCCACCCTTTGCAGTGCTCTTGATGAAGTTGATGATCCTGTGACCCTTCTTCTGTTTATGCTCATCTGTCTCGGATACCGCAGGTGCGAGGACGGCCTCGTCAGGTTGGATGGCCTCGTCTATCTCGGCTTGATCGACACCTTGACCATCACCTTGTAAGTGTGTGAGCCGTGAAGTTTTCAAACGATCAGCATCAGACTTACCGAGGTGCTCTAGTCCCTGGCCAGCGGTCGCATGAGGTTGATCAGGCGGGGGCGTGGTCGAAGTAGGCGGCGGGGGCAATGGCGCTTTATTCCTCTCTCCAATACGCAGAAGCGTGATTGTGAGTTGGGCATTGGTCGGAATACCCTTAAGGATGGAGTTTCGCAATTCAACATATTTCTTCCAATGGGGGTACGTTCTGGACATTGACATACTTTAGCTGTGCGAGCAATAAGAGTAGACAGAAAGACTGACCGGTTGATAAACACCAGGCCTCTTTGGATAATCGGGTCGCCGAAGAAGGTAAAGCCGACGATGAATCCGGTTCCTTTCAGGACCATGTAAGACGTCGTGAAGAGCGATCCAAGCAGGAGTGGCAGGAGCACGCTGGCCAGGATGAGACGGGGCCGTTGCTGGGGAAAGGGCGGCGTTGGGCTGAGGGCGTTTCCAAATCGTTCGTATGTATCAACAAGCTAAATGGGGGTCAGATGGAGGTGCGGATGAGAAACGGTCCCGGCATGAAAGAACTTACATCCGCAATGGCGTGCATCACGGGCCTCGCCTGGGTCCAGACCGTTTCGGAGACCGGTTTCTTGGTCTTGTCGTGGTGAGTGCTTGGATTACTACCACCGGTCTTGTCCTTGGCGTTGACGACATCTTCAGTAATGTTAGTTGGGTCTGGGACAGCGGTATCGTTGTGGGGATCGCCTTGAGGATGTTTTCCCGCCGCGGTGCTAATGACGAGCGAGGAAATGCTATTCACGAAGCTGTGAGCCTCCTGTTCCACCGCCTCTCCAGCGTGCTTCTCGGGGGCGCCCGTGATGGAATCGTCGGACGCGAGAACGCCCGCCGCGGGCTTCTTGACGCCGCCGGTCTTGCTGTCGATGAGGGACGCAGGGGCTGGAGGAAAGCAGAAGGTTCGGGCTTCGGGGACTAGCACGAGAACAATGAGGAAGCTGACGAGAACGGGGATGACAAAGTCGAGGAGCCAGGCGGCGGTGTAGACTGAGAGAAAGGTCAGGGTGCGCTTCCACTCGCGCCACGAGCGGATGCGGACAATGTGTTTCCAGAACGAGAATGCGCCGACGATCACGGTCATGTACAGGCGTTCAACGTGGGCGCGGAGCTTGTCGGGCGAGAACTCTTCCTCGTCCGCGATGTTCAGGTCAAGAGATGCCAGCTGCACGTAGTCAGAACCTTATCCAGGGATCTCCGGCGGGAGAGACTGACCGGTGCTTCGGGAATCGACTTGACATGGAATACTTGCTAAGGAAATAGTCAGTATCCATCACCAGCATATGGCACGTCGTTCCTACGCCCTACCTTGTCAAACCGTCTGACTAGAATCCATAACTCTTCATTCGTTAAGCCGCCAACCATTGGCTGAGCAACTTTTTGAGCCTGAGTGTTCCATCCCAAGTTTTTCACCTCAACCTCGTCGTGGTCCATCTCAGCGTGCCCTCTTTCCTCGATCGGCTTTTCTTTGATGGCCACATCTGCGAGAAGGTGACTGTCTGTTGGTGTCTCTTCCTCGTGGGCTTCCACGATCTCCGGTTCCTGTCCCACACTGGATTGGCTTGAATAGCTATAAGTTGACTGGCTTGGGGTATCTGCTGGGTCCACTGCGGCCGGTGGAGGTGCTGCCGGTGTTGGCGGTGGCGATGGTTGTGAAGCCATCTCTTCAGTCTCTGTATGCCGCCCCTTGAACATGTCGATGGTCAATAGTACGTGCAGGGTGGGAGCTTGCAAGACGGAGGAAGCTTCCGAGCGAGTCCAGGGGGGGTCTCATGATTTTGAAGCTGGGACAAGCTCAAAATCATGATTTCGGCCTGGACTAGAACTAGCCGCCGCCGACGTCAAGCGCGTGGCTAGCCAGCTCTCGCCGTTTTTGGTAACCGACACATGACGTCACGCGACGCGGGCGCACTGATTGGTGCACAAGCAGGGAGATCGCGATGATCGTACGCGGAAGATCTCCACATGGATGGGCTAGGCGGGAAGGAATGACACCGGTGAACCGAATCATTGGATCCTCTCGTATGTCGGTTTGACGGGCTGCTGCTGCATTCCTGGCGCAGAAGGGAGGCCGGGACGCACGTTCAATGTCTCTTCAGGGGCATCATCAGAGCTCGATGGGATGCGATCATTGGTTGTTTGTTTTAAGTCGACTTTTCTGGGTTTAGAGTGAAGCTGCTGCACGGAGCAAACCGTCTCATCAACGGACAATAACATCGTTTGGGATGTCGTGTACAACTCCGATTGATGCAAGTTGTCGGGGTTGTCACCGGCTTGTGGCCGCCCTGTATTTCCTCTCCAGTCCTATCTGAGTGACCAGACCTCAGTGCAAACCGACCATGGCTGCCACATGCCGGCGCTTAGGGTTGCACAATGGCGACTTTCGTCTCGTTTTTCAGCTTCAGCCATGGCTGGTCCAGCGTTGGTCTGTTTCTAATCTCGTCACCACTCTCACGAACAATCAACCAGCCGCTACTCAGCTCAACCAGCCACAACGCCATCAGGTAAGGCAACTGGGATAGCCAACTGAAACGATGAGTCTATCAGTAAGTAGGCTCATCTTAGCCAGGCTTCGGCTCGACGGCAACGTTTTCACCATGTGGTTCCACTCGGACATTTTTCTCCAGGCTAAAACCAATGCTCCACCGTAGGGCTTATGGCCATCTTGGTTTCGGCCTCTCCACATCGACAGATCCTCAGGATCTTCACACGGAAGGGTGGCCGAGTTGGTTATGGCGCCAGGTTAAGGTCAGCTTAACATCTGTTTCCTGGTGGGGCAACCCGCGCGAGTTCGAGTCTCGTCCCTTTCATTTTTCGTTTTTGAAGCTTCTATGCTTTCTTTTTTGGCCTATCTGATCGATCGTATTCATCGCCGCCATTTCTTTCGTGCTTGGCTTCAGCTGCAGCAGCTGGCTGGCTGCTCATACAATTTATCTACGTAAGAAACATAGTCGCACGGGGCTTAGTTCATACACTTTAAGGTGTAACAAAAGACATCGCCTTCAGATTATGGATATTGCTTATATTTAAGTTATAAATATTACTAAACGTCTAAATCATCTATCACTTCGTCATGCCTGGTAATATCAGGTCTAGTATCCCGCCCACCAGGTGTAGTTGTTCGTCTGCTCAGCAGTGTCCCAAACCAACGGGACACTGGTATCCTCCGGCCTCTCAGGCCAAGCCTGGGCAAGACCAGACCAGACCTTGACGTTCTTCCAGGTGGCCTTGGCACCGCTGGGCGCCGCGGCGTCACCGGCGAAGAAGCTGAGGCCGGTGCTGTCGTTGCGCGAGGGGTAGATGCGGGCAGTCAGGGCGAAGCGCTCGTTGACCCAGATCTCGAGCAGGGAGTTGTCGAGGACGACGTGGAAGTTGAGCTCCTCGGTCTTGGTCGTGGTGCTGTTCTTCTCGTGGATCTCGTACGGCTGGAAGTGGCCGACGAAGGTGGCGTTGTTGAAGTTGGGCAGCAGGCTGCTGTGGTCGCGGACGACGCTGATCTCCTGGGCCTCGGGGTCGAAGACGATGGTGGTGTACTCGGCGTTGTCGGGGCTCTGGCCGACGACGATGCCGGCGGGGCCGCTGAAGTCGCTCAGGGTGGCGGTGAGCTCGTAGGAAGATCCAATCTCGGCGGACACGGACACGTTCGCGTCGGTGAGCTCACCGACGTCGAACTCGTGGGTCTCGGCTCCGGCGCGGAGGAGCTCGACAACGTCGGGGAGGGGACGGATGCCGAGGGTCTGAGCAGTGAAGCCGTTGCAGCTCTCGACGCAGTGGCTGCCGTCCTTCTGCTCGCCGCAGTTGACGACTCCCTTGGTCTCCTTGACGAAGAGCTCCATGGGCAGGTTCATGGAACCCATGTAGCCGAACTGCTTGGAGGTGTTGAAGGTGTAGTCGGCAGCAAGGTCCTCGTTGGCCCATCCCCACATGACACGGCGGCCGTCGTTGCGGGCGTCGCTCCAGGTAGCCTGGGCGTAGGAGATACCCCAGTCGAGAGCGCCGCCGGAGCCGGGAGTGAACTCCACGGAGCCGTTGTCACGGCGGGCGATGTCTCCGCGGTTCCAGAGAGCCCACTGCTCCTTCCAGTGCTGAGTCGTGTTACCGCCCTCAGCACCCATGGAAACGAACCAGGCCTTCTCGCCCGAGTCGCCGACGGGGAGGTCGAAGAAGCTGCTGACTTCGAAGTTGTAGCCGTAAGAGCCGGTAATGTCAGGCTCACCAAGAGAGCCGTTCGCAGCGGGCTCCCAGAGGGCGCCGAGGAAGGTCCACTGCGTCAAGTTGGAGGCGGGAGCGGAGTAGAGCGGGATGCGGGGGCCGATGAAGCCGGGGCGTGCGGCACCGGGCAGCTGGGCGGGGACATCGCCGGTCTTGAGGCCGGAGCCGAGCACCATGTAGTAGTGGGGCTCGCTGACCTGGAGAAGGCCGTCGAGATCGGTGTTGGCGAAGAAGCTGGGGTCTCTCCATCCGGTGACGTTCCAGCCCTCGGGAGGGCCGGAGATCACAGTGCCGATTTCGTTCCAGCTAGAGCCGTGGTCGTCAGACGTGAACAGGGCCTGGACTTCGGTGCCGGTGATGTACGGCTGCTTCCAGTTCGTCGGCAGGTAGTGAATTCCGGTGGCGAAGGTCAGGAGCGTGCCGTCGTTCTCGCCCTCGAGGTTGACTGCCTGGGTGGTACCAGTGAACATGGAGAGGGGACCGGCGGCGTATGCGCCAGCGGCAAGAGAAACGGACGAGTCGTTGGCCCAGTCGCGGATGTCAGTCCAGTGGAACAGATCCTTGGAGACGGCATGGCCCCAGGAGATGTTTCCCCAGTTGACGTGGTTGGGATGGAACTGGTAGTGGAGGTGGTAAGTCTCCGTGGCCGCGTCGTAGATGGCACCGCAGGGGTCGTTCATCCAGCCTTGGGGCTCAAGGAAGTGAGAACGCGGTCTCCAACGGGTGAAGAGGGAGTTGTTGCCCGCCGTCGCGAGGTACTCGGGCGTGATGGTCGGAACGTCCGCAGCAGCGGGGGCCACGATGGCTCCGAGAGACGCGAGGGCCGTGAAGACGGCGCTACCCTTGAGGACTGCCATGCTGTACTGTTGAAACTGAAGAGCTCGCCGCTTGACGTCCGATAGACTTCGGACGAGGAACCGTGAGTGGTTCATCTTATATACCATCGGACGATCAGACGATCCAAACATCGACTTGGGTGGGAACACACACTGTCATTCAGGCTCTCGATACGACGTCAGCCAGGGGAGAGCCAAGGTTGAGTCCCGCCGAGAGAGGCAAGGGTAAGGAGTCATGTTCCCTGGGCTACTGAGGCTCGGCGGAGATGGCGATGACGATGATTAGTCGAACATTGCCCACGGCAGCATGAAAAGGCTTTCTTGGACTGACGTTGCGGGCCGAAAAGGATTGACCACGCGGTCGGGAAATCGTGGGATGGGGAAGAAATCGCGGGGCGGCCAAGCCGTACGACGACGCGCTACTGCCCCAGCGGCGATGGATAGTGGCGCTTTGGTGTTGAGGTGAGAAGAAGAAATTGCGGGAGATGCGGAGTCGCGGGGGTTCGGACGGGATATAGTTCGCTGAAACTTATCGTCGGACTGGGGAGAACGCAAAGGGCTGGCCCGGCCTCTGCAAGTCGGGCTGCCGGATGAGCAACATGGCACGTGTTGGAAGCTATCCGATTGCCTTCCCCGTAGCGTATATTCGTCTTGGGTCGTTCTTTAACTGGTTGACGGTTGTGCGATGCAAGACAAAAGCGTGGCACCCCAAACCAAATCCGTGGGCAGATCACGGAATGACCGCATGACTTCGTGGGGATTGGCAATTTCGGCGGCCCTTTGCTCGCTGTTACCGCACATGGGGAAGCAAGGGTTAATGGCCGAGAGAGTCGCCAGGCTGGCCCCGCTGCAAGGGATCTTGTTGGATCTGGAGAACTTGGGGGCTGTCATGTGCTGGTCGAAACCTTTTCCAAGTTGCTCTGTTTGTCAAGCGTACCAGACAATTGGATGTTTCTGGCCCAAGCTCCTCGTTCGGACGACTTCCATTGCGGAGGGCAGCAAAGTTCTGTGGAGGTCTTGAAATGACTTTGCGGAGGCCGTGTGGGGAAGTTGGTGGGTTGAGACTAAGGGAGATCCAGGCGGGATTTGTCTTCCGCCTCTTCCATATTTTCGACAGGATCGTGAACTGCCAAATGCTCGCTTTATTTGCTGGCTAAAACGTCATCATACCCTAATAAATCGCATCAGCTGTCAGCTCACGATTTTATCTGGTCCGAGCGACGCGCATAGGCCGGGCAACGGATCGCAACCCGACGCTGGCTCTGTTGGCGGAAGAACGCAATCCCGTCTGACGGAGCAGTTAGGTAAATGGATCAAGAAAGCTTGACGCCGGAAAGAATTTTTCGAATGTTTTGGCCCGATTACACACCGAGTCACTCAAGATTTGTGCAGTGTCTCGTAGATTGCCCAAGAAGATACGGGTTTGGTCATGGCCGCGATTTTCGGACCACGCGGCGCCGGTATGCCCGATAAAGTGGGGCTAAAGCGGCCCCGCATCTCCGGTACTTGGTGAGGAGGACCGAATCTGCCCCTCAAGCTTCTGAAGCTACCCTTGCCTCGAGAATAGACGCGTAAAACTTCATTCTTACTCTTCAACGGTGAAAGAGACAAGAAACGCAGTTCCTCAAAATGAGATACGCCGCAAAGCTGCCCAGTCCTACATCAACAGACCACTGTACGACTGGCTTGTCCAACCTCCGGTCACCACCAGGAAGGCCATGCCATCATGCAAAGTGAACGTCAACCCGATTGTAGCATCAATACCAATCCCCACCGTGAGAAATCTTTACGTCAACTTGTGGGCATCAGCGGCCTAACCTCTAACCACATGGGGCTCACGCCACAAACGGCTCGCCATCTAGTTCATCTACTTGCAACCCCCCAATTCCTTAAATTGGCCCCGGGGCGCAACAGCTCAAGCTTTTCGGGCCAAAGGTCTTTCGGTTCATGCTCCCGTGGAGAGATCTTGAGAGCCTAGCAGAGCTAGCTCCTGACGCCGAATATCATTTCCGTAGTTTAGTGGATGGACGTTTGTTCATCTGTGAGACGGTAAGAAGGACCTTTTCAATGATAACACATCTGGCATCTCATTGGCAAATGCTGCTGATCAGGTCTAACTTCAGGTGGGGAGACGTCCGTCCGCACAGCTACCTTGGGTCACCTTATCTCACATATCAGTACTATGGAAACCCTCAGTTCTTGCAAATGTCCCGGATCACCTTGAGGCTATCTCAGTTCTGTAGAGAAGCTAAGATTCTGCTACAGTCTGGCACAAAGCGTCTGTTCTTTTACTTGATTCTACCTATGCGTCGCGGCATGATATGCTCACATTCTTAAAGCCACAGCTTTTATCCATATCGATGACTGGACCCAGGGGCGCTTCTCGCTCACACTATCAGCGCTACGGTAAAACGACACACCATCCAAGCTCTAGATTACTTCACAAATCGGGAATCTCCTCATTTGTAGCGCAAGCTATCAGCTTCAAGCGCCCGGATGCATGTACTAGCGGGTGTCACGGCCAGTGGGTCGGTCTTGAGTGATACTCTACTTCTTATTCTTTTCGCAAGCTCGATCTTCGTGTGGCAATCTCGTGGTTAGACTGAGCTGTGGTTCTTTTGGTTTTCGGGATCTCCTAATCTTTATCTTCATGGGAGTTCCTCATCGCCTTCAGGCTTCAGCTCACCCAGATCTAGCACCGGCACGATAATAAGCTTGGAAGCCTTTCAGCTATATTGTATTCCTCAACTATTACGTCTCGGTACTTCTTCTTTTAGCTATTATACCGGACTCTGCCATTTCTCGTGTGACTCTTTGGCGTCGACTTTGCTCCCAACTTGCCGGTACATGAAGGCTGCTGGTGTTGCTGGACGTATCTTCTCGTCTAGAGTTAAGTTCACACAAACGCACAGGACTGACAAGATGCAAGACTTGGTCTTCTTTGCAGTCTTGTTTAAAGCCCTAATTCCGAACGGCGTTGAAAGGTCTCAGCCAGCGTGCTGCGTATATCTTCACGGTACGTTGGTATTAACTTCGGAACTTCTCCGCGAAGGGACTAAAGGCAAGTGGGGGTGGGGACATGAAGTGGACATGTTTCAATGTTCCCAGGGTTGTGAATAATCTCACTTCAAATCAGACGACATTGGAAGATGAGGATTCTGGCGCGGTTTTGATGAAAAACCTGGCCTTTCCTTTAGAGAGGATAGTCCTAATCATGCAAGTGATTACTGATGTTTAAGGTTACCTCTACTTTGAGTCTTCTATTTTGCGTATACTGACAGCTTGCGTGAAATTTGAGTTGTTGGATCTCGAAAGCGCCTGATTTGAAGCTCTCACCGCTTGCCCATGTTTGCTCATGCAAACCCCAGCCATTCAACCAGAACAGGATCGAGTTACCCAATCCTAATGCCACACAGAAGAAACCCCACTATCGCTTGTCTGCCTTCTCCAATTGCCATCAACGCTGCTTCGAGTCTTCCCTGCTCGTCGGGACAGATCGGCGGCTTCCATCTGCACTGGCCCCATTGGTGCAACTCTGCCTTGAATTCGTCGGTGTCGGGTTAATGAGAGCGAGGTCCGCGGCCATACAACCCCGGTCATCTCCAACCTCTGCAGCAGACGTCTGGTTCGTGAGGCGCGCCATTCCCCAGATTTCCCCCGCACCCATGGACCGAGTGTGGGACGGGGCATGATTTGCGGGGATAAGTACGGAAATCGAGGATGAACCTCGTTTTCTTCGGAACTTTACTCTGTTCGCTCACTCTATTTCTTCTGCGATGCACTGATTGCTTGCAGGTTGATACGGTTGCGTTGAGAAAGCTTAGCCCTACCTGCATACATCTCGAAGTCCTTTGCAACCCCCCAAACGACCAGTCGCTACTCATCGGAGCAAGATGGGCGGTCTTCGCGCGGTCGAGGATCGGCCCACGCCGAAGGAGGTCTACAACTGGCGTCTCTATATCGAATCCGCCATCATTGCCATGGGATCATTGCTGTAAGGAATCTTCAGCCTTAACTTCTCGTTAGCACTAGAAGGGCTCATTGACTTACACCGGCTTTCATCAGTTTCGGCTATGACTCGGCGTTTATCGGGACCACGATCACGCGCGCAAGTTTTGTGAGAGACTTCGGCATCACGTCGGCTACGTCCAAGGAGATATCCTCCAACATCACTTCCGCCTTCCAGGCCGGTGCTCTAGGCGGCGCATTGATGTGCTTCTTTAGTTCGTCTCTCCTGTGGTTTGCCAGTGTCTCTGATCTAATATTCTTGTGCAACAGTCACCGAGTATGTAGGTCGCAAATGGGCGTTGATCATTAGCAACCTCGTGTTTCTCGCTGGAGCTATTCCAATGGTCGCCGCGACCAATGACCTGGCTTCAATGTATGCCGGCAGAGCACTTACGGGTTGGGGCTGTGGCGTGATTACTGCAACTGTCCCCTCCTACATCGCTGAACTTTCCATCCCCTCGATTCGAGGGATCTTAACCGGACTCTTTGAAGTCACCTACCAGACGGGCTCTCTTATCGGGTTCTGGATCAACTACGGCATCAACCAGAACATGAACCCCAACAGCTCCGCTTCATGGCGAGTGCCCATGGCTGTCCAGCTTATTCCCGCGGGCGCCTTGCTCATCGGCGGCTTCTTTCTGCACGAATCACCGCTCTGGCTCTACAGAAAGGGAAGGGAAGAGGACGGAGCCAAGGTGCTCGTAGCGCTGAGACATCTGCCAGCAGACCATCAGTACATGCAAGAGGAGGTGGGAATGATCAGGGCTAGGCTTGCCGAGGAGGCCTCGGTTGCGAAGGCATATGGAAACGGCTTCTACGCTTACATCCGTGGCGCTCTGTCCGAGTTGTCACGCAAGGGCATGTGGAACCGCTTGTTACTCGTGTTCTGCTCGTTCGCATTGCAGAACATGTCGGGCGCCGCAGGTGAGTTGTGCAGACATCCCACAACATCGTGCGTTCTTTCTCTGACCAAGACTCACAGCCATCAACTACTACTCTCCCATGCTATTCGGTTCCATCGGCATTTCAGATGTGGCTCTTTACACCGGAATCTACGGCTTGGTGAAGGCAGTCGCGTCCATCATTTTCTACGGTGCTCTCATCGACGTCTGGGGTCGGCGAAGACCAACAATTATTTCATCGTTGGCATGTTCGATTTGTCTGTGGTTTGTGGGTGCCTACGTCAAAGTAAGGTCTCTTGCATTTTTAGCCATGGCCGCGTAGTGATTGACACCTTTCAGGTCGGCAATCCTGCACCGATTATTGCTGCAGGAGGACAACTCTCTTCGTCGACTGAGGCGGGAGGTCGAGCGGCTACGGCGGCCATTATGATCTACTCCGTTTTGTAAGTCAACAGAATCTCATTGATGATATGTTCTTCGTACAACTAATCAATGCAACTCCTCACAGCTGGTCCTTTGGCCTCAACGGAATCCCGTAAGTGAAAAGCCCGAATCCATAACGATAATATCAAAGCTGACTTTGGGCAGATGGATTATATCTGCAGAGATCTTCCCGGGAGCTCTTCGCAACATGACAGGAACCTTCGCCGCTTTCACCCAATGGCTAATCCAGTTCATCATCACAAAAGCCCTCCCATACATCTTCAGCAGCCTCGACTTCGGCGTATGGTTCTTCTTTGCTTGTTGGATGCTTCTGGCCACGATTTGGGCCTTCTTCTTTCTTCCGGAAACCAAGGGCGTCACACTCGACCAAATGGATATTCTATTGTAAGTCTCCTGCACGCTTCAGTAGTACATCACCTGGAGCTTTCAACGGCTTCGCGGAATGTTTCTTGCTGACAATCACACTACAGTGGCTATGAAGGCGATCGCGGAGTGCATCGGGAAGTAGCTAAGACGGATGACGTGAAAAGCTTGGAGCATGATGTCCATGAGGTTGATCAAACCGACCGAGTATGAGATCCTCGTCATTGGTGTTGGAGTCACTGCTTCTTTGCCAAGAAACGTTTGACAACACAGCTATATCAGTTAATTATTATGAGCTTCGGTTGCCGAATTCGGACGGATCAAATGCTTCAATTACCTTAGTCACATAGACAAAGCTTCGCTGCAATAGAAGTCATGGCAGCCTGGAAGCATACTCAGGAACTTATTGAACTTTGAACGTTGTATTTTTGTAACCATCGAGAAGATTAATCTCGAATGAAATCATCACCTGTGTGGTAGTGGACTGGGACCAAGATGAGTTGAAACCCAGTTTTAGGGCCATCTACATGTATCCTCCATTTTCCAAGAGAAGCTCAACCTCTTCATGCCAATTCCACTCGTTTATGCGACGTGGGCCCCAAACTGGGCCCTTTTTCGATAGATTTATCAGCACCTCATATCTCACACAGCTCCTGAATTTCTCCCTGCATATGGTATCTCTATCGCTGAATACTCTCACCAGTCGAAGATACTTTTCCGGATCAACTTTGTTGAATGTACGCAACGCCCACTGCTTTCTTTCGTGCTGGCTCATCCGTAGAATCAAGCTGATTGTGCAAAGACCTTGTGTGAGCATTTCCCAGATCCAGTTGAACTCGTCGGCTTGGTTCCATTTATCGTGCTCCGCTATGGTGTTGATCGCTGCGACCGCTATGAGCTTTTTTTCACTTTTTGGGGGGCCTTTTTGAAAGATGTAACTTCGGTGTGAACCATTGCTCTCACAAGCGATACGATAGAGCGGGAGAGGTGTGTTTTCTTCATCACTAAGCTGAAGACCAAGCTTAGCTTTGGCCAATACATGATATTGTCTGTCCAGACGGCCTGTTGATATGCTTTCGAAAGAACGGAGAGTCCGACTTCCTTGGTCTGATGTCAGCTTCGCTGAGCTTTCCACGACATCGTAATCTTCAAGAGCTTCCCGTAAATCTCGGAAGCGATTCTGAGCCAAGATTCTGTCGGCCAATTTAGGTTGATCGGGAATGTCCTCTATGCCTACAACATGTTGAGAGGCTTGCCGTAGGCACTCCTTGAGGTGTGCATAGCTGAACTCGATTATCCGCATCATTCCGAGGGAGCCGCCTTCGTGACCGAAGATTTTGTTTGATCGGCGCCTGGCCCTGAAGAGCAAAGCTCCTTCCATTAATTCGGCCTTTTCGTCCTCCAGATAGTCTCGATATCGTGCGGTGGCATGGCAGAAGATCTCGAACCATAAGACGCTGAATCGGTCTATCGTCCTGTCGTGGAATAAAACGAGAGGGATCGTCATGTCAGGCGGCAATTCTTTGAGATCATCCATGTGACGGCAGATATGTTTAGCTTCCCGAAAAACATTGTCAAGCTGCGCCAGCTTCAGAATGCTGCGTGGCCATGCTGGAGAACCCTGCACTTCTCGTATCGACCCCTGCGTGAAGTGCACGAGATTCGCGGCGTGTGCAGCTTTTTCCGCGTCAGAGTTTCCGGCGAAGCTTTCGTTAAGTGAACGAAGGCGAAGGACCGTAGTTGCTTCGGGGAGCATGGTTTTGCCCCATGCGCGCTCCTCCCACTCGACCATTGAGTCGACAAGAAACCGATGGTTTGCAGCATAGCATCGCCATGCGACAGGGCATGCCGTGAGCAGTGGTGCAACGTCGGACGGTCCTCCCAGGGCTTTCATTATCATCAGATGCAGCTCAGTTGGCAGCGGACAGAGGCAGCTGGCTCTATTGCCTTGATTCATGCTTGTTCTCCGGCACTGGCGCTCCTCATAGGTGTATTGTCGCGAAAACGCTGCAAACGCGTTGTCTGGTACGCGATCGGATGGAAATCTTGGTAGACTAGGTCGGCCGGTGGTTGAAAGACGAGAGCTTGGGCAGACTACCTCTCGGAGCGTCTGGGTGTTTGGTACAGATTGCGACGATGAATGAAGAATGCGTCAATTTGAAGTCTCAAGCGATGTTTGAAAGAATTATTGAAGCAAATGAAAAGTTTCTCGCCGTCAACCCTTGTGAACATATCTCATGAAAAGGAACCTGACATCTGAGGTGTTCAGCCCGCTGAAAAAGTCGACACAGACTCCGTCTGTAGCGCCGCAGTGGCTGATTCACGACATCAGGGTATGAGATATCTTCGTGAGCTTTACCCTGTGACAAACCTATTTCTTCTATCTTCTTGAAACCATAACTTGATTTCATCTCTATGCAAAATTTCTTCATTGGATCTAACAGCGAAGTATGATTGCAACGGGCCACGGAGAGTTTGTTAGACTCATGAGAGTGTTCAGTCAGAACTGCATGTTTCCGTTCACAGGATGAAGTTGATCATATGGTGAAATCCTAATGGCATTCTGTAACCGAGACTTATATAGATCCTCTAATGCTTGCCCGGGCTGCCCCGTATGACTGCGTATTAGCAAGGATGCTTGAGTTCTCATATCGTGAAGTTGGCCTCTGGTCAGTCCAACAAGAGCATCACCAGGTATGCCGACGTGAGCCGAAGGAAAACTCGTTCTCGACAGGGTTCGAACAACATTAGTTTCCCGCTATGGACTTCAAATTTCCACTTTCCCGTAGCACTAAAGTGCCGCACTACAACGCGCAGCCACGTCGTTATCTTCCCCGCGGGAAAGTTCGCCGGTTGCCGGAAAACTCGACCGGAAAACCCCATTCAGGGGGACGATGCGGAAAACTGTTGGACAACTTGAGTCAGATTATGGGTCTTGCAGAACAATCTGCTACATGTCCTCGAGAAGTTTTCGGGAAGTTGAGTTGAGAGCTTCGGCTTGCGACGGCAGATATGGGATGTAGCTGTCACGATGGTGGTAATGCTGGGTCTGCGATGTTGTCCGCCGATGGACTCTTGATAGCGTTTGAAGATATAAGCGGCGTGAAGTCGCGAAAAAGGCAATGTCTCAATGGCATGATGACCACAAAGCTTTTCAGACAATACTGTCGTTTTATCAAGTCATTTCGCTGTGTTTTTGTACCATGAAGGAGGCTACTGAAGCATGTTCAGGGGTTGAACCGAGAAAGGAGATGCCGGCAGATAACACCTCAAGCTCTCACCCATCACCTTCAACATCTATAATATTCGACACTTCCGACGAAGACATCGAGAGAAATGACACAACGAAAGAAAAGGCTGAGAGCCACGCCGAAGCCCAAAGCGAGGTCGACGCACCACCACCGGACGGAGGCCTAGAAGCCTGGACCCAGGCTCTGATGGCTCATCTCGTCGTCGTCAACACATGGGGCACCATCAACTCCTTCGGCATATTCCAAACCTTCTACCGAGAATACCTCTCCCGACCTGCCTCCGATATCAGCTGGATCGGCTCGATGCAGGTCTTCTTTCTCTTCGTCGTCGGCGTTTTAACGGGACGTCTCACCGATGCGGGATACTTCCGAAGCGTCTTCGCGACAGGCTCTGCACTCGTGGTGTTGGGTAGCCTCACGGCCTCGTTTGCGACTGAATACTGGCAGTTGTTCCTGTCGCAAGGTCTCTGCATCGGACTTGGCATGGGTGGACTCTTCTGCCCTGTCATGGCCGTTCTATCGACATACTTCAAGCGTCGACGGAACCTGGCCATCGGCATCGCCATCAGCGGCTCGGCTACAGGAGGCATGATATACCCTGTTATGGCTCGCCAACTGTTACCAAAGGTTGGCTTTGGGTGGACTATGCGTGCTATGGCATTAGTTCAGCTCGTTACTCTGTTGGTGGCCAACATCTTCATGAGATCCAGGCTGAGACCGAGGCGTGCGGGCTCACTTGTTGAACTTTCCGCGTTCAAGGAGAAGCCCTACCTCCTGTTTACGATCGGGATGTTCTTTGTATGTTCGGCTTCCTCGCTCCTGTTTGACGGTAACTAATGCTCTCAGAATTTCTGGGGTGTATACTTCGCCTTCTACTAGTACGCTACCTACCCAGTCACGACTCTGTGAATCCGGACATGGAAATGCTAACAATCACCAGCATCGGTCCCTTCAGTCGCGACAAACTATCATTCTCTTACGATACTTCCGTCGATATTCTGATGATCATGAACGGAGTCGGGGCCCTCGGCCGTGTGATCCCTGGCTTCCTCGCGGATCTGTACCTCGGCCCTCTCAATGTGGTCACTCCTGCGGCAGCTGTCTGCACGATCCTACTGTTTTGCTGGATGGCGATAAAGAGTGCCTCAGCACTGTACGTTTGGGCTGTGTTATATGGTATGTTCTTGTTCCCTGATATCTCCGGTGAGACTCGAACCATTCGCTGACGAAGCCTTTCAATGTAGGCATCTTTGGGGCTACCGTCCAAGGCCTCTTCCCCGCCGCACTATCATCATTGACGACCGATCTCCGAAAAGCAGGTACAAGAATGGGAATGGTGTACTCGATCATTAGTTTTGCCAACTTGACGGGCCCTCCGCTGGCAGGCTCACTGATCAAAGCCGGTGGAGGTCAGTATACGTATGCCTTCATCTTCGGTGGGCTCTGCTTGTTTCTCGGTACTTCGTTCTTGATTGCTTGCCGGGTTGCCAAAGGTGGATGGGGGTTGGCAAAAGTTTAGTTCAGGATTACATCAGTAATATTACGAATGCAGCCGAGTATGTTCGAAAAGGCACCTTGACATGGAAGGAGAGCTGTCGTCGAGTAGTACGCTTGTACCACCTTCAATCCCTTGCGCCCAGACAGTTGAAGTTGAGGCATCCCAAATGGTCACCGAAATCCACATGCACGTAAGACCCACGTCCAGATTACGAGTTACAGCGTGTCTCGTGTTTAATTTGATTGGATTAAAACGTCTCTGCCCTCGTAGCCCTGGCGTTGGACTCTTGGGCTCAACGGCTATGAACTTGGCAAGTAATATTTGGCGGCTCCAAGTCCTCAACGTCGTTACCACGTCTTTGTCAATAAAACTTCCGTCATTATTTAGTGTCTTGACACGGTCAGTAAGTATGAACTGAAAGTTGGGACGGTTAGCTTTGTCTCAGATTTAACTGTTGCTAATCATCGATGTTTCCCGTTTCTCAGTGTAGATGAGATCGCATGGGATATTCGCATTAGCCGAGCCTTCGACCTCCCAGAAAGCGAACAAATTCACCCTCGTTCTCAGTTTCTGAAAGTCTGACAGCTTCTTCCAATAAATTATTTACGTCTTTTCGTTCCTGGACGACAAAACCGATGGCGAGTGAATGAGTGAATGCCTAGCCGCCAACGGTTACCGGAATGGGAAACGCCCAAATTCCCCCGCGTGGGAGGTGGGCCTTGGCGAACATGCGGCGTTGAACATCGTGCTCGAATCCAGGCAATCCATTGGTTCTTATTTTCAACATCTGCCAAGCCCAACAGCTTTCTTCCTCCGATTTCGTACGCAGGTCGCGTATCACTCTATCCAAGGCCAATTCTGAGCTCGTCACGCTCCTGCAGCTCAGGAATCATGCCATTCACCTCTACGGGCGACCGAGCCTCTCTCGTCCTGGGCAATTGAAGTGCGAGTTTCACCCATCACACCCTCTGGCCACGAGCTCCGCCTCCCATCGGTCAACGACATTGACGAGCTTTCAACGAGCAGAATCCGCCCTGTACTTGACCATGCACTCGCCTCGTGTCTTTCTCCCCAGACCGGGACACCAGGACCCTCGTACAGGGCCAAAAGCGCTCCTCACACTGAAGCCAAGCCAGCCGGGCGGACCAGACAGCCTCGCACCATGGCCTGTCATCCCGCCCACGCAGCCTCCATGCACATCAGCATCGCCCCAAGATCCCTGAGACGCTGGAAACTTCGGAGCCTGCCCTGATTCGATCTCGGCTGACGGCAAGCCGGATGTTCAATCCATATAACCGTCCCCTGGACCCCCGGGCAGTCGCAGCACAGGGCAACACGCATCCACTCCCGCAATCCACGACGCGCTTCACTCGCCTTCCATTCTCCGTCGTGAATCGTTACATCAGGACTCATACGATAACAGCTGTGACGTCCTGACTCGAAGCATGAGTCCCAACTAGCCAGCGCCATGTCCGCGGGACGGGCTCCGCCGAACATTCCGGAGCCGAACGACATTAGATTTCAAGACCAGAGGCCGTGCTCCGTGCCACCGAGCCGGACGAGCCGCTATGGCAGCGGCGCTCCATCAATATGACTACATCTTTGCGATAACCACCATTTTCTCCTTCCTGGATGCTTGGAACATCGGTGCGTCTGACGGATCCTCTGCCTCACTCTCGAGGCTATGTAAAATCTCGTAGCTTGATATTAGCCCTTATCATCACCTTACCCTACCTGAGCTGGACCCGGCCGACAGCTAACATCCCTAGGCGCAAATGATGTCGCAAACTCCTTTGCGACCTCCGTCTCCTCGCGGTCCCTGACGATGAAGCAGGCGGTGGTCATCGCCTCCTTCGCCGAGTTCGGTGGCTCCGTCTCCATCGGTTCTCGGGTCGCGGACACCATCCGCAACAGAATCATCGACCCGCACCTATACGACGACCGGCCGAGCGTGCTGCTCCTGGTCATGATGTGCGCCATCTTCGGTTCCTCCGTCTTCCTGAGTATTGCCACGCGCAACGGGCTGCCCGTCTCGACGACGCACTCCATCATCGGTGGCATCGTCGGCGCCGCGACGGCCTCGATCGGCATACAAAAGGTGACCTGGGGTTGGAACGGTGTCTCGCAGGTTTTTGCAGCTTGGGTTGTGGCCCCGGGGCTCTCTGGCGTTCTGGGGGCCGGGATATTTCTCGTCACGAAGAAGTTCGTCTTGACGAAGACAAATGCGGTGCGGAATGCGTTCTATACTATCCCGTTTTACACGTTCCTGACGTTTGCCGCGTTGACGAGTGAGTCTCTCTCATTTACCCCTTATCATGGTAGGATGAACTGAAATGTGGCAGTGCTCATGACTTGGAAAGGCGTCCAAACCCGTGTAGAACTCAACGCTGCCCAGATCCTCATCGCCGTCTTTTCCATCGCAACCGGTGCCACACTCCTCCAAGCCTTCTTCATCCTCCCCTACCTCTGGCGCAAGATCGTCAACGAGGACTGGGAGCTCCACTGGACCATGATTTGGAAAGGGCCTTGGCTCCTCAACCGCCCGCCTCGACCCCCACCCCCGCCGGGTGTGAACAAGATCAACATCAAAGACTACTATCGTGGCCACTTGACCGCCGACGAACTAGCCTACGTCCGCGCCTCCGAATCCCTCTTGGAATCGATACAAACAAGCAACACCCCTAACGACCTCTTCAAAGACGACCACAACCCCGTCGTCCTCCCTTCCCCGGCGCTAGCTCTGCCGCGAACCCCGGCCTCCGAGTCCCGCCGCTCTTCCTCGGAGATCATACCTCCGCGCCCGCCCGGGCCCTGGAACAGTTTTCATGTCATTCGCTGGCGGATCAACCGCGTTGTCCTCCGCGGGTTGGAGAAGGACGTCGTTGAGCTGCAGAAGCGCAACGCCGTGCTGAGCTGGGATATCGAGGACATGCACTCCCGCGCGCCGCATTACGATAACCGCGCGGAATACATGTACAGCGCGCTCCAGATCCTCACGGCCTCGGCCGCCAGCTTCATCCACGGCGCCAACGATGTGGCGAATAGCATCGGACCGTTTGCGACGGCGTATGATATCTGGCGGACGGGGAGGGTGGAGACGGCCGTCGGGGTGCCGATATGGATCTTGTGTTTCGGCGGCGGTGCTATTGTGCTTGGGTTGTTGACGTACGGGTATCATGTGATGCGGAACCTGGGGAACAGGTTGACTTTGATATCACCCTCTCGTGGCTTCTCGATGTGAGTACTTCTCGGCCTCGGACTCCTCCCAGATTTGGCTCGAAGATGGGTCTTCTGGCAATCTGTCCATTCTTCGCTGTATCCAGGATGTTTCTAACACGCACTGTAAGGGAACTCGCCAGCGCGATTACAGTATTGATGGCAACGAGACTGGCGTTGCCAGTCTCAACTACGCAGTGTATTGCTGGTGCGACGGTAGGAGTCGGGCTTGCAAACGGGGACTGGAGGTGTATCAATCCGCGCCTTGTAGCCTGGATCTACTTCGGGTGGTTCATTACCGTTCCAGTCACTGCATTATTGTCCGGCTCGCTGATGGCGTTAATACTCAACGCCCCGAGATGGGAAGGTGACCGGCTGTGATCACGGAATAAAAGCCCTCCACAACTATTTGAAAGAAAAGAAAATAATAATGTATATGTAAAGCTACTTTTGTTACTGAGACATCCACAAACCAGTCCTGGACTGTTTTCTGTCCTGGTGTTGACTCCTCGATTATGCGCTCGTTTTAATGCAGGGCAAAGACCCTCAAATTTTCGATTTTCGGCAAACGTGACTCTTCCAAAGAATACCAGTCCTCGAAAAAACACTCCCCGATAATTGAGTAGTGCTCAACGTCGACGGCGCCCTCTGTTGGAAACTCCCAAAGGAGACTGGCGCTAAAGCTTTCCAGCTCTGGCAGAGGTATTGTGACTCTTGTCTCCTGCTCCTCTCGAGGGAGCCTCTTCACGATGTCAATTCTACCAAGCTTCCCCCGCCGGAGTGCCCGTACGATAGCTTCGCCGATTTCTGAGTTTCGGTCTGTCCTTTTCGGCCGAAAGATGGCGGGTAGATCCCCTTGCGCAAGAAAACCAACCATGTCGCCCTTCCGTGCTCGTGAGGGAACAAGCCCACATCTTCCATCTTGGGTGAAAGCCAGTCGCCTGCCTTCAAATACTTCCTCGGGAAAATGACGTTGAAAGAGATGATTTTCGAACCATTCCCCCTGATCCTGATTACAGTAGAATTGCAGGCATTTAAACATACCGGACCAATCTTTGGTATCGAGACCTCCGTCCTCGATCCGAATTTTGGTAGTTTGTTTTGATACCCATTGACAGAAGTAGGAAATGAAATCTTTGCTGCCCAACCCCCCAAGTTGCGGCGTCTCGTGCAAGTTCTGGAACCAGCGGCTCCAAGAGTCGCTAAGAATATCGCAACACTTCTCGTGTTCAACTTCCCAGTGCTTCTGCCGTTGTTCAAAAGCCTTGGTGCAGATATCTATGCTGCGCGACATCTCTGCAAGCTTTTTATATATTTGTTGGAAGTCCTTAGCGACAGGGGAAGGGTTTTGTTGCGAGCCCTTCTCGGGCAGAATCCCGCTGATGCTCTCAATAACCCCTATCTTGAACCCTATGTGGCCTAGCACTGGCGGTAAGTTCCTGTCAGTGAAAGCGTGGAAAGTTTCAGTGAATAGCGCATAGCTCGAGCCGTAGTCCCGGGATGTTATGCTTCTATCCCAGAACCTAAATGCAGAGTCCAAGTGACACCGAGAAGAAGGCGGTAGTCGCCAGTCCGGGGCCCAGGATGGAAGGCCAGGAACTCGTTTCTCGGCAGGCACGTCGTCAACTTGGTCCATGAGACTCGACGGGTGAATGTAGGAACTGATGTAGAGAGCCGCTTTGGTGAAAACTTGCAACAAGGAATCATTGTAGTCTATCTTGAGACAGTTCGCAATTTCCTTGTCTTCACTGATGCTGATGTTCGCATAGACGAGATCGCGCGGATCTTGAGCGCCACAGCCTCGACGAGACTCCAGGACGTGTCGAAAGGGTCCCGAACGCAGCGGCTCTTGTCGGAAAGAATTCATTCTCTGCATTACAGAGTCCATACCACGATGATCAATATCCGGGCCAAAGAAAAGACGTTGGAGATCAGACCAACGCATCCGCTTGGTAGAACACTGAACCCAAGGATCTTTGGAGTAAACCAATTCTTGGAGAACCCAGACGCGAGTGAACCATGGCCTAGCAAGAATGTCTGCGCGAGCAAGTTCCACATCCTTCCTCGCAACTTCGTAATAATATGTACCATACACGTCGTATTGAAGGACCGGAGGTCCAGCTTCGAAGATTGCGTCCAGTTCTTTCGTGAGACCTCCAAGATGAATAACGGTGCTGTGAGCAGTAGAATAGACGTCTTTCATGATGAGAACCTGGCTATTGCGTTCCGGGATATCTTCCTGATTGATGCAAACAGCGTCGGCCCATATTCTCCGAAGACGTGTGGCGTCGCGCATATCACTCAGAGCGTCGTTCAACGACCGCGTGATGGCAAATGCCATGTCATCGAGCAATATCTGGCATGGCTTTTCGCTGCTGCCCCATACGTAAGAAAGGGCTGTGTAGCTATCGATGAGATCGTAGTCACATTCGGCCAGCGTGGTGTTGAGTAGGGATCCCTTGAGTTCGGCATCGCGGGCGTCGGAGGGCTGTAGAAGCAGAAGCCTGATGGAGTCCGGGGAGGAGAGCGGTTCGTACTGATACGCGGGCATGGTCCCGTATTTCGAGGAAGGATGACCGGCCGACGGTTCTTGGAGATTGAGCGTCGGTCCGATGCGGCTCTCTGTCAAGAGCCCGGTTCCGATGGACTGGGGCTATTTTGGCGAACGGCGGGTAATGCACGCCCGAAGTTTGCTGATGTTTTCCGCGTCAAGCTCGCAGCGACGTCCGACTTTCGGCAAATTGTGTCATGAAGGAAGGCAAAACTGTGTTCTGTCGGATTTGAACTCTGCCCAAGGCTGCTGCTGACCCCGCCCCCTCCATCTTGCTGGTGATCTGATGCTGCTGTGCCGCTTCGTCCAATGATTGATGCACCTTTCCACGTGACTCGGACGAAGGCCGATGTTTCTAAGCCGAGTCAGCATGGTTTCACGGATTTTTTTTCTTCATTGTTTGCAGAATTTTCACTGTTATTAAGTCAGTTGTTCGAATGAAGGTGGTCTGGTATGAATCGACGACATGATGCTTTTTTGCGCTTCGTCTTTCTCGTTAGAGACGTAGGTAGTTTGAGGAGGAAGGCGTTACGAGAGAAAGAGCTGTGGCAATCGAAACAGGATGAAACCTTAGTCAGCGGGAGCGCCAAGCGCGTGGAAGGAGCACTCCGTTCCGTCCAGTTACCCACTCTTATCGTTCCAATCCGGAGCCGAGTTGCCGGAAGAAGAAGTGGAGAATATTCCGAGGTGGTCCCTAGTTTATCCGAGGTGATCCGAGCTTCTCGTCACTGTCGGGACGAAAGCCGACACAAGACACACCGTGACTCAATCTACCTCAGGAACACACCAAACCAGGGAACACACACACGTGGAGCGCAACGGTTGCCGATCTGCGTCTTGTCGGTGTCGAATCTCAATCAACCCGGTTCCAAAGACGGGTCCAGACCCAGCGAAACCCCCTGGGGGAAATGCGACCGACTTTTTATCAAGAACTCCAACAAGCCTGGGAAATTCGAAAAGACGACTGGTCGAGGAATGCGACTTTCCCCCCTTCCTCCCCCACCCGTCCGAATGGCGCAGGACCATTGAAGGCGGCGAATTCCATTCAACAGCCCCTCACGAGGAAATCACCAATGATGCCAAAGTGGCAGGCTTGCAGCGTCTTCGCCAGGAAGGCCGCTATGCCCCTTTCTGCAAACTCCACCAACGACGTATTCGCGCCCTAGAGCTTCGCGCGTATTGGATGCGCGCATTTGGCAATCTGCATCCCGCCCATTTGGATCGTCCTCGCATGTTTCCTGCCACCTTTTTTCGTCAGGCGATTGATTATCCTGTATACGAATACTCTGTACGGATATGCGCGTTTGGGCGAACGGTTCCAGGGAAATGGGACTACTAATCATCTGAATCATCACGGATCAATGATGCAGGCCGCATATGCAATCACACACTCTGCCCATCTCGACCAAGATTCTCTGATCTCACCTTCACTCCACCCCCTTTATTCGCCGCCGCCGCCTTTGCGTCGCCAGCAAGTGGTGCCGAGCCACTTTTTCTGGTTATTCTTGGTCTTGCCCCTTGCCTATCACTTTCCACCAAATGGAACGACTCAACTTTCTTGTCCTCGAGTTACGTACGCGTCGAGTGTAACGGGTACGTACTCCGTATTGCATCTCGTCTTCCTCTCAGACCTTGGCCTTAGTCGTGGCTGCTAAGTGGGGTGTCAACGAGATTGACAGGCATGCAGCTGTTCCCTAACATCGGGAGGCGTTCTTGATTCGGTGGCGCGCGACGTCTCGTCGGCTGGGGCTTCCAGCTGAGGTGAGCTGAACTCCCTGCCCTTCCACCGTTCCTGAAGATTGAAAGCTTCCTTCTACAGCAGCTTCTGCAGGACGCTTGCCGAGGAAACGCGCCATTAAAACGACGAGGCATCCCAAAGATGGGATGAGGGGAAGCCGTGTTTGGTGCGTGTGCGTCCAGACCACCACCACCTTTTGGCTGGCTCGGCCAAGAATGCGACAGCCAAGCCACGGAATGTCTCTCGCTTCAGTCGTCACCCGCCGTCGGGGAGATAGGTTGCGGGTATTCGTACCGTCCAACTGTGGCAGAAATCTGAACGGTCTGACCAGCAGGCGTTCCTTGCGCTCCCAATCTCCAACGGGGGGGGCCCATCTCCCTCTTCTCCATTCTACCTACGGATTCATTCTCCTCTCCCGCTTGGCCGCTGGCGAGATTCTGTGGGGGGCAACAGAGGCGCAGCGGGTGCAGCCAAGCAAATTTTCCGTGGCCAAGAGCCTGGATCGTCCCCCGGTCGTCGTTGATAGGAAACGGCCTCCGCTCCTGTGCTTGACAAGCGCCATTTCTCTCGGGCCAATTTAGCCCAGCAGCTCGGCTCGTCAAATGAGCACCGCGGCAAGCTCAACCTGGGACAGACTGTCTGACTCTGAGAGGGAAAAGTTGCAAGTCGGAACAGGGAAACGGCGAAACTCGAGTCGAATTCCCATCCCTTCTTTCTTCAGTATTTCCGTCCTTATTCCATCGGCAAATAACTCTCGACCGTTACAACTGCCCAGCAGAGGCCCGGTTGGTCTCAACTTCGAGAGTCAAGACGGGTTTCCAAAGTTCCCAACAAGCCCAGACCAAGACGGGTAGAGACTAGGCTCAACTCAGGACTGTGCCTCTTTTTCTTCCAGAAACATTATTCCACCGCCTACGTCGCAGCGTTCGGGATTGGTATCCCCAGCTGGACTCCCACTCAATCGCCACGTCCAGAGCCGTGCACCGAATTGAGTTTCAAGGGTCCTGGGTCCCGTCCCACTCGTTCTCCATTCTTGCTCGCTTCTGACGCGTGTCTTTTGGCTCTTGACTCTGCCAACTTTTATTGCTCCTGACAAGAGAGAGAGAGAGACAGAGAGAAAGAGGTAAGGAATGGGGGCCCCGAAAAGAGCACGGGTTACCCGCGTACGGGCACCGTCCAATACGCGCACCGCATGATTCAATAGACCCCGAATATGCTCGTTTCAGCCTTTCAGGGTCCCTTCAAGGCCCTCGCTCAATCAGATAAGCTGGTGCCGGTCCACGGCTCCAGTCTTCTGGCTGCCGTCCTTGGCCCTTGGACACGAATTCCACTGCCCAAGACTTCTCAGCAGCCAGCACAGTGTCCCTGAACAGAGAGACTCTGCAAAGAAAGGAGAACAGCAGAGACAGAGTTGAAGGCCACATTCAACTTGCGTCTTGACCAGGCTGCGCCCCGGGGCTAGCGAAAGCACCAACGGCTGAATTACTGGATTGGACCGGGGGAAACAAGATTGGCCAGAGGGGTGTGTGTGTACCTGGTGAGTGGTCCTGTCTGCCTGCCCGCCTGCCCACGTTTGTTAGCTTCTTTGGCAGAGTCGGACTCGTCGTTCGCTTGGCGAGTAGGAGATGAGAAGATTTTCCCCATCCCATGCCGCTTGGCCAGATGCCCACGCACACTGTTTCGACCTGCCCGGCTGGGAACAAGCTGTCCTGTTCTTCGCATGCTAGTCCCGGTCCGCAGTCCCCAGTTTGGAGTTCCAGCGTCCCGTTGTTGAGGAGAGAGGAGACTTGGAGAAAGAACCAAGACCCAAATAGACAGACGTCTTGACTTGGACTTGGGTGTGCGGGATGGACAAGTTGATCCACATGTGCGCTCCGTCACTCGTCACTCGTCACTCCCGGTCGGGTCAGTCCATGTCGATGCTCCTCCTCGTACGGGGTACGAGTCTCGGTCGTCTCGTTCGCCTTCTGGTCTGTCCTGTCCTTCTGCTGCCCTTTATCCTACCCCCTTCCGCCCGTAATTGTGTCGTCTGTTCTCATCTGAAAATGGCGCGACTCTCTTCCAACACTCTTCCTTTGCCATTCTGAATTTTGCGTGGTGGCCAAACAAGGATCTGAATCTTCTGAAGCTTGACTTGGGGTTCCTCCAATTAGTCCTCGGGTCCCTGACTATCCATCCATATCCATTCGAGCTCGGCCGAGGCTGTTGAGAGTAGAAAACAGCCCTGTTCCTTCCGACCATCGTCACTTTCACGTCGTCGCAGACAAGGCTCTCTTTTCTTCGTTTGTGTCGAGCTTCACCGGTTTTCGCGTCCTGCCTTGCCACTTGTTCGCCTTCCCAGTCGTTGGATTGGATTTGGATTTGGATTGTACCAAACGGTGAATTCAGGCAGAGTAACCATTTCGGCGCGCGCCTTCCTCTCCTGTCGCACCTACCAGGCACCGTACCTGCCGTCTGCGCCAGCTTCGAGCTCTCACCGTCGACAAATTTTCCACGTCGACTTTTTTTTTTTTTCCTCCGTCGAAAAGAATTTTTCACGTCGACATTCCATCGACCAGTCTCACCGACGCGACCGACACTTGTCGACCATCACCAACCGACCACCCCGACGCATACCCGTCGCCGGCCCGCCATGGATCGCGACAGCAGAATAATCACCCCTCGCGAGGTTGAGGGCATGATTGCCGACGGCAAGACCATTGTCATCCTCGACGAGTTGGTGCTCCGTCTCGACGGTTGGCTTGAGAAGCATCCCGGTGGCCGCTTGGCGATCCTGCACATGGTTGGAAGAGATTCGACCGACGAGATCAAAGTGTAAATGCCTCTTCTCAACTTACCTCAAACATCCCTTCCCGAGCTTCTCTCTCTCAAACTCTCTCTGTATCCGAACCCGAACCCGACCGATTCCCCGGTCTATTTCCGGATTCGGAAAAAGGGTAAGGTGAGAGATAGAACGAGCAACGATGGATCAGAAGTCTGGTTAAGCTTATTTTTTCCCCAACGTCCTTCGAGGGAGGGATGGATGGGAATGGGAACGGGCCCTTAATATTTCGGGCTCGCCCTGTTCTTCGGACTCCGTCATTGATGCGTAAAGTGGAATTAGTGTGCTGACATATCGCTTTTTAGGTATCATTCGCCAGCCACGTTGAAGACCATGAAGGCCTTCCGGATCGGCCGGAAGCCTGCGGGTCCTTGGATCAACATGACACCACCAATTAGGGGCGGCGTCTACACCAAACAAGACACCACGCCTGCAGATGTTACCGATGCAGATGCAGACATCGTCGATTGCCCCTCGTCAGATCTCGACGAGGATTCTACCGACGATGCCGGTAGCGAAATCTCCGACAGCAGAAGCTCCCGCACTTCCCTAACCTCCGAATGCGACAGTGCGGAGGAGGGGTCCAAGGTCGAGCCCAAGGTCGAGACCGGCATCCGTCGTCGCCTTGCTGCCCATGGCGACCTCACCGACGACTTCGCCGACGGCCCCGTGCTGTCGAACCGCAGTCACTCTCCCAGGACCGCTGCTCAGCACACCGACTGGGCTATCCAGCAGGGCATCAACAAGGACTTGGAGGAGTACCCGTCCCTCGACCCTGCCGTCCAGCAGGACATTCAGGTCAAGTACCGCCTGTTGCATGAGCGCATCAAGGACGCCGGTCTCTACCACTGCCCCTACCTCGACTATGGCAAGGAGATGGCGCGTTACACGACCCTGTTCGTGTCCTTCCTTGTGGCACTTCACTACGAGTGGTACATGACCTCTGCCTGCTTCTTGGGTCTCTTCTGGGTAGGTCGCCTCTTCCATTATATCAAGGGCGCAGGACTAATACATCGCAGCACCAAATCATGTTCACCGCCCACGATGCTGGACATGGAGCCATCACCCACAACTTCTCATTCGACACCCTCGTCGGCCTCTTCATCGCTGACTTCTGCTGCGGTCTGTCCATGGGATGGTGGAAGAGCAGCCACAACGTCCACCACCTCATCACCAACCAACCTGTAAGTCACCTTTTGTTGTTTACTCGGACTTCTCACTGACACGCTCAGGAACACGACCCCGATATTCAGAACGTCCCTCTCTTCGCCACTTGCCCCTCCTTCTTCAAGTCTCTGCGCTCGTCCTACTACGACTTCACCTTCGTCTGGGATGCCGCCGCCGACTTCCTTGTCCAGTACCAGCGCTTCACCTACTACCCCGTCATGGGCATCGCGCGCTTCAACCTGTACCTCCTCTCATGGCTGCACGTTCTCTCCACCAAGTCCTCCGCCCTCGGCAACAGCAAGGCCTGGTGGATTCGCCCTACCGAGATCGCCTTCATGAGCTGCTTCTGGTACATCTTCGGCTACCGCCTGCTGATCTGCACTCTGCCCACCTGGCCCATCCGCGTCGCCTTCGTCCTGATCTCGCACATCATCACTATGCCGCTGCACGTCCAGATCACCCTCAGCCACTGGGGCATGTCGACCTCGGATCTCGGCGAGAGCGAGTCCTTCCCCCAGCGCCAGCTGCGCACCACCATGGACGTCGACTGCCCGGCCTGGTTGGACTTCATCCACGGCGGCCTCCAGTTCCAGGCCGTCCACCACCTCTTCCCCCGCGTGCCCCGCCACAACCTGCGCAAGGCCCAGGTCTTCGTCAGGGAGTTCTGCGCGGACACTGGCATCCCGTACTCGATTCTGGGATTCGTCGATGGTAACAAGAAGGTTCTGGGTAGACTTGAGGAGGTCAGCGATCAGCTCAAGATCATGCTCAACTGCCAAAAGTTCATGGCCGAGACGGGCGAGAGCGGGCTGCATTAGAGTACATACATGTAGACAGACATGCATCGGGATGGCGTTCCGGATTTTTCATAGAGTAGACAAAAGTTGATTACTCATTTGTTCTTTTTAATATTCTCTCTAGTGTCGAAATCAACAGACGTGATGTTTCTAGTGATGAATCCATAATCACGAAATCTAGACCTTAACAGCGAGTGACCCGAGGCGTCAAATACGTAACAACACCAACATCACGCAAAGCTCACAGCCCTCACCGAGGCATCTCCAGATGACATCACAATTAAGCTACAGCCCACGCATTAAGCTACAACCCATCAGTGGGAGGGAGCTATGATAGCCCAGATCCCCGGACAAGGACGACCCATCTTCCGTTTCCGAGCTGCATATGCATATCCGGGGGAATGGTGGATGCCCACGTCGAACGAAGAACGAGGATCCCGGCAGAAAACCAGACGATGGACGACGGATACCCGCCCGCACCCCACGCGCCCGTTTCAACTAACTATGTTTCCGCGTCTTATTTCCCCTCATCGTCGTCGACTTGACTAGTTCCCGGGTATCCGGGACGCTACGCACTTAGTCAGACCTCGCTGGGTGGGTGGATGGCTTTGTCAGCGAGGGACGTCGACGGGTGCACCGGTCTCGGAGGGGGAATTGTTGATGGGGTTTTTCTTTATATGTGTCATTGGAAAGCTGACTTGACGTCTGGTGTCCCGCTTGGCTTGGTTGATGTTTACACTATTTGGCGGGCGAGCCTGATATGCCGCACTTCTCGGACAGATAGACCGTCAAGCCAGGGGGACGACCTCTTACTGGCACAGGCTTGAGGTTTAGTTTGTTCATTGACAAGCTCAAAATGCGGCAGACCATCAGCACAGAGTACCTGACCTTATCACGGCGTCTGCGATCAACGAAGCTTCTACTAGAAGAACCCCGATGACGAGCGTGTACCGCTCAGGGAAGAACTCGACAGTCTGCTTGACTCTATTTGCGTGAGTAGCTCGCTCAGTAACACCCATTCACTTAGTGCTAGCAACGTATCACAACACAATCCCATCAGAACTCGCAGCCGTCTAGTTATACCGTTCCGGCATATCCCTCTCCGCGAGTGTCCTCTTACCCACGCTAGCCCCCAACTCCTCCCTCGTCAACGGCCGCGAAGCAGCCAAGATCTCGGCCCATCTGACGCCCCTCTGCTCCGCCCCGCCGTAGAACTTGGTGAGGTCCGGCTCGATCACCTTGAGCGCGCTGGTCTCCATGAAGTTGTCCGTCGGCTCCCGGTACTCGCTCATCCCCGCCTCCGCACCAGGCGGGTAGAAGGGCGCCTCGTTCGGGGCGTACTGGTACTGCATGCACTCGTTGAAGCGGAGCTCGGGGAACGAGGCGAAGAAGGCGTCGTAGGACGGGGAGAGGGCTTCGGTTAGTGTCGTGATCCGCGTGGCGGCGTCCGGCGGTTGGAGGACGGTCCAGGGGTCGCGGCATGTTTGGCCGGTGCAGGACTTCGTGACGAGGAGGATCGCGTTGAGGCGGGTTAGTAGTCTTTTGACGGCAGTGTCTGTCGAGTTGACGAGGTTCGTGAGCTCGTACGGATCATCCTTAGGACATCAGTATTCGACGACTTCACGAAGGACACGAAGACCTCACCTGCGTGTTGTACAGCTCCACCTCGTTGGTACACCACTTCACGAACAACCACGAGAACCCCTCCCCGACAAGCCGCAGCGTCTTGTACGTGTTGTTCGGGATCGGCCCGACCTCGGACGCCGCGGGCGCCTCGATGATCCGCGAGCCCCAGAACTCGACGTTGAGCAGCTCCCGGCCCGCGCCCGCGCCCTTCCCCTCGTACCCGGCGCCCGGGCGCAGCCACTGGTCGAACAGGCTCCGCCCGTCGAGGAACGGGGGCAGGTCCTCGGGCTGGACGCCGGCGATCTCGAGGAACGTCGGCGCGAGGTCGACGTGCGCGCCGGGGAGGGTGGATTTGACGCCCGAGGGAACGCCGGGGCCGCGGACGACGAAGGGGAGGTTGGTGTCGTCTGCGTAGGGGGTGGCTTTGCCGGCGGCCACGCGGTTGGCGCCGATGGTCCAGCCGTTGTCGGTGGTGTATATTACTGTACACCCGCTTCAGTCGCTTTCATCGGCGAGGCAACCCGGAAGCAGACTTACTATACGTGTTCTCGATAACCCCCTTCTCCTCCAACAACTCGACCACGTCCTCGATAATCTCGTCAACGCCCTGGAGCGACTCGATCCTCTGCCTGAAGAGCCAGTCGCCGTGCTCGATCTCCGTCTCGTTCAGCCGGCGCAGCTGCTTCATCCAGTTGGACTTCTGCCGCTGGAACTCGTCCGCCGGGTTCCAGTTCGGCGGCCGCGGGGCCGTCGCGTTGGGGAAGAGGCCCTGGTGGCGGAGGAGGGGTATCGGGGCGTAGACGACGTCGTGTTCGTGCGGGACCGTCGGGGCTATGGTGAGGAAGAAGGATTTTTCTTGGGAGGTGAGGTATTCGAGTCTATCCAAGCTGCGATGCATGTCAGCGCCGGCAGTGGGTGTAGGCAGAGGGTCTCACGATTGTGCTCTTATGATGTCCGTCTGATGGAAGCCTGGGTAGTGGCGCGGCGTTTCGCCGTTCTCAGACATGACGATGTTGTTGAAGTCCATTGCGTAGGGGTCGGTCTGCGTGGTGTCAGACTATGTTGCCTTCGGTTCGGATCCGTATGAAGGCATGCTGTAAGCTTACCAGGCTGTTGATGAAGTCCCACCCTTTTGGTGCTGGGCTGTTGTAGTTCACCGTGTTATACCCGTTCAAAAGCTTCCCTATGTCTTTCAGGTCATTAGTGAGCGTTGCCACCATCTAGAGTAGAATGAGAGACTCAAAAGAGAACACTTACACTCGACCCGGTATCCGGCTTTCTTGAGCCAATGAGGAAGATAATCATTATCCTCCCCGGCGATAGTCCACTTGTCATAACTTCCACTTCACACTAGTCTCAGCAAAACGAGCAAGACGACAAGAAAGCAGTCGCTGTACTCACCCAGCACCGATCACGTGGGTGATGTTGGTGTTGTGAGTCTGCTGGCCGCGAAGAAGACCCGCACGACTGGGACAGCACTGGGCCGTGGTGGTCCAGTGGTTGACGAACTCGGTGCCTTTTGACATCAACTCTCTCTGGAGGACGCTTTGGTAGTCCGTGGACCCGAGACGGCGGTCCTGGTCGTCCGTCATGATGAAGACGATGTTGGGCTTCTTTGGCAGCGAGAAGGCTGAGGCCAGGGAGCCTGCGAGCAGGAGGCTCGAAGCAGACCACGGGATGTGCATCGCGATATAAGGGACGGTATTTGCTACGAGGGGCAGAGTTGAGAGAATCGGCATCTAGTCACACAGCTTCGTACGCATGTTTATATAGAGATATACGGCTTTGACTTGGATCTCGCCGGATGTGGTCCGGGTGTCGGGTATTCAGTGGATTTCTGGCGCTTTGCATCGACTTCGATATGTCGGTCGTCGGCCGGATGACCGTAGCGAGTTAGTCCCAACGCCGATGTGACGGACCCCGCGATCTTGGTATCCAATCCCGGCATCGTAAGGCATTCTACAATGGACTTCTCTACGCGTAGGATCGTTTGTTGTGGACCGCTCACGAGGTTGGCATTCGAGATCAACAAGTTGCGTCAATCCAATTACGGTTGTCATTTGCCCCTCAGCATCCGTCCAGCGTCGTGGTAGCTTCCACTGACACTTCCCGAGTCGATGTCTCCCGAACCGAACGAAGCCGTGGCTAGGATCGGCTTACACGTTCCGCGAGTCTGTTGAGTAGTTTACTGAAATTATATTCTGAAGATAAGATGAATACAACTCGATGGCTCATCGTTGAAGAATAGTTGTGTCATTGCGGCGCCACTGCTTGCTATAGGAATCTACAGTCAAAGCCATGTTGTGAAAAACGGCCCTGTAAAAGATCCGACTCCTAACGAAAACTGCTGCCTAAGATTGGCTCAGTCTTTGCTTGAAACTACATACCTCACTCACCCGAGTACACCAAGTACCGCTGGGCTTGGAAAGTGTGACGATGGCAACGGCGTTTTATCAAAGGCCTACCATAGGCTCAGTGTGAGATCACTTTATTCCGAGCGCAAGAGAGCCTTTGGAACCATTAAAACATACAGTAAGTAGCCGTTCAGCTTTTGCGAAACGGAGCCTTTCGAAGTTCCCCCTCTTCTGCGTTGTTGAATCCTATTCGCCCGAGAAACAAAACTCTATCGAAAAGCTCACGTCAACGTTTGATCTTCTTCTTGGCGCCGTGGAAACACAGAAACAAGTCTCCGTTCCTCGATTCGGTAAGTAACCCAGCTCTGTCCACGAGTCGAGACCAGACTCAAGCTCGCATCAGAACAGCGACTCGACAGTCCCTTCAATTGGTAAATTCGTAAACATACCATGTAGAAACGAAACGGAAGATCTGAGACTTGTTTCCGTCTGCCGGCGGGCGAGAATCACGACCGTGGTGACGTACGACTGCGGACGTCAGAAGATCGTGTTTCAATGTCGAAATGCCTTGTTCGCTACTGCGTGACGCCTACCATGTCCTGACAAAAAGATTTTGCAGGTTCGGCGTCAAGTGGTTGACGCGCAACATGACCTCATACAGCCATTCGTTTACCGTGCCTGCCTCTGGTGTTTTGGATATTCTTACGTTGTTCCTCACCGCAAAGCGGCGAATCCTACAAAGTCGGCAACTTCTCTCGGCAGTCGCTTGAATCCGGGGTTCTTCTCGCTTTACAGGCGATCCGCGGCTACCGTGGGGGACTCACGCGCAGGGGCCGGGCCTCGGTCAAGGCGATGTTGATCTGCGGGGTGTCCCAGCTACCATCAAAAGTTGTCGAGCATCCCTGATTGTCTTCGCATTATGAACCGGATCATTAACATTGAACAAAGCAGAACGAAAAATAGCTGGTTGGGTACACATCAGCATACTGGTAAAAGACCTAGCCACAGCCAGGCTGATAGACGCACGAATCTGTTTCTTAAACAAACAGCAGTGGAGAGTTCGTCCACTTAAACCCTCGGCTTGGATGGCACGGGGGCGAATCCAACTTGGTACAGCCTGAGTCTTTCTGCATTGAGCGTCGTTATCTTCCGATCTATGGTTCATTGCGGTTTGTCCGACTGTTGATTAGCCTCATCACACCATAGCCATCAACTCCTGTCTGATAATTATTAGTCTGTAACATGAGACGGACGGCGGACTGAAAAAATCTCAAGGTGATCCATTCGTTCCGACACAGAAGTCAGACATATGCTCTCTGTGGCTTGCGGCAATCGATTGATACGGCGTATCCGTCGTGAATCAAGTATAGGGCCGACGGGATGTAGGACCCTGCAATTTGATGCTCTGTTGACAATAAACTTCGTCGAAACAATTTCTCCGTTACAGGAGAGAACTCTAATTCACGTTTATTCGTGAAAATGCGGGATGAAAACACCATTTTAGGAGGTGGGAGACCGTTGGGGGCGGAGCTACCCGCGAGAAAAGAGTCTCTCTCCCGTGCGCAAACAGGGTCCTTCCTGGCCCCCAAATCGGCTGCATGACCCCTAAATGCTCAACTCTCATCACCGAATCGTCCGGACTCTCGAGGGTCTCCAAACTCCGGGCAGCTGGTTCCCTGGATACTACTCTCATGATGCTTGAGGCTCCCGTAGACTTTAGATTGAGGCTCCTATGTGTAAGCTATCCCGCCAAGAACCATTACCGGCGTCCCCAAAGTGGCCCCCTTTACCCCTGAGCTTTGCTTCATCCACCCGAAAGCTTGTCATGGACATCGTCCCTGGAGTTTGCCGAAGATTGATGAAACTACTTTCATGGTGGGAATGTATTCGGATTCACCTGAAGATGGTGCCGCTCAGCGAAACTATTTAGTCCGGGCGTGCAGCCACTTCGGATGGAGAGACTTGCTCTGAGCAGATCATCCCAATCCTCTTGTCGTTCATTCATTCTTTTCTTCTGCAACCTGTTGACCAACTCAGCAATTGTACTACATACCCTTGCCACAATGGCTCTATCCATTCTTTCCACTTCTCTTCTTCTTGCCAGCATCGTCGCTGGTCAGACGCCTGGTAATATTACAGACAACCACCCCGCACTTGAAACATTCCGATGCACCGTCAAAGACGGTTGCGTGCGGAAGACCAATTACATCGTCGTGGACTCCAGTCAACATGACATCAAAACTGTTGAAGGTGTCAGCTGCCTCACTGGCAACAATCCACCAAACACCACGGCTTGCCCAAATGCTGAGGCTTGCGCGAAGAACTGCATCATTCAGGGCATCCCAGACTACGCTGCCAAGGGTGTCACCACCTCAGGTGCGGACATCCGCATGCAGATCCTCAAGGATGGCAATAAGGTCTCCCCCCGCGTTTACCTGTTGGAGGAGAACAAGCAGCGCTACGAGATGCTTCAACTCACTGGCAACGAGTTCAGCTTCGACGTGGACATGATCAAGTTGCCATGCGGCATGAACAGCGCGCTTTACCTCTCTGAAATGCTGCCCGATGGCGGCAAGAACACCAGCATGCTGAACAAAGCCGGCCCGGCCTACGGTACCGGGTACTGCGATGCCCAGTGCTTCAAGACATCGTTCATCAACGGAGTCGTGAGTTTCGACTACTCCACCTAATCATGAGACCATCACTAATACGCAAGGCAGGGAAACATTGACAACAAGGGCTCCTGCTGCAACGAGCTCGACATCTGGGAGGCCAACTCCCGCGCTACGCACATCGCGCCGCACCCGTGCAACAAGCCTGGCCTGTACCAGTGCACCGGTGAGGAGTGCGAGAAGGCGGGTGTCTGCGACAAGTCCGGCTGCTCGTGGAACCCGTATCGAACTGGAGGAAACTTCACCACGTTCTACGGCCGAGGCAGCGACTTCAGGGTCGACACGACCAAGAAGATGACCGTTGTTACCCAATTTCCCGCCGAGAACGGAAAGCTGAAAGAACTCCGCCGCCTGTACATCCAGGACGGCAAGGTCGTCCACAACAACGTCGTCAACATCCAGGGCCCGCCGAAGATCAACTTCATGAACGACGAGTACTGCACGGCGACGAACGCGAAGGAGTTCATGACTTTGGGCGGCATGACTGGCATGGGCGAGTCCATGAGCCGCGGCATGGTCCTTGCAATGAGCATCTGGTGGGACGATGCCACGGCGATGGAGTGGCTTGATACCAAGGCTGCTGGTCCCTGCAACGCGACTGAGGGCTTTCCGGACAATATTGTCAAGGTTGAGGCGAACCCTGAAGTCACTTTCAGCAACATCCGCTATGGAGAGATTAACTCCACCATGAACATGAAGTTGTAAATATCCCTCTTCTTTGATGTACATAGTTACAAGCACTTGAACAAATTTCATTCTGGGTAACCCGGCAAGTAAAATCAAAGTAATGCCAAGAAGCGTCGCGAAATGCAATCAAGCTTGTAATTACGTGGACTTGGCCGAGACTTTTTCCTGGAATCAGGCGGCTTTTGGTGTCAAATGCGGTCGATGGTATCAATACTCTCATTTATTCGAAATAGCGTCCGAATGGATATTACATTAGATCAGATGTCGATCGATTCCTCACTAGTCCTTCATCCCTCTCTAGCGGCGGGCTGTCACCCATTCAAACCACGTCAATCAACACTTCCTCATCGTGGACATGATTATGTCTGCCGCCTGTTCCGCCAGCGCGTACGTCGCGACTTGTAAGTTGGCGGAGACGGAGACAGGAAAGACCGAGGTATCAATTACTCGAAGGCCTGATACGCCAATAACTCGCAAGTCCGTGTCGACAACCGTACCCATGGAGGCCGTTCCGGCTGGGTGGTAGCATCCCCTACGGACAACGTTAGCACAATGAATAGTGAGAATATTGGATTGACATTTGAAAACTTACGTCGCCATCTCTCTCACTCTTGCGTCGATTTCTTCGTCCGAAGAGTCCATTGTCAATGGGGCGGCAGCTAGTTCGCCCGCAATGATCTCGCGACCCAACGCAGTTTCGTTAGAAGTAAGAAGTCTGATGTTACGGCGGATAGTTTCGCGAGCAGCGTAGCGATCAAGCGCGGTACCCAAGAAATTGGGATCGATGAGAGGCGCATCCTTGATATCGGCAGATTGAATGGTCACAGAGCCTCGCGCGGAGTTGATGAAGACTACTGAAATCATCAATACAGCCGAACCGTCTGCAGAAACACCAGAGTACTGCAGAAGATGGGAAGAATGAGCTCTGTCTTGGTTCAGAAGAGGATGGGCGGAAGGGTCCTCAACAGGCCCTTCATCCTCTTCGATCGCAGCCTTCAGACCATCTTTGGGAAGGGAGACAACTGTCATGAAGTCGATGAAGGCCCCCAGACTATATTGCGACTGGTTGAAAACAGGGTTTCCAGACTCCTTCGCATAGCCATCAGAAGCGTTTTTGAGCTGCCAAACCGTAGGGACAAGCACATGATCATGGAAGTTCTTGCCTACAGCAGGCTGGTCCAGGACAAGAGGGATGTCAAACTTCGCCAAAGTCTCAGCCGGACCGATGCCGGATAACATTAGGATCTGAGGAGTACGGTAGGCACCGGCAGCCAGGAGCGTCTCGCGGCCGAAGATCTGTGTACCGTTCTCGAGTTGGACTCCACGAGAGACCAGGTTGCCTTTGGCGGATTTCTCTACCAGAACCTTGGCCACGAGGCTCTCGGTAAGCACCGTGATACCATCCAGAGAGTACACGAGAGATGCCAGCTGACGTTTGCCCTTGTCGCGATTTTCTTGAAGGTCAGCAACACCGAGGTTGTTCCCGGCGTTGTTGTCGAGCTGAGGGAGAGGATCAACACCCAAGCTCTTCCAAGACTCGAGGACGGCATTGCGCAGTGGAAAGACTCTTTCCGTTGAGCCAGGAGATTGAATCTTGACAGGTCCGCTGTGACCGTGGGCCAGGGGAGTGGTGACGTTATCGAAGAGGGTCTCGGTCTTACGCATGTACGGCAGAAGGCCCTCGTAACTCCATCTTTCATCGCCAACCCTTTCGCCCCAGATATCGTAGTCAACCTTGTGTCCACGGGCCCAAGCGGCTAACCTGCGTTAGCATGACTCTTTTTCTGATCGACTTGATCTTTGTTCTTACCTCCGTTGATGATGGTACCGCCACCCAAGCCTTTGCCAACGGGCGAGATGATCTCTCGGTTGTTGAGGTGAGCCTGCGGCACTGAGGAAAAGCCCCAGTCGTAGTCGCTGCCAAGAGAACTGTTCATGTCGAACCACTCGATTCCCTCGACAGCGTGCGTGTTAGGCCCAGCCTCGATCAACAGGATCTTGAGAGACGGGTCTTGTTGCAGCAGCCGGTTCGAAACGACGGAACCAGCAATGCCGCCGCCCACCACGATACAATCCCAGAATTGCATGGCCTCGGAATTAAATGCTGGCATAAAGGGATTCAGGGTGTTGAAAGACTTTTGTAACGTAACGAGTGTCTGCAGCGAGAGCAGATGAAAGTTCGGGATAGCCAAGAGTGTGAGGACCCAGCTCCTTTTACTTTGCGCTTTTCAGGATCCAGAAGGCAATCAGGGGCCTTGTCTCTTGGTATGGTAACACATACGATCGGGTTAACGGGCCCGATCAAGAGTCCATCCACCGACTACCACCTGGTCTAATGGAGCCGCGTGGAAGGTTTGCATGGGCGCAAGCAGCAGCATCAAGAGAACCGGGTCCACACTTCGTGTTGCGTGTTGACCCCGGTCCCAACAGCGAAATGTCGACTAGAGGAGGGGAAACGCAAAGGCAGACTAGACGGTTGTATACAAACGAACCGGGTAGTAAACAGTACGCATCGGCTAGAAAGAGCAGTCAGGCGGTAATGCTGTAAAATAGCTCAGGCATCTAGACGTCTCTCCCCTGCGTCGAATCTCGGGGAGTTGCCGGTGCGCATGGCTGCTGCAGAAGAATGTCTACACAACGCGGGACCAACAGCCTGGGTGTCCAGATCACATCGGAACACACTACTTTTTGGTCAAAGACCGGGGGATGCGCGCCTTACTACTCCACGTTGGCACAGACTTCCCCGGCTCGTTGGCTCAAGAATGGGACGTTTTTGTGTCCTCGCTTATGTTGGTTCATGGCCAAGATCCGGACCTGCTCCGCGGTCCATGTCGAATCCTGGGATCGTGGTCGTTAATGCGACCTAGAGAACTGTGCCTTCTCCTGATCAATCTCTCTTAAACATCAGTCATTTTTCCACGTCGCCTCTTCAAATTTCCAGCTTCCTGAACGGGGCTAGTAGACGAACTCGAGGTCTTCGGCTCTGTTGGTTCAATGTTGCAACGCATATTGGCAAAGTGGAGCCAGCCGGTGACCTCCAGCATGTGGGAGCTTGCAAAGTTCAAGGTGCCCTCCGTATGTTGGTGTTGGAAACCGGTGAGCTTGAGGTTGGGTTTGAGATACGGCCCCCTCAGGAATTCAGCGGCTGGATTTTGTAGGCGAAAAACATCCTATGGGCCAGTCTTTTCCAGAACCTGGAATCTGGTTGGGTAAAATCGTGGCTTGGCGTGCGAAAACAAGTCTGCAAGAGCCGCAATCCCTGTGAGGGTGAAGATGCTGGACCGGTTAAAGCGAATGCTTGGATTCTTGGTCTGCATTAAACCTCGCGAAAGCCGTTGCTCATAGGTATTCCAATCTTTCCGTGGCTGTCACCTTTGGCGCATCAGTCGATATCAAGATGGAAGCAATCGTATCACTCCTCCTCGACGTCGAAGAAGAGTCACCAGCTATCATTACACATCAGTACCCGCCGTTAACCCAAGATGGAGCATCTTTGGTCATCACGGCATGCATTATGATGGTGCTTACGACACTGTGGACCATTATGCGACTCGTCTCTCGTCAGATCACTGGAAACTCGTTCCAGCTCGAAGACTACCTGTATTTTGCAGGCCAGGTGTGTAGACTTGTCGGGAGACATAGCCTCGACAAAGGCTTGAGGTTTTGCTTACGTTAATGTCTCTCCCATCAGTTGCTCTACTACGGCGTTGCGACTTGCTTCATCCTTGGTAACTTCAGCTCCTCAGCCCACGATCACCTTCCGCCTTGTTCTGACACATGACCGTTCTAGGAGTTGTCATCGGCGGTGCTGGCCATGATGTCGCTGTCCTCGATCCCGACTTGCATATATCCCACTTCGTCAAGATCTTCCTCTCGGCCCAGGTCATGTACGCCAGCGCGCTTCTGGCCATCAAGCTGAGCATCATCGTCTTGATGCAGCGCATCTTCTCTCGCAGCAGTTCCTGGTTTCAGTACACGAGTTGGGTGGCCATATTTCTCTCCTGCGCTTGGGCTCTATACACTGCTCTCCTCGGCTTCGTCATCTGCAAGCCTGTTCAGAGTGCGTGGGACATCCACGTACCGAAGACCGGCTGCGGTGACTACACAATTTCGTTCAGTGCTGTCGCAGTTTTCGACATCATCACGGACGTCGTCATCGTGGTGCTGCCCATCAAAGTCGTCAGCGGCTTGCAGATGGCAAGAGCTCACAAAATCGCGACGTCTGTTGTGTTTGGTGCTGGCTTTATGTAAGTAAATGACCAATTCCAATTGTTCAGAAGTAACGGGCTACCCGTCCACGTTTTGCAAACATTCTTGCATTGCCTCCGTTTTAGGAGCATATCTCTTGACCATTCTCGTCTGACATAACCTCAGCACCGTCATCTTCTCGGGTGTTCGCCTCTACTACACCTTGACAGCGGATTTCGTCAACATCACAAAAGGTTTTGCTTCGGCATCGGTCAGCGGCGTCTTACAATCGGGTATCGCCGTGATGGTGGCCTCAAGTCCGATGCTGCGTCCTGTCTTCGATCGGACCATTGTGCGATGGCTCAGCCTGTCGATTGGCAGCGGTTCACGCACCACGGATGCTCCTCACTCCAAGTCCCACGGCCCTGCTACAGTTGGCAGCCGGCCGGGCCAGCTGGGACCCCATGTTCGAAGTGACGGGTTCAAGCAGATGTCAGATAGTGACGAGAACTTGGCTTGGGAAATGCAGGGCCTGGGAAATCTGAAACAGAAGAGAACAACACCGACGAGCCACGCCTTTGCCGAAGCGGATCTTTCACGTAATGCCAGCCCTGGGCCTTCGGATGACGCCGGCATTGCAGTCACCCGCACCGTCGTCGTGGAGAGGTAGATATATGGGCTTGGAATGAGAAATTTGGCCTGGGTTCAGCGATGTAAGACGAAAACGCTGAAAATAGGTATCAATAAAATAAACCCGTGATCTGTGGTTCTTCAGTCCCGTTCAAAGCACGAACAGCCCATTAGTAACATGCACATTGTCATCAAGTTGAGTAAAGAGAAACTTTGGCGTGGTATCGAAAACGCTAAATGCCTTACCGTCTCCTTATGTACAAAAGTAATCTTTCTTTATTGTAGTTATACATGATTTGTCTGACCCTAGCTTAGTAAGATTAAGCTATATTTGCCTATAGGCTTACTGTTCACAGAATCTCAAGTCTGGTGAAAACGGACTTGGCTGCCGTTGTAGCTAGAAAAGTCGAGATACTAGAAAGACGGAAGATCTAGAATCACATAGAAGTTTAATCAAGCTGCAGTTGAACGATTAACTCAGGAGATTTATTAAGATTACGATAACGAAAACGAACTTCTGCTTCATGTACATGCAATGGATAGACAGACCACTTAGTTGCTTTGAAGACTTGAACTCTAAACCTCACGCAAACGACTTAGTCGGTCACAACAGGAGTTTTGTCATTCGAAATTCATCAATAGCCTAGTGCTATCGGATACTCCGGATACCCTAGTTCCAACATGACTTGTCTCCCTGACATGGGGTATCGGCACGGATAGCCGCGTACTGGGAGGGCACATTCATGGCCAAGATTATCTCCCTAGGGCGTATGCTCCCTCGACAGCATAGGTCATCTCCTCAATCTCTCACTGAGTTGAGTATAAAGATCAGTAATCTCTTGACTCTTAATTTAAACCAATATATTATACATTTCGTGATACACGAGCTCAAAAAAGGTAGAACTTGTAATCAGCAACGCCAGAAAGTATATATACTCATCCAAACAGCTGAACTTATTGACCGATGTTTGGCAAAAAACATCAATAACCTCATTCATCTTCATCATATCAAGTCCTTGGGCCCAGTACTATCTTTAGAAGCAACACTTCACCCAAATTTCTCCGTACATCACAAGAAATGAAGTTCTCCACCATCTTCGTCGCCGCATTCGCGGTAGTAGGCAGCGTCGTTGCAAAGGTAAGTCGACTTACATGATTGACCAACATCCGAGGCTAACGAAGCTCTCGCAGGACTGCTGCTGCCGGCTCGGGACCTCGGGTCCTTGCGACTGCGTGTCTGGGTACGCCAACGACGTCAACTGCGGAAGCATCTGCCCCATTCGCGGGGGCAACGTCTGCTGAGGCGGAAAAGGGTTTCTCTCTGGCGGATGAGAACATGACTTTGTATGGTCTTGAAGGAAGGCAAGCGTAATCCACGCCCTAGATGCGCCGTGGTTTGTAGCGTCGTCATGATTTCCGGTTGGCAGGCCTGTTATATAGACCGAATCCAGTCCTTATTTCGCCGGCATCTCAATCTCTGCATGTTCGTAATTGTGACGTCGATCTGGCTCTTGCCCTTCGAAGGCTTCCGCATCCGTCGTGTTGTTGCCATATATCTGTATGAATTCAAGGATATCTTGATACCTGACATGTCGAGAACTACTTGGCTGTTCCGTCCGCACAAAGAGTTCCTGTAAACCCAGTGAAGTGGCAGGCAGCGTTGTTGAACAATTTCACCTGGATGCTGAACCGCGACCACGAGAGATGCGTGCCACAGTTTAGCACTGAGAGCATATAATAGTGGGTTGTGAGACGACTTAAAAGTTCAACAACAAAAGCTACTCGTTCCGAAAATTATGCGTTCACATCTCTCGCTATGGTAGACAAATAATTACCAAGGCAAACTTGGCATGTTGCTGATATCGTGGATCGTCAACATTCAGCTCACTGCGTCTGAAGACAACATTTAATCGTCGGCAACTTCGCAAACAGCGGAATGATAACAGAAGAGATGTTCTGACACTATGTGGTGATATTGAGATCCTGTGTTTAAATATCATGATAGTAATGAAGCTGCGTGAATTCAGACCTTAGTAGACGAGATAAATCTAACTCGGCCTGCCAGCATGAGAAGGCAAGGGTCTAATAACGTTAGATTTAGGGCGCCACTTAGAGACTGCACAAGCAGTATAAACGCTCTACTAGCTTTCAGGAGAAGATGCTATGAATCTTAAGGCAGAAACCAAGGATGTTGATCCTGACCAGTTTCGTGCCAGCTGAAGGGACCTTGTGTGGCTCAAATTGTCTGAGGCTTAGGTTCAATGCATACGTAGCATGTCTCTCGCACCGCAAGCTCACAGATACACTTTTTGACCTACCTAGGCTACACAACAGCTCGTGATCTGACATTGGGTGACGCTGTCGTGTGCCCAGCCTCGTGGGATTGGACCGAACCCCAAGATTCGAAGTGATTCTGGTAACGATGTCTTTCTTCAGCCGCACTCATTAGACAAGCTGAAGGCCGGAGAGACATAGAAAACTACAAGCGGCGCCAAGAGGCTTAAAGCTCACGTCTAAGACACATACGATGAGCAGGGCCCACTGATATACCTTTGTAGCTGGAGTTCTGTCGTCTTGCAACCACAACCGGAGGGCTTAGATGTATGCGAATCGAGATGTGTAGTTAGTGCTTACTGTTGAACACCACAATATAATCGTGATGAAGTGATATATTCCTCCTGGTTGCAAATGTTGAATCAAATGAAGTCATTCCAAGGGATTGAGATGACAAGTGCGTCACACACCAGAATGCGCAAGGCATTGATCGTTCTCCTGTCCTAGGCAGCACAATAGTCAAAGATCACTCAAATGCTATAAAGTATGCTCAAGCCGATGACATTAGCAGAACCAAACAGACATAAAGAACAACAGCACAACACATATCATCAAACAACATCTTCAAACCATCAACAACACACAAGAAACCATGCATTTCTCCTCCGCGGCCTTCTTTCTCTCCCTCGCATCCTCGACCAGCGCGGGCTGGGCATCCATGCAGACATGCAGCACCGGCGACGACCCCAGGAGCCGATGGGCCAGCACGTCCCTCATCTCCGTGCAGGTCATCTACTCGAACGAGCTCGACGGCTGCACGGGCGTCAACACCTTCTGGGCCAAGACCGGCGTCACGAACCCGCTGTGGGCCCTCCGCGAGTTCGACGGCAAGGACGGGTTCAGCGCCAACATCGACATCGTCTCGCGCACGCCGGGGCTGAAGGTCAAGGTGGACGACGAGGAGGTCGCGCTGGGCGACGCGACGGGGTCGTGGTCGCACACGGGGAGCGAGGCGAAGGAGAAGTGCAAGGCTCTGGGGATGGGGGAGTATGATGGGGTGAGGTTTGACGGGAGTTACTGGGCTTATGTTCCGAAGACGAAGTGCAAGTAGGGGGTGGAGTGGTGATGTCGGGCTCTTGGGGATTATGCTCTTAACTAAGTACCCTATCCTCTTTGGCAGGAAATTCGTGTCAGACTAGGCCTCGCTGTTAACGAAATCTATTCATTATTTTACAAACCCATCTGCAAAGATGCCTACCTCACCCTACTTGTCTGCGGGCGGCAAAGCCATACTAGTTTGCTTTCAACTACAACTGTCATTCGTGTGGTAACTACTGAAGATGTTCATATCGACATGAGCGAGTTGAGGATCTTATAATTCATAGAACTTGAAGTAGGTTGTCAAAGTTAAAGCCTGTTTAGTTGTGCTCATTAGTAGGCCCTAAACCAGGCGTTGAGAGGAACGGAATATGACGTCCGCAAGGTCCTCGAACAATCCCGAAATGCTTACCGATCCCGCCATCCGAATCATACGTCGCCGAACAGAATCGACACTTTTCAGCCCAGACCGGACCGGGCAGATCATTCGTAATCCCGCCCCCGGGAAGACGGGAAATTTTACTCGAAAAAGAGCTGGACCGGATATCAACCGGTCCCATCTACCCAAAACCTCGAACGACATACGGCGGAGATCCCGCACGTCGGGGAGTGGGTGGGTTAGGAAAGAAAGGAAAAAGCCAAGGTTAGAAAAAACATCGGACGCAAACCCCGATTCGTGCGCAAGCTGTGCGGCGTGCCCAAAACGGTTCAGGCCGATCAACCGACCCCGGGCCCCGACAACGGAGGGCCAAGAGCTGGGACTGAGTCGATGTCGGTGGAGCTCCTCCGTGGCCCGTGGCGGAGGGTGGAAGAAGAGACGCTGAAGACGCTGGGAATGGAATCTGGATGGTCGACCTGGCATTGGCATCACCGCCGCTATCGGCGTATCCCACCTTCCACTCGACGACGATCCGGTCATCACGAATTAACGAGGACCGCGATCCGCGCACGGCAGTCCGCGTCGAGAGATCCCTCCCGGACCGTCGACGTCAACTTCCCTGACGCTTCCTTGACGGCCATACCCAGCAGAGGAACGGGAGGAAGGGCAGATCTGAATCTATGAACAGCGGGATACTTCTAGCAAGGAAGGAGAACCCGTTTCCCCCGCAAAATTCCCAGCGAGCCACAGAACGTGCAACTCGAGTCGAGGGTGTCACTCACTGTCGCGGTTCAAGGGCTCAAGCTCGTGGAATTGCCCAGTCTGGCAGGTCACTGACGCCCAGGGGGGGCCGGTTCTCTTGTGTGCGAGCGCGTCTCCAGCGCATCTGATGCAATGCAATGCACGACCACAGGGGCCCCGTCCTCCCATCGTCCGTGGGGGTTGTAGCGAAGGGCGGGAAAGGCGAAGTTGATGCTATGCTGATTTCCTCGAATCTTGGGTCCTCTCCAGATCCGGGCTTCCGCTGTCTGTGATGGTGATGTTCACTCTCTGATGTGTAGCTTCTATCTACCGGGAAATGGCTGGCCAGTTGGACGAGCAGACGGGAAGCTCATTGACGACCACACCCTCTCCTACCAGCCGCAGCACCCTCTCACCCGGGGATGATAATCCCGATTCCTGACTGCGGCCCAATGGCCGTGTCTGGGTGTGGTGGCCTGCAGAATCGTTCGATGCACATTCGAGTTTCTGCTGTCTCGGAGAAGCGCTGCGGGTGCAGGGATCGGGGCGCACGCCGTGTCCCGGCCGCGCAGAGGGAAAAGGCAAAAGAGACGTGGAGAGAGAGGGAGGGAGAAAGGCTTGTTCTCTTGAGGGTTTCCTCTTCCGGTTCTTGGCCAGGCCGCCCTCTGAAGCCGATTTGACCGTCCATCCAGCGAGACGTTGCCGCCGAGGGTGTGTGGTCGTTGTTGATGTTGGGCGACCTGAAGCCACAGCAAGAGCGAAATTCCCGAACCGCCGACTACCACCGCGTCCCGGGAATCCTGATTGATCAGACGTTGGCGGCCGTTTGGGACCGCCGGACGCCGCGGTAGCGTGCGGATAGTCTGGCAAGCTACATACTTCTAATCTCCATGGCTGACATATCACAAAATAGTGTCCCCCCTCCCTCCCCAAAAGTCTGGGGAAACCATGGGCCGGGTCTGATGAGGGGAAAGCCTGGGAAAAGGCTGGAGCACAAGGTTTCTTCGCGCGCGCGCCCGGACATGAGGGAAAGGTTGGGATGGAATCTCTTGGCTCGGATTTACGATTTTCGCAATGAAACTATGCGGACCAGGGTTGTTCGATGCTGCTACGGTCGCGACTGATGGTTTCCGGAACCGAGGTGTAGGTAGGTTGGGGATGTTTGCTTCAATACAACGCCAAGACGCGCTCGATTTTTCTGAGGAAAGCTACCGCAATAGGTTAACATCTGAAAAGCCTTGTGTGATGGGGAAAGGAGACGCGAAATGGTACGATGGCCGAGATGACGTGGGAGGGTCGAGATAAGGCGCGATTCACATGTAAAAATAATAGGTATTTGTCGCTGCTATTCGTCTACTGGCTGGTTCGTCCTTGGGCTCCCGGAGGACTGGAGTTAAAGCTGCGCATGTCCGTGGGCCTTGGGGAGCGAGCGAGCGGAGCGTGGAGCACAGGAGGGGAGGGGAGGGGAGGGGAGGAGGAGCATGGAACATGGAGCATGCTGCAGCAGGGCAGGATATGGATGGTATGGATGGTATGGATGGTATGGTGACGAATAATGGACGATATTTTATTCAAGTTTGCGAAGTGGCCGAACGCGTGGGATATGCCCCTGCTCGCCTAGGGCTGCGGGCTGTACGCTAGCTTTGTGCTACCCGGCCGTTTCCCTGTCTCGTCTGTATCGTGCCGGTGAAAACTGGCCGTGCAAGCTTTTGCGGTTGTGTGTGTGTGTCTGGGAAGGAAGAATGGTGTGGTTTTGAGAGGCCAAGACTCAAGCAGCTGGAGCTGGAGTTGTGGAGAGAAAATGTTGAAACGGGGGTGAGGTGGTGGAGGGAATTGATAGCGGACTTGCCTTATTAGAAATGAATGTTTGTAAGACTTACACACTCTTTTCTCCTCTATGGATTCTCCGAGTTGTTAAGAGGTTAAAAGGCCAGGTAACAAACATTTCCTGTTTTGGACAAGGCCGAGTTGTGAGAGACTGAAGTTTACGAGTCCAAGGTTCGGTTGGAGCACCACCCCGTCATTCATTCTCACCCGCCATGAGGTCCATCTACAGCCGAACCGATCCCAGACAACTCGTGCTCCTCGGGGGTTGTATCCGTAAGCTATGTGTGAGTGAGAGAAGAGCCAAGATGAACGGGACGGGTTCCTGTGCCCGAGGTTCGGGTTTCGGGGTCTCTGTTGCACTGGACCTGACACTCCAACACCACCACCACGGATAGAATCACGGCCAGCTCAGCGCTAAGACCTGACAGCACAAGTGACACTCACTCACTGCAGGTAGGCAAACCCGAGCAACCTGGAAGTTAACGGTTGAACGGATCATCATCACCACCAGCATCCAGCGGGGGTCGGCTTGCACGTTGCACTCGCAGCAGCATGCCCTGTCCCCTGTGCCTGTGGTCCACCCGCTAGCTCCAGTCCAAGCACGATGCCAGTCCCCTGCCAGCACGCCCGTGCCCCCCGACTCGAGCTGCCCACCCTGGTTTTAGCGGCCACGCGCGCCTAGCAGTAGCAGCCGAGTAGCAGTCGCAGCGACGTCCGGCACCCAACCCACCAAAAAGGAAAAGGAAAAAAAAGAAAAAGAAAAAAAAGTCCCGATGGCCGCCGGCAAGGCACCACACCATTCTGACCACCGCCGCAGGCAAGGCAAGGCAGGCAGAATTCCTAAATAAGACCATCCGCCTTGCCGCTCTCGCCCGTCTTCGTCCGGCCTTTCCCTCTTCTTTCTCTTCTTCAACCAAACCAACCCAACACCACCTCTCGATAATCCTACCTCACGCTCTCCTCCCTGCTGATAAAGCGAAACAACGCACTTGGAACATCAACCTTTCAAAACCTTGCAACAACAAAAACAATTCACCACAGAGTCGCCAGGCGCCACGCAAAGCTTTATCACCACAGGCAAGGAGGAGAGTCGGACACAGTCTACCCTACCTTTCTCACCGTACATATATACAACACCAGTTCCGACAAGCTTCGGGATTGATTTTTACGCATTTTAACTACACACACACACCGACGACTACCCTCGCCAAAATGTTCGCGACCAGAGTCCTCCGCCAGGCCGCCGCCCACGCCGAGCGCACCCCCAGCATCCGCTTCCTCGGCCGCCGCACCATTCCTTGTACGTCTCCATCTTCTGTCTGCCTCTACATGAAATACTAACCACCGAAACAGCCTCCGTCGATCACACCCCCGCCCCTCACCCGGCCTCGCCCACCGGCACCCTGCCCGCCAACTTCGGCAACGGCGGCGCCGCCCCCAGACACACCTCCTTCAGCTCCTACCGCGACCACGCCCAGCAGCACGGCCCGCTCCAGCGCTCCATCCGCACCGACGAATCCGGCATCGGCGGCACCTCCGGCCACGAGCTCGGCTCCGTCGTCCCCGCCGCCGGCATCTTCTTCGACCGCTCCGAGCTCCCCGCCCGCTTCCAGCGCCAGCCCATCGACATGGCCGAGATCGAGGCCGTCGAGTCCGGCGGCGCTGCTCTCTTCGGTTGAGACTATACCACGAGGCAGCTATTTTCTTCCTACGTACGACAAAAAGACATGAATGAATTCAGGAAGTAGGAATACGGGGACGATATACCATGACCATGGGTGGGCCAACGCGTGTGTACGAGAACGAAGACCAAAAAGGATTCACGAGCTGGAGCATCTCCCCGGGATATGGGAGCTCCGGCAGGGTACGGAAAAGCCGGGTAGTGTTTTATGACGACGACCGAAAAAGGACCCGTCGCGACTGGTTGCAATACACCAAGAGTGTTGCACAAAGACTGAGCTCACCAAGTTGAGCTGACCGTCACAGAGACCAAGCACGCACCCCCGCGCGCCGTCTCGTCTGGAATCGGCCCTCTATTTCCTTTTCGTCCTGCTATATCTTCGCTTCGCAACGCCGAAGCGTGCCATCATCCTGTACCCGTAGTCTGAAGCGCGTGGCATAAACCCCCTCCGTGGCCGAAATAGACCCAAACTTCAGGAAGCAACACACCCATGACGCTCTCGGTTGCATGTGCTTCGTTGAATGTGCGAGTACCTCGATGCAACCTCCAAACCATAGACCAAGGCGAACTACAGCTCCAGCTAAGAACTTGACGCATGTGACAGCTTCCCTGCATGATGGCTCCTTTATAGAGGCAAAAAAACACTTGCGTCCGTAGCTCCGGGACCGTTGAGCCCGGCGCGCGTCGTAGTTTACCCCAATTCCATCCGATCATTCCCATTGCCCATTTGACCCCCCACCTCTTCCGTCATTTCCCGAACAGCCGACGACCGCAGAAATTGCACCAGCCACCAAATTTGTTCGTGAGATTGACCTTTTAGACGATGGTCCGTGCTGCGGATAAGATAAGGTACCTCGAGCAAGCAGCCACGGCCCCACATTTCGGAGGCGCACCGGGAAAACACCGGGTCAAAAGCTAGGTCCCCGCCGTGGCCGCCGTCAACCTGGAAGCTTCGGCGTCATCGGAACCAGCCGACGAAGGTCTCAATCCCCGCGCACCAATCAAAAGAGCGCAATCACATCATCCAAAATAAAAAAGACGACCCACCTAAAAAGTTGACTCCCTCCAGCGCTGCTGAAGCTCCATCCCACCAGGTTATTAACGATGCAGAACCACCACGGCCGCTGCATGACAAGGTAGTCGCATCGCCAACGAAAACAAAACATAAACAAAAACCAATCCACAACCACGGATCTTCGCGTCACTTGCATTGAACGCCTGTCACCTTCATATACCCAGCAACGCACCCCTCCCTCGGGCGGCAATCTATCTGTAAGCAAAAAAGCACCGTCACGATGGCCTCGGACCTGATAGACCTCGTCTTCCTAACCCCGCTCCCAAGACACCACCGCAACCCTCCTCACGACGAAATGTCCGACCCGAAAGAGGCCTGTCCCGTCGACCACAAGGCCCGCGAGGCCTGGCTGCAGCACGCCCGCGCCGCGAACCCGAACGACGAGACGACGACGACGACGACACCGAACCCCCCGCCGGCGCATCCCGTACCCGAGTCCAAGTCCTGGACGCAGTCTCTCCTCTCCTACACACCCTTCTCCGGCCAGTCTGCCGCAAAGGAGCCGTCATCACCAGGTGCAGAGGCGTGCCCCGTAGACCACAAGTCCCGCGAGGCCTGGCTCGAACAAGCCCGCGCCGCAAACGCATCACCACCATCACCACCATCACCACCATCACCACCTCAAACACCACAAGCAGCGCAACCGCAGCCCTCGTCGTCCTCCTGGACACAGTCCCTACGCTCCTACATCCCCTTCACCTCACCCTCATCCCCAACCGCCGACCCAACGCCACAGCCCTCACAACAACCCCCAAAACCATCGCCCCTCGACACCCACCGCGAAGTCTCGACGATCCCCCGCACCGCGACCTCGGCATACCCCTACCCATCCAGCACGACCCACGCGCCCTCGAACCACGAGCAGGAGACGGGCGCCGACGCCGCCACGGGCAACTGGATCTACCCCTCGGAGAAGATGTTCTTCGACGCCATGAAGCGCAAGGGCCACGACTCCCGCGTCGCCGACATGAAGACCGTCGTGCCCATCCACAACGCCGTCAACGAGCGGGCCTGGAAGGAGATCCGCGAGTGGGAGAGGCCTTATACCGAGGGTACCGCGTATGTATTTCCTTCCTTGCTTCCTTTCATCCCCCATCGATCCTCAACTCGTGCTAATACCTCTGACTTCCAGCTGCGACGGCCCCAAACTCCACTCCTTCGCGGGCCTCAGCACAAACATGTCCCCCAAGGCGAGGCTCAAGACCATCCTGGGCTACGTCGCCCCCTTCGACCGCCACGACTGGGTCGTCGACCGCTGCGGCGTGCAGGTCGACTACGTCATCGACTTCTACGCCGGGAGGCCCGACGCCCAGGGCAAGCCGAGCTTCTACCTCGACGTCAGGCCCAAGCTGAACAGCTGGGAGGGCGTCAAGATGAGGGCGCTGAGGGGTGTCGGGCTGGCTTGAGGACGCCCGGGGTGTAGGGGATGAAGTTGTACAAAAGGTGCTTGCTCACTGGGAGCATTTGTGTTGATATTGTAATAGTCGATGGGCATGTCTCCCACTCTGATCTTGTACAAAAACATTTACGGGGGCTGAATAGTCCTGTGTTGATCATCAGGCCCAAGGTGATACAATCCGGGTGCGAGTTCTATGGTCTGATGTGATGGGGATGACTGCCTCAATGCAGGCAACGCTATGTGCTGTGAATAGTTGTTGTCTTTGTCATGGACACACATGTCATTGGCATAAAGATGATCGGTAACATGGGCTCTTGGGCTCTAATTGGTATCTTGTGAAACTGCAAAGCAAAATGGTCCCTTTCCTTCCCGCCATTTCTGGGACAAACAGCTGTAAGCGCAAATCTGATGGGGACTACGCCCATGCTTAACCATACCGCTCAGCGCTCCTTCTTGTCCTCTTCCTTGGTCTTCCCAATGGTCATCCACGGCGCAGATGCATCCAGGTTTGTGTCGTCAAGGCACCAGCCAGCCTCCTCCAACTTAAAGAAGAATCTCTCGCTTGCCTCACCATACGCATTCTCATCTACAGCATCCGTATCGAGCCCGAGGTGAACAAGAAGCTGGGCCGAGTACCAAGCGAAGAGGGAGGTGCTATTCTTGGCGTTGCGGAGAGGGTCTCCATAGAGAAGGATCTTGATGACTGGGACCGGACCGGACCGGCAGACCACGAGCTGGGATGAAGACTTCTCGTCCAAGTCTCTGTAGACGACAGGGCGGAACACTTGAGCAGTAGCGCCACGGACCATGGCATCAGCGTAGCTCCGGGCAAAGACGATCTTAACGCGCTGCTGATCCTTCGTCCTGACGACGGGCTTCCAGAAGATGATGGCCTCGCGAGCAGCAACCTCGGCCGGGCTGAGGATCTTCCCGCCGTTGAGATACGCGTCGAAGAGAATCGTGGCGCGTTGCTGGTTGAGGATATTGAGCTGGACGCAGCGGACGCCAAGGTAGTTCATGCCGAGATGGACAAAGACGAGGATGACCATGAGCGTGAAGACGGCCTCCCGACTCTCGACGTAGCGGACGACGATACTGCCGACGATCAGGCCAACCAGGCCCACGGCGGTCTCCTGGGAAGACTCCTTGGCGTTGAGCTCGCTGAGGTTGTTCCTGCGGGCGAAGTGCTTCGAGAGCGCGGCCTTGGATGCGCCGGCGGCGACTCCGCACATGGCGCGCAGAGCCTCCGCAGCGACGATCGCGAAGATCTTCGTCCACGTGCCGAAGAGCGGGGAGAAGAGGTCCAGGAAGAACGCGCTGTCGTTGAAAATATCAGCGAGAAAGCGGTACTTCTTGCACTCTGGCTCGATGACCAGACCGAAGCGGTAGGCGAAGGCGATGGTGGCGACGCGCGAGATGCCGTCCTTGAGGATGGTCAGGAGGAGGGCGTATGTGGCGGAAGAGTTGGCGTCGCCCACGCCGAGGCCCTGGAGGATCGCGCGGTTGGCGAGGAGGGAGGTGATGGTAGAGAAGAAGGCCTGGAGGGAGTCGTAGGTCTGGTAGCCCAGGTAGTCCGGGGTGACGGAGTCCGGGTAGCCTATAGGAAGGAAAGCGTCGCAGAGGACTTGGCGGATATTCGTCTGCCAGATTTTTGCGGTGTCTGTGGTGTCGTCGACAGGTATCTGGCGATGATGAGAAGCTAGTTTTGAGACGAAGGGGATGAGAGCGGTGCTTACCTCGGTGATGCGACCGTCGGGCTCGTGAATCCAGCGGCGATACAGTCTGCCGGATCCGTCGCGCTCCTCAATCTCTGAGGCCATTTCCTTCTCCATCTGCGCCATTTTCCTCGTTGCCCAGATATTATTTGGGCTATGTAGAGGACAATTTGGCAGATGTGGTGATGGTTTGGGGAAGAAGGCAGGTGAGAGGTGAGGTGGGGCCGGGGTGAAAGCAGGGAGAGAGACTGAAGGTGCGTCGCACGACAAGGCAGCTGCGGGCGAGACCTCACCTCCTTCCGGATCTCAAAAAGACAGAAAACGTGACGCAAGCAATTCGACAAGTATTTAAATTATTCGAAGCGTTCTATATGCGTGGCTTTTGCAGCAAGACTATTACTTAGGTGAAAATTCCAACATCACATCAACCGCGCCTACCGCTTTGCGGGCTGGCCATCCTCTCCGACAAGGTAGATATCCGACTTGATAGGGCCCTCACCGACGCCGGTCTGGATGACACGGCTGACGCCTCCCTTGATGATACCAGCAACGGTCTCGTCCAAAGTGACGGGAGACTGGAGGCTGCTGGAGCCCTCCTTCCAGCCGGTCACGCCGCCCAACAGAGTAGAGAACGCACCAACAACAGCGGCAGTGTTCTCCTCCAGGTAGTAAATGACGGCGTTCGGGCCGGCATCGAAGGTGTACGCAGCAACGGTCTTGCCGGCGGCAGCGTTGATCTGTTCGACAGCACGGATGGCCGCGCGGGAGACGTCGTTCATGTAGAAGATGGGAGGGTAGGTGTCGGAGCACGAGGAGTGGAACGAGTTGGAGTCCTTCATGGTCACCTCGGCGAACTGGGCAAAGTCGCGCTTGGCGATGGCGTCCTCCATCTCGCCCATGTGCTTGGGCACGACCTCGGTGACGCGCTGCTTGAACAGACCCGACGTCGCGACGGTCTGCTGCATGCCGGAGGTCGAAGAGACGCCCTTCTTGGCGGCGCTGACGACGAGGATCAGAGCGCGCATCTCGGGCCAGTGCGACGCCTCGGCGACGAGGTCGGCCTTGGAGTCGGAGCCGTCGGCCTGCTCGCCCATTCTCCAGGCGACGTAGCCGCCGAACAGACTACGGCAGGCGGAGCCGGAGCCCTGTCTCGCGATGAGGGAGAGCTCAGCGGGTGACTCGGTGAGCTCGTAGAGGTCGGCGATGGCGCGGACGAGGGCGGCGAAGCCCGCGGCGGAAGAGGCCAGGCCGGCGGCGGTGGGGAAGTTGTTCTCGGTGACGATCTTCAGGGGGTAGGTCGAGAGCTTGGGGAGGGAGGGGTTCTGGGCCTCGAGGGCGGCGCGGCGGGCGCGCAGCTCGCGGAAGCACGCTTGTGTGCGGGCGCCAGAGACATCGGAGGACTCGCCGTTGAGGATGAGGGTGTCGCCGTCGGTGTAGGAAGCGGAGCACGAGGCGGTCGTGAGGGTTCGCAGGTCGGCTTGGGAGAGGGTGACGGAGAGGGAGCTGTTGGTGGGGAGGTTGAGCTTGGCGTCGCGCTTGCCCCAGTACCTGGTGAAGAAGTCAGCGATGCTTCTGGCAAATGGAGTTATGGAGAGGATGCGCACTTGACGACGGCAATGTTGACGGGCGCCGTGGTGCTGGCGCGGTAGACCTTGGTATCAGCCATTGTTGCGATGGTGTTTTGCGTGCTGGAGTCCGAGGCGGTCAGAAACAATCTCAAGGCGGGGCAAAGCGACGGCGAGGATCTTGGGAGTTGATAAAGGGCAGTCGGTTGGGGTTGACCGGGAGAACGCACCGTTGGACTTGGAACAGTGTCTTGAAAAGGAGTGTTTGTCTTGATCAGTTCTGCCGCAAAGCAAACCTCCAAGAAGCCAGGATGAAAATGGTTGAACACAGGCCAAAGCACCTCAGCAATTCAATCCGCCTGGCGGGGTTCGTGAAGCTCCTCCCGCCTTGACTTCACAGTTCACTGGACAATCAGCAGCCCTCAATTTGGTTTGACATGCGATCCTTGCCCCAACGGGATTAGTGCGGGGTCCTTCAGGGGACTCGGTGCCTGGACCCCTGTGGCTGGGGGCCGTTGTGGAGGGTCACGGGTATCTGTGCTGCTTACGGCATCCGCCATCTAATTCCACCTCCTACACCTGACTTCCAGGTTTTCTATGATAACTTGGACTCTCCGATACCAGACCACAGACTTCCAAATACCACTGTCCACGAAACTTCTTGTCGGCTCGGATTGAAAATCTTCGGCTATCGCGAAAAGAATGCCAGCAGTCAGATACGGCAGATGCCAATACCGTGAGAAGTCGGGATGTCATAGTCAGGTTCGGGATCAATACCCCAAGTGTATCGATATACGTTATAGTCTGCCTTAATAAGGCGGTTCAAGTTGGAGTTGACTATTGCAGTTTTGTTTTGTTACGCTTGGGAGGGTGAAGTCGAGGGGCATGAAGTCTCGCAATACGCAGAAGTTAGGTGATACAGGATGATGTTGAGGTATTGAATGTGTTGAAAATTGGAACTAGAAAGCCGCAGGGACTTCAAAGTCCAATAAAACAATGAAAGCGTATCTTTGTTAAAGTCACCCTGCTTTTTATGTCGATGGGGAGAAAATTCCATCGGTGGTAGGATCACCAACAAATGCAATATGCCGCGCAATACGATACGGTCACCCTTATTATTCTGGTCAATATCTCGTCATACCCAACGGTAGGAGGATCACCCCACCGGTAAGTGAACTAAAGGTGCCCAGTTGGCTACAAATACCAACAAGGTGTCTTTGGGCGACAGTGGTGGCCCGTTTAGAATATTTCAAAGTTGCGGCTGGAGGACTTTGGTTCCATGCTAGGCAAGTAGATCAAGGTAGTCTGTTAAATGATGGAGAATAACGTAAGCAATGTTGGAACAACCAAGGTACCCTGAGATGAAAAGTACTAGCCGTTAGCTAAATCTTTTAAGAGAGACTATATTGATAACTTAACATAACAGTCTATCTGAGTTGTGTCTACTTTCTTCCAATAGCACTACACCCGCCGAGGAAGACCTCTGGAAGTCAGGTAAAGTCGTAGCGGCAGCCAAGAACCATAATCTGGTCAGCTCATTTCTACTTTTCGTGAAAGATGGGCAGATTCCTAACACCTTCCTACAATTCCTCGCCTCAGCTTTAGAAAATTGAGCAGTAAATTGAGGCTATGCTTGAAGATTTCAGGAAGATTTCATCCCGTGCTCACTTGGTAGCAAACCTAATTCATCAAACAGACGGTCATTATTTAGTATACTTTAAACCAGGGTTACTGTAGTTCTTGAGGACATAATCTCCTCCGACCCAAACACCCCCGGTTCTTCCAGCGCCGCACCAATTCTCCTCATGCAACCAGGCCTGTCCAATGCCGGAGTAACGAACAAGCCATGGGCGCAGGGGCGTTCCTTCTCGGGATCGGGCTTGGCCGGAAACCCGTACGAGTAGGCCAATATCAAGGCATACACCTCCATCGTCTTAATAAGCTCAGAGCTGGCCTCGTAATCGCGGTCCATCGAATCCAGCATCGCAAAGCAATCGCCGCTTCCGTTGACGCTGCGGAACATCATGTGTCCAGTCGGACCCTTCTTCTCAGACAGCTCCATCCGTACCAGCGGGCCTTCCAGCTTGATCCAGCCGTCCTTGACACGGCCAAAGGGGTTGTCCCCGTCAATTTCAACCCGAGCGTCAAGAACCGTGGCCATCTCGTCTACGTCTCCCATTAAGCCCATGGCCGGTATGCCGTCAACCGAGGCCCAGGACCACGAGGGTGCGCGGTACCCCCCTTCAGGCGCCTTGCATCGGAGACCCTGCCAGCACAGATCTTGAATCAGCGAACCACGCCACAGGCCCGCGAGATACTCGTCGCCCAGGATATTGCTCATGGACCTCGCTATCCCGGAGATGGCAGGGAGCTTGTCCGCAGGGTTCGTCATTTCTCGACGCCCGTACTCCCAGATCAGCCTCTGCCACTTTTCCTTCGTTGAATTGGAGTTCATCCTGCTCGGCTTCTCGGTGTTGCGTTTAGACAAGTTCTCCGTGTAGTCTACCAATTCTTTGTCGTCGTTGACGAAGGGAAGGCGGTACGGTAACCTGAGGCCCTCCTCGGCTTCGAAACCCTCGAGGCATTCCCAGTACAACTGCCCGCTGGCGAAGTGCAAGACCCTGCGGGCGAGAACTCGCTCCTGAAAGCCCCACGCCCTTTTCGTCAACGGCTCCTCCAACATTTGAATGTGAAAGTCGTGAATGAAATCAGTCGTCAGAGGAAGAGCCGAAGCAAGGATGTACTTCTCCGCGGGAGAGTCGCTACGAGGAAGTTTGAAGTACGATCTCGGTGTTCTCGGAGACAGGAGACCGCCGTCGGTATCGTGGGACTTGTCGCCCGCCAGAGTGAGATGGGAGTTGGAATACACGGCCTTCATCTGCGCCGACTCCCGTTCCCAATCCTTCAAGTCGTCCTGGCGGATACACAAGCTGTCGATCCACAAGTACCGCACGCCGAGCATGCGGGTCACGGTGATAGCATCCTGGAAAGTCCGCGGGAGGTCGTCGAAATCGATGCCGTTCTTCCGAGCTTGTATGGTCTCGGCCGTCGTCGTGAAGTGTTTCGCAGTCCGTCCCCAGCAGTAGCTGAGCGTGACGTAGCTACCGGTCTGCCCCGGGCCTGGCTCGACGAGCTTGATGACCGGATTGGCGTCCGTGGTGCCGACGTCCAGGATGCGGGTTGGTAGCGGGCTTTCTTCCGGTTTGCAGTGCGGGTGCTCGTCGCACTTCTTCAGCCACTGGACGATGTGATTATGCGTCTTCTGGTCTGGGACTTCTCTCAACACGCGGTCGCTTGAGCCCGCGGAGAGAGGATCATCTATCGAGGAGTCAGTAAGAAAATCTCAAGGAGGCACGTAAGCAGAACATACCTTCATCTGATGCGAACCCGATTGCTGCCACGACAGCTATACTGCGGTCGCTGTTCTCGGCACATCTGGATAGAACCCACAGCCCATCTCCTCCATCCTCGCCACGTTTGGTCAGCCACATGTCCCAGTCCGGGACGTAGCTATTCAAAGAGAACTCAGAAGGGCTTGCCAGCTCGTCCAGAATACCATCTGCCTCCTTCGCGACTGCCTGGCAGAGAACACATCCACCCGACGCCGCCTTACGAAGGCTGTCCAGGTCTGGATGGTAGGAAACCCCGAACCGCTCAAGAGGTTTCCCTCTCTCATAGTCTTTGAGGTACAGGTTATGCAGCCTCTGTTTCCCGCTGAGCGTTCTGGAGTATTTCTCGTCGGGAAACGGAGGAAGATTCTCCAGCGGAAGGGACTTGCAAAGGTCGCAGAGAGACATGGTGAGCTTGAGGTTGTGAGTGAAGACCAGATCAATAAAGGTACAGCTTTCAGCAACTCATGGGAACTGAGGCCAGGGAAATCGATATTTGAATGAATTCGTAAGTCGTTTCAATGAGGCCAAATAATTGCCTTGGGCGGACTACGTGTAGCACTGCCTAGAAACTTCAGATGGTCGCCTCTCTAACGTACGTCAGGCTAGCCAACAACGCAGTCAGACGATGTCGATCTGTAGGTCCAAACTCGTTCGGGCCAGTCAGATGGTCAAGTAGAGCGTTCGCCGTCAGGAAGGATTACGCGCGATACAGCCACAGCCGCCACGGCACTCCATCGCCTTCTTTCAACGTCAATCGCACATCGCGACCTTGACCGTAGTTGCCTGCCATGAATTATCCACCTTGGAAATAATCGAACTGCCTAAATCGTGGCAGAGTCTAGTCCCCCGGACGGTCCACCTTGCCATTGCCAGGGCGCAGGACAATGCGGGAACAGCAGGCAGGCAGAGGATACCTATCGTCTTCAACCCCATGCAGCCTGATGAGGAGCTTGTGTTTTTTCCTGAACAGACCGTCAGCTTATTGCCTGCATTTGGAAGATGGGGTCCCGGGCTGGTGGGATCGCGCCAATCAACCCCTGCATTGGGGGAAACTAAGCGATGATGTGGACCAGGGACTTTGGTGTTGCAGTGTCACTCTAACGGGCGTCCAGCGAAGCTGAGCATAATCTTCGTTAATTGAAATTGAGTCTCCTGAATCCTCCGTCGTGCTAACAAATCAGACTTCAAAAGCAGAAGTGAATACCGTGACGCTTCCCGGGTCTCTCCCGCGTCAAAGCAGGGCCAGTTCAGCATGATCCAATTGGCATCAATGGCCTCCAGCCTTACGATGACCTCGAGGCTCGGGGTCATATTACCAATTGTCTGGACACTTGGGCAACAACAGGCGCCTGGCATGGCCCCCTGGTCAACACGAAAGAAAAGTCTAATTAACCTACCTTGCAGATACGGATACCTCCATCGAGAGGAGAGGCTTGTTTGGCCTAGTTTCCTCCATCGAATGGACCTTCGGACCCCACGCACGTTGAAAAAGGCCGTCCGCACCCATCCGTGTTGTTGCGGCACAAGTCGAATGGGACTGCCTCGAGGCCCGGCTGGCGGTTACCTGCTGCAGCGCCCCCCGCCGATCCGGGTCTGAATTCCATGGAAATGGAGCATTAGGTCTTCTCAACCGCCCCATGATATCTTCGAAAAGTCGGGTTCTGAACCCGAAAGCTGTGCTTTTCTTGGGCAGGGGTTTCGGCGGAGGTAAACCAGTGAGAAGGATGCCTTCGCATGCCAAGACTTACGATGTCTCCTTGTAGGGCCCCGTCATCAAACACACCAAAGAGCATCCTTAAGCGAATTGGGACCGGGGTGTTGATACTTATGCTTAGATGCCCCCATCTTCGTACGTGTCTATTGTTGTTACCTCGTCATCTCTGATTCTGTGATACGATACCCGTTGCTCGACTTCATGTGCATGACAGCGATGGTCTCTCCTTGAAAGCGTAATCTTCGTATCCTTTCCAAACACATCTCACACCAAAATCATATACCAAAATCGCCCAAGAACAAGATGAGTTCAGCACCCCGGACAACCCAGCCGGGTCTCGAAGTCGCATCACATTACGATACCACTCCAGTCACACTCGACGGCCAGTCCGGCCACTGGGCATCACCACCACCGCCCGGCTCGTCAGGTCTACACTCAACGCAGGAGCAAAAGATATGGGCGGGCAACGGCTACGAGTCCGTGAATCAGCGGACGGGCTACGGCGCATACGCAAACGAGAACGGGACGGCGCACGCGGCAGACGAGAAGCCGGCGCGCCGGATACCGTGGCTGCTGATCGGGCTGGGAGGACTCATCACATTCGTCCTCGCCGGTGCCATCGGCGGAGTGGCGGGCTGGAAGATCACATCTAACCGGGTCGAGGAGCCGGAGGCTAGTCTCCCCGGATCCACCGGCGGCGGCGGCGGCAGTGGCGGCTCGCCGACGAGCGCGACCAAGATCGTGCCGAATTCGGGGCTCGCCGCCGTCGGATGGCGGGTCGGCACCGATATCACGCTCCAAGTCTGGTTTCAGGGTCCGGATACGTCGTTGAGAAGGTCAGAGTACAAGACCATCTACCAGAACTGGACCGAGCCGATGGAGGTCGATGCGGCGCCCAAGGTGGGCTCGCCTTTCGGGGCCGGCCAACTCTACACAAAACCGGATGTAAGTGTTGGGTTCGCCCATATCGTAGGACTGCGCTGACGAAACAACCGGCATAGCCCTTACCTGTCATTCCTCAAGCAGAGCTCTTCTTCATCGGATCGCAGAGTAAGATTGGTGGTGTGAACTTCAGAGAGGGATTCACAAGAGGCGGCCAGAGCGACAGTATCAACGAGGGAGGATGGACCACCAGCAACGACAACACCCAAATGGCGGCCTACTGGCCATCGACGATCCTCCAAGCCAACAACGGGGACGTGATGGAGGTCTGGTTCGACTACAAATCGCCAAAGTTCCAGGAGCCGAAGAGAGTCGGCGTCACCGCCTCCGCGAACTCGGCGCTGGCGATCCTCCCCCGAGAATCCACGCACTCCGCCGGCGACCAGACGGCGGCCTCGAGCGCGCGGATCATCTACCGCGACACCAGCGGGCGCCTCCGCAACTTCGACCGGTCCTCCGGCGGCCAGCAGCTCACCTCGTCGGGCCAGCTGCCGGTCACGGTCGACGCCAACTTCACGATGGCCGCGTTCGCGGTGGCGCGCGGGGACGCGAACGGGCAGGCGTCGAGCGCGGTCAACACGTGGGTCGTGTACCAGGACTCCAGCACCGGCAAGATTTCGTACGTGTACGAGAACGGCACCGACGGGTGGAAGGGCCCGGAGACGGATCCCGTGTTTGAGGGGGCTGATAACCCGACGCATCTTGCCTGTGTGACGGCTGCTTCGGCGACGATACCTGAGGTTCCGCTGCAGCCGGCGCATGATTTGAGTCATTGCTTCTTCCAGGTTAAGAAGCAGCTGAAGCACGTCCATTTTGACGGGAGTTCGTGGAATGATATGGGTTTCCTTCCCATCCCCTGAGTGTTTGGGTGTAGTGTTTGTCGTATTTGGCTGTATGAAGTCCGGGCGTTTGAAGCGTGTTTCTTTTCTTGATGTATACCAATGATAAATCATTGTAAACCAAAAGACTTCATTATGTGCTGTTGCCGCGGCGTGGCTGCCATAGATGCTTGCTGAATGCATAGCTGTGAAGAACGACGACATCTCTCTGCCAAAGTCGTAGATTCCCATCGCACATCTGGCTTTCCCAAGTTATCTTGGTGCCGCAGATGGGGGGCAAAACAGAAATTATGCAGAGAGAACTCGGCTTTGAACAAGATAGCCCGTTACAAGAGAGCCCGCCGCAAGTTTCTTTTGTACATCTGACCAACAACAGTTTAGTATCAGACGTGGAGCAGATGACGAGTCTGTAGAAGCAGAGCTCGAGAAGGTCAAGGAATGACTCACGCTTGAGATTGCGAGTGTGTACAGCCGTTTTCCCGCTATGCTATGCGAGTGCAGTTTTCTTGAACTCCTCTATCCCTTTGTAGGTATGCTAGTCACATGGGGGGAGGTGGCTTTCCGGGTGTCTATGCTGGGACTGGAGAACGCAGAACTTGTAAACGATGGTCAAAATGACTTGCTACTGATGGAAAACGAAGCTTTCACCCGGCTAGACTTCCGAGGTTCTTCTTCGGTATCAGTCGTTTGATGCAATACTTCTTTCACTCTCGATATCAGTCATGTCGGCCTGGCTGATATCAGAACACCAAGTCACGAGCCTCCATACGTAGACTGACCAAACGCCATGCGTCAATTCTTACTAGGTATCAACATTTGTTATTGTACAATTATCGTCACGATCATTTATTTCTCGAAGCGCTTGGCAACGGTCTTCCAATTGACCACGTTCCAGATGGCGTCAAAGTACTCGGCCTTGCGGTTCTGGTACTGCAGGTAGTAGGCGTGCTCCCAAGCGTCAATGCCGAGGAGGGGCTCGAGGTTGCCGGTGACGGGGTCCTGGTTGGCGCGGGTGACGACGCCGAGGGTGCCGCTGGTCTTGTCCTTGACGAGCCAGGCCCAGCCGCTGCCCTGAATACCGGCCAGAGAAGTGTTAATCTGCTTGCGCAGGGTCTCGAAGGAACCGAAGTCCTTAGTGATGGCTTGCTGTGGGGGATGTCAGTGACTGGCCAAATTCAACTGAGGCATTGATGGACGGATCAACGTACAGCCAGCTTGCCGCCGGGCTCACCACCACCATCGCGGCTAGCAGGAGCGAGGTTCTCCCAGAAAAGGGTGTGGTTGATGTGACCACCTCCGTGGAAGTTGATCAGAGGGGCCTGGGCAGCAGCCTTGGCGAAGTCGCCCTTGGCCTTGGCCTCCTCGACGGTCTCGAGAGCAGTGTTGAGGCCGTTGACGTAGGTCTGGTGGTGCTTGGAGTGGTGAAGCTCCATGATCTGGCCGGAGATGTAGGGCTCGAGGGCGCCATAGTCGTCTAAGAGGACCACATTAGCTTCACGAGCGACGATTAAGACACGACGACGCTACTGACAGGAAATATCGGGCAGCGTAGCCTTGCCGCGGACAAAGCTGGTGCCCATGGCAGCAGCAGCAGGCTTAGCGGCACCAGCTCGCAGAGCCGTGCGGAGGACGGGAGCGGTTCGGAGGAGGGTGGACGACATTTTGCGTGTTCCTATGTCTAGTGCTTGGTGTCAATGGATGGTTGTTCTCGCAAAGCAATTGACTTAAGGGGGGATATCGTGAGTAGAAGTACCTTTGAATGTTCAATTCCAGAGGTTTGACAAATGCAATTGGAGCTTCAGAATGATGTCAATTGCGGGAGGTTCGGTCGGCTATTACGTGAGGGAGCTCGGATCTCCAGAAAAGCTGCCAGCGGGTTGCCGAGCTGCTGCTTTCCCGGGCTTGCTCGCTCTCGCTGTAGCGTTCTTTCCGCTTCTGCGAATGAAAGAAGAATGTCGTCATCCACATTAAGTGGAGACCTCGACACCTCGTGCTTCAGACACTGGATATTGCATTCTTATGTAATACACTAGCTTCTATTGGCCGCGAGAGCTCCCCACCTACCCGACCCCATCCAATGGCTCAGTCACCAGCCACAGTTTAGAGTGGCTTGACCCTGTTGGCGGGGTCTGGAAGTCGCGTCAACAACTGAATGTCACTGGACGCGTCGAGCTTCACCAGACACTACTGCGAATATTTCTTCGCAAGTTGACGACTGCAACCCTCTCCCGCTCTTTGATCAGATATTCGGAGTCGCAGCTTAAAACATGTCATACTACGACATTGACTCCATCCTGACGGATGCAGAGGTGCGTTCGCGGTACCCTGGAGACAATACTCCCTCCAACCTCGCAGAGACCAAGATGCGTCTACTGACAATTCCCAGAAAGTGCCTTGCAAGTTTGAAATCGACGCCGCCGACCTCGGATACCTCGATAACAACCCGAGCCATACCCTCAAAGCCGGCACTCAAATCTCTCTCCCTCTCTGGCTCGCCGAGATGCTCGCCCTCGCCAGCACAGGCGCAGACTCCAAGGCGCCCGTGACGCTGAACCTCCCGCCGGCACTGTCGAACCAAGTCGTCCAGGCCCTCAAAGCCGACCCGCGAGCCGTACCTGTCAGAGACCAGAGCGCCCACTTCTACGGTCTTGGCACTCGCATCCTCGATCTCTTCGACGAGCGCGAGCTGAGCGAGGTCGCGAGGAAGACTTTCGTCACGCGGGCGGCCGTGGTCGCGCTCCACGCTCGCAAGGGAGGCGACGACGGTGTTGGAGGCTCAAGCGAGGACTTCCTTCGTGGCTTGGACGAATGGGAGCGAAGTCTGTTCAGGAAAGCGCATGACGGCCACAAGGCTTCCAAGGAGTGGCTGGACAAGGTCAAAAAGTACTGAAGGGATGTCCTGATTCGGACACAATATCTACAACATCTTGGCTAGGGAGCCCACGGCATCGTTAAGGCCGGTGGAATATTCGCCGTTCAAGTGAGAGCTTGGACAGACCCGCCAAGCAAGCAATTGGCAGCGTCAGCTTACGCTACGGACTTTCTAAAAGGCCGGGGAAGGCGACATCCCGGCGGAACACTGTCCAGACCTACGAGTCGACCGCATCTCCGGCGCCGCGACTCGGGCTACTCGGACGGAGCCCGGAGACCGAGTTGCTCCGGATATCCCAAGCAAGAACACAATCGCGGGGAGTCACCCCGCGCGATTGTCGAGTACGCGGAGACCCGAGCGGCTACTCCAGATGAGGCGTTCTTTAAATCGATCAAACCGATATTTGTACCGTGGAACGCGGGGCGGATGATGAGGAACTGGCGGGGCTGACTCGACTCGCGGTTCGGCTTTGACCAAAAAGACCGAAGAAACGCGACAATCAAAACCGACAGATGATAAGCAAGTACACAGCCAAATTGCTTGCATAATATAATTCCGATTCGTATCAATCGTATTGCGCTGACTTCGATGCATTGCGCTCCGGAAATGCGCATGTCATTGTTTCACGTGAAAGTCTTACATATGTATCAGTGTTCCCCGCTACTTATCTGATATCGTCGAGTGGCGGGGCAGTCCGAGGAGATAACAAAGCGCATGGCTATCGGCGGCTTCCGCGCCTCCACAAGCTTGCCACCAACTTTCGAAACATAGAAAAGCCGTGGTTCCTTCAATTCATTTTCATCCTAGAACTGTGAAAACCGCTTGCAACCTCATCGACATCAGCCTTGCATCTTAGATCACAAACGTGTTCTCAACAGTATGACTACTCAAGCAACCATCACGCCGCTAGCTCCTGCTGCTGGCTCGGCCATCGATTTTGGAGCTGTCGTCTCAAACGTTGATATCGAGAACCTCACTGGTAAGACCTGATGAAACGCAAAATGATGATCGCAATGATATTGTGCAAGTATTGGGAGAATACCCGTAGAATCGGTAACCTCCTTTGGTAAGCTCTTCAGAATCTCGTCGTCTTGACCACAGACTGACAAGCCTTCAGATGCCGACTTTGAAGTCATCCGTGAAGCCCTCTTCAAGCACCAAGTCCTAGTCTTCAAGAACCAGAGCCACGTCTCCCCCAAGGCGCAATATGCCATCACCCAGCGCTTCGACCCCGAGGCCGGCGCAAACTACGGCCACGGCAAGACCCTCGACGCCAAGCGCTCCATCCTTCACCCGGACCTGAAGACCATCCCCCATCAACCTCAGGTGCAGGTCATCGGCAATGGCTTCGTAGAAGAGTACGAGGGCCTCAAGAACATCCAGCTTCGCCACCCTCACCACCGCACTTTCCATGCCACGACAATCCCCGCCGAAGACGATCTCGACTTCACCCGCTTCTACCGCTGGCACATCGACGCGGCCCTCTACGGCCTCGCACCGCCCGTCGCCACAACCCTCCTCGCCGTTCGCGTGCCGGGCGGCCGCAAGCAGACCCTCCGCTACGACGACGGTACCGGCGAGGAAATGACCGTCCCGCTGGGTACCACAGCGTTCGTGTCGGGGTACGCAATGTACGACAACCTCTCACCCGCCGACCAGGAGTTCGTCCGCACCACAAAGGTCGAATACGCCCCCCACCCCTACGTGTGGATGAGCAGCGCCAAGTCCCGCTCCGACGGCCTCGGTCTCGTCTCGGAAGGCAAGGAGGTGCCCCTGAACGACCTGCCACCCATCGAAGAGGAGAAGATCCAGATCCTGCCGATGTGCTGGCGGAACCCGGTCACGGGCCGGCTCGCGCTGCAGGTCCACCCGTCCGCGATCCGGAAGCTGCACTTGGCGGACGGCTCGGTGGTGGAGAACCTCGCGGAGGTCCGGGAGACGGTGCACCGGCTGCAGAGGCCGGGCATCTCGCCCGCGAACGTGTACGCGCATGATTGGGAGCAGGGCGACTTTGTCGTCTTCCACAACCGCGGGCTCATCCACTCCGTCGTTGGCGCGTTTGCCGAGGACGAGGTTCGGTTGTTCCGGCAGTGCAACATCGCCGGGAGCAAACTTCCCGAGGGGCCCGTCGAGGTCGCGGCGGCTGTGTGGGGTGTTCTTCACATGATTTCTATTAGCGTTTAGTGAATTTACAATATTTACAACGTCATTGAAACTATCCGAGTGAGGTTCACCGGGGTAATCGGTACCCGGCCATGACATTCGGCATTCACTGCCCCAGTCTTGTCACTTACACTTTGGCTTTGAGTTGGCGCCCAGAGTCTTGTGACATGTCATATGCTGTGATAATCTGAGCCTTGCCGACAGTCGTTTTCCCTTGCGACACTCGCTGCCCGGTGACTCACGACGACGATCTCACGCACCGCAATGCATATGTGAGTTTCGGCACAGTCGCACACACTCCGGTGACATCGGGCGGCGCACGCAATGACGATCACAACTCATGATCCGTGATCGGAGGTGGCACCGGACCCTCTCGCCGGTGATTTTGTCAGTCCCCGCTCTGAAGCCCCCGAGTACCAGCGCTTTCGATAAGATTCGATCTTTTATCACAGGAAACGGCAAAACGACTAGATCGATCGTAGTAGAAGGTGCTGTCGGGCGTGTGATGCAATTAAATTGTTGGGTATTTCGTATGTAATGCTGTGAATGCCTAGACCCCTCCTTCGAAACCGTTCCCATCCTGCCGCTGCCGTACACCCAACCAGAAACCAAAACTTTTGTGTGTGCAAATGGGGTATCATTCTAATCGGAGCCAATGGCTCTTCGCATCGCTGAAGGGAAATGTCGCCATCTGGAAGCCACCCGATCTTAGGCGTGTCTCCAGAACTTCCACTTCTGCGGCTTTTGACTCGCGTCACATTCCGTGACGAGGTACTTGCTGAGCTTCTTCCAGCCCTCTTCGGGAAGGGACTCGGAGTCAATCGAGTCATTGAGCATGTCCATGCAGGCCTTGGTAGCTTTTAGGTTGTTAGTTTGTTGATCATAGATGGGTACAAGCTTGGGGGACCTACGCATCATCTCCGTGGCATCCTCGCTGTCGGCGGCAATCTCCATGCGCGTCGAGTTGTAGCAGTGGTACTTCTGCTGAAGCTCGAGCATGCACTCCCACATCTCCTCCAGGTCGGCGTCGTCGGCGGAGGAGCGGCGGCCCGTGAGGGACGGTCTCGGGTGCGCGGAGTGCTCCACATTCGGGGTTGGTGCCGGGGCGTACTCGGTCATCGTGACTTGGGCCTCGGGCTTCTCTGACGTAGCGGCGCAGGGCCTGATCATGTCGTCTTCGCTGTCGCTCTCGAAGGAGGAGTATCCCGAGCCGCTTCGCTTGGGAAAGCTTCGTGTTTGTTGACGGCCGAACATTGCGAATGTGCTGTGTTGTGTTTGTGTTTGGTTGTGTATATTGTACTTCGAGACTGTAGTATCGACAAGAGCCCGGTATTATATAAGAGGCTCTATGGATAGAATATCGAATCGGTGACGAACAATGAGGGCAGGACAGTGACGGAAAAGGGAGAGGAATCAAGCCCACTATATAAGCCGGAAGCCCTATGCAGTGATCACCAATCTAAAGCTCAGATCGTTCGAGACGAAAAGGCGCCCTAAAATTCTCAGAAGCGACGGCGATCAGGACCCGCGGCGGCGCCCAACGGAACCAGGCCGACCCCTACATCATGCGGTCACTGAGACCTACCCTACGGATACCTTGGAGCCCGTCAGATGGGATTTTCTGGATGACGACGGGATGGATGGGATGTGGCCCAGGGTTGGTGGTGGTAGTGGGTTGTCATCAAAGAAAAGGGTGTGGCTAAGTGTGGGCTTCCCCTTGGCCCTTGGCCCTTGGCCGGCGAGACGAACATGTATCCAACCACAAAGTACCCGTAACCCAACGAGAAAACCAAGACTAGCCAGTGACAAAAGTTTACGAATAGCCGCAACTTTTGGAAACTTGGGACACCCCTTTCTGAGGTAATTCGGGCTAGAATGAGTAATGACGATGGGGCCGGGAGGGTGCGCTGAGAGCTCCGTCTGGCCCGGACGCTGCCCGGGACAAGGCATTAAACTGGGCCATGTCAAGCAATTTTTTCTTCTTATTTTTTTCGTTCCATTTTCACTTCTCGCCTTCCTTGCTTCTCTGAACCTTGGACGAACTGGACGTGCGAATGATGGGACGCCAAAAAGGCCCGAAACACGTAAGGAAAAGGGCCATAAAGAACTGGAGCTTCGCACGCGGGAAGTTTTCGTGGCTTGACGTTGGTCCATGTCTCTCTGTTTGATCCATGGAATTGACGAAAAAGGGACTCGAGAGAGAAAATTTCTACTGACGTTGTTTCGTGTTTTGCTGAGGCGGAAGATGGATACGTACACTAGACCACGTCTGTACACATAACATAAAGAGACATTTACTTCATGTCTCTCCTTGGCTGTTATTAGACAGGTATTAGTGTGTAAGTGTCATGCAGGGCCAGCAACACGACCTAACTAAACCCGCCCGCACCGGCCGGCATCACAACCTCCCGTCCGCGGCGCGCCCTGCCCTGCCCCGGTTCGTTCCATAACTCAGTATACATCGTCCTGCCATGATGCGATGAGCGGTGTCAGCTCCGCGTCCTTGACTGGACGAACGCAGGCTGCGACGTGGACAGGGTGGCTGCGCACGATCATGCGATGGATCACGGAAAGCATAGGTAGGGCAACACATCATCATCCGCCCAGGCCGCCAAATGACATCTGCCGGGCGAGGAAAGGGATAAGGCGAGGCGAGGCGATTTAACTCTCCATGGGTGAAATGTATGCATGTACTCGCTACTTGGGGCTGTGGTGTCGCGTTTTGCTGTGGCTGATCATCGACGGGCGTCGCTGTCAACATCAACAAAGCCCGCCCGATGAAACGGAAAACTCTCTTCTCTTCTCTCCCTGGCAACAATCCAATCCGAGACACTATTGACCGCCGCCCCCCATGATGCGATGCCATGCGCCCATGAAGCGATAAGGATATCCAGGGGCTCAAATCGTGCTATTCGCCATGGCAACGCCCATCTGACCTGCGGTGAAAGTAAGTTTGGCCCTGAAAAGCCTGAAAGGGGGGCTTCAGGTTGTCTTAGACACCGAGACATGCGCCCAGCGCCGGCACTTGCGGACTCGGGTCGCTGGATCAAATGACGGTGACGCTGCGGGACGGGCGCGGGAGGATTGGGTGTGCAGAGGACATGTCAGATGGGCGCCGCCGCTCCTGGGAATCACAATTAGAACCTCACCACATCATCCAGCCCAACCTCAAATTGCGCCCGTAAAACATCTTCCCGGCTCCGGCAGGGCATCATCGAATCTAACCAGAGGCGGCGGGCCTCATCTCTTACGTTCCCGTCTATTCCCGCGAAGAGGGGCCACCAACACCAGGGGTGCGTTTTACGTTTCACGGTGTCAGTGTGGTCCACCAGGGAAACACGAGAGAGAGGGGCCCGATGCCGCACCGGGATGGGGGGCGCCGAAACTCGGTGAAGTGGGCAGTAGGCCGATTCCCGTCGCAGCATTCACTTTGACGGGACGGTGTGAGGCTTCGGAAGCCGGCAGCGCCGGTCGTTTCTACTCTCTTCCACTCGTCGTCTAGTGAGAAAGGCGAGAGGGAGGATCGTCGTGGCGCGGTCCATGGCGCCATGGCCACATCATCAGCCGGGCACTTCGGGCCATGCCACTCAGCTCAGCTCAAGCTCAAGCTCGACCGGACGAAAGCTATCGAACGAAGTCAATTCCTGGCTGAGAATCTGACGAAATCTGATCCTCTAGAGAAAGCTTGTGTCGACGTCTGGTTTGCCAGATAAGCGCTTGGAGGACAGCTCACAACCCAGCCGGCGGTCTAGAACGCTGGGATTACCTGCTCACCTTGCCACCATCCATCTGCTGCGTCATCTCATTTTCATCGTCTTCATATTGGACGGTATCGTTCATTGATTTGTCGTCTGTTATCTCATCACAGACTCAGCTTCACATGCCCACAGCCACATCCCTAACCCTTGGCCCGCTTGGCTTCCCCGCCTGTGACTCTCGAAGCCACACATGATCAACGCCCGCCAAGTTCTCGATGTGGGTTGCGCCATCGCCAGACATGCAACGCCGCGCTGAGCCACTTTACGCGAGCATTACTTCACATCAAGACTTCTCGGCAGCTGGGCGACGCCAGTTGTCGTTTTCATCGTTCTCGGCCGCTTGGCTGGTCGGGCTCAACAACGGGGTCTCTCTCGTGCAGGGCTGAACATTGAAGTCGGCCGCGTACATGGGAAGTTGACGCCTGCTCTCGGCGGAGTGCACTCCGGAGGCTAACAAGCCACCGACAGAATTTTGAGGGATCGAGGGAAGCCGCTAAGCATTCGAGAAAGACAGACGCGCGGAATAGGCAAGCTAAGGCTCAGTATGACTTCACTAAAACGTCGATCTCATACTAAGATGGTGTTTTGGCTTGAACTCCCCGCTACGTTTTCTTTCTAGCGAACGGCTTGTCGCTATTCTTGTCCCCTCAGTGAAACGAGACAAGGTTCTAGTTGAATAGACTGCAGTTGAGCTTGACGACATCGCCGACTCAGCCTCCAGGTTTCTGGCCGTGACCAATGTAAGCTTCATTTTGATTTGCGTGGGTGCGGCCCATTACAACAGCGCCCAGCGCTTTTCGTACGGTGACATACGATGAGTTCAAACTAGCTCTCTCATTTTCTGACTTTGTTGAAACCACTCATTACTCTCAGTACCTGCACATAATAGAACCATCGTCCGACATTCAGCTAAAGCATGAACTCGCCTTTCTCGCACATCCAAGGATCACCATAACACAGCATATCATCAAAACCGTGACCCAGCTCCTGTCTACCGAAGAAATCTTCGACCATGTCCGTTGAAAGCTTGTTGTCCCAGATGCAGTTCCCGTGGATATCAAGCCACTTCACCTTGATGAAATCCCCACGCAGTGCTTCCTCGTCCACGACAAAGATGTGTGTCTGCTCTTTCACGGACGCTTCTTCCACTGGAGCCATGTGATCCTTCGTCTCCCGCTGCCATGGCTCTATCTCATCAACGATTGAGGGCATGCGAAGAACGATGCGATTCCAGTTATCCCCGGCCTCAAAGGCTCCATACAGATCTTCGTTCTCGAGTACGCATTCTGGATCGACGCCGATAATTGTATCCGACGTACATATCGCTGCCTTCATGGTTTTCCATGCCTCGGCTAGTTCGGGATGATAGCAAGTACGAAGCAGCAGAGTGAAATGGTACTTGTCGGGACACATGGTGCGTTCCTCCCAAGTCTGATGAGGACTTAAAATGCGAGAGATCTGCTCGGCTGTTGGAAATCCTGGCCCGGCTGGACTGGCTTTCTTGAGACTCTTTGCCGTCCAGATATACGGCTACGAGGGGCTTAACAACTAGCGCATTCCAGATTATATTGGTTTGTTACACTGACTTTGCGCTCGAAGTGTGTCATATCCAGCCATCGACGAGCCAGTTCATCCCACTGCATCTGGTCTTCTTCAGCGCCCCTCTCGTCATCCCAATAGTGCTGAGAAACAAGAGATAATTAGCCTCAGCTTCAACCAACTTACTCTGGAATAACACTTACTATAACGAAGCAGTCGAAGGGTAGTTTTCCATAATCGAAATATCCGTCACTATTGAGTGGATGCCTCGGCTCCATTTTACTTGAAGAACAGAAAACGGCCTAGTTGAGAAGGAGAGAGACAGTGAAGAAACTTTTCGAAATGAAGAAAACTCGATACGAGCATTTTATCTGGTCCACAAACAGGCAGCGGTAGCCTGTGCCGCATTTGAGCAACATGGGTCAACCCCTGCGAAGAACGCGATCTTTCGTTCCGGAACCAACACGAAGTCACATGCAAACTAGATAGAGCAATGTGTCAAAACTGGTAGTCTAGATCTCCCGTGAATAAAACAGTACGCCTCGCAAAACCCGAGCCACTAACAGTGAAATAACGTAGAAGACCAGCTTCATGTCTCTAAACAAGCCTGATCTCACTTCCAATGTATGTCCCAGCCCCGCAGCTCCCGCTGAACTCGACATCCCCCACCGTCTCAGGCGTTCCGATAGGCGTCGTCTTCTCCGTGTTCCTGCTCAGCCCGATCTCCTGCGCGCCGCTCTTGCCGTTGATCTTGCAGCTGTCGTCGATCCTGGCCGTGATGACGCAGTGCGGGTTCGCGACGCTGCCGGCGTCGGGGTGCGGGTGGCGCGACTGGAACGAGGCCGTCTGGCCCTGGCAGACGTTGCCGTTGGAGAAGCGCGGGCTCTTGTCCTCGACGACGGTCGGGTCGCCGCCGCGGAGGATGCAGGCGTTGGCCGTGTCGGCGCCGCAGTCCTCGGAGCCCGTCATGATGTTCCAGGTCTTGCCTTGGCGGGCTTCGAGGGCTGCGGAGTTGGGGGTGATGGCCAGGCCGGAGGCGAGGGTGGCGAGGATGAGAGGTGCGAGGAACTTGAAGGAGTGCACTGAGATGCGTTAGTATAGGCGGTGTATGAGATTTATATGGTACTCACTTGTGTAATAGAGGTAAACGGTAAGACTTAAGTGCGTGATGAAATGAACTGAGTAGTTGAAGTAGTAGGGCTTTGCTGATGGTATTGGGTTAAAGGAATGACTGATTGAGCTGATGGTTGAGTTTGATGATGACTTCATTAGTTCCGTCATGTCGAGAAGGAGAATGTGTTCTTCTTATACTTCTTGGTGTCCTCAACCTTTGGCCTTCAGTTGCGTCGCATTCTGGCCATCATAGCAACACCATTGGGTGTTGTAACAACATACTTCAGCAAGTATCAATTGCATTGTAACTGATATAAAACATGGCTTGGCAATAGTTGATGGCAAGGGAGCTGAAGCTGCACATGAGTACTGGAGGTTTCCTGGCAATACCTTACACGGAGGCTGAGTTCGTCTGGTCTTGATGCTCGTCAATATGGAGGTTTCTTGGCCAAATATGAAGCACGGCTTTCTGGTGAACCTTCTTGACCACGCTCATTAACATCAAAAAATAGAACACTAAAACAGACTCTTGACTATAAGTTAGTTGTTTGTCTTACCTGAGTTCATACCGGTGTGTTGAGGCCCCTTTATGCCTCCTAATTAACTCTACTGATTAGTGGAGTCCACTGGCCTGAGTGAGTCCGCAAGGCGACCCCTGCCTGGAACAAACGAACGTAGATTTCGACTCAAAATACACGCCAAGGTCAGCGCTCAGAATGAAAGATGAGCAGGTGTTGTTTCTGTATTGAACAATGTGTATGAAAAATGTTTTGAGTGCGTATGCCAGACATCCTTGATGGCCGTTGTGAAAGGGCGTCGTAGTCAGACTGTTTGAACGCAGATCGCCGATCGAGATACGATGGAGGAACTTAAGCTATGAAACGTCTAATGTTGTCTCGGGAGATCTTCCCGATTGACGTGATCAGTGATTTGAGCCATGTGCGCCCCCTAATCAGATGCCCCAGATCCGCTGTAGCCAAGACACATGGCCCTGTGAGGCAGCAAGCACACGACTCGTACTGCATCGGCCTGCTTGGTTCTGGAAGGCTTCCGTGCTGGGTGACCCATTCAACAGAAGGAAACTTGTGCCTCAGCCCGCACGTCAATTCTAGCTGAAACTAGAAGCTCTTGTCATCAGCTTGGCCAGCTCTTTCGCCGAAAGGTTTCCCATTCTGTTCTCCATGAAGGGATATATCACCACGTTATATGGCTCTACATCGGATGAGCTGATGTCCCTGGCGTCCCTGAAGTTTGGATGTGCTTCAGACGAGACTGACCAAGGTGCTCTGGGGCAGGCTGTATCATCTCATGACCGAGCTGCTTGGTCTCCAGAATTACTGAGCAATCAATCATGCTCAATAGATCGACCATAAGGTAGTTCAAGGACAGAAAGGAGACATCTTGGCAATGCATAGGGCTGACTCGGTAGCCTCCCGTGAAGCAGCAAGCTGACAACTGGCCCACATCGCCGGCATTCATGCGTGCTAACTACAGTGCTAACGATGCTGGGCTGGTAAGTGATAACACTGTCGGATAGCGCACATCTCGGGTGTCCAGATTTTGACTCCTCATCCCTCACGACGTTTGTGGTGCCAGACGGAGTCTCTCTTACGCATTCCTCCTTACGAGAAACCTCTGCGGTTATTAAACTCACCGGAAACCATTCTTCAACGAGCCTTGATCAGAGATCTTTATTCTAGTATCTGGTTGCCGACTGGCAATCGCTATTAGTTGGTAGTCACCGACGATGCCGCCACCGCGGTCTATGACTTTCACGGGGTGCGTCTTCTTGATAGACGTTGTGTTTCTGTACCTCAAGTCAGAAATCAAGGAGTTGTTTCTAATTCTTGGTAGTTGTTGGACTTGTAAAAAGCGGAAGGTTAAGTGTGATGAGAGGCCTTTAAGTTGCGGGAATTGCGAGAAGATGAGAATCTCTTGCGGCGGTTATGGCATCAAACTGCAGTGGATTCCGATATCAGATAAAAGTGTAAAATCTGAGGAATCTTCGACCAAAAGTAGTGGAAGAGGCAGGATATTGATCCGTAAGTCTCAATGTTGTTAGCAATGCTCTTAGAGGAATGAGTCTGACGACTTACTTGGCAAATAGCTCGAGATGCAGGCCCTACGTATGACTTGAATGAGATAGATGATTTGCTGGAGACTTTGGAGAAACAGGCAAGATCGAGATCATGGTCAAGAGTAGGGCCGTTTACCGTCTTCCCATTATTCACCGAGGAGACTGAGACCCGAGAACGCAAAATCATCGAGCCCGAACCAACGAACGGTGAGAACCAAATCGTCGGTCTTCCGCCAGAGGAAATGATCCAAGACAAGACATGGGCGTTACATACGGCCCTAATTTCACCTGTATCTGGGCATCTTGAGAATGAAGCTGGTATGTCATTGGACGCATACATCGACAATGCTGAATCGGCGGCAGTTTCCGGTGAAGAATCGGGCACTGATTCAAGATGCTCACGTACTGGGTGTTCCGAAACGCCCATAGAGTACATTTGCCGGAGTTCAATCAAGAAGGGCATACCGATCAGCATCTCTGGCAACAAAGTCATTGACAGACTCATGCATCACTACGCTGAGCATGTTGCTGTCATGCTTCAGCCGATCCAGCATCATCACAACCCATACCGGCAACTGTACGTTCCGGCAGCCTTGGAGGCAGCTTCAACATTGACCTCAGAAGTGCATCTTCAACTACAACCATCCAAAACGGCAGTGCAATCTGTAATTTTCCATTCGCTACTTGCGTCGTCTGCGTTCCATCTATGGAACTGCCTCCCCTCCCAGACACTTTACGCCCAACTTGGCGTGCGCCACCGACAGCAGGCACTAGTTCTCCTTCGATCTGCCATCAGCCTCGAAATGCCTATGGCGGTGTACAAGACGTTGATGGTAGCCATGCTGTCATTAGTTACTATTGATGTAGGTTTACACTGTCATAAACCTCGAAATTTGCTGCCTCCTACGTCAAACTAACCATTGGCTTAGTTCATGTCAGGATGCGAGGCAGACTTTGCGGTACACCTGCAAGGCACTAAGCAACTGAGGAAACGCCGACGAAGATGGAAAATCATCTCCCGAGAAACGCAACAACTGAACGAAATCAGTGACTTTCTCTGCTTGCTAGCTCGCACAATGGCCTTTACCGAGCCACCGAAAGCCTGGCTCTCCAACGCCGCAGACGATACAGAGGGACCTCTCGTATTTCAGCCACAGTCTGAATGCTGCTACGGTTATATGTATGGAATAACCCCTATCGTTGCATCCGCAATACAAGAGACCTGTTGGTTGGGGGAGCATTTATCATGGTACGAATCATCAGAGCAGCCCATTTCAGATCGTCTCCTCGATGCCTCCGAAGCCCTTGGCGACAGGCTCTGTTCATGGTCACTCGAGCTTGATGGGTTTCAGAACACGATTACCGGGAATGAAGACACCATTCAAATCTTTCGACATCATGCCAATGCCTGGCACCTGGCTGCCGTCATATACTACCACCGACGTATTCAGAAATGTCGAGCCGAAGACCACGATGATCTCGTTGATAGGGTAGCCAGGCACATGCATGCCGTTGAGGATATCAAGGATCTTTCAGCTTCTTCTGCGACGCAGAGAATGGCGCCTATCATGTGGCCAGCTTTTGTGGCTTCTTGCGATGCTAGAGTGCGTAGTCCTTGGCAGCTTTGGTGGCAGCGAGTCAAGTGCTATCATTTCGGAAACTATGAGAGGCAATGGGAAGTTATCCAACAAATATGGCGGGCCAACGATGCAATGATTCAGAGAGAGGCGGACGACTTTGATTGGATCGATGCCTTCAAAGACTTGGGGATTGCTCTGTTTCCGATATGATGAGTACATGTACATAGAGCTCATAATGCGGCGTGTGTACACTACTTCGATGCCCAAGAAGTAAAATGCGTTTGAAGCCAATAGCGAATGGCCGATATTCAGTCCGGTTCTTGCCGTGGATGCGATCCTTGGAGCATATCGACAAACGAGTCTGGCCAGGTAGCGTCTGGCATCATCATGGGCCACATGAGGCTTTCTCCAAATCCCATACTGAAGTCAATGCCCGCTGCAGTTTGCATTGGAAAGACCGCCGGGGTACTCTCTGCCCCGATGAAGGGTAGTGAGATGTCGTTGGGAACACCACAGTAGGCGGCTTGACTGAGGGCCTGCCCGGCCTGGTCGCCAACTATCTTCGGTTGTGATAGCGAACTGTTGGCGCTGATTTCTTTGGACATCCCAGCTGAACTTGCGCATCGCCGCCGGATGTTATTCATCATATCCCATGCAAGTTTCGAGCCGCGAGAGTTGCCGGATAATGCCTTTAGGATATCCGTACAAGTCTCAACATCTTCATCTAGCGTCGCGACGCTGGCTTCGTTGTCTGGTGTCTGCTTCAAGAGCGCACTAGCCATGACCATGATTGAAGCTGAACAGACGAGGCAAGAGATCATTTGCCACCAGGGGTAGTTCATCACTATATCCATGATGTCATTAACATGATGCATGAGGCGGGCAATGGACTGGGCTTCTGAAGCACAGATCTTTCCGTACTCCTGACTTCTACATGCTTGTTCCAATGGGAGGCAGCTTTTCTCGGCGCAAGTATGAAGTAGATATGGCCGGTGAATGAGCGCTCGCAAGTGGTGAAACTTAATGGCCAACATGTTTCGCTATAGCCAAGTCAGTCTGTGCTACAGTCACAGAAATGAATACATGGACTTTTAGCATACCTGGCGCTTGAGAGTCACCGATTTCTCGAATGCGTGCCCCAGATCGAATCTAAGAAACCTTGGCAGGTTCTGTTTCCACGCTAAAAGGAGGTCGTCGCATTCCTTGGTGCCCCGTAATCTGGCTGACGCATCGCGCCGGGGATGGTAACATTCTCGAAGGACTCGTCCTATGATGGAGGAGAACTCAATGACGCGAGCGAAATACTCGCCGGGACGACCATTCGTTCGAAGCTCGGGACCGTTGTCTTCGTCGGTGATCTCAGGGTCCAAGCCGGTTATGTGATTAGGAATAGAGACGTGACAGTCATGGTCCGAGATGGCGGGTGGTCGACCGAGTTGCAAGGCTGTCAGCCGGTCGAGGACATACAAAGAATACCAAACTCTGCCCCGAATTTCGGGTCGTTCTGTGCTTGGTTGATCAGAGTTCCGGGCCGGCTCGTTCTCTCGAATGTCGACGTGCAGGCCGATACTCTGCGCCAGTCGAATAGCGAGCCCCAGATAAGCCCAACACCTGTCGATCTCCGACGTTGCTAGTAGATAGAAGCACTGTGCCAGTAAGGCTGAGACTTGGGTCAAGGATCTTTCTAACATATCATGGCGGGAAAGAAGGAGAGAGCGTTGGAATAATTTGTTATGAGACGGCTTTTCTTGGCCGTTTTCCTCGAGGAAAGAGTCGTAGTAGGACCCAATGGCGAGTAAGGAGTCTCCAGGTGTCAGTTTGTTCCTGCATGTGGGAAACTGCAGTTCAGCAGGTGATCAAACTTACATAATAGAGATAACCAGGAGTGTGTAAGCCCTGCGTCAAGCTCTCCGGCTTGTAAAGCTTCGAGCTTAGCTTTGAAGGGCGCTTCTTCCACCAAGGGGTACGCGACATGGATAGTTGAGAAGTAAATGCCCAGGAAGCAGTCTGTTTGGGCTTCATTTGGCATATCCGACAGTGAATTCTGAAGATACTCCATAGTACTGGGTGCTTCAGTGTCGTAATTATCAACCTCTTCGTCGTCATTGCGAGCTGCATTGCCTCCATTGTAAGGAGCGGCTGTCTGCCTGACCAGATTGAAGAAATGAATGTCGCTGACTTCGCCGACATATCTAGGACTTTGAAGGCGTTGGATGAGAGCAGGGCTATTGCCTGAGGCGCAATTGGGGCTCGTGAGAGTCGTATCCGATGAAGAACGGGGGAATAGGTGTGCCTGGATGCAAGCGAGGCTCTTTTCCACCTCTTTTCTCTGGTGTGGCTCAAGGTTTGATGCCAGATTTTGAAGTGCTTGCTGGTATTTTTCAAATACATCTTCTGGGTTTATGGCGTCATGTGGTTCGAGCAACGGCCGTGGCGGTGTGCAACTCTCATCCCGCGGCGATTTCCCAATGCCCCATGAGCAACGATAGTCGTAACCAGCACAACGGCCACAAATAGGCCGCTTGCCATCACACTAAGCAGCGTTAGGTAACAATTGCATATGAATCAACGCTGTAAGAGAACGTACTTTGGACTTTTTGGCGCGGCAACTATTGCACGCGACGCTGATGCGCTTCCGCTTCAGAACCGGCGGCTCTCCCGAGTCATCCGCCATTGTCGCGCAGACACCCGCGTCTGCAGACGCGATTGAAGACCCGCCGAGTCGCGTTCGAAGCTGCCTGAAACTTCAGAACACGGGGGATGAGGAGGAAAGAATAATTTCAATCGTCAAGTCGGCGCACAGAAGCCGCATGTGCAGAAACATGAACAGGGGCTTGGCGGGAGCAAAACATATTAAACATAGTTGCCGCTCTAACCGTCCGATCCGATCGTTCCGCCATCACCACATACCAACGCTAGCCAATCACGTCAGTACAAGCCCAGAGAAACTTGAAGATAAAGACAAGCTGAAGTCAATGTCTGCTCTGCCATGGACAACACAGAATAGCAGTTTGATGACACAATTGCAACGTGCACATGCCTCTCGTCCCTACCACAGACTGTAATTCCTGACTAGAAACAGTACGATTAGCCATAATTTCCCAACTTGAGTAGCCGATCGTCCTAGATATGATGAAGGCTTCGTTCAAGAGGGTTCTCCTGCGTGAAAATGCGTGATTCTGAGTCGAAGAAGGATTTATTTGACGGTATGTTAATGACTCGACCTCTCTACGTCGAATGTTGTCAGACTGACGCCGATTGAAGACTATGTAATTGCAGACCAGGGATTCTTTAAGCCTAGAAATTCCTTAGAAACAATTATTATTCTAACACTTCGGTACCCAGATGTAGAACCGATCGAATGTGTAGGCTTCTTTTCACAAACCCAGCTGCAAACAGGGTACGGACCGAACACCGGCCCCTCCCCCGCATTCTCCAAGTGACATCACGTCCACGTTTGACGCCAGCACTCTCCGCTACGCCGATCTCACGACCGCCGGAACACCAACACGTGGGTCCCGCATGCTGGCGCGGTTATCCCTCCGCTACCAAGCTCACGTAAAATAATGTTGAACGACGCGGGGTAAGCTCCTACCTCGGCGTTAACAACCTGAAGTTTTCCGGACTTGAGAGCAGCCGGTACCTTCATTGGCCGTTTCAATCTGCCGAGCTTGTTATGCGTGGAGCACACCCCAGCCGCTGACGACGAAAACCGTTGCTGGCCCTGCTTCGAGGCCCGTGAGTTGGACCGAACCGGCGGACAACCATCCGAAGGTTTATATTCAGGCCACGAGCCCACCATGTTCGTCAGTAGGGTGTCGACCTGGAATCCCCGGCCAAGTCCAGATCTGGCTCTTGCAATCTTTCTTCTGGTGACAGAAAGAGATTCGTGGTCTTCGCACTACTGTTCGTCGTTGGGTTTTGCGCACTCTTTTGCGTCCCCAGAGCCTGAAATAACCCAACTGCTCGCTACCAACAAGCCATAATGGCGGTCCTAACGCCACGACAGGAGAAGTTCGATGTTGCAGAAGTCGAAGAGGGGCGCCACGAACAGATAACGAGGAAGGATGAGATCGGGCGTATCGACGCGATTGCCACTGCTCAGGGTACTACTCTCGCATCTTTTGCGCACTTGGACGAAAAGAAGATCCTGAGGAAAGTAGGTCATCTCCCTTGCTCAAGACATAAAATGATCTCAGCACATAATGAGAATACTGAAGAGACTAACATGCGAGCGACTTCACTCAGATGGACATGCGGCTCATCCCAATGCTGGCTTTATTATACCTCCTATCCTTTCTTGATCGTAAGAAATTCTTGCTTGAGCATTGAGATGGTCGCTAATTATCGTTGCAGGCGGAAACATCGGCAATGCGAAGATCGAAGGACTACAAGAGGATTTAGGAATGACATCCGACCAATACAACTGGTGTCTTACTGTCTTCTTCTTCACATATGCAGCCTTCGAAGTTCCGAGTAACCTTCTTCTCAAAAAGCTACGCCCCAGCATTTGGCTCCCTATTATCATGGTAGCATGGGGCACGGTCATGACGCTCATGGGCATTGTCAAAAACTACCATGGTCTTCTGGTTGCGCGCATCTTTCTCGGCGTGACCGAAGCTGGGCTATTTCCAGGAGTGGCTGTTAGTGCCCCCATGACTGTTTCCATCGATACTTGAATTGTCAAGCTAACGGAATTCTAGTATTACTTGACTATGTGGTACTGTCGGCATGAGATCCAACTCAGGTAAGCCTCTCTCAGACTTTCGGTTCTCCTGAAAGGCCAAAATCTACAGATTAGTCTGCAGACTACGACGCCTTACTGAATATTCATAATAGGCAAGCAATGTTCTTTTCTGCAGCCTCTATAGCAGGAGCTTTCAGTGGTCTCTTGGCCTTTGCCATCTCGAAGATGGACGGCACCGGCGGCTTAGAGGGATGGCGCTGGATCTTCATTCTTGAGGGAATCGTGACCGTGGTTGTGGCAGTCTGGGCATTTTGGGCACTGCATGACTTCCCCGAGACGGCTAGTTTCCTTACTGAGGAGGAGCGCGCCTTCGTGGTTTATCGTCTGAAATACCAGGGCCAGGTCCAGGGGAAATCAGACAGCCGAGTTCAGGTTGCTGAAGCTGATGAGTTTAAGTGGAAGTACGTCTGGGATGCTTTCCTGGATTGGCAAATCTGGGTCAACATCTTTGTGTACTGGGGCGTAAGTACTCTTGTCTCGATGTACGTGACTTGCCGACTGACTGTGAGCCATCTAGATTGTGTGTCCATTGTACGGAATCAGCCTGTTTCTCCCGACCATCATTCGAAACCTCAACTACACAGCGAGCACTGCTCAGCTGATGACGGTTCCGATCTACATAACTGCTGCCATCCTCGCAGTTGTCGTTGCGTATCTATCTGACCGACTGGGCAAACGAAGCCCTTTCATCGTCGGATTCTTGTGCATGATGATTGTTGGCTTCTCGATGTAAGTGGTCCTTTTCATATCGCCATCTTTTCACGATCACTGACAAGGCTTTGCCTGTAGGTGTATATCAAGTTCGAATCCTCGAGTAGTCTACGGTGGTGTCTTCATTGCTGCTTGCGCCATCTATCCTGCCTTTCCGGGAGTTATCAGCTGGCTTGCCAACAATCTTGCTGGAAGCTATAAGCGTAGCGCCGGAATGGCCCTTCAGATCGGCGTTGGAAACCTAGGCGGTGTATGTCATTTGCATGAACGATATTGTGGACTTCGCTAACATGTTGCAGGCTATGGCTTCCAACTTCTATCGACAGAAGGATGCGCCACGATATATCCTGGGTCATGCACTGGAACTTGGTTTTATTTCCGTCGGCATCATAGCTGCTCTGATTCTCATCTTTTCGTACATCAGAATCAACAAACAGCGCGACAGGAAAATGGCAGCCGGAGAAGACGTGCGATATACGGCGGAGGAGCTGTCAGCTAAAGGAGACAAGGCTCTGACCTTCCGCTACATGTGGTAGTCTTTGAATAAGGATTGAAACTATGAGCGTCAGCATAATTGAAACACAGTTACCTGATGTTTAATCGTTGTTAACCATTATTTGACAACAGAGATGCACTTGCTCTAGAGGGTATGATTTCCACAATATCGTTAAGAAAGAGGCTAGCAACAACCTCACCATAACCGAAAAGGAGAAAGTTCAAGATGAAAATTCAATACAGCTTATTCTTTTTCGGTCTAAGCCAATGAATGTCAGCCACGTTCTCTGTGTGATATGCAGCATGAGGGCTGATGCACGCAAACCGACATGCAGGTTACACGACCCATTATTTCGTCCCAACATAGACATTCAGGCGGCTCTTGGGAACAGCATACCCCTCAAATAAAATCGTGTCACCAGGCTGTGAGATGTTTCCCAGTTTTGAAACCCATCTCCGGGGAATCGCCGCCTCAGAGCAGCTCGTGGTCGACAAAGTGCAAGACGGAGGGCCTCGCGATTGCTGGCAACGTACTTCAGTTCGTTGAAGTAAGTACGAAACTCGCCCGCAGGTTCTACTTGTACTGGCGCAACCCTGAGGAGGCTCAGAAGGAAACTCAAGAAATAAGCGATGCAGTAGCCGATCTACGCACCATTCTCTCGAAGTTGGAACCGGATGGATATAACGAAGAGTTTCCAGAATTGGCAAGGATGATTCATTCTTGCATCGAATTAACTCAACAACTACTGGATTTGCTCAAGCGACTACAGGGGCGATATCACAAGGGCAGAATAGACCGCTTCGTGCAAAGTCTGGTCCATTCAACCAAGCACTTGGTGAAGAGGCAAGAGATTACGGAACTTGAATCACGAATATACCGGCTGAGGCAGGCAATATCAACTCATACACAGTTCCAGCTCAAGTAAGTCGTGTTACAGTTGAGCCTTTACGAAAGTAATATCACGGTCTGACATCTCATGGTTACAAGGAGTCAGCTTGATACACTGAGACAAGACCTTGTGGTCGAGAGAAAGCAAGCAGATACAGGACAGTCGACATCCCAATATCCATCATTAGCTGCGACGCAAAGAAGCCTCCGCGTGGAGCTTCAGCTCATGAGAGATGGAGTTAAAGACAAAGAAGTCCTCAAACTCACAGATGTGAATCACGTTGGCAATATCATTTGCGAGTTGGCTCCTGCATTTATGCCATTCGAAAAGGCCCGTCGAATTGTTAGGAGCCTCCATTTCGAGCAGATTCACGACCGAGAATCAGATATCAGACCTGCGCATGAGAACACATTTGAATGGATATTCCGAGACAAAACCACGCGCTTTATCGAGTGGCTGCACCAAAGACACGGTCTCTATTGGATCAGCGGGAAAGCAGGGTCAGGCAAATCCACCCTCATGAAGTTTCTGACGGGACACCCGAGGACAGGTCAAAATCTACAAGTGTGGGGCGGTGATAATTATATCGTCGCAAAGCATCACTTTTGGAGCGCTGGAACTCCTCTACAAATGTCTCAGGAGGGACTTCTTCGTACCTTGCTGAAAGATATTCTTCTCAGGCGACCAGACCTTTGCAGCAAGGTATGTCCAAAACAGCGGAGTGAGGACAACCTGGTTGACATACCATCGTGGACCAGAGCGGAGCTACTCGAATGTCTCATGAGACTCGGCGACCTTACCAGCGGATCTGATGACACAGTTCAGCAAGTCAATATTTGCATTTTCATCGACGGACTTGATGAGTATGCTGGAGATCACGTTGAACTCTCCCGCCTAGTTCAAAAGCTCGCAACCTTTACAAACATCAAAGTTTGTGTCTCTAGTCGTCCATGGAATGATTTCACGGACGCTTTCGGGGGGAGTCATTGGAAACTGCAACTCGAAGAACTCACCGAGCGAGATATCTTGCTCTTCACCTCCGACACGCTCGGAGACAACGAACAGTTCCAGCTGCTTAGAGAAAGTAGTACAGAGGATGCAAATGCTTTGGTGGAGCAGATATCGGAGCGAGCTCAGGGAGTCTTTCTCTGGGTATTCTTGGTTGTCAGATCTCTACTTCGAGGCTTGAGGAACGAGGATAACTTGCCAACGCTTCATCGTCGCATGTTGGAGCTCCCCAACCAGCTAGAGGAGTTCTTTGGTCGAATGCTCGAGACAATCGAGCCGGTATACAAGATGCCGGCGGCGCGGACTCTGTTGATGGTCTCCCGAGCCGGTGGATCATTTCCGATGCTCACATTTCTGTTCATCAACCTGGAGGGCTCCGGTGACGGTCTTAGGACCGAAGCCTCAATACTGCTGGAACGATGGCCAGATATTGATCCAGAGGCAAAGGAAATGCTCAGGGTCAAACGGAAGCAGCTGGTAGCGCAATGCCGAGATCTTCTGCACATCGCCACAAATCCAGACGAGCCCGAATTGCTCGGAGAGAGAGTTGGGCCGCTTCACTGAACTGTTCTCGACTACCTGAAGACAGAGCAGGTTCATTCAATCCTCATTGAAAAGGCAGGAGGAGATTTCGACCCGTATCGTGCACTGCTGGTAGCTCATGTTCTCGAGATTCGGACACTCATTCGGAAAGCTGGTTTAAGGCACTTGAAAAATCATTTATGCCGATGGATCGACGACATTTTTGATTTTGCTGTAGGTTTGGAGGTATGCACAGGGGAAACCGACATCGAAACACTTGACGGATTCGAACAGTTCCTCATACGCCTTTTTGAGGACTACCATTATCCTTCTTTTGAGGAAGGAATGAAGTCTTTCTTCATGGTTGAAGAGCATGCTTCGTCATTCGTGAACCTCGCCGCACATCGAGGACTGAGAATCTACCCTCTTACTAAGGGGTTTGACCTCTCAGGCTTGTACTACGAGGGCTCTGGCGGTGAAGATGAACGTGATTCTAGAGCTGGAAGCAGCAGGGGGGACACGGATGCACATGATACCACCCGCACGAAAGGATCTATCTGGACCAGACTTCGTGTTGTTTTGAGGATAGATTAAGAGAGAACCTAAGTTTCATGAACGGAGTTCTTTATGTAAGCCGTAACCGGAATGGAATGGGTTTTAAACAATTAATACATAAAATTCAAGACTTGAGGATGCAATATTTTCCCTTGGAGTCGCATATCAGCCAGCAAAAATGAGAATTCTGGACAAGAAGTGTTTCCCAAGACACGATAATAACCCAGACGTAAACCTTTTCTTCTTCTCTTGACAATTCTGAGCGACTAAGTAAACAAAAACGTTATCATCCATCAAAAACATAGGTTCTCCGTTGACCATCATTGATCGTGCCGGGAATTCGGGGACATCTCGCTTAACAGCGCTAAAAGAAGAGAATCGGTCAGCCATCTAGGGTGAACAATCCGCCAACAAAGCAGACGACAGCAATTGTTACCGACCGGCGTTGAAGATACACGCACCTACATGAAGTAAGGTACCTTCTTGTATTCAATAGGTGACCCGAACCTACTGGTTGAGGCTTCCCGATCGACAGTTTCTGTGCTTCCTTCTCGGGTCTAGTAAACGTCCACGGAAACACGACCTCTTTATCAGCAGGTGCGGGGTTGGTTTCACTCCGAATATCACTTAACGCAAATTGGCCGTAGGCCACAGCATCAGACTTCGGATGCTAATTTCTACCTTCCGCTGCGTCTTCATTTTCAACCTCACTCCGATCAACATTTCCAGAGCAACGTGGCCTGCAACTGTGTCCTTCGTCATCCGGATCCACCTTCAACTTCATCGCTCTATTTAACCGAGGCAGTCAGCTGCTCTGGTACCTTCACCTCACCAGCAATTGAAGCAATCTCCTGCCTTCACCAACAAACGCTTTGGACAAGATGGCCTCTCTCGACGCAATTCTCGCCAAGTATACTGCAGGCCCTGGCCAGGACACCAAAGACAAGGTGCTCGGCGCCACTTTGGTCGTACTCAACAAGGACGGTAAGTCTCTGCAGTATTGCCCCTTCAGTACTGAGCATCAAGTCCCGAGGAACATCGCTTATTCAAAAGAGCAGGTCTTCTGTACAATGGGTCAGCGGGCCGCATCGATCATGCGCCTGATTCTAAACCGTGGAAGGACGATACCTTTTGCATGGTGGCGTCGATGACCAAGATCGTCACAGCTACAGCCATTATGCAGCTGGTTGAACAGGGCGTGCTCAACCTGGACGTCGACGTTCGCGACATCGTGCCTCAACTGAGACAAATGCCGATTTTGAGGGGCTTTACTGAAGATGAACAGCCCATTCTCGAAGACCACGACACTCCGGTCAGCTTGAGGTATGAGCAAGAAATTCCCAGTCCGATCTCAGAAAAAAGCAGCTAATTTGGGGCGAAGGATGCTACTTACACACACTGTTGGTCTCGGCTACGACCTCGCGGATGACGAACTCATGAGATGGCACAAGGCGGTAGGCCGTAAGGTCACTAACCTGGACTGGAGCCTGGAAGGCTTCACTACACCGCTGAAGTTCAAGCCTGGAGAGGGCTGGTTCTACGGCACGGCGGTTGACTGGGCTGGTCAGGTTCTTGAGAAAGTAACCGGTAAGACCCTCGGCGAGTACATGACCGAGAACATCTTCGAGCCTTTGGGCATGAAGGACACGGGTTTCTGGCCGGAGAAATTGCCCCACGTCGCCGAACGCACCGCCGCGTGGGCCTACCGGGGGGAAGACCAGGTTACTCTCGGCCCGGGCCCCCGCCCGTGTGCGGAGAAGCACCCCGTCGAAAGCGGCGGCGCGGGACTCTTCACCACCGCAGCGGACTACGCCAAGTTTCTGCACGCTCTCTTGACGCATAAGATTGTCAAAAAGGAGACTGTAGATGAGATGTTCCGACCTCAACTGGACGAGAAAATCGCCCGGACGTTGGAGAAGGAGGTGTTCAGGTGGCATGGGGCGGTGGAGTTTGAGAGGGACATGGGTCTCAGTTATGGGCTCAGCGGATGCATCAACATGCGAGATGCGATCGGAAAACGTAAGAAGGGCAGCATGACATGGAGTGGCATGGCCAATAGTCACTGGTGGATGGATCGCGAGTCGGGCATCGCGGCGGCGTTGTTTGTTCAGCTCATGCCATTTGGTGATCCCGTTGTTGTCAAGCTGTATGATGAGCTGGAGCGCGCCGTGTACAAGGATCTTCTGGGCGAAGTTTGAGATGGGGCAGGAACACGCGGAGAGGCAAGGACTTCTCTAGAGCTTTCCTAACATGATGGGCGGAGGTTGCTATTCATAGACATAATCATTTCATACACTCCAGTCTTCTACCGTGCTCATTATTCCTCTATTACCAGGCCAATTGCCTAACTATGAGATGAAGCTTCAGCTATCTCGTCTTCCAGTAGACTCAATATCCATTAATCCCTCGGTAAGGGCCTTTCGCGTCATCTCTGGAGTAGAAGGGCCCGAGAACGAGAACCCCTCGTCGGCCGCTTTTCGCGCCCAATCTGGTGATGAAGGACCCGAGAACGTCGGTGACGTAACCTTGGTATACCAACTATCTGGCCTCCCCGACTCTGGATCTCTCGATTGCCCTGTGTGTATCTTACTGAGTCGTTCAATGGGGAAGATGAAATCTCTTGGTTCCTGCATAGCTTGCGTTCCCTGTGTTCCCTGTGAAACCTGCTCCGATGGCATCGCCGAAGACGACTCCAGGCCCATGTCGGTTCTCATCATCGCCGTCAGATTTTGCGTCTGAAGTTTACTGCCTTTCAAGAACTTGAGTTCGATGGGCTGGAAGAAATTCCTCGTCGCACGACTCGAGTTGGGTGTGAAATCGCACCCCCGCATGATTAGAATGTTGACCGCGGGGAGGCAGGCGCAGATCATGCCTATGCTCACTTCGGCTGTGCTGGGGTTCACGGTCAGCTTGGCTCCCGACTCAAGTTTCAACACACATCTTGGCAAAGTATAGCGGGGGATTTGACGAACCCGAGGAGGTTGAAGCGGATGAAGTCCACCGGCTCATCCTCCGACTTCTGCAGCTGCACCACCAGGATCATACGGACGATGCTTGCTGCCGTAGCGATTCCACCTGCGCTGAGCATCGCCATGACTTTGAGCCGTTTTGACCATGACATTCTTAACGTGACGGCTACGGGTATTGGCAGACAGAGAACAGCCATGTCCGTTACGGCGCTGACGGCCGTGTCGGCGACGAATATGGCCCGCTGATTGAAGCAGTCCGCCTTGACATTCGGGTCCCAAAACCCGGGTATGGGCCGGCAGATCAGAGTCTTGATGAAGAAGACCGGGACGTAGTAACCAGTCATGAGAGCGATCACAGCGTATGCGCATAATACGGTCTTTCTGTACGTTCTGAAGACTCTTGTGACGATGAGCATCAAGGCGAGCTTCGTGAAGAACGAATTTGGTCCGTACACGAGTGAGTCCGCGTATAGCCCCAAAGAGGAGGTCAGTTGGTGGTTCAATGAGAGAGGGGGTCCGATCTTACTTTCTTAAATCCAATCAAGTCTGACTTGGAGATTTCGTAGACATGGTAGCCCCCGCCGAAGCGCTGCACTTCACAGCCAGTCAGTATGATGAAGCTATTGGGCTCGTGGTAACTACTCACTCACAAGTGCCGTGGCGCTGTAAAGCATAGATAAGACCTGTTGAAATGTGAGATGTGCAATATCGTGTGGATAAATGAACCAAGTCATACCCAAGCCACAACGGCCATCCCTAGAAGATGTGAGTGTTATGCCGCGTAACGTCAAGTAACTATGCCATCACATACAGTCGTCAATCTGAAATGGGGGCGTGATGAAGTACTTCACGCAGCAGCGGATTATCATGAAAATGCTGACAGACACAATCGACAGAATTTGCGACACGAGGTTGATCGTATGGAGGACGTCCGTAGGGTTGTCCAGGTTGGGCACTACGCCTTCCGGCGGGGGGGCCGCCCCCTCCTGGCTAGACATTTCGCATCGGATATCAGCGGGCCTGATGGTCGTCGGGTTCGAGGCGGCGCGATTTGATTCATGCTAGCAAACGAAGGTGGTACAGTTGGAGATGCAATCAAGACACCACATTGGCGTATGTTGCGACAGCAATCGTCGTCGTGAGATGTCGATGTCGTCTTATGTTGTTCTGGCCAGGACAGACGCGGGCGTTGTGAACGGCGCGTCTTGATATTTATTTGACATGGCAAGGCGAGCGTCGCAGGGTGAGACGGATGGCAGGGCGTCGTACTCTTAGTGGTCAGCAATCTGCAGAGAAAGTTTGATTGATGCTTCGAAACGTTAATCACGGGGATGCGGCCGGCTCATGACAAGCTTTTGGTGTGAGGCGCCCGCCGTCAGCGCGCGGACCGCGTATTGGGAGCAGCTCATGTCGTCCGGAGCACCCCGTGACGAGGGCTGCTGGTTGCTGAGCAGAAGTTCTTCTCACGATGATTGAGCGTTGAAAGGATGTCTGTAGATCGGCAATTGAAAGGGTCTTGAGGCGGCTTTCAGCTATCGAGAACTCAACAACACACGTGGTCTCGAAGTTTCAGGAGCAAACGGAAGATTACTTCGGCGTGGTTGGAGATGTATGCTGCAGCACAAGTTTTCCCCCGCCTGATCTAGCCCAACGAGGACTTCCAATCGGCGGGTAGCTCGACGTGCATACGAGTTCTGACGAGCAGATGGCCGGTTGGCGACTCATGATGTTGCAGGAACCTCTTCTGGAGGGGATGTCTACTTGGTGAAAAAGGCCGGTCCAGTGGACGAGAAGGGTGACCGGATCCAGCTCCGAGCAAGGACGCAGCCGGTGATTCCGTCCAATGGGCAGCATCTGAAGTATCAAGACTGACTCGTCAAACGAGAATCGACGAGGGGTGCGAGAGCCGTTGTGAGGTTACGGGTCGTGCGGGGTTTGCCAGCCTCATCCTATTTCACTCGCTCATGGCAACCGGACGCGGACATTGAAGCTTGAGACCGCGGCCGAGCTCAAGGCTGCATGGTGCTACGATTCCCAGGAGTCGGGGTCGTTATCCACATTTCAAGCTTTTGACAGACTCAACTGCCGTTCATGTCCTCGTGGGCAGACGGCGGCGCCATGTGCCGCGTTCTCGCCGCTGAATACCTATTTCGATGGCACTTGCGTCGTCTTCTAGAATACTTCTTCGAATATTCTACAGAATTAGCCTTTGAGTTACTCTAAGCGTCTTGCCTAATGTGTCCACTTTAGAATGCGAGACCGAGAGATGCTACGATGCTTAGCTGTTAGGCTGGGCCAGCAGATCGTTCATCATATAATTAAGCATGAAATACAAGAACACACTGATTGATTGAGATTATGGATCTTGGTAGGAAAGCCAATGTATGAACAGGCACACAGTCCAATCCTGCCATCATCTATCTTGTCAAGTTGATAGGTACATATAAGTTGAAAACATGGTCTGTTCAGAGCATATTGCTTAACCGCTATGGTTCAATATGTTTCCTTAAGAATCTCGACTTTCGAAGATGGCAGTTCAAACCAGTTGGGCATTGCCATAAAGCAACACATCCGCGAACAGTGGCTCAGTAGCTCCCGCGATAGCCATCACACGAATCCGCCAATCATTTTTGATTCAAGCGCAATTCTGCCTGGCTTGCCTGCCGGCCCACTTACTTAGAAACATCGGCAATCTGCAAGCAAGGGTAAGAACGGCCGTTGATAGTAGCTTATCTACTATATTCTGCACACTTAGATCGCCCGAACGAGCATGAAGCGACGTTTCAGCCGCCCACTACCCTATCCTCAAAGTACAAGCTATCCATATCCTAGTAAAAGACCCCTACGAAGATGAATCAAACAAGACCGGCTCAAGTCCCTCCTAATTGAGCGCATGATTCAGCGCTCGTGCGGTGTTGTTGAATGAAGCATTTGCGAAAAAAGCCCCATCCCTGAACACGCAGTCATTCCGGTAGACAGTATGTCTGACGTTTGTGCCGGCAGGCCGTGGCATACATCGAACTCTAGCCTTTTGTGCCCTTCCGGGGGAGGTCTAGATGACACCCAGGAATTCGTATACGTTGCCATTAGTCATGGCCCTATGCGGCTCGCACGGCAGTCATGTCATGCACCGAAGAGCCTCAACGCCCGCTTAATCGCCTTGTCCGACAGAGTGGCAGTTACAAGATCATACGGCGGCTTATCCGCCGTTAAAAGAGAGACACAGATTCAAGAGGGACGCTCGATTCAGGTGGCTAGGTGTTTCTATGAATTGTACTGCCCGGCTCGGTGAGTCGTGGTCTTTCCGACGGAACAACTGCTGTACCAGCTCTGTGAATGAGGAGGACGGATGCCGAGGTGGTGCAGCGATATTGAATGGTATGGCATGTTAACCCGCGGAGTAAGTCGACGATCTGGTGTTCTAGACCGCAGTATTCCCTGTCTGCCAATGCTCGTAATTATGTAGGTTCATAGGCCTCCCACTTCGGGGCCGAATAGGTTCGTGGGGCCGGGGCTCGGATGACCCCTCATGCACCGGCCATCAGACAGTGTGGGCTGAAAAATCCAACCCACATACTATGCTGTCCATATCAGCCCTCCTCCGCGAGTCCATGCTTCGCACCACCGGGTATGATGAGACGACAGATATCCCACCGGCTGTGAAACGACTTCAGCCCACATTCCGCATCTCTTGGCAAGATCTTGACACAGAAGATGATGTTCAACAAAACCATGTTTCCCGCGCTCATTCGGCAGTCAGGTATTTCATGTTGCCGAGCTCATAACTCAATCTTCTTTGCCGTTGCCATCTAACAACCTAGTCGGGCCGACTGAATCTGTTTCGTAGGCGAATTCTGGTTCCCGAAGCGACGTCTCTATGCTGATTCTTCCGTCATTCCCATGGACTCAAGTACGTTCATGAGGACCTTTCTACACTGTCTCCGATACTGGCATGCCATGAGCTGATCCCTCGTTGCCTCCGACTCTTCAAGCTCGAATTCTGACTGGTCAAGACGTTCCAGCTCCTGAAAGACCTTGTGCTGAATAATGGCAACGGTCTGTTCCAGAAGAGGCTGGGTAGCGTCGGGTACTTGACCGTACAGGACCATGAGGAGACGTGCCAGGTCCGCCTCAGCGCCGCTGATGCCTTCAGGGACGGGTATCATCTCTTCCCTCTGCTCTTCCGTCGTCTGCGCTTGGATAAGCTCCCAGACCATGACGTCCTGGACGTGTCTGAAGGGCGGCAACACCTTCTCGACGTCGACGTTCTGCAGAAGCTGCGTGGATCGGACTGCTACAGAGCTGGGATCTGTCACCGGCCGAAGGGAGATGAGATAATCTTTCGACTTCGCCACCTTAGAACCCTCATCCGATGATTGTCCGCCACCCCTCTTCTGGACGTGGATGTAGTCGTTATGAAGACCCTCCGATTCGGGAATCCGAAAGCCGTAGCCTAGCATCAGTTCGGCGTTCGTCTTGGTGGTGCCGTAGTTGTTATACACCTGGTCTCCCGGTTGGTAGGCGTCCAGCGTCTTCAAAGCGCAGATATCCGCGGTATCTTCCGGGTGGTCCCACGAGATTCTGGCTAACGGGGAGTGGTTGCCTACATCGAACAGCGGCAGCAGGAGGGAGAAGTCGTCGATGGCACATCCCTCAGGTAGCGAGAGTGTGTGCTGGCGACTAGCGGGAATGACCAGGGACGGGCGGAAGCTCCGACTGGTGAACATGCAGTAGGCCCAGTTGTAGAGGAGGCGGGTGTAGTCCCTTCGAGCAGGGTCTTCGCCGAAGGCGGCGATGGCTTGCTTGTACTCGGCTTTCAGACGCGCCTTGATTTCGGTGATGGCGACGTGAACGTTGGTGTCCTCCAGCAGCTCAATATCATCCGAGGGCCATAGCGGAGGGAGGATCCATGACTGGAGGTTGCCGGGCAGAGGGAGTGTTTTGATGTAAGGGTACCAGAAGGAGTCCTTGCCGAGGAGGTACTGGTGGATGAGGAAGAAGCGACCAATAACGTGTGGTGGAACGTTATCGAGGAATGACGGAGGGAAGGGTGTGTTGGTGCCATCGTGGTGGAAGCCTGGGTTGGGTGTGGTGGTGGCATTGAGATAGGATAGCGTAAGGCCCAGGGGGCAGGTGACGACCGTATCGCCGGGTTTGACACCGGCGCCATCAACGGAGACGCGGAAGGAGTTGCCGGTATCTGAGTCGTTGAATATTTCGACTGACGGATGGAGGGCTGCGCCATGGGATTTCGCCCATGTCGTTAGCTCGTCCATCGTGGCGGTTTCGCTAGTCTTCACTGGAATGTGATTGACGCGGATTCCGACGGGCTGGACGACGCCAAGGGATATGAATGATGCCCTTTTCTGTGAGACCGTCCAGTTTAGCGTCGTTAACGGCGGTTGGGTGAGTGATTACGCGCGTGAGTGAGGGAGTAGTTGAGTAGCGGCGGCCGACGTTGAAATTTTTGAGACCGATTCACCAGTCGGCAGGCAGTGCGGGGTAAATTTAAGAAATCAAGGTGAAGGTGGGGTGTTTGTCCTCTCACCGAGACAAAAACAACGCTAAAATTGGGGGTGAGGGTCGAGATCGTCGGATATTTTCAACCCAGCAGATCGGGTCCCCCCTGATGCAGGTCTATCCTTGCTCACCGGCTTGTCGGCTCGATTCTTCAGCTACTATACACCCATTTCCCTCGATGGCTGGATGTCTTGGATTTCGATGGATAATTGGATGTCCTCCGACGGCGAGAACATTCTAGATCGATAACGCGGTAGATAATTCAAGATCTAGACCTGACAGACTCGAACTGCCGGACTACTCGGCTCCTGTCGATGAAATGCCGGCACTAGTGACGCTGTCATCCTTCGAGCCCAACATTGCTCTCGAGTTTGGTCGGCGAAGGAGTATGTGTATCAAGACCCTACTTTTGAGCTCGAGGACATCGATTCGGGGTTCTAGTACCTTAGTTTAGCGGTTCGGCGATGAGACTGGCAGAATTCGCCGTTCACTCAGCTACCCGGGGGTTAGGCGAGATGGAATGTATTGACGAAACTGATGATGATGAGTGCATACCATACCAGACCCTTCCAAAGTCAGATTCTGACGGCTTTCTAGAGTAGCTTCGCGAATGAGACATTTCTCGAGCCGATCGAGATCGATGTGCTCCTATCTGTGTCAGACCCTGCAAATGTGCCCGGAATATGGGTGTCGCCGCCGATGAGACGGCTTCACGCTCATGGCACCCTGGGAGTTGCTTTTGAGAGCTGTGGCTCATCAACATGGGGATTTCCCACACAGAACCAAAATATTTTGAGTCTCATTATACGTTTGAGCCGTGAATTACAGGGCACAAACAAATTCAGTGAATCCAATTCGGACCGTTGGTATGGAATGCCGAAACAAAGATCCACCAAGCCGTCTGCCGCCCGCGTTCCACCATCGGTGACCGGCCCCACTCGTCCTCTTCCGGGCGGCGGTCGGAGCGAGTCCACCTAGAAAACGTCCGGTGGCGGTGTGTGCCGACGCGAAGCAATTACTTTAACCTCTCAAACGCGGCTGACGGCACAATCGGACGCAGTTTCGGGGCGCAGTCCGGTTGTCGTTTCAGCATGGATGATCTACGGCCTAGACCAACCTAAGCACCCAGGGCCTGGAAGCTTCAGCGTGGCACGACACGACAGGATTCTTGGAGAAATGCAACACGCGATCAGAACAGTGTTGGACAACAGTGCGATTGAGGTGTAATTGACGGGTTGGCTGATGATACCTAGAGAAAGCTCATAACATTGAATCACTTGACATTGGCTCTCGGACGGGTTTGGTCGAGTAGAGAAACACGACGGCTTTTCAACGACGTCAAACTCGCTACGACTACCGCCTTAGGCGCCGTACTGCGTGAAATGCCGCCCGGGATTCCGGCCCCTTGGGACAGGTCTGGAACTCTGAACAGTGACGCTTCAGAGATGGGACGCAAACCGCCCCTTCCCTTTATCGTCAGATCTCTTGAACCTAGCACTTTAAAACTAAACAAACATGGAGAAACAATGCACCCGCTTGAACATGCACCTGTCCTAGTTTGTGACTACGGAATGGGGAACACCCCATCGTGAATATGCAGTTGGACGCCAAACGCTTCTCTTGAACCCCATCACCGCCAGTAGCGCGCCGAAATCCCCAGTTTCGGAGGTCTTACGGCGGCCGGGCACCCTGGTCACGGCAAGGGTCGCCAGCCTTTTCGCGGAGACGTTTAAATACCCAGACGGGTTTCCGTCCCCAACATCACCAACCTTCTCGGCCCCCGAAACATCTCAGTATTCCCGGGAAAATAGATCGCCAACATCGCCCGCATGTTCTACGCACGAGATCTGAACCGAACCATGGCGCAACAGTGGCTCGCGACGGCCACGATGAACCCGGCGCAGCATTTCGACGGCGATGAAGTAATAGAGGCCTCGGACATTGACGACGGCTACGAGACCGCGTCGACGCATAGCTCCGTCCGCGGCGGGACCATGTCCCTATCCCCCAGTGTGCGCGATTACGCTTTTGAGAACAACAGGCGATATCACCGCTACCGAGAAGGACGATACCACTTCCCGAACGACGACTCGGAGCAGCAGCGCGAGTTCATGAAGCATGTTGTCATGACGCATTTAATGGACGGGAAACTTCATAGGGCGCCGGTGGAGAGTCCGCAGAGGGTATTGGATGTCGGGACTGGAACTGGGGTATGGGCCATTGATAGTGCGTTCGTCTGTTCCAATTGCTGGCATGTGGTTAAAGGACTGGTGAGTGAGGATATCAGAAGAATACTGACGAAAGGGATGTAGTGGGAGACGAGTATCCGGAGGCAGAAATCACCGGGATCGACTTAAGCCCAATATGGCCGGACTGGGTTCCCCCGAATGTGAAGTTCGTCGTTGACGATGCCGAGGCAGAGTGGTTTCATGAGCGAGATTCCTTCGACTTCATCCGATTAGGGAATATGGCGCCGTCAATACGAGATTGGACTGGCTTATTGAAATCAGCGTACAGGCAAGCCGTCTTTGTCTTTCTCTCATCATTTCATGAAAGAAGTGAGATAGACTTCTTCTAACCATGGGGCAGAACGTTAAAACCCGGGGGATGGATCGAACTACAGGAGATGCGCTGGGTATACGGTTGCGACGACGGGACCATGCCACCAGACTTCATGCCGGTCAAGATGGTCAAAAACATAAGCGAAGGACTCGCCAAGTTCGGAGTCGACATGCACGCCGCGGAGCGCAACCCCGGGCGCCTCGAGGCTGCTGGCTTCGTGAACCTCGTACACCAGGTGAAGAAGGTGCCCGTGGGCGGCTGGCCGAGGAACAAGTTCTTAAGGACCATCGGCCTGTATAATTTGAGTGTCATATACGACGGCCTTCATGCCGTGACGATAGGGCCTTGTACGAGGGGGCTGGGATGGACGGCGGACGAGGTTGAACGGTTTCTGGTGCAGGTGAGGAAGGACTTGATGGATTCTTCGGTGCATTCATATGTGTATTTTCATACTCTTGCGGGACAAACGCCATCATGAACACCAACGAATTTCCGCTTCTATGGCCGTGACGATGATTCTACCTGCCATGACGGAGCACGTACCCGACCTTTGAAGTCCAGTTTCTACCATTCAGAAACAACGAACCATTTAATCTTCCATTGCCCTATCCCGTTTCTACTTTCTATTCATGTCCACGCACCAGCCATGCGACAAACCTCCTCGACAACACTTTCGGTCTCTTGTACCCATTTGGGCAGAGACGGATTATTCATTGCCTTTTCCCGCGGACCGAAACTCTCGATCAGCATGCTCCGTCGCACCTCAGGCACGGCGCGAAGGTATTCGTCCAAGAAGGACAACCCCCTCAACATGAGCGATCGCAGGTATCTCTTGCAGGCGATTACCGCGACGGCTCTGCCGGGTATTCCCCTTTGCTGGGGGAGCTCGATACTCTGGAGGACCTTGTGGTGCTTGATCTGGTCCAGGTGGAAGAAGCTGACGCAGTCCCAGAGGGTCTGGTGATCGTTCACCTCGGGCTTGGTGAGGCGGTCGGATATGTCCCTCGACGCGGTGTGTTTGGGCTTACGATCCTGACCGGCTGGGGCGTCTCCGGTGATGGAACTGAAAATGAGGAGGCTTCTCATCAAGCGGCGAGGATGTCCGAGATTAGCAGCCGTCACCTTGGTGCCTAATTCCCCCAGCAGCGACGGACCTTCCGAGGACGTGTATACCATGTCGCACACTCTTCGGAACCGCGCCCAGAAATCCCACCACTCGGCTCGTACCTCGTCGCAGCTGGCGCCCTTCTTCTGACATTGAATGAAGAAGACCTGCGACAAGGGACGGCACGCGTCCTCGGCGCGGAGGTACGCGCAGAAGAGCGCGAAGAGCACGGGCGAGGATTTGGCGAAGCTGGCGAGGTCGCATGCGACGTCGGTGTCTCCGCGGGCGAGGATGAAGTCGATGATGTGGTGGATTATTTGCTTGGGCAGGCTCTCGATGCGTGAGAGCTGAGGCGAGTCTGCGACGGTGTCCGAGGACTTTTGAGCTTTGATTTGTGTTTTGGCCATTTTGGAGGGCGTTTTTAGGGGAGGTTTTGGTTCTGATGGTAAGGTTGGTGGGATATAATAGGTGGATGTTTGTAACGCGTATCGTCTTGGGGGTTTTGATCATATCTAGACTGCGTGATCAGTCAGTCGAGTGGTTCAAGAAGAAGACTTAGATGCCATCGGAGAAAGATATTGTAGGTATACTATAGAGGTAGTGTAAGGTTTTCTGTTGTTCGGCCACCCGTCCGGCAAGGTGTGGACCGTAGATTCGTCACTGAAGGTTCAGATCGCACTTTACGATATGGGGACATTACGAAGGCGGATCCCTTTCCATACAGATAATTGGGGTTTTGAGCTGTTGGTTTCTAAGTCTACGCTCCTATACCCATCCTTGGAAGCCAATTCAAACGCTCGATGCCTTTTCAGCTGTAGTTCAGTCTTCACGTACGGCGTCGCGTCCTATAGACCGCGATATTGTTGGAAAGGCTATTTCGTATCTCCTTGACCGGCTAAAGCTACCCAGAGGCATTTCGGCCATAGGGAAAATCAGTCCAAAATAGAGTTGATTCTAATGAAAACATAGATATAATCGACATGGGCACGCAAGAGTGGTTCGTTTCCAGGTGATTCAAGTTCTCTTCTATGAAGTAATGTAACCCATCTACCTGATTTATCTATCAACCCTAACGAATCCAATTGATGGAACTGCCTCTCAGCTGACATTGTCTTGAACTCCCAGAACTCCCAGCCAAATACCAACCCGCCACCATAAACACAGCTCGCAAACCACTTTGCATGACGTTCTACCGGTTGGTATCACGCATATCCCCATCTGAGAAACATGAGAGTCCAGGCGCCCGAATCGAACGACGGGCCAGATTCATTCCATACCTTGTTCTCGGAAACGAAATCCTCGATATCCTCCATATTGTTGTTCTCGTCCGAATGGTAGTACCTCCACCCTATGTGCAAGCCTCGCAACGCATGCATGACGGTGAAGCAACGATAGTTGTAGACCGGGAGCAAGCCCGTTTTCAAGCGCCGTTGCAATGGACGGTCGATCTTGAGTGCATTGCTGTGGTAATAAATCTTGCGGCGAATAAACCTGAGTACACTTAGATAGGCGTATATGGGAAGGCTTTCCCACAGCTTCGTCTTGTCTCTGTGTGGGCCCGACGCATCTCGACCAAACAGGTTGAAAACCTCAAGCCGCAGGAAACTCTTGAGGAAGTCCCGAGAAGTAGGGGTAAGCCCGTCGGCCGGTAGTCTGTATCGGAAAATGTGATGCTCCTGGTCATCGCGGTGGCGCCGGTATATGAAGCGTTGGATATAGAAAACCAGCCTCGTCAGAAACCACCAGCGATTTTTTGTCTGAATTTCGTTGAGTTCCTGGGGAGGTTTTGTAAAGCACAAGGCGAGTTCCCGTGCCTTGTTCTGTAGAAGATGCAGCAGGATACATTGCCGGTAGCCACGAAATATCTCGTATATTCTTGGCGAGGAAGAGATGAGGGCGGCGAGGTGCGTGAAGCTGCCGGGGTCTTTTATGTCGATGGTGGATTCGATGATGAGGCAAACGATCTCTTCTGGTAGTTCTTCGATGAACAGACTCGCGGGACGAGCATATTCGCATTTGCTGTCTTGACAAGCCATCGCGTTTCGAATCTCTTTGCTAAATGCCGTGTTGTGAGCTTTCGATTTCGTAACCTTCGATGAGAGTTTTAAGGAGCGATGTGGGCGTAATGAGCGAGGTGTGTGAGTAAAGAAACAAACGTCCGGCTTTCATACTGCTGTGAACCCAATTTTCCAAAACTATGGCTCTCCATGGTAAGAAAATGCGTTCCGTATACGCCAAAAAGTTAGATTCGTTGTAGCCCGCAAAGGTGGGCTGTCCAGGCTTATCAGGACAGAGTTTTCTTCTTTTTGAATATCGCATCAAACATGTGTACTGGATCGATACGGAGTAATTTCGAATAGAGCCAGAATAAGAAGGCCTGCCAAATTGTATTGCGCGGTGAATTGGGATTTTGGGCTGGTCCAGTTGATGCAAATCAAGCTTCGTTTTGTGGCTGGAATGCCCAAACCGAGGCGTCAGACAATTATCAGTGGAGCGACATGGAGACACGGCGTCCTTCTCTTGCCATGCGAACCCGATTCATGCGTACGATGGGATCGGATGCCCAGTAATTCCGAATAAGAAAACCGAGGTTCTTGAAGTGGCACTGATATGTTAGCCGGTATGACCTGAGAAAAGATGTGTTGGGCAGAAGTGAGTTATCATATTGCTTCACACAACCCGATTACCTGGGGCAAATAGCCTCGCTTGCAACATCTGATAACCGAGACTTCGGGTATTCAGTGAGAATGTCTCTCATCATGACGAGTCTGGTTTCTCTTGAAGGGGTTGTTGCATTGTGTCGAGCAGCAAATTGCGATTGTGAGTCTAGTCCTCTAGGGTTAACTCGTCGTTCCCATGCCTTCAAGTCAATGCGGCTACCATGAGTATTTGGCAGTGCGGGTGTGTCCGCTGTGGAGTTGTCACCGCACATCCACTGTTAACCGCGCCCCGTCAAATGGAGTTCTTTCCAGGACGTGAGAGAAACCGAAGATGCCTGGACTGCCGCCCGAGGAAGTGGGCACGAGAAACTATCCTTCGTTGAAGCGGCGGGAGAAAATTGCTAGCCTACACTAATGTCAGTTGATCAGCCATTCGCCGCACTCGGCAGGTTACGTGTAAGCAGATTTTGCAGATTGATGGGCGACCAACATGGCAGAACAAGGTCTTACCCTGCCCACTGCCCTGTAACGAGATCCCCGCAGCGAGGTATGGTTCCGAGAACGTTGCAGCACAGCAGCGCACTAGGGGCGGCTGCTGTAGCGGCGGGGAACCGAGAATAGCGTCGAGGCCGGTCAGGTACGAGGTTCTGACCATTGAGAGCTAGACCTGGGGTACAGCTTAAGTGGCACAATATGTACCTACCGTCTTTCTCCACATCGGTATGATGAAAGAGTTGAAACGGCGCGTTTCTGACAATTGGCGACAATGAAGGACGTGGAGTGAGACATGCGCCAAAGACGTTTTCGAGGTTCATCCGAGTAAGTCGTCTTTGTGGAGATGTATTGCTACGGCTGGAGCTTAACACCGGACGATCTCGACAAAATCCTGAGGCTTCCCAACTGGTCTTTTTCATTGTACATGGTGTTTCTTGAGGGGGCCGATGCCGGTGAAAAAAAAGACGTTGCTCTGAGGTAGGCGTCAATCTGGCGTCGAAAGATGGCTGTCGGCAGCCGCAACCCACCACAACCACTCGGTGAGATTGGCCTGGCTGTAGTCTGTCTGGACTGTGCGTGGGCCAGGTCCAACACCAGCCGGTCGGGTCTCGTAACATGTCCTCCTCAAGATGGTGGGTGGTAGTTGGGGGTGGTCCATTAGGGGTTGCTTCCCTGGTGTTCACACCATGTGGCGGAGTGGTATCGTCCCCCACGATGGTGTCGAGTGGCCTGTCTGCTCACCGACAATTCCAGTGTGGGAGATGGAGAGCATTTATGACGAAGGATAGTATGTGACAGGCTGGTCGTCATTGCCCATGTTTATTCGGTGAATTTGCTGGTGTCGAGGATGTTTCAACTGCAACAATGGATGCTGTATCCAACGTTCCTGGGAGGAAAGTAATTAGATGGGCGTTTGGCTTTGAAGCGTAGTATGCAAGGTGAGGTCAAGCTGGTAAAATGGGCCGATGTACACCGCGTTTTGTGCAAGGGTCTCGAGAGGAGTAGAAGCAGTTCGGAAACCGGGAGGCTGCGCAAGGGCTGAGGTGTGCTGGATGTACCTTTGGTAGGTAGGTGAGGTGGTCGAGAAGATGAAGCTCCTGATGAGGTGGGAGGAAAGAATGAGTATCAGACAATGGAGTGCAGCAGGACGGGAGAGAAGGAAGTCGTGCAGTGGCGGCAACGTTGTGGCAGGGCGCTAAGGCACGTTCCAGGTGGGGCCGTTGCCGGCAGGACGGCGGGGGTCCACACTGCCGTGGATCAGGTCATTTGTAGTTCGTGATGGAAGGAACAGTTCATGAGGGGTAGCTACACCTTCCGTGCCTGATGTTGCTTTGTCAAGGTACGTTGTTTCCGAATTTTCATGAATTTCTGATGCAATCTAGAAAGGTAGTGTATTGAACTATCGATTCATTTAAGAGGCAGAGAGAATGGACAACAGTAGGGCGAGCAAGACCACTTTCTTTTACCTACATGTTAGACAGCACATAACTAATCTAAGTTGGTATGATATCTCATGACAACACGACATGGACCCTCCAAACTCAATGGAAGGCCGTGTAACCGTGGCTTTCAGCATGAATCTCAACGGCATGAGGTCTACAGTCCAAGAACCAACCAACTCCGGGCACCGATGACAATTACTTGCAGGACGAAAAGGGGTAGCTGTCCACCTCCTCCCGCGGGATGGACTTTCCCCCACAGATCTAGCCTTGCCTTTGTGGTTTCCCTGCGTCACCATGTGAGTCTTGGCTCATGCCTGAGGGCTGAATGCCTTGAGTGAGTGTGACCCCAGCCTCAGGCTGCTTGACGTGGGGTGTTGGTACATTTCCTGATCTGACTTTGAGCTCTACTGCCGTATTCTTGGTCAAGTACACAATGTCACTACCATTAACTACCTAGGCAAGTGCAGCAGTTCCAAGCTGAGGTGGTCCCGTCTTCCCCGTCTCGACCGGCCCCGCTTTTACCGTTACCCGTCCGTGGAGCTAAGGTACCGGCCGGGGAAGTGCCCCCCTCGCCTCCTTCCCTTTCCTTCCAGCTGAGGCGAAGGGTGCTATTTCTTTCTGGCAAGTACCACTTGGCTGTGACTTCCATGAGCTAAGGTATTTGATGTCGACTTTCTGGCAAGTACGTATTGGGAGTACCTCTTTCCTTGTGACAAGAGATTCCTTGCTATACGGCAGGAACGTCTGATGGTCGTCTCCCGTTCCTGGTCAACCTGACCATCTCACCACTTCCTTTCTCCTCGCCGCCTGGTTCTTCTGATCTTCCTCTTTCTGCCAACCACTCGTATTTCGGTGCCCTGGACTCTCAATTCGTCTGGGACTCCTGTCGCCTAGCCTCACACCTGTGTCCGACTTCGCTTTCCATTTTACCCCTCATCTTCCTCACGTCGACGTTGAATTGGACGTCCAGAAGAGGCACAAAACCCCTTCGACCCCCGATTCCTTCTCCTTCCTTTCCTCTGCTTCTCTCTTCTCACACCAACTCTCAGGTTTGAGAACCGCCATTGCTGAGCTTCAACTTCACATTCTGGTCAACAAAGTCCTGCCACTACACAACAGCGAAATCGCCATCATGCCGACCACTCCGAAGCAGTCGGGACGCCAGTTCTCGCTGGGCACCTCGTCTCACCGTAAGAGACAGATGAGCACCATGCACGAGCAGGGTAATGCCTTCGGCCCAGCTCTGACTGTAAGTTAGCATCTTGTTATGGATCCATTCCACAGAGATTAATACCCTCAGACTCTCTACTGCGGTATCTCTGCCGTCTTCTCCGACTCCCACACGGCCGTCGTCGCCCTCGCCATCCACGACACCGTCTACCTCATTGACTTCACCGTCAAGCACATCAACCTCGACGATGCCACCCAGACTGGCAACGATGCCATTGCCGACTACGTCATCAACACCCTCGAGGGCTACGAGCACGAGAACTTCTCCAAGTTCATCGGCGCCGGTCTTCCCACCACCCTCAAGTACATGAGTCCCACCATGTGCTCCCGTCTCTGGCTTGACCTCGACATCGTCCCCATCGTCCTGCGCCCCGATGACGAGCACAAGGAGAAGAGCTTTTGGGACATCAAGCGCGTCGACGAGCAGGCCGATTCCATGGCTCGCAAGTGCATCATGTAAGTCGCCAAACTCGCGTCTGCCCCGGTCGCACATCTGTGGATCCCGTCACTGACAGACCACCCTCAGGAACTTTGGCCCATCTCTGGTTCCTCTTCTCCAGGTCGGCTTCCGCGGTATTGTCCAGACAGATGCCGGTTTCCGCGTTCAACTCAACACCATCCAGAACCACAAGGACACATGCGGTGCCGCCACGTGGGATGCCACGATGCACTTCGCCAAGAAGCTGCGCGAGGACAAAATCAAGATTGCCTTCTTCAGCAGCACTCCCCAGGGTGGTGGCGTGGCCTTGATGCGACATGCTCTGGTCCGGTTTGCTCGTCTCATTGGCGTCGACCTGACTTGGTATGGTACGTTTTTCTGTCTTGGGTTACGGCCTCCTACCTGTCAAAAGTCGTATGAAACTGACATCATACCCGCCAGTCCCGAAGCCGAGGCCCGGGGTCTTCAGGGTCACCAAGAACATCCACAACATCCTCCAAGGCGTCAGCCACCCCGATCAGCGCATCTCGAAAGAAGAGAAACAGTCCATCATCGACTGGATCACGGACAATGCCAACCGTTACTGGCTTTCCGAAGGAGGCCCGCTGAGACCTCCTGAGGAGGGTGGTGCTGACGTTGTCATGGTGAGCTTCCCCAAGTCTTCCCCCTCCCCCGCCCCCATCAGCATCTCCAATTCCCCTCCCCACCCCCAGAGCTACCCCTCCATGGGTGCACCACAAGTGGATGATCTCCACACGAGCTCTTCTCTCGGGTTCACCCCACCACTCGATGGGCGTTACTGAAGCTTCCAACTCGATCTCGAGCTAATCCTTGTTCCGTGGCAGATTGATGATCCGCAAATGCCTGGCTTGATTCCTCTCATCAAGAATATTACCCCGGACCGGCCCGTCCTCTACCGATCTCACATTCAGATCCGCAGCGACCTGACCGGAAAGGCAGGCTCTCCTCAGGAGGACATCTGGAACTTCCTGTGGAGCAACATCCAACATGCCGACATGTTCATCAGCCATCCGATCCCCATCTTCGTCCCGCACAACGTTCCCCGGGAGAAGGTCGTCTACTTTCCAGCCACCACTGATTGGCTTGATGGTCTGAACAAGCCTCTCAACAAGTGGGACACGGGATACTACGGCCACATCTACAACACTGCCTGCCGTAATCAGCGGATGACTGAGCTCGAGTGGCCGGCGCGCAAATACATCGTTCAGGTGGCTCGTTTCGATCCCTCCAAAGGAATCCCTACCGTCATCGACTCCTACGCCGAGTTCCGCCGTCTGATGGACCAGGCTGGCCACACTGACGTTCCCCAGCTTGTCGTGTGCGGCAACGGCTCAGTTGATGACCCCGACGCCAGCTTGATCTACGACCAGACCATGTCCCAGCTCGAGAAGCACTACCCTCATCTCATCAAGGACTGCAGCATCATGCGTTTGGAGCCCAACGACCAGCTCATCAACACCGTCCTCGCCAATGCCCATGTCGTTCTCCAGCTCTCCACTCGCGAGGGCTTCGAGGTCAAGGTCTCTGAGGCTCTGCACGCTGGCCGCCCCGTCATTGCGACACTGGCCGGAGGCATTCCATTGCAAGTCAAGGACCAGGTCAACGGCTACTTGGTCGAGCCTGGCGACTACAAGGCCGTTGCAGGTCATCTTTTGGACCTTTTCACGAACGAAGAGCTTCACGAGAAGATGAGCTACGAGGCCGCCAACGGTGTCAGTGACGAAGTCGGCACTGTTGGTAATGCCTTGGGATGGTTCTACCTTGCCTCCAAATGGGCTGAAGTCGGCGTCAAGAATGGCCTACCCGGCCGCGAGCAGTGGGTCAACGACATGGCGAGAACTGAGGCCAAGAAGCCTTACACTCAAAGTGAGAACCGTCTGCCTCGTCACTTCACACAGAAGAAGGATATTCCTGTCGTCTCTGGAAAGAGCAACGGTGAGAATGGCCAAAATGGCGAGTAGCTACATTAGGATTCTTTTCTGCCCATCCATTTGTGTCGAGGCGATGCTGTATGATGGCAATCACCCATGAAAAAAGTAGCTAGAGAGTGTTAGACTATCGCGGATGCGTAGACATTTGCTCGTAAGGTCGCCTCATTATCTGTGTCCAATCAGTATCCCCACTTTGTTTTATCTGCACGTTTCCGTTTCGCCTCCAAACGTCGTGATGGTGTTGAGCCACACCCACTGTTGGTTTCCGAAGACCGTTGGTAGTGGTGGTAAGCGGCAAGCGGCATTTTGGGGACGACCGAAGAGTCACGCTCCGCATTAGGCAACTGTTCCCATTCAGGCTAAAGCGTTCTGATCGTCTTATATTACCTTGTGATGAAGCTTTTCCAACGGTCCAATGTTTCGTGACAGCGAACAAAGGGTTTTGGGCTATCAAGCCGTTGAAGACGCGCCTCCGAGGGTGATCCCAGGTGATGGCAGGTGACAACCCGCAAGCCGGTTTCCGACAAATCCACCTGAATCCCGGTCGGTCTTCCTGATTGCAACATCTCGAGTCTCACCGCGAATCAGTCAGTCGCAAGCGCGGCCAGCCGCGCGTACCGGATCCAGTCCCTTTTAGGGGAAACAGCGAGCACCGAGTGATCCTTCTGGCTGATAAGCGGAACGCTTGTAAGCAGCCACCTGCCCAAGGAACTTCATTTCCACCTCTTTCTTTTCCCACGTCATCCCACATTGCAATCTTCGAATCTCGCTTCTTGAAGTTATCGCGGCCAGCAACATTTCGAGCGAGCGCGATACACAAAATGCACTTCTCCGCCGCCTTGGCACTGGCCTTATCGCCGGCCGTGCTCTCGGCATCGGCCTCGGCCCCGGCGTCGCAGCGACCTCCGTCCCCGGCCAAGTTCGCCCCGAGCCCCGAGCACGCGAGGGAGAATGCGCCGCACGTCTTCAACGCAGTGCACTCCGCCATGCGGCAGTGGGGGTCTTCCATCCACCACAACGGCCTGGGCGTCATTCCGGCGACGGTGCCGAGGGGCACTCTGCTGTACCACGGGGCCAGGAGAAACGAGACTCCAGCGGCGTTCGAGTGGCTCGCATTCGAAATGGAGCATTCGGAAGGGTTCGCGAGGAGTTGGAGGGGCGGTGATGGGTTCAGACCACCGAGGCCACCAGGACCGCCTGGTAAGGGACATAGACCGCCAGGGTGGGGAGACGATAAGGATGGGCAGAGGGTTTTGACCGGCGATGATGATGATGATGGTCATCACGCGCCGACCGGCGAGCCAGCTTCGAGGGGGTACTTCCACACCTACCGCGCGAACCGCGACCTCAAGCTCCTCTACATCGACGGCATGGGCGCCGGTAAGACGAACATGGGGACCCTCGACACGCAAGACTTCCTCCTACGCGGGGTGCTCTCGGCGCCGGCGCTCGGCGAGTACGAGCGCGCGCGGGACGTCTGCGCCCTCGTCAAGTCGTGGGGTCTCGACGGGGTGATTCGCATGGAGATCGGGTTCGAGGCGATTTACTGCGACTTCTCCGACGGGCTGGACCAGGTCAGCGTGCTGAGGCGGCCGTGGAGCGATCAGGCGGAGGGCGTCGGCAGCATCGACATGTTCGAGTGGGCAAGGGCCGTCGGGCAGCGGTATGACGGCATTGGGGGCGGGAGGGTGCGGTTGGGGTTTGGGAGCATGGTCAGCAGTGCGTGGTACCCCGTCAACGTGAGTAATCCGAACGGGAGGAAGGAGATGCCGCGGCTGGGGAAGTTGGAGGAGGGTCAGAGGGATGTGATTCTGAAGAGGGTCGAGGAGGTAGTGAAAGGCGGCGTGGTCGGGAGCGTTGATTGGCAGGGGGTCGTGGATATGATTGTGTCGAGGCACGCGGACCGGATCGAGGCGTTGGCGGATGAGGGCGAGGACGGGGGTGATTACGCTTTCGTGAGCCAGGTGTTGGTCGTCACGAATACCTTTGTGGATTACCTGCGCGACGAGTCCGACGCGGACGTCACGATGAAGGGGGATATCGTCGCGGATGCGAAGGGCCGGTGCGTCAGGCAGTATCTCACACCCGCCGCGGTATGGAAGGACGAGTGGACCGCGGAGGACGCCCTCATCTTCGAGGCCGTCAAGACGGTCGTGGAGCGGATCTGCGGCGACCTATACGCCGTGCGCGGGATCGTCCTCGAGGCGGAGCCCAAGCTGGCTTCCGCGTTCTCCGAGGCGGAGATGACACGCGTCGTCGGCGCCAGTGCTCGCGAGAGGGAGATCGGAGACGCGGTGCGGAGGGGACGGGAGGTCGTCCGGGGGTTGAAGGGGTATCTGGGCTGGAGCGTGTGGAAGAAGTGTAAGCCCGGGTGCGGGGTGGCCGAGGTGTGCTTCGTGGCGATGTGGCCGTTCGGGTTGAAGCGGGATCACTACAGCCCGAGCTGTCAGAACCGGACGGCGTTGATGGGGAGGAGGACGGTGGACGGGGAGGGGTATTGGGACTTTGAGCCCGGTCCATTTGGGGTTTGAGGGGTGTGTGTGGTGGTCGTGAGGGATGGTTTGGTGTTTTGGTAGGATGGTTCAAGCAGGGATAGATTTAGAAATCGCGTTGCAAAGTGTTTGTTCGACGGTGGCGATGATGGTGATGATGGAACAGGTTTGTGAGTTCGTACGATCTGGTTTCTGACGACTGAGAGGAAACCCGATTCTAGTTGATATGATGGAACGCTTCATCCCGAATCTGGTATGCGAAAGATCAGAAGTGTGAATATCGAAGAATAGAAATGAATATGCTATCGATAAGCCATGCTAAACTCTTCCCGTCAACGCCAACCCGATATCTGGTCTATGCCCAATTCTCGAACTAAACTAATCTGAGATTTACCATGAGCGTAAGCTTCCAAGCCAATATCCTCACCGCTAAGCATCAAAAATTGGAAAGCCTCATGATGGGCTTTACCGAGCTTCGTCACACGTGGGCTGACGATGCTAAACCCGGCGATACGAGACCCAGCCCTTCTCACGAACAGAATTCCAAATTTCACAGTTGGAGAATCCTCGCGTCGCGCCCTCCGGCGTCCCATGGACCATGACATGAGGCGCAAGCGTCCACGCGCACGCGCAGGTGGGATGATGCCAAGATCGGGGGTCTAGACTACAACGAGCAGCTCGATGTGGTAATCGAAACAATCCCAATTGGACAGCACGACAATACAGAGCCCCCAAAAGAGGATTGAGAGTTTGACATGGCAGCGGAACGAGTCCCACGATCCGCCCATCCCGGCCGTCCGTCCGCCTCCGCGGAGACGTCTTTCTGGAGCCGGGCTGGGCCGGGACGCGTTGGGGTCCGGTGACCACTGTATTTCTGGGTATGTATTTTGCATCCGATTCCGAGCGTTTTCCTGCGCGGTGTTATGTCAGCTTTTCATAGCGCTTGGTTGGAATTAGTGAGTGAAAAACGGCTCCCTGACCTCTCCGCACCACCGAGAAAAATCCAGGAACGAAGCCCGGTTTTCCAGGGCTGATCGACGCTCCCGGGGGCAGCTGAGGCTTGTCAGGCGGACCCTTCTGGGAGAATCAGGTCAGGCCATGTGGAGGGGAGGTTCTCTGTCGTTGCGGTTTTTCTCGCGGAATATCGTCCCATCCCGTCGGCATCGCGGGGTCCAGTCCCAGGAATACAGAAGAAAAAAATTCTCGCGCTTCTTTTTTGGAATTCTTGTTGATGATGATGATGATTTATCCGCGCATAGATGAGATTGTTCACTGAGAGGATTCACATTGGACGAAGGAGACATCTCCGGAGACCTGGTCCATGGCACCGAGTTTTGTGTGCGGCGACATCAGGTCCGCTTTGTAGTGTGTATTTACCGCGCCGACGGGAATAGGGTCCCGAGTGGCGGGGAATACCTACGTATTCTCAAATGTTTGATTTTTCTTGCTCTCTCTTGATTGAGGCGTCCGTCATTGGGGATTGCCATGTCTTTGCCTCTGTCGTGGCTGCCATGCGATAAATGCGACAATTTGTTGGGGCCTGACTGTATGTGTTTGAGACAAGATGTTTTTCATTGTAATTAGTGGGAGACGAGTGGTGCTTGTTAGACATACGTACATACTTCGTACGAGGTGTGAGGAGTGTGAATCATTTGTTTCGGGGACTCCCTTTTTTTGGTTGGAGATGGGAGCTGAGCTTGATGATCCTACAGGGCGCGGAAGCGATGTACTTGTTGGTCTTATTAGTCGGGGTGGTAAACGAGAATTCAGTGAGCTTCCCGTGTGAATTGTCTGTGGCATGTCACCGACGCCTTTAGGGGAGGCTTGAGTCCTGGCGCTATTGTCATGATTACATATCGATATGTTCCGGCGCCTCGTTTGCGCCTCTACCGCTGAGGAACAGAGTGATTCTTCAGCATGTTACATTCTCTTGTATGTATGTATGCTGCATACCCTCAGACCGTGGGTTTCGATGCCACGGACGAGATCTCGCATCTCCAAGGCAAGCAAGCTGCAGGGCGCAAGGGCAGAAATGGCACGGCAGGTTGACATGTGAACATGACTCTTTCAGAAGCGTCAGAAGGTCCACAGCGGACCGCAGCAGGACAAGAAATATTCTTCAAGAATGCGCAAATCATCCAACACACAAGAATACGGACGGTATTTCCTTGATAATTGGAGAAGAAGCCGACATGGCGTTCCACCAGGCGGACGAGCCGCTGGACTTTCCGCTCAACCGGTCCCTGGACCGCCACGAGGCGCTCTCTTCGACGATGACACCCGTCCTGTCCTGTCCTCTTGAAGATACCTAAAATGTATTCTGTAGCTGGCGAGGTGGACAGGGGTAGGCCCGGCCGTGGGTGCGGCCCCCGCCGCACGTCACGGTGCCGCGGAGATGCAGAAACCAACGACGGTCCGATGTCAGGCCACGGCAAGAGGATGTTACGGGATGCCCACTGCCCAGTTGTCCCCCCCGTCGCTGACGATTCCATGTTTCTTCCTTCCACGGTTTAGTCTCCGGCGTGGGGACACACGATCAATGGGGCGGAGGGCGTGGGCCATTGAGGGCCGCGATATTTGTCAATCCCGGGCCGTCGTCGTTCGATGGGGGGATTGGAACCGTATCGACGTTTTGTTGATTGAGTCGCGCAACGGCCGGCGGGAGAGTGTTCATCGTCTGTGATATATATCGCCCGATGTTCCCGACTTCTGAAACCGATAGAAACAAGAGCCATCACTTACTCATCCACGACCATTAGTCTTCATTCATATACACGTTGAGATCGGATTTACTTACTTCATCGCTTCCTCACCATAACACTTATCCAGTAGATGTCTGCCTTCTCCAGAACATCTCGCCTCCTGCCGAACCTGGTTCGCTCTCAAAACCTCATCAGCCGATCTTTCGCGACATCGACCGCCAGAATGGGCCTCACGCAAGCGCAGATCGACATCGTCAAGTCGACCGCACCCGTGCTCAAGGTGCACGGCGAGACCATCACGACCCTGTTCTACAAGGACATGATCGACACCCACCCGGAGCTCAAGAACGTCTTCAGCCTGCGCAACCAGGCCAACGGCGAGCAGCCCCGCGCGCTCGCCAACTCCGTGCTGGCCTACGCCACCTACATCGACGACCTCCCCAAGCTGAAGGCCGCCGTCGAGCGCATCGCGCACAAGCACGCGTCTCTGTACATCCAGCCGGAGCAGTACGACATCGTCGGGACGCACCTCATGAAGGCCATCGGCGAGGTGCTGGGCGACGCTCTGACGCCCGAGATCGCGGAGGCCTGGACGGCGGCGTACGGACAGCTCGCGCAGGTGTTCATCGGCCGCGAGGCCGAGATGTACAGCGCGACCGGAGGCTGGAAGAGCTGGCGCAAGTTCAGGATCGTCCGCCGCGTCGACGAGTCGGATGTCGTCACCAGCTTCTACCTCGCGCCCGTTGACGGCAAGCTGCCGCTCCCCAAGTATCTCCCGGGCCAGTACATCTCGCTGCAGGTGCCCGTTCCGGAACTGGGCGGCATCACGCAGCCCAGACAATACTCCCTGAGTGATGCGCACAACTCGGGCGAGTACTACCGCATCAGCGTCAAGCGCGAGGCGACGGTCTTGGACGGCAGCGCGGAGGATAAGGGCAAGGGTCTCGTGACGGGCTTGATCTCGAACCTTTTGCACGACAAGTACAAGGTCGGCGACGAGGTCGAGCTGTCGCACCCGCAGGGCGAGTTCTTCCTGGACGTCAAGGAGGCGGAGAAGGCGGATGTGCCTTTGGTGCTGCTGTCCGCCGGCGTCGGCGCCACGCCGTTGATGTCCATCCTCGAGACGGTGCTCAGCCCGGAGAGCACGACGCCCAACAGGCCCATCAAGTGGGTGCATGCGGCGCGCAACAGCTCCAGCCTGGTGTTCGCGAAGCACATCCGAGACCTGACCCGCCAGAAGGAGAACGTCAGCGCTCACATCTTCTTGAATGAGGTCAAGGAGGGGGACCAGAAGGGACAGGAGTACGACTACGAGCAGCACCTCGATCTCACCAAGATCCCCGCCGAGGAACTCGGGCTCGCCGACAAGAGGACCGAGTACTACGTCTGCGGGCCGAGAGACTGGATGCTCAAGGTGAGACTCGTCCTCGAGGGTCTGGGGGTCGAGAGGGAGAGGGTCAAGCTGGAGCTGTTTGCGACCGGTGACGTCGAGCAGTGAGTCTCGAGGATGTAGTGATTTGAGTATTGGGTTAGAGACAGGACATTGGGACAAAAGGCCCAAGACCGGGATCTTGCGAAGGGATGAAGCATCGGGCGGGGCGGTGTTTTTGTTCAGCATTGCTTGTTTGGTTTATTTCTTGTCGGCGCGCGCCTTGCTTTGGATGTACAGATAGACAGATACCTCTCTCAAATTTTGGAACTTTCGAAAAGAGATTTTTTGCAACAAGCTTCTTTTGGGAAACCTCGTATACGTGACGAAAGGAAAAGGTTCGAGCGCGCGCGCGATTACTTTTTCGCCTTGTGGTCCTCTGGTTTGTTTTGGTCATTTCTCCTTCTCCCTCGGCTGAGCGAGGTGTTGGAGTGTATGTTTTCTTTTTCCCCAGCCTACGGTTTCGAGGCCGCGGGCTCCTCCAGCGCAGAATAATTCTGTCATGTGCTGAAAAATTTTCACGATGGAGCGCACAGGCTAGAAATCGAGCTTCCAGATGCGAAATCGAACCTTGTTCGTGTGGCGTCTAGATGAAGTGGTTGAAGAATGAAGCTGAACTGACGTTGATGTTGGACTCCACCGCGAGATGAGACGAAGGACCTCAACGTTTGTCGTTCGTCCGTCCATTCCCTTCAAACGGTGCCACATGGTCGATAGCGTCCATCCTTGAGACTTAAGACGGTCAGTAAGAAGCCAAGTCCGTCGTTCGTGCCAGCCGTTCATCCGCCTCAACGTGTCGTTCATGGTGAGCCACCGTTGGAGTCTTGCTCGTTGAGTATCAGCTAGCGGCGTACGGGTGAGGCGACGAGGCGCCCGCGATGACAGGACTAGGGCGATGGTAGGCAAAGGCAGACTGGGTAAGGTAACACCAGGGGGAGAAATCGTATCACTGGCCTAGAAAACATTTCTTTTTCCTGACGCTTGGGACAAATGACCAGTGGCTTGGTCTTGGAGCCCAACACGGCGTACGCGCATGCGTGACGGCGATTCCCCGAGGATAGGCGAGCATGTGCAGATTCCGGTTGCCTCTTTCCCCGGCAGAGGGGAGTCCCGGGTGAGTTCCGCGAGGGCAGGCCACACGGGCGAAGCAAGGAGGACACGAAGATGGAATGTGCATCCGTAGATGGATTCGCATCATGGATTGTTGAGTGCCGGCGGATCCAGCGATCCAGGTCGCCATAAAGAGCCATGCTTCCCAGATCGACCAGGACATGACGCCGCGGATGCAAGATTCAGGTCCGCCATCCCAATCCATCCGGTCGGATACCGCCTGAGATTCCGGTACGATGGAGTATCGAATGTGAGAGTTGATATTTGACCAAAGCCGGCATAGGGTAACCGCAGGGGTGTGTGCGCACTGTAAAGAAGGCAGGGGAGGCGTCGACAGTGAGGAACCCGAGGCCAAGGCGATGGTGATGAGGTCGAGATGGGATGATTTGTTGGGTCAATAAATTGCCAGATCTGCTCAGGGGTTCACATCGGCCATTACCTCGCTTTTGCGTTAGGCAGGTTCGAAATGCAAGACGGCCCGGGAAGGCGAGATGAAGGTCGGGTACGGATAACGGGAGGTGATTGGCGAGACCGCGGCTCCGGAATCCCGGAGCTCCGTCCTGCCGGGGTCCACTCGGGCTTGCAGTAGACCCGACGGAAAGGGGAAAGGGCAATCGAGGAAGACGGGAGGGCCGCCTTCCGGGTCGGGACGGCAGGGGCTGAGAAGGGAAGTCACATTGACCAACGGTCCACGTCCACGGAAAGCAAGTGCGAACAAACGCAGGCGTCTTGCCGCCAATCCAAACAGCCCAAGGCAGGTGCAGAACTCCCCGCCTTCCGGGAGATGTCCGGGGTCATCCGGGCCCGGGTGGGGCGGGTATCCACCTCATCGGATGCTCCATCCCGGGCTCCGGTTTGTAGCAACCTCCACTCTTCCATTGCATTCCATCAATCCTTCCCTTCCGTCCATCACATTTCAGTTTCTCTCATCTTCGTTTTCTTGCCCAGACCACCAACGGCTATCCTCCCGTGTTTTCTTCATCCCGCCAAGATGACCCATCGTCTCCATTCCGTCTCCACGGAACAGGGATCTCTCGCCCTGCCTCATTAGGCTTTGCTTTCCTTGCAGCAGACAGGGGCCGCGGACGCGGAAGGACGCAGGCACGACAGGGGGGAGAACAGGGGAACCGCAGCCCTGGGGGAGAAGGTCCCATCGATCTGGGACCACCAGTTTTTCTTTTCCTTTCTTTTCTTCTTCATTTCCACCCTCCTACGATCCTTTCAGGCTCCAGCAGATCAATCACCAATCTCCCTCTCACGTCTCTCGGATTGCACGCTACGGCCTCAACGGCATGGCCGCGTCGCCGTCATAGTTGACATCGCGCACCATCTCGAGCATCGCGACTACACCACCGGAAGACCTCCGGAATAGACGCTATCCCTGCTCCATGTCTCACATCGCCTCGGCCTCTGCGCCGACCATCGTCATTCCAGGGGCCATGGAGAAAAGGAAGGCACTGAAGCCACCAGGACACCACCTGAGATGGACGAGATGCGCCGGAGTTCTGGAAGAGTCACCAGCATTCCCCGGTGCTCTGGCCTCATCTGCCCTGCCCTGATCTGCCTACCTCCGAGGCGACGCAATGGCAATCATGGAATGCCGGTACTCAAACTCTATCCGCGCATCATTTCATCAACCTCCATCACTGGGGAATTTGCCGGCTGGATTAGATCCGGCTGAAGTCATTGGGCCACACGGTACACTCCATGATACATTCCGTGATATTCACACGCCTCGCGAGCATTCTCTCACGACCAGCCCCAATCCGACCTCTCGCTATTTTTTCCTGTCCAGTTCTGGATTTGCGAGTTCGTCGTAAAGATGCTGTTTCTCGCGGTCTTGCAACCTGCTCGCCGAACGTCGCCGTCGAGCCGAGTACAGACTTCAGGTCGCTCACCCATGCATCCAAACCTCTCGATTCCGGCTACTTGTAGCTAGTAGGCACCGAGCCGCTGTCAATCAGCTCCCGCGACAATATACTCTCCATAAGTCTAGCTCAAATGTTCGCTGATGTCGCAATGCATCGAGCCGCCGGGATTGAAGAACCATCGGTTGGAGGCTCGAGATTATATCCGGTAGACGAGAAAGCCAAGTCCGAAAGGGAGGGCTGCTGTCAGGACGCAACGCAACCCAACTCGCCCATCAAATCCACCTTGCATCCTGTCAAATGGATACCCAGCTGCACAACATGCTGTCAAATGTACAGACAGACATTCTGAGGCGCGTTTGAGCGGTTCGGGCTGTCGCATGATCTGATGCTCATTCCGTGGGACGGCCCGCATTTGCACCCTGCTTGGCAGCAATTCTGTGCCGTGTTATGATTCCCCCCAGAACACAAATTCCCGGCCTCGACTCCATACCATACGGCCGCTTCGAGTCGAAATTCGGGACTCGCAAAACAAAGACTCTGCCTCGTTCAAGCTATTGTCGAACCACACATAGATGCACCGATCAAAGGCGTCATACCCGACATGGCCCAGATTGAGCGACGTCACCCGGGGTTACACGACGCCGAAGGTGGACAGCTTCCGCAGCCATGCGGTCGGAGTCGGTCGGGGTAGTGTTACGGCGGTGCTTTTCGACAGGACATTCTCCGGGGACGGCCTTCGATGGGCTGCCACGAGTTCGGGTCTGGGCGACGCGGACACTTCCGCCATTCCCCCTTCTTGTGCTACGCGACTAGTTGTCGTACCCTTTTCGGATGTTCAACGACTCGAAGACCGCACGCAAAATGTCTCTCCATTCAGGGCATCAGGGCAAATGCCAAACAGCGACTCTTAAAGCCAGCATCGCCGAATCCTCGCTTACCTACCCTCTTCGGGCAAACTTACATGGATGCGAATTGCGCACACCGAACTGCCTGCCCTGCCACAACCCACTGGTGAATTCTTTAGCCTTTCGTCGTACCATTCACGCCGTCTTGTCGGGACACCCTCAGAATGCCGGATTGATGATGGTCATGCAGGTGCCAGGGCTGCTAGGGTCTGATTTGAGGGGTGCCGTCGAGAATTTCCTCTGCTAGCTCCTGGCCACACCGCGTCCTCAGCTGTTGAGACATGACGCTAGATCTGCAGTCATCCCAATCCGGCATCACGTCAATGGAATGCACGTTACTTACGCTCGACGGCGTTTCAACCGACTCTCCTCTCGCGCAGCCATCATCGACTTCGTTCACCTCTTGACACTCATTCACGCTCGACAGTGCCCGCCCTATGCGCTTACTTGGTCTTCCCGAACGACAAAGAGACGGCGCCTTCCTGCCACACTTTCGGCCGTATCCTTATCGATCTAACTTACTCGAACCCGCAACGGGCCCTAGCCAACGGCCATTCGGTGCACGGTGGCCTCGTAGCTCACAACGAACCGGCACTATGACCGCCTGGTTGTGCACGACATTGCTTTTCCTCTGATGAAGATGCTGTCACCAGACCTTCTATTCGTCAAGTTAGGGGACAGCTCCATCCGACATCGTCCTCGTTCCCTGGGAGGAGGGCAGGACGACGAGGACGAGGAGAGCAGGCGAGGCAAGCAAACCCGCCTTGGCTTTCTCGGTACCGTCAAGTCCTCTCTCCTGGACTAGGCGGTCTTACCTGATCGATTCACTCTAAAATATGACCATCTGTTCAGGCCAGAATGTGCTTGAATCGGTATGGCAGTCATCACGTTACCAGCATCACATCTAGGTGCAAACACCAACCCCAACCCCAGCACGACCGCGCTGCCGGGCCCAAACGTGGCCGAGAAGGGATATGAGCAAACAACGCCAGCGAGCAAACATTGAGCAAACAACTTTAGCAAGTCCCAATCCCTGCTGCTGGCATCACTCGCGAGCTCCCAACCGTGGAAAGTACCTGGACCACGGGACCGGACATCAGAGCCAACATTCGCGATGGTCTCCCGTCTCATCAACCGTTAGATCTGCCCCTGTTCCCCCCATGTTCGATGGTTCGATAGGAGCTTTATCATCGATTATGGAGCGATCGGTTGGAGATTACATGGAGTCTGGACTCTTCTCCTATCATAAGTTGCATCTTCATTGGTCGTCGAGCAAGTGCACCGGCGACTGCGGGTGCTAATTGAGACCGTCTGGAAGCCTACGGCCGTCACTTGCCAACGTCTCAGGAAGCTTGTCCAGGAGGCCATCAGATTGTGGCTCTGTGGCAGTGGAAGAGGCGGTCGTCCGTCACCGTTATCGTCGCCATCCCGTATCCTCTGGCGCGCGGCGTCGCTCCCATACCTCGGTCTCCAGGCTAATAGACTCTGGTTCTTTGAATCGAGATTGGAGTCGTACAGCATGGACCACGCACCGCTCCTCCAAGGAGGTGTGTTAGTCGCAAGGTCCAACAGCCGCGCATGACACCGCTGGATTCACCAGCCAGATCTTGGCATTTGATCCCCAGGTTTGCTCTCTTCAGCCACTTCTGCAAGAGCCAACTTCTCTTCTGCAAGACCCGCCCTCACCCGCCGTCACCTACCGGGAATAGGGCCACCAAGCCCATGCCGCGAGGTGGTGGGGAGCGAGCAGTTTCGACTGGGAGCTTCGACCAGCGAGTTTGAGGGTCAAACAAACGCCACGCCTGAAGGATATGAGCCGTCATTATGAATAAGCCTTTATGTTCATTTTCTCTCGCGGCTCCTTTCTTTGTTGTTTGCCATGCCTCGTCAGTCCAATCTCTCCATGGGAACTTCGTTTTTCGAGGTTTCATCAGCTCCACCACAGGGACCCTGGTGGATCTTCCGACCCCTTGCAACCGAACCCATGTCTCCCAGAGTGCAGTCCAACGCGGGCTTGAAGCACAGACTGAAGACAGCGTAATATCTCCTCGAGCTAGTGCAGGATTTTCTTCTTTCAGGCATCGTCCTTCATCCCATTGCGATGAGGTTGGATCGAAGAAAGTCACGCACACCAGTACCAGTGTGTTGGGCCACCGGGGAGGTGCCCATTGGCCGTCTGGCCGGAGCAAGCGTTCTGACGACCCCCTTCGCAGTCCCCTTTGCCGTCTCCGTTCACAGTCCAGTCCGTGTTCCCAGGCAGACTAGCTCAGATGGCATCCCGTTCAACTGCAAAGGACAAGGTCCAATATCCTCGTCCATTTTCGCCATGTTTTACCTTGGCGTCCACGGCTAGCCGACGTTGTCCAATGGCAGCTGGCTAGCTCTCATATGCTTTTTCGAGCGGGCTATAGTCGAGGCGAGGAATGGATCATCCTGTTCTCCTAGATGTCTTCTTGTACCTTTCTCCTACCGCTCTCTTCTTACACTCGGTACTTGTCCCCTGCCCGTGCTGCAGCCAGCATCGAATGTCAAAAGCTGTCTCATTGTTCAGGGGTCCCTCCCACATTGCTTTACTCGAATGGACCCAGGGCTATTTGACTAAACACCGCCCCCCGACTCTGGAATCCTCGCAATTTGTTCTTGTTTTGCCAACGCCGAATCATGGCAGTAACAATGTCGGACGGTCCGAATCGGAAGGCTTGCGACAGGTGCCATACCCAGAAGCTCAGCTGTAAGCGCGTCGGCGATGAAGCTTGCGAGCGCTGTATCAGGCTCAACACGCAGTGCAAATCAAGCCCATCCCTGCGGTATCGGAAGCAACATCAACAACAACCCACTGGCGACGTCGTGCGAAGAAGCATTCCGTCGCCAAAGCGTCAGCGGACTGACGACGGGAGCCACGTTGTACAGCCCGATCTGTGTGAGTACACTGTCTTTGACTTGTCTGGGGAACTCTCCCTTGCTGACGATTGTTGTGTAGCCATTGTCAAGACCCAACCGGGTGATTCTGTCCTGAGGAATCCTGGGTTTGGTGATCACGCTGTCTCGCCAGATGCCATGTTGGACATTGTCAACTTCGACTTTGGCTTTGGCCAACCGAGCCTCTACCCCAACCCAGCGCCAAATCAGCCTCTTCCGCCGCCATTCCACGGTGAAATCGACGACTTGATGTCTGGAGATTCCATCTCTCACGCATGGAGTCCCCCACACTCTGCAACATCGGAGTCGGCATTCACATCTCCCGTGGGTCCCCACGCAGATTCCGTCAGTCAAGTCTACCTGGGAAGCCCGGGCTCCTACAAACAGCCTCCGAGGCTTGGACCACCGCAGGACGATATCAGTCCCATGAAAAGGCAGAGAAAACGCGCAAAGCAAAGAACTCGGCAAATCACTCTTCAACCGGCTGCAAGTGGAAAGGCCCCGTCTGCCGAAGAGTGGATGCCCCGGATCATCAACATCAACTCCAGACTTTTCGAGCTATCGTCAAGCCTCCGACACCACGTCGAACCTTCGGACTGTGCTGGACGATCCAGCATGGCCTCGAGTCCCGATGAGGGCAATGCGACGATGACGCCTTTCCCCGTCGACGAAATGTTCAAACTTTCACGCCACTTTGCCGAGATACTTTCGGAGATGGCACCGGTCGAGGACGCCTCCCCCGCTAGCGAGACGGACAGGCACCAGCCGGCTAGGGGACTCGACTCGCTGGCGGATCCGGCGACTTGCCTCTTCATTCTCTCCACATATGTCCGACTCCTCGACATGTACCAGAAGGTGTTCAGCTGCATTCACTATCAACTAGCACATTTGCAGCCGGCCATCTTGTTTCAGTCTTGGAAACTCCCTGGCGTCACTGTCGGTTCCTTTGCGGTCGACTCGACGCCTTCACTGCAAATGTCTCTTACAATCCAGTTAGCCGAAGAGTTTCTCTTGCAGATGCGGCGGGCAGCGTCTTCACTGGATCCGACTCTGCGATCGGCAGGTTCACCATCAGGAAGGGTGCTCGACGCGAGCTCCATGTTCTCCGGGGTAGTAGATGTCTCGTTCCAGGCCCTGAAAAGGCAAGAAGAGAGCCTTGGTCAGGAGCTCAAGGACTTGCGTAAGGACATGGAGTCCTTTCTGGACGCATGAGTGTCATTCGGGAATTGTCATGTTACATAATACCATTGTTTTTAAGCCGCATCTCTCTGTGTTCCTAGCGGAAGTGTACGGATGCAGTATGGCGCGGGGGGTTCGGCGTCGCTGTTGAAGAGGAGAAACAAACCAGACTCTAACTGGACTACCAAGACAAAGAAAAACGTCTTTCATATGCAAGTACCCCGACTACTTCTCCACGAGGCAAATGTGCACACGCCGTGTCACCGATTGACTCCATGTCCGTACCGAGATTGCGGACCGGCGCGCGCTTCCGAGCCAGCAGGCGACAACCAGCACCCGTTTTCGACGTTGTTTGACTTCCGTTCTCGTCGCCGGCTCATTACTCGCACATGCACCACGTTCGTTCGTCGTTGAAGAAAGGACGCCTCTGATCAAGCCTCCCGAAAGTCGATGGCGCCAGCGGAGAGACCAGAGATCATGGGCGGAAGGCTAGCTAAGTAGTCCCGTTCCCGGGCAACTAACCACCACCGCCGAATCTGCACCCTCAAATCCCGGCGACCGTTTGAGACATTCGGCCACGGAACTCCGAACCACCCCTTCCAACTCATCACGAACGCCGAATCTCTTCATCATCTCCACCATCGCACACGCCCCCCTACTTTCTAGACTCACCCAAGACACGCCCCCGACCGCTGGCCCCCCTCCCCCTCCCCCTCCCCCGATGAACGCCCCCCGACCGTGGGGGACATGGAATAGCCTGGATGAGGCGGTTTGCTGGCCCCTTGCTTTTTTGACATGGGGCAGGCGTAATGGCACTGAGGCTGTCTGCGAGGGAGGCCATCGCGATGTTGACTCTTCTGGTCTGTTGGCTCTTCCGTGTAAGTGATTTGCTATATATCCCTTCATGTCTTCGCCGCTCATCATGCAGTTCATCGGAAGCAAACACATCGATTCGCCTTCTTCTCTCTATTCTTATACTATTCTCTCTACCCCCCTTGATATCTCACCGGCAAGCATTTTCAACCTCCCCACTTATACCCTTCTATCCCTTCCCATAATACATAATCATCCTAGAGATACCCCTGACAGCAATGTCTACCTACAAAATCCCTCAGTCGGAGCCCATCGCCATTGTTGGCACGGGATGTCGGTTTGCCGGCGATGTAAACTCCCCTTCTCAGCTGTGGGATCTCCTCTCCAAGCCCAAGGACCTCACACAAAAGGTTCCCGGTAACCGGTTTAACGTTAAGGGCTTCTACCACCCCGATGGCGAATATCACGGTGCCACAAATGCCACGCAGGGATACTTCCTCGAGCAGGACCACCGCGTATGGGATGCGGGATTCTTCAACATTACCCCTAAAGAAGCCGAGGCCATCGACCCTCAGCAGCGTATCATCCTCGAAGTCGTGTATGAGGCCCTCGAGTCTGCCGGATACACCCTCTCCCAGTATGCCGGCCGTAAGGTCGCCGTATATGCCGGTCTCATGACCGCCGACTACGACTCGCTTTGCCAGCGTGACGATATCACCGCCAGCCAGTACTTCGCCACCGGTAACTCGCGAGCCATCCTCTCCAACAGGATATCCTACTTCTTCAACTTCCGCGGCCCCTCCATGACGATCGATACGGCATGCTCATCGAGCTTAGTCGCCCTCCACCAAGCCGTCCTCAGCCTGCGGTCCGGCGAGTGCGAGATGGCCTGCGTGGCCGGCGCAAACATGATGATCACGCCCGAGCAGTTCATCACCGAGTCCAGCCTCCACATGCTCAGCCCTACCGGGCGGTCCAGGATGTGGGACGTCGGCGCGGACGGATACGCGCGCGGCGAGGGTTTCGCCGCGCTGTTCATCAAGCCCCTCTCTCAGGCCCTGAAAGACGGAGACGCAATCATCAGCATTGTGAGAGAGACGGGCGTCAACTCGGACGGCCGGACCCAGGGCATCACCATGCCCAACCCCCTCGCCCAAGCCGACTTGATCAGGGACACGTACCGGAGGTCGGGTCTGGACGCGCAGAACCCCGCCGATCGATGCCAGTATTTTGAGGCGCACGGAACGGGCACCCAGGCCGGCGACCCGAGGGAGGCGCAAGCCATTGCGACCGCCTTCTTCGGGAACGAGGCGTCGGCTACCGCGGATAGCGATGACAAGAAGCTCGTCGTCGGTTCCGTCAAGACCGTCATCGGTCACACGGAAGGCGCCGCTGGCTTGGCTGGGCTGTTGAAGGTGGTGCACTCCATGCACCACAAGTCCATCCCTCCCAACTTGCACCTCGAGACCCTCAACCCGAGTGTCCGGCCATTCTACGGCCACCTTCGCATCGCGACCCAGCTCATCCCATGGCCCCAGGTTCAGGCTGGCCAGCCGCTCCGTGGCAGCGTAAACTCCTTTGGCTTCGGTGGCACCAACTCCCACGCCATCATCGAGAGGTACGAGCCAAGCATCCACGACCAGGTTGCGAAGCGGTTCGCCCCGTCCCTGGAACTCCCCGCTGCTGTGGGCGCTTCCGCAGCATACGACGCGAAGGCTCCCACCGTTGGACTTCCTCTGGTTCTTTCAGCCAAGTCGCAGAAGTCTCTTGTTGCTGTTGCTCGCTCCGTTCGTGACTTCATGGTCGGAAACAAGACGTCGGCAGATGAAGTCGCTTACAGCCTCTACTCGCACCGCTCGGCCCTGACTTACAGAGTATCAGTCAGCGGTGAATCTCAGGATGCGGTCATTGCTGGTCTCGACAACCTCCTGGCCAAGGCTGGATCCTCTGCCAACCCTGAACTCGGTGTTCGCGCCAAGCTCGATGGCAGCAAGCCCAAGATCCTCGGCATCTTCACCGGCCAGGGTGCTCAGTGGTCTGGGATGGGACGCAAGCTCTTCCACTCCAACTCCGTCTACCGCAACGCCATTCAGGGGCTCGAAAAGGTTCTGAAGAGCTGCCCTCACCCTCCCGAGTGGTCGTTGGTCAAGGAGCTCATCAACCAGGATGACGCCTCCAGGATCAACATCGCGGCGCTGTCCCAGCCGCTCTGCACCGCGGTTCAGATCGCCCTCATCGATCTGCTTTCCAGCCTCGGCGTTTCCTTTCACACTGTGGTCGGCCACTCCTCTGGCGAGATCGCGGCCGCCTATGCTGCCGGCGTGCTGAGTGCGCGTGACGCCATGCTCATCTCCTACTACAGGGGTATGTCGGCTCACCTCGCGGGTGGGAAGAACGGCCAGAAGGGCATGATGATGGCCGTCGGCATGACGCGCGCCGAAGCTTCTGCCCTATGTGCCCGGGACGACATCAAGGGTCGCATCTGGGTCGCCGCCAGCAACGCTCCCACCAGCGTGACGCTGTCGGGAGACATCGACGCCGTCAAGGCGCTGCAGGCTGAGTTGTCTGCGGAGAACAAGTTCGCCCGGCTCTTGGTCGTCGACACGGCGTATCACTCCGCCCACATGGAGAAGCCGGCTGCGGAGTACATGCAGGGCTTGGCCGCTTGCGGCATCGCGCCGAGACAACGGAATGCAACGGTGTGGGTCTCTAGCGTCTACGCCGATGGCACGGAGCCGACCGTCGATGAGCTTAAGGCGACCTACTGGAAGGACAACATGGTCAAGGCCGTCTCTTTCTACGAGGCTATTGATCTCGCTCTGAGCTCTCAGGGTCCGTTCGACTGCGCGGTTGAGGTTGGTCCTCACCCTGCACTGAAGGGACCCGTCCAGCAGACTGTCAAGGCTGCTACTGGTGGCGCTTTGTCTTATGCCGGCCTTCTTGACCGTAAGAAGGATGACCGACACGCCTTTGCCGAGTTCCTGGGCTTCACCTGGTGCTACTTCGGTCCCGAGGCCATCGGATGGAAGGCTCTCATCTCCAACTCGACTCAGCGAGGCCTCTTGTCCTCGAAGACCGAGTTGCCTTCTTACCCCTGGGACCACAGCCAGATGCACTACCGCGAGTCTCGCATCGCCCACCAGTACCACTTCCGCGAGCAAGGCCCCCATGAGCTTCTCGGTGTCCGAACCCGTGACGACACCGAGTTTGAGCTCCGTTGGCGCAACATTCTCAAGCTTGAGACGGTCCCCTGGATCCAGCACCACAAGTTCCAGGGACAGGCTCTCCTCCCCGCCTCTGCTTATTGTGTGCTCGCATTGGACGCAGCCAAGGCCGTTCTCAACGGCCGCCCGGCATCAGTCGTGGAGCTGACGGATCTTGAGTTCATGAGCGGTATCTCCCTCGAGTCCAACACATACGGAGTCGAGATTCTCGTGGCGCTGAGCATCCAGCCCCCTTCGACGAAGGGCCGCTTGGCTGGCAAGGTCATCGACGGCACCTTCACCATCACCTCCTGCTACGCCGACGGTGTCGCTCCCATGCAGAAGAACTTCACTGGCAACCTGCGCATCTACCTTGGCGAGCCATCCGAGGGTGCCCTCCCCGAGCGTGATCCCGCCCTGGCAGAGACCCTTCCCGCCGACACCGACGCCTTCTATCAGATGATGTCGGAGATCGGTCTAGACTACACCGGTCCCTTCCGTGCTCTCCAGGGTATCGATCGCAGATACAACTTCTGCACTGCCAAACTCCAGAAGTTCCACGACGATGATACCACTGGGCTCGGTGTAAGCCCCGCGACGCTGGATAGTTGCTTCCACTCGGTCTTTGCTGCCTGCGCTTCACCTGGCGACAAGTCGCTGTGGACTTCCTTCCTTCCCAGGAGCATTGAGAAGATCCGCTTCAACCTGGCCATCTGCGATGGCAAGCCAAGCGATGGGGCCTCGTTGGTGGTCGATTCGATCATCACCCAGGAGATTCCCCGCACCAAGACCGCCACCACCAAGTTCGTCGGTGACATGAGCATCTTCAACCCGCGCGGCGAGATGGAGATCCAGGTCGAGGGCCTCATGGTCGCTTCCTTCGCCAACTCGAAGCCCGAGGACGACAAGGAGCTGTACCTCCACACCGTCATGGACCTCGACCCCGAGCACGAGATTGTCTCTGCGGATCTCAGCTCGGAGGACGTGGCTACTGAGCGCATTCTTTTGGAGAGCTGCGAGAGAGTTGCGCGATTCTACATTCAGGATGAGGCCGCCATCAAAGAGATTGGGGCGTCTCCTACCTTCTTCACTCCCCCGTCGTCGCCTCTTGCCCCCGCTAAGCCTGCTGCGACTGAGGCGATTCCCAGCCCTTGGAAGTCCGACACTATGGAATCTCTGGACGCATTCATCCTTCAGTCTCCCTTCTACCATGCGCTCGAGTTCATCCGCATGCTCGGACAGAACATCCCCGACGTCCTCCCTGCCATGATCTCCACCATCATCCAGGAGGCCAAGCAGCTGCACCGCTTCAGATCCCACGTCAGCCGTGTCGTCTCTCAGATCGCACACCGTTACCCCCGCATGCGGGTTCTCGGCCTGACTGACCCGGAAGCCGGTCTCTCCGAGCACGTCATCAGTGGTCTCAAGGGCTCGTTCCTGTCCTACACCATCGGAACCGAGGCCGAGAAGAACTTGCTCGCCAGACTTTCCGGCCCCGAGACGCTCAAGAAGAAGATCGACACGGAGCACACCAAGCTTCTCGACTCGGAGGATAACTCGTCCCTCCAGCCTTTCGACCTGGTTGTCTTGACCACTTCGGTGGTCAAGGGCGCCGAGCAGCGCGACAGGCTCAAGCACGTCCAGAGCCTGATGAAGCCTGGTGCTTACCTCATTCTCATCCACGAGTCCATGAGCCCGCTCAGAGATAGGCTCCGTCGCGCCTTCGGAGTGAGAACTCAGGTCGATGCGCCTCTTACGCCTCCGGAGTGGCCCGATCTCTTGGATGAGTGTGGTTTCGTCCGCTCAGCGAAGAAGGCTGAGCAGTTCTTCGCTCCGGACTTCTCCCTCATCGTGAGACAGGCAGAGTCGGAGTTGAAGCAGATTGCTCTGAACCCTCTCAACGGCTCCCTTCCCAAGGTGGCCGGACAGACTCTCATTATTGGGGCGGGAGGAAATTCGGCCGACCTCGCCGCGGAAGTCCACGAGAAGCTGATGCCTGCCTGCGACATGATCGACATCGTCGCCGACATCGATTCTCTCGAGCCCGCCTACTTCAACGGCGTCAGCAATGTTGTCATGCTCGCTGACCTGGACCAGCCCATGATGAGCACCATGACTTCCGAGCGACTTGATCTCCTTCGCGCTCTGATGGCTCCCGAGAAGGTTGTTCTGTGGGTTACCATGAACTCTCGCGCCGGCAACCCCGAGCACGCCGCCACCTACGGTTTCTCGCGCTCTATGCTTGCTGAGATCCCCAGTCTGAAGCTTCAGATGCTGGACCTCGACTCCCGCAGAGACTCCGTTGATGCCGTTGCTGAGACATTCTTGCGGTTGAGCATGAAGGATCTCCGCATTAGCGCTCAGGACGGTGAGGTGTTGTGGACTCACGAGAACGAGATCTTCCTCGAGCACGGCCACCGTCTTGTTCCTCGTGTCGTTCCCTGGAAGGAGGGCAACGATCGTGTCAACTGCCCGCGCCGACTAGTCTCTTCCGAGGTTAACACGCTCGAGAGCTGCGTCGAGATTGTCTCTTCGCAGTCCGGCGATGGCTTGGCTGTTTATACTGCCAACGTTGTTGAGGGCGAGATCCTCGACGCCATCGTTCCGGACCAGAGTGTCATCCAGGTCGACTACAGCTCGGTTGAGGTCATCAACTTTGGCCTGAAGTATGCTTCTCACGTCTCCATCGGCAAGGACGTTTCGACCGGCGGGCAGTGCCTGGCCCTGACCAAGGCCAACTCCTCTTACATCACGGTCCCGAATTCCTGCGTCTTCCCTCTGGGTGACCGTAACGTCGACCCCAAGACCCTGATCAGCCTTGTTCTCCGCTACCTCGTCACCCTCTCTGTGGAGGAGGAGATGATGGAGCAGACTGTGCTTCTCCTCGAGCCCGATTCCGTCCTGTTGGAGTGTATGAGAGAGGTCTTCGAGCCCAAGGGTGTTAACGTCATCGCTTGCACCACCACCCCTCTCAAGGGGAAGCCTGCCGGTGAGCGCTACATCCACCCTTACGCCAGCAACCGTGAGCTCAAGGCTCTCTTCCCCGCCAACGGCGCTTCAATCATCGATTTCCTCCCCGAGGGCAGCGAGCTCTCTGAGGCTATCCTCGACTGCCTCCCCGAGAACTGCGAGTACCACTCCCGCTTCTCCCTTCTCACCTCCGAGCACGTCGTCGCTCTCGGGGACTCCATGGACATTGAGGGTATCTGGGAGGGTGCCATCGCCAAGGCGTTGGAGAGCATGACCGGTATGAAGGGCCAGATGGGCATTCCCAACCTCGACTCCGTCTCTGTTCCCGATCTTCTGGACCAGTCCGGCAGCGGGAAGCCATTCCAGATCCTCGACTGGCGCGCCGACCGCACCGTCCAGCACATCGCCAAGCCTCTCCTCGGCACCCAGCTCCTCCGCCCGTACAAGACCTACGTCCTCGTCGGCCTGACCCGCGACATGGGCCAGAGTCTCTGCAACCTCTTCTACGAGCACGGTGCCCGACACTTGGTCCTGGCCAGTCGCAACCCCAACATGAACCCTCAATGGATCGACGACCTTGCCGCCAAGGGCTGCGAGGTCCGCATCGAGCGCCTCGACGTCACCAGCATCGAGAGCGTGAGGGCTTTCAAGGAGAGATTGGCTACCGAGATGCCGCCTGTCGCAGGTGTCATCAACGGCGCCATGGTCCTCGACGACCGCGTCTTCGCGCAGATGGATGAGAACACCTGGACCAGGGTCATGCGGCCCAAGACGGTGGGATCCAGCAACTTGGATGAGATCTTCTGTGACTCTGACATGGAGTTCTTCATTATGACTTCGTCTTTTGCCGCCCCTGGTGGACACGGTGGACAGTCCAACTACGCCGCTGCGAACATGGTAAGTGAAACTCACAACCTTTCTCACCACTCATAGACACACGCTAACATGACGCAGTACATGAACGGCCTCGCAGCCAACCGCCGCCTCCGCGGCCTGCCCGGCTCGGTCCTCAACATCGGCGTCATCTACGGCCTGGGCCTCCTCCACCGCGAGCGCAACGACATCTACGCCTTCCTCGAGAAGGACGGCTACCCGCCCATCTCGGAGCGCGACATCCACCACATGTTCCTCGAGGCCATCGTCACGGGCCGCCCCGTCGACGGACAGATCTACGACATCACGACCGGCCTCAGCCGCTACAGCCCCAACAACCCGAACCCGCTGCACTGGCACCGCGACCCGCGCTTCTCGCACTTCACCGTCGAGGAGGACGCCGAGGCCGAGGAAGAGGGCGAGGGGAAGCAGAGCCTCAGGGAGAAGCTCAAGGCCGTCGTGCTCGCGTCCGAGGGCGGCGTCGGGGAGGTCGCCCAGGTGCTCGTCGAGGGCTTCTCGCGGTACCTCGAGGTCGTCCTCGGCCAGGGCGAGGGGAGCGTCCGGGGCGAGCACAGCGTCGCCGAGCTCGGCATGGACTCGCTCGTCGCTGTCGAGGTGAGAGGGTGGTTCTACAAGAACGTCGAGCGGGATGTTTCCGTGATGAAGATTCTCGGAAGTGCGAGCATCGCAAAGTGTGAGTTCACGCCCCATTCCCCTGACATGATGAGTATTGGACTTGAGCTGACTTGAAGTAGTGTGTCACGAGGTAGCTGAGGGCTATGTTGGCGAGCGGTCGAAGGCCTAAGAATGTTTCATTGTCGTAACAAAAGGAGGCGGGGGGATACACGGCGCTAGCAAGAAAGGTTCATGGGTTACTTCTAAAAAGGCTTGATGAGTTTGTTTATGCTCGGAGTTGGTACATGTATTTGGATACTTGGTTGGTTTGGCTGTCTGGAAGATTGGGTACGGAAAAACAGGCGGCTATTGTTGATTCTTTTGTTGGAGCTGGCTGGAGTTTTGGAATTATTGGGATCGATACCACTGTCGCTATATATACCTAGTTCTTTTGTTCAAGAAACAGATTCTGTTATTCTACTCTTCAAGTTCAGAAAGATGTTATATCCCCCGAGACTTAGGAACCTCCAAATTCAAGATTCTTATTACCTATGTTCCAGACTCGGCCTTCGAAGATCCCGCTCATCCGGCGGTGGCATCCGATGTGGACCCCGCCCGTTCCCTTTTTGGGGTCGGGGATGGCCTCCCTCCGCGTCCCCGCATGCGCAAACGACGCTATCATATGTGCAACTCCACATCACGTCAAGAGGCCCGTATCCCACCTTCGTTTCTCTCCGCCGAAGCTTGGTCTTCCTTTCCAAACCGAACCACGGACCCGGGTTCTGCGATTCTAATCAGGCACGAGAGTCTCCGCCCCCCGATCTTTTCCCGCCAATAGACGGATGAGAGATGGGGGCCGACATGCAAGTGGTTTACGGATACTCCCATTCTGGGTTGGGTCTCGGGGGCGCTTTGCCGGATGGTGTTTGTCCTGAGATGAAGGTGACGATGGATGGGAGGAGGGAAAGATATATAATGCCGGTGGGATGGCCACATCCTCCAGTCTCGAGGAAGTCCTAGGCCGGAGTCTCGTCCCCCTCGTCTTCCGGATCTCAGATAAAGATGTCTCGCATCGCGGCTTCCATCTTTCTCGCGGCCGGTCTGGCCTTCACCGCAAACGCGCAGGCTCCCGTCTGGGGCCAGTGTGGCGGCAACGGATGGAGCGGCGCGACGAGCTGCGCCGCGGGAGCGTATTGCTCGTCGCAGAACGCGTGGTATTGTGAGTGAAGCCTCGAATAGAATAAGCCCTCGATGAAAAGAGTACTGACGATGTATAGTCCAATGCGTTCCCGGCACCACGCCTCCCGCGTCTTCGACCCGCGCGACGAGCGTCCCGGCCTCGACCACCGTCCGGACCACGACCACCTCGGTGCGCACCTCTTCCTCCGCCGCCTCCACTCCGACCGCGGCTAGCTCGCCCTCCGGACCGAAGTACTTCATCACCTTGTAAGTCTCCTCCCCCATCCTCCTCAAAACCAAAAACCAACCACCGAACCCCCAACAGCGGCGATTCCTACTCCCAAACCGGCTTCAACATCAACTCCACGAAACCCAACCCCCAGAACCCCCTCGGCAACCCGGACCTGCCGGGCTGGACCGCCTCCGGCGGCCTCGACTGGGTCGGCTTCATGGTGACCCAGTTCAACGCGTCCCTCGTGTACAGCTACAACCTCGCCTACGGCGGCGCGACCACCGACGCCTCCCTCATCGCGCCCTACGCGAGCACGGTGCTCAGCTTCATCGACCAGGTCGCCGAGTTTTCCCGCAGCCTCGCCCCCAGGCCGAGCTGGGCGCCCTGGACCGCCGACAACACCCTGGCCGGGGTCTGGATGGGCGTCAACGACGTGGGCAACTCGTTCTGGCTGAGCAACCGCGAGGCGCTGCTCGTGCAGGTCCTGGGGAAGTATTTCGAGCAGCTGCAGGTGTTGTATAACGCCGGCGTGAGGAAGTTTGTGCTGTTGAGCGTTCCGCGTGAGTGATATACCGTGCCTTCATGAATTTGCGGAGAGAAAATTGCTGACGGTCCTGCAGCCACGCAAAAGACACCGCTGATGCTCGCCAACGGCGCCGATTCCAACGCCCAGCTCGCGGCCGCGATCAAGCAGTACAACGACCTCATCGTCAGCAACCTCGCGGCGTTCAAGACCAAGAACGCGGGCGTCACGTCGTGGGTCGTCGACACGACCGCGGCGTTCGACAAGGCCATCAACAACCCGACGGCCTACGGCGCGCCCGACGCTACGTGTTACAACGCCGATGGTGTGAGCTGCCTGTGGTTCAACGACTACCACCCCGGTGTGCAAATTCAGAAGTTGGTGGCGCAGGCTGTTGCGCAGGCTGTTGGTGCGCCTTGGTTTAAGGGTTAGTTGTGCTTGTGGATGTGATGTTTGGCGAGAGCTGACGATGCTTCACAGCTTGATCTAGGGGCGATTGTTTGCGCATGGCAAGAGGCTGTATGTAGAAGAATAGCAGTAACCGAACATGATCAAATTTAACAGCTTCGTCCAGCGTGACGAGAATTGGTGATATTAGTGTCTCGCAACCATCCTATGTATTTGGCTTTCTATCAATCCAACATTCAATGCGCCGTTCCACAGCCCTTCAAGAGTCCTTGGCGATGTCATCGCTCACAAACACAACGCGCTTCCCGCCCACCTGAACCTTGTCCCACGCCGTCTCGACATCCTTGAACGCAGCCACAAGAACTCCCTTCCGCTCAAGTTTGGCAGCGATGTCAACCATTCCCCCAAGTTCCTTCGCGTACTCCTGCATAGTCCAGCTCCCAGGCCCGGCACCGCGAATCGCCACCCTCTTTCCCCTCAGAACAGCACCGGGAAGGCTCATGCTCTCATCGCGCGACACCGAACCCATGTGAATGTACTGCACCTCCCTCTCGGACTTGGGCAACGCTTTGAGGAGACTCGCCGCCGGGTCACCGTAGACATAGTCCAAGACGACGTCCACTTCTCCCAGAGACGACCAGTCCGTCTCAGGACCCAACACGATGCGCTCGTCGAGCGGCATCTCAGCTAGCGCAGCTGCGTTCCGAGCGATGCCAATCACGCGACCTGCTCCTTTCGACCTGACGACGTCCACTGCGACGCGCCCGCTCGCACTCGTAGCTCCCAGGATAGCAACCGTGAATCCCGGTGACTGAGGCGCCGCGCGCGCCGAGAGGGCCATCCAGCTGCTCATGATAGGATTCATGTACGCGGCTGCAGTCACGGGATCCGCGTTTGCCGGGAGTGCGGCGACGAAATTGCGGTCAATGTTGACGAACTCGGAGAAGGAGCCGGTTTGCAGGGCGGCGAAGTAGTACCGTTTGCCGGTTGTGGGGTCCTCTCCGACTCCGTCGACGCCGGGATAGTGGGGTAACGTGGTGGAGGTGTAGTGTTTGCCGGCGGCCCGTGAGAGCACGAGTCGGTGAATGCCGGAAGCCAGGACGCGGAGTCGAATTTGGGTAGACGAAGGGTCGGGGAGGTCGGGAACTGTGGTGTAAGTCGGGGGAGAGCCCCAGGAGTTGACGATGGCGGCGTGCATTCTGTTTGGTGGTGTTGGGCGAAAGAGACGAAGATACAACAATGCTCGGGTATAAAGCATGGACAGAGGATGAGGGCATGTGTTTTTATTCTTTTCAAATGTTTTGGATTTTCTTCGGTGTTTATATATGGCGATAACCGCATCCGTACATGGCTTTTCCACCGCCAGATTGATGAGTAAGTGGCCTCGCCCGGCATGCATTCCAAACCTCGTCGCTGCGAGACGCTGAGTGTACATGCGTGAGCCATATTTGTTAGCTGGACCCGCGCGGTCGGCGATTTCGTAAATCGCCGGAGGACCCCGCGCGGTGGCTCAACGAGGACTAGTCTCGCCCTCGCGTCGCGGCGGCTCGACCAATCTTCCCCAATACGTGCTTCTTGTGTGACGCACAAGTCTTTCTCGTAGGGCTGACTGAGCGGTTGTGCAAATGGTCCAGCAAGACGCACATGGTCAAGCGCGCGCGCGGCTCCATCGAGGCCGCCGTCGGTGGTTTGCGGTTGCACCGTTGACTTGCGCGTTCGTTTGTTGAGTCGACGTCGACTCGTTCGGAAGTCGGCACGTCATGACTTGTCTTTAGGGCTGCTGGTGTCCCCGTTTCATCGTCGACTGAGTGCAGGATGTTCGAACCAACTTGGGAGGTCGTCAATGTCAATCTCGCCGTCGAAGCCGACATCCTCGTCGCATGCTTCATTGCCACAGCCGCATCCATGGTCACCATGTTCGTGGCTCGACTTTGGTAGAATCGGAGGAATGAAAGGTTGGTCGGCTACCTCCAGAATGACGGCCTTAATGCACTCACCCAGCACCTTATCGCCATCATCTCGGCTGCAGTGGCCTGGGTAAGTTTCCAAACCGCCTTCGGGCTTGCGCAGGAGGCCCTTTTCCAACATGATGTTCTGCAACTTCCGAGCGAATGTTTGGACTTCCCAGTCCAGCTTGTAGTAGTTTATCGACAATTCGTTATGGACCATTGTTTCGACGGTTTGGTCGAGGATCTCCAGAATCTCGACATGACGCATGTTGCCAACTCGCTGGAGTCGCTGGACGAGTTCTTCCGTCTTCTCCTTTCCGGTGGTCTCCTTCTTTTGCTGCGGCAAACCGAATGGGCTCTGTTTGGAATTATGCGGTAGACCAAAGTGGTCGCGAATGACATTGCCGATATACTCCATGTCTGCACGATGCATAGGACTGTCTGCGTAGCGGTCGTGGAAGTTCGTGATGCGACCAACCTTGTCCAGAAGACCCATCCAGATATGGTAACGTTTTCCATCGGACATCGTGGTTGCATAATTGGTCAAGATTTCGGCGACTTTGAGGTCCTCTGTAATGGGGAAGCCGAGGAGTTCGGTTCCGTGGACGCTCAAGAACCTGTCCATCTCAGGCCATGCGGGAATGTCTGCATAGTCCCGTTTGGCGATGGTGTAGAGCACTCCGCTCCATAGCGGCGCCGGCGTTCGCGTCAAAAGACGAATACTGAGCACCGTACTTGCCAGCTTGGACCGGAAGTCGAGTAAAGCAGGCCAAACAGGCTCGGTGTCGAACAGTGCATACTCAGGAAGGTCTTCCATCATGCCCATTTGTCTCGCTCGCGCCTCTTTGTCCTCGATAGTAAAGTCCAGCATTGCGTAGCTGCTCAGGATCATCGCATCCCGCTCCGCAAACTTTCTCCAATCCGATTGATAGACTTCCTCACACGACCTCTCGGCCACGTCCGTACAATGAAGGATATCTTCTGCGTTGGCATGGAGTTGTTCGCAGGCGTCTTCCACCTGCTCGTCCAGGATATTGCGAATATCGAGGTAAAGCTGCAGGGAAAAGATAAAACTTGATGGATAATAACGCAAGCCAAGCACTTGTTCAAAGTCAAGCTCGAGGTCGGGCTGACCCGGAATGACGGGAGGCTCTTGGCGATTCTTCTTCAAAGCCCTCACCTCGGCGACCTCCGGGAAAAGCTGCATAATGCAGGCTTTGTGGAAGGATGCGAAGTCGGCTGCTGTGATGGGGCCATACTTGGGAAGCCTTCGAGCAGAAGGCGGGATAAGCGGAACCTTGCCCCGAGGGCAATGTTCGAAGATGTCTTCCATGGCGACATATGCAGACCAGCCAAGCCAATCGGCCTCCTCGCGCCAGATTTTCTCGTTCATCTCCTCCTTCGACTCGGGCTCGTCATTGTAGTCGACGGGCTCCATCCCGTATTCGAAGAAGAGTAACTCCATCATGGCCTCGTATGTGCCGAGGTCGGCGTGTCCGTTCAGGCGGAGAAGACGGAGTAGCTCAAACTCCATGTCGCGGAAAAGCTCGGAGGCCGCGTTGGTGATGACGGCGAGAGTGTTGAGAGAGACGGACTTGTCGTAGTAGTAGTCGCACCAACGCTCGCAGACGTGGTTTCGGATCGTGTTGAAATCCTCGAAGAAGCAGTAGATGAGCATATAGTAGTCGAACTCCTCCTCGTCATCATACTGCTCGTCCAGAGTGAAGCCATCGACCCAGGCGCCGTCGCCCGCAGGCTTGGCTTTTTTGACCACGGCCTTGGACTTCGGGGCTTTCTTGCCGCCCTTCTTTCCACCTTTGCCCTTTTTCTTTGGCGTTTGCTTGGTCTTCTTCCGTGACACCGTCTTTGAAGTTGCGGCAATCTCCGTTTCTGACTCGGAGTCCGACTCGGATTGTTCGGCTTCCGGCTCCAGCTCCACCACGGCGGCAACGGCTTGGGCTTCCTTTGGTGGTTTTGCAGGCTTTTGAAATTGAAGAAGGTTGAACATGTTGTCGAGAAGACCCATATCCAGGCGCTCGCGAGGTCTAGGGGGCTCCTCCTTCTTCTGCTTTGGTCGCATCGGAGATACGGCAGTTTCGAGCAGGCCCAACACCTTCTCCAGCACCTTGATGATGTGCTCATGCTGCTGGTTGCTCACTCGCAGCTTTCCAGTTTTGTCTTGCTGCGCCGTTTTCGAGTAGAACCGGGCGCTCTTCTTCCTCAGGGCCACGACGTCGCGCAGGACCAGGATGGGGTCCCACGGGATCTCTTCGGGCTTGCTGTTGCTGACGATGAGCTGTGCCAAATCTTCGAGCTCGCTCCAGTGCACCTTGCCGGAGGCCGAGTCGAGCGATGGCCCCATCTTGCCGCTCGAAGTGCCATTGCTCGCTGGTTGAAGAGGAGGCGAGTCAGGTACGGGGGTAGGTGTGAATTTGTTGGCGGTTTGCTTCAACCAGTCGGTGAACCGGGCCTGGCCGAGTTTATAGCGCTTCCAGGTTCCGACGGACTGGAACGAACTTCCCGTCGCCGCTGCGGCCGACATTTTGCGCAACTTGCGGGATGTGATGTTGGAGGTTCTGAAGACAATTGCTCGAGCCGATGATTCCGAGTTTAGAAAAGCCACGGGAACATTCTTGAACATGTCTCGAATCCTTGGCACCCCTCACTTTAGTGGGGCATTTAACGCGACATTCCGAACGCGTGACGTCGCGTCGCGTCGATGCTGCACTTAAGCCACCGACTTACACCGGCTCGGTGAGTTCGGGGACACGTCGGTGAAGACTTACACGCTGCCACTCAGCCCATACAGGTACTAGGTTCTTGCAGGAATATCACTTAGAAGGGTATCAAACGGCTTGAAAGTACGTCCAAGGTTGGATCTGTAACTTATGCTGTTTCACTGACTGTTATTGTTCTAACTACTACTAATGAGAAAAGTTTACGCCTACTGATGCCGTGTCTTAAATGCTTCCTGGCCCATCCGCTTCGTAACCACACGATCAATCGTCGTAAGAGTCGGAGGTGTAGGGAGAGCTTGAGTGTCTACCGCAGTTCTTGCAGAATCCTCGCTCGACAATGGCATCCGGAAGATTCCGAACTCCATCGCACTTTTCGCCATTCTGCTTCTTTGTGCACTTGCGCGTCCCATGCCTGCGTGTGTGGTGACGCCTCTTGCACTTCTTACACTTGTAGACGGATCTTCTTTTCCAGCACATGTTGGCGAGTGTTTGATGTGAAGCTTGGAATTGTTGAGCTGTTAAGTTTGAGTTTGCTTGGTTTGGTTTGTTTTGACTTGGCTGTATGAGAGTTGGGTTGTTTGTATGATGTGTGTGTTTGTGTTGTTGGATTGTAGGGAATGGAAAGATTGAGGCTCTTGGAAAATCATCGACCTATTTATATGAAAACAATCGCGAAGATGCGAATCATGGACCGACAGTATGAGCAGTGATTTGGCGATGATGTTCCCATTGGGTCACTGACTATCTCTCATTCGCAGTTCCTCTTTCTACTACAGGTTTCGTATCTTAACGGCGCGATGTGAAAGATGGACAGTGATTCATCCCCGCAACACCATTATAATGCGAGAGCTTCCAAGGGCAGAGGATCCGGAGATAGTGGTAATTGAGTAGGAGTAAAGTGTAGTCGACTTGTGAATCTGCGCAGGCTAGAGCGTTTTGTCACTTATGACTCAAGGTACCTGACGCCCACTTCAAAGCTTTGCCTTCGTCCTGGCACGGGATTCAAATGCTTCCCTCTCCTTGCTGGTGAGCTCCCTCCTCGCCGGCCCTCCACGGCTTCCGTCGCCCACGAACGCATCCGATTGGCCTTCGTACTCTTTCCGGAACCTCCACTTGTCAGCCAAATGGCTTGGAAGTTCTCGTTGGACAGCGCGGGCTAGGTATTCTCCTAGAACAGGGAAAAACTTGAAAGCACTGCAAATGAACCATATTAGATCTCGCTTGCGCTTTCCGAGGGAGTGTTTGGAGACTTACTGTCCACATCCAGCTCCGCCGATAAAGAGGTTCTTATAGTCTGGATGGTAATCCATAATGAAGTCTCCCGTTGGCGTATCCGTGTACCAACACATAGCAACCTTGTCGAAGGGACGGCTCGCCAACTCAGGCAGCATCTCTCGCAACCCTTGTCGCAAACGATCTTCGCCATCTGATGGCACGAAGTTGGGGCGCTCTTGCGACTTCAAAGGCGGGGACGAGGGGTTGACCGTGAGTTTGCGATCATCATCGCCAGGTGCTCGCGTGTACCCCCACCCATGGACTGCCATCTTGAGGGTTTTTGTGTCCTCGTGCGGTGGGAAGTTGAACCAGCCCGTTGAGTAGTTGATATAAAGCGGCAGGTCCTTGTACTTTACCATCTCTTCGTCGGTAAGAGGGAGATATCCCACGACCTGGGCGGTGGAGAGTGTTGAGTTGTACATCGGAACAAGACCAGAACCCCAAGCACCAGCCGTCAGTATGAAGTGGTCTGCCTTGACTGAGGAATCAGGTCCGGCTAGTGTCCGAACTCCTGTGATTGATCTCTGCGAGTCTGTCTCGAAACCCACAACGGTACCAGCCCGGCCGCAGATGAACGATACGCCTAGCTCGATACACTCATCCCGAAGTTGAGTGATGGCTTTGCCGGCGTCCGCCCAGCCAGCTTGGTTGTGGTGATAGGCAGAGAAGTTGGGACCGGCCAGCTCACCACTCAATACGGGGAAAATACGTCTAGCATCCTTGGCGTCCTTGAGAGTTGACCATGGCAAGTTGTGCTTGGTCAACTGGGCTGTAGTCTTGTCCATCCAGGTCTCTTCGCCAGGCTTGGGAGATCCGCCCAAGATGAAATGCGTTCGGGAGAAGATTCCGTGGTACTTGGGATCGTTGAGCCATCTCTGATACGCTTCATAAGCTATCTCATGGTAGTCTCCGTCTGCGTAGTCAAATCGAACAACGCGAGAAATGTCGTTGCTCGAACCGTCCGGTACCTAGATATCTGTCAGCAAGAGTCCTTTATCGGAGTTTCTTGGCACCCTCACCGGTGGAATATGTCGGTCAAGAACTTTGATGTTCCGGTAGCCATCCAAGCTGAGCTGACGAGCGACGGACAGGCCAAACAGCCCGGCTCCGATGACGCAGATCTTGCTGTTCTTGTCCATTTCTCGATATGAGCTCTTCCAAGACTTCACCTTTGAAATGAATGCATGCTGGCAGCCGAGAAGATGACACGCCGCCGCCGTCAACGGCTTATTGTAAAGAGGCGTACTCGGCTTAGAGTGGGGTTGGAGCCGAAGACCGGCCCTGATCGGCTTCTACGACCCGATCTTCGGGACGTTCACCGCCAGTAAATCCATCCGTCCACGTGACCGGATACGGCCCGGGAGATGGATTCTCATGCACCAAGAGTCATTTTTCATTCCATGATGGATACACATTTATGTAAGACGTAAAACCTATTCGAAACTTTTTCGTAATGTCATTCATGAAACGGGCGCGAGGATAGGTCTTGAAGCCGGTTGTCGGCTGTAACAAGAAGAACTCCGCGGATTCGCTGACGTCTCGCACATGTAGAAGAGACAAAATCTCTCCCATTCCGCCTGCAGCCTGCTTCAAGAAAGAGGGTATTCAAAATCCTATAGAAAAGTCTCATCAACAAGGCTAATGGCGTCTTTCATCTAGTTGAAAGACACATGGATTTCCCCGAGCATCTGGCATGGTCTTCATGGCAAGCCAAGGGATCGGACATGAGTTTCCCTCTAAGTTCCATCAGAGCTTAGAAGCCGGCCCTCGGACGCGATGATGAGTCCGATAGTGGGTGCAGGGCTGATATGGTAGCGGGCTCCAGCTCTTTACCTTGATGCTGAGCTCCTCCGTGCCCACCTCGACGTGGATCATAACATTCAGGATAGGGCGAATGTAAGAATCTGACTGATATTCTCACATAATAGTAGCGCGATATTAACCGAAGTAGTTGGCGATCTCCCGGTCACTCTGGTCATTTGGCCATGACCACAGCGTGGAGCTTGGCCGCCGAAAACCATTCATACTCAATTTCTGAGTGGAGCACAAAAGCTCTTGCCTCAATAAGTAAAACTTGCTGATACGTTCTTTTCAAAAGTAGAAACACCTGGTAAGTCCCGAATTGACATTCTTCCGGCATGCGAACAGCTCGAGACTGGGGTTGTAGCGTTCATCCAGGAGCAGTGCCAATCCGGCTTAGCTCTCCACCGGAGGTCCTGATGCTCTTCCGGCGGGGTGCTAGATCTACGCACGCGCAAGTCAGACTCCTATGTACACAGGTAAAAGTGACTTCAAGTTGAGAGTTACTCATAGAACCTCAATGAGTAAATGACAGAGATGTAATGCCGGACACTATTTAGTTCAGATGTAGACCATTCCAGGCTTGAGTCTCCCTCTCGGTTTCCGATTCGAACCAAACTCTCGATCCCCAATTCATGCCATTAAGAAGATTGAACAACATTTACTTACCTTTAAACTAAACTCCATCATCATAATCGCCATGATTTACGAAGAAATCAACAGCATCCTGTACCGTTACGACGGTGAGCAGGTTCGAATCGAGCCCTGGGGCCCCAACGCATTTCGTGTTCGATCGACAAGATGCCCTGAAATGCCTTCAGAGGCATGGGCTCTCGAACAATCACCTCCTACCGTTGACGTCTCGTCCAAGATTTCTATCGTGGGCGATGGTTCCGGAACTGTTACCAACGGAAAGGCCAAAGCTGTCATCACCAAACGCGGCAAGATCACCATTTTCAACCATTGCGACGATGTTGTGCTCGAAGAGTACGCTCGAAACCGCCGTGACCTGCTCGATGCCAACTGCAGCGCGCTCGAGGTTGAAGCCCGCGAGTTCAAGCCCCTGGTTGGCGGTAACTACCACCTTACGATGCGCTTCGAAAGTCTTCGAGAAGACGAGCAGATCTACGGCATGGGACAGTACCAGCAGCCTCACCTTGACCTGAAAGGTCTCGATCTCGAACTCGCACACCGCAATTCCCAGGCCAGTGTGCCCTTCGCCCTGTCATCACTGGGCTACGGGATCCTCTGGAACAACCCCGCCATCGGTCGGGTGGTGTTCGGGAAGAATACAACGACATTCGAAGCCTACTCGACCAAGGTCCTAGACTACTGGGTCGTGGTCGGCGATACGCCGGCGGAAATCGTCGAAAGACATGCCAGCGTTACAGGCACGCCGCCGATGATGCCGGACTACGGTCTGGGCTTCTGGCAGTGCAAACTCCGATACGAGACGCAGGAAGAGCTGTTGCAAGTTGCACGAGAATACCGTCGCCGCGATCTCCCAATCGACCTGATTGTTGTAGATTTCTTTCATTGGCCGATGCAAGGCGAGTGGAAGTTTGATAAGAAGTTCTGGCCAGACCCAGGTAAGAGCCTCAACCTTCAACCCATAAGGTTCAAAATGCTTGCGAAGTATCGATAAGTGCTAACTGCGGGTCAGATGCTATGGTGGAAGAGCTTAAGAGCATGGGGATCGAGCTGATGGTGTCCATCTGGCCAACGGTTGACCAGAGATCTGAGAATTTTGCGGAAATGATGGAGCTTGGCCTGCTGGTCCGCTCGGAGCGAGGAGTGAGGACCAACTTCGAGTTTGAAGGCCAAACCGTGTACTTCGACCCTACCAATCCCGATGCTCGTCGATACGTCTGGAACAAGGCCAAGGATCACTACTACTCCAAGGGCATTCGGACCTTCTGGCTGGACCAAGCTGAACCAGAATACTCCGTTTACGATTTCGATAACTACCGATACTTCCTTGGGCCCAACCTGGAAGTAGGTAACGTCTATCCTCGCGACTATGCCCGGACCTTCTTCGACGGTATGGAGAATTCAGGACAAAAGAACATCGTCAATCTCCTTCGATGTGCCTGGGCTGGCAGCCAAAAATACGGGGCACTAGTTTGGAGCGGTGATATCGCGTCATCATGGTCCAGCTTCCGGAATCAACTAGCCGCGGGTCTGAACATGGGAATTGCAGGATTACCATGGTGGACAACCGACATTGGCGGGTTTCACGGCGGCAACCCAGATGATGAATCATTCCGAGAGCTATTTGTGCGCTGGTTTCAGTGGGGCACGTTCTGCCCTGTGATGCGCCTACATGGAGACCGAGAGCCAAAGACTGGCAACCTTTCCTCGAGCAGTGGAGCCGGGAATGAGGTTTGGTCTTATGGGCCTGTGGTTTATGAGATCTGCCGCAAGTATATGCTCATACGAGAACGAATGAGGAGTTATACAAGACGGCTCATGGTGGAAGCACATGAAAAGGGGTCACCTATCATAAGGCCGCTGTTCTACGAGTTCCCCAAGGACCCGAAGAGTTGGAAGCTCGGCGCGAAACAGTACATGTATGGAGATGGGATTTTATGTTGTCCCGTTATGGAGTCTGGTGCGAGGACGGCTGAAGTTTATCTTCCAATCTTGGAGCATGGGGAGTGTTGGGAGTCGTTCGGAGAAGACCGTGAGGAACGTGTCTTCGAAGGCGGTCTCACTTTCGAGATAGAGTGTCCATTGGATTGGATGCCAGTGTTTGTAAGGAAGTCGAAGATAGACTTGGTATTAGGAGATCAGGAGACTGCCTGAGCCGGTTGACTTGTTACACGTCTCAGCCGAGTCTTCTAGCCGGACTTCTTTGGGGGTCGGCTTTCGCACCCTGTGGTAAGACAGAATCATGATTTAACGTCAATTTAGATCCGAAGTTTTACCCGTAAATGATGAGTTGCAGAATGCGACAACGGTGCCGGTGGGAGAACCAGGTTCTCCGCACCAAAAATTGTGTTCTAAGCTGTATTCGTCTACATCACCTCACGCCAATGCGCACCAGTTACCACTTCCCTTCTCTATTCGTCTTTTTGCAGTTGGATCGATGCAACTTGATACGTACCTGCATCACAATCCCCGCATATAAGTGCCGTCATATCCTTCTATGCCATTAGCTGAATCTCTCCAGCTATGCTGGTCATCTTACGATATCTTCCCCAGGATAGACGTCGATTCGTCATTGCCCGTGCCTTCTGATTCAATCTGCAACTATGAAAACATATATTCATTTAAACCCATGAGCAAGTTATGACATGTCAAGAATTGAACAGCCAGATGATAATGGATGTGCTCCCCCTGAACACGAGGAGATCGTTGCAGCAGCCAGCAACATGGCGTTCAAATGCGATCACTGCGGCAGTGTCTTTGGACGTCAGGAGCATCTGACACGACACAAACGATCACATACTAGAGAGAAGCCTTTCACCTGCTCGACGTGCGGTAAAAGTTTCTCTAGGCTGTAAGCTTAGCATCGAACAGGTTTGTAAGGCGACATAACGTGTCTGACAGTTTAGCAGGGATGTTCTCACGCGTCACATTGCCTCTCACCAAGAGATCGAGGCACGCTCGTGGCGTCGCGGGGCTTCAGCGAGAGCCTGTCAAGAGTGCGCAGTCAGTCGTACTAGGTGTTCGAGAGACCATCCGTGTCGGCGCTGTTCCAACCGCGGGTTGAACTGCAGCTACCCTGCACCTAGAAGCCAACGAGAGACTTCGAACAAACGCAACGCGTCTCCCCAACTTGAAACTCCGGCAGAGAACATGGACATGGATATTCTTGACGAGTCTATGAACGGATCCTGTGACAACGAACATGGAGAGACAGATTCATATCGAGCCGTGGCTGCGTTGCCACAAGAACAGCCAGAGGTCGCCGAAGTTATGACACTTTCTGACATGAACGCTGGAATCGCCCCAGCAGAAGAACGCATCAACGACCCAGTCAATTGGGTAGTCCCTTCGGCCAGTGAGGAAACTGGGGCTGATGGTCAGGTCGGAAACCTGAGTTGCTCCCACGATGGGAATATTCTCGACGAATACATGGCTGGCGCAACGTTCATGGACCAGCTCGCTGGTATTTCCGCCATCAACTGGCTATCTCCTCCATATTACACTGATTTCGATTCGACATATCTCCAATTTTCTGCGGATGGAGCTTACCACGATTCGGATGTGGTCGATCAACAGAATATTCCGGACGTTGCAGGACCTAATATGAACAGGCCTTGGCTGAACCTACTGGAACCCAACCTAACTCCGAACCACGATCCTTCTTTGTCGTCCGTCTCAGAGTCACTGCAGCTGAAATCAAACTTGGGGGAAAGAGCACCGGAAAACGAGGGAAGCTCAGCCGCATCTGCAAAGTCTGTCTCTACGCCGGGCGCGTATTACGTCGATGGTGCTCCGACAAGAGCGCCGTTCAAAGGTCGTCCTGTGCAAGGACGCTTGTCTACATCATTCGAACATGAGCCATCCCAAGACTCTGACAGTGCAGCCACTTCTACTACAAATACACCTGATTCGACTTTGGACGCCTCTGCGCCACTCATAACCTCCGACACATACAACAATCTCGTGGCGATGGTCAAGCAAATCTCTCCCCAGGGAAACATGTCTGAATCGAGACAGTTTCCTTCATTGGCACACATTCGGATCTGTTTCCAATTCTACTTCCGACGATTTCACCCCGCGTATCCCTTTCTTCCAAAATCACAATCAGTCTACGAACTGCAAGAGAATTGGCTTTTACTACTGGCTGTCTGTGCTGTTGGTTCGAGGTATACTCGCGGCAAGGCCAGTCGTTCTTCACGAGAAACACTGTCTTTGCTACTAGGAGATGCTATCTCGAGTCTAATCTCAGACGGACCAAACGATGACGCTTTTACATCTGGAGCGTCATTTGATATTAACAGTGGAAGAAATGGCTTTGAACTGAGAGTCATTCAAATAACATTGCTTCATATCATCTGCAAGTTACACACCGGAAAGGGCGATACATCACGATCATGTCTCATCTTCAGACATTTTCTGGTTGACTCATGCCACAAGTTGAGCCTTTTGGAGTTTCAAGATTCAATACCAGCAAATTCACAGAGTTACAATAAAGAAGGTAGTGTTGGGAGTTGGGTCGAGAGACAAATACGGATCAGAGCAGGATTGATGGTATGGGTAAGTAAGACTTGATCGATACCTCTTTGGTCTTCAATTAACGTATGATATGCTAATGGGCTTGTTTGAATCACAAATCCAGATTTTAGATTCAATGATGTCTCTAGAACTCGATAAAGAGCCGCTCCTCAAGCTTGGCGATGCCAGAGGGCCCATGCCATGCATCGACTCTGTCTGGGACAAACCTGACACAGAGACAGTAACACAGGCTGATTCAAAGCTCAGTGAGTTGCGTTCATAACTTGTTTCTTGGCACTGAAAATCAACTGACACACTGCTCTTATAGTCAGCGTACTCGAAGCTGTCGAGATGCTCTACATGGAAAAGAAGCTGCCTGAACAACTAGGAGACTTCGGTACGCTGGTTCTCATTCACGCCATTCTTCGTCGAACAAACGAAGCCACATATCAGCATCAGTCGAGACTCTCTTCGTGGGTGCCTTCCGCGGAAGTATCTCGAAGAATCGCAGGGGAAGCGTTTGAAGAGACTTGGCCACCCTCAGTCCCAATTTTGTCAAGGTGGCGTAACAGCGCATGCGACTGTTTAGACCTCCTCCATTGGAACGCAAACTCCATTATAGCCAAGGCAGGAGGCTGGGAGCATCCGGTGCTGCTCCATCTTCACCTGTCACGGCTCCATCTTCTCACCCCTCTCATCCACATGAGGACTCTGGCTGCGGCCGCTTCATCTCGCGCTTTATCGATGCCAGTTGAAACCTCCAAAGTCGACAAGGCGAGATTCTACATTTCCCAATGGGTCATACGCGATCAATACAAAGCTCGGCTATCACTAATTCATGCTGGGGCAATATTGTGGCATGTTCGCCGCTACAGTGTCAACAACTTTCTAGAACCTTTCAGCATTTTTGCGGCAACTCTGGTGGTCTGGTCATACAGCACGATGATGACCTTTCTGAAGAAGAACAAGAGGACTGGACAGGAACAAGCAAACGATAGATCTACCTCTCCCTACATTTCAAACGACAGAGCTCCCACAGGAGCGAGTCCTTTGGAAGCGATCGGGGATACTCCACTGGCAGAAACGGAAGAAGAGCCTGAACCTGTCTTCCTTCATCTGGACAGGCCATGCGATGATGAGATGGTGCAGACCTACGTCAGACTAGGCCATAAGATGGCTGGCCACATGTCCAAGGTCGGAGACATCTGCCAAGTAGGGGCACCAAGGCGAATCTTGCGGGAGGGCATTCGCATGTTGATGGGCGGGGCCGAACAACCGCTACAATCGGAAACGAGCAAACAGAGAGAGAGCCTCATGGTAGATGGGCAGGCTTCATACGCGTGGGGAATTGAGCAGCCCTATGTTGAGTTGCTGGACAGTCTCGTTCGATCATCGGCAGACTGAACCATAGTATCGTGTTAGTAGAAGGATAGCCGTAATACACAATGTAACAATACTAGGAATATTCGATGTCATCTCAATTCCCCGCCGGGGATACCTTATGCAAGAAATGACTCCGGTGGGCGGGACATCCGGGGTGTATGGCCTCCGGCGGCACAAGACTTCTGCACGCTCCGGTGGGGGTGGGTCAGAAATATTGAACGATATTCAACGACGACTGTGCTAAGTGAATGTAGGATTGAACATGGGAAATACCCCGGATGTACTGAAGATAATCTGCGGGGTAATCCCCGGGCTCGTGTAGATGGGAAGTCTCGACGAAGCTCATGGCGTAGCGAGGTTCATGAGAGCTGCATAGTATATGTATTCACTTTCTCCACAGTCAACCAGATCTTCCGTCGTTTTCACTGATCGATTATCATCTGGACTCTGTCTTTGCTTCTGCCCTTATACGACCGCTGTCGACTGGTATTTCCTCATTGAGCTCCACATAGCCACATCGCAATGGCAGCGTCGCACCGGAAAGATTCGCTCGACATCGCTGAGAATGAGCATCCTCACGTCGGTCATTACGAGATCAAAGACTTGGCCTTGGCCAAGCAAGGTGCCGAAGAAGAGCACAACCTCGGCTTCCTGGATGCAATACGCCGATATCCCAAGGCCGCCTTGTGGTCCATCCTCGTCTCTGCTTCCATCATCATGGAGGGCTACGACATAGTCCTCATCTCGTCCTTCTTCGCCCAACCAGCTTTTAGAGAGCATTACGGGGAATACATCCCTGCCAAAAGTTCCTTCGAAATCACCGCCTCTTGGCAGAATGGTCTCAGCAACGCGGTCAGCGTAGGCACTATCATCGGTGCCTTCGCCAACGGGTACTTTACCCACCGCTTCGGATATCGGAAAGTCCTGCTGGCGTCACTTGCCTCCATATGCTGCTTCATCTTCATCTCATTCTTCTCGCCCAGTCTTCCCGTCCTCCTCGTCGGACAATTCCTCTGCGGCATCCCGTGGGGCGTCTTCGCAACAACAGCTCCCGCGTATGCTTCTGAGGTGTGTCCAATGGCACTGCGCGGCTACCTGACGGTCTACGTCAATCTCTGCTGGGCCCTGGGGCAGCTCATATCTGCTGGCGTCCAAGCTGGTTTCTCCGAGAACTCAAGCAGATGGGCATACCGCGTCCCCTTTGCCATTCAATGGGTCTGGCCACTTCCTCTCTTCGCCATTTTATGGTTCGCTCCCGAGTCTCCCTGGCATTTCGTTCGCATTGGAAAGTTCGAAGACGCTGAAAACGCTGTCCTGCGTCTCGGCTCCGCCTCCCAACGCAGCTACGCCAAGCAGAAGGTTGCTATGATGATTCACACCAACGAGATAGAGGCACAGATGGACGACGGCACTTCATACAAGGATTGCTTCCGCGGCATCGACCTGCGCAGGACCGAGATCGCGTGCCTCACGTTTGCCGCGCAACCGTTCTGCGGGTCAGCTATGGGCGGTACTCCGACGTATTTCTTCGTACAAGCCGGGCTCTCAAACTCCATCTCTTTCCAGATGTCTGTCGGTGGGCTCGGAATTGCTTCGGTCGGCACGATCATTGCGTGGTTTCTCCTCCATGCATTCGGCCGCCGCACGCTCTATCTCTGGGGACTTGGTCTGCTAAGTCTCATACTCGTCATTGTCGGTTCCATCAGTGCCGGTGCCCCGGAATCAGATGGCGCGAACTACGCCCAAGCCGGCATGATGCTTGGCTGGCTCGGAGTGTATTATCTCACCGTTGGCCCCATCTGTTACGCCATCATCTCCGAGGTGTCGTCTACACGCCTGCGCAACAAGACTGTCTGCCTCGGCCGTATCGCTTATTACATCGCCCAAATCATCTGCAACGTCATCAACCCGTACATGCTGAATCCTACGGCTGGCGACTGGCGGGGCAAGACCGGATTCTTTTGGGGCGGATGTGCGCTTGTTTTCTTCGTCTGGACCTACTTCCGGTTACCTGAGACGAAGAACAAGACTTTTGAGGAACTGGATATCTTGTTTGCTCGCCGTATCAAGGCTTCGCAATTCTCCTCATACAAAGTGGACGCTTATGCCGGCGGCGATGAGGCTTTGACAAAGGAGAGTTGAGCAGGGGCGTGATGCGCGACAAAGTTTCACATGGAAGGACTTGAGAAGTTGATATGCAACTGTTTGGAGGACTGGATGGTGTTGAAAACCTTGTAGCTTTCCTAAATTTGTACCTAATTGAACTAAAAGTACAGCCCGGTCATTTACACCATGCTCTCGAAACAAAGTCTTGCCGTAAAAGTCGCCCAGAAGTTCTCTGATGAAAGTCATCGCTCGATTGTGACTCTTTGCCTAGGTAGCTTGCGATGGTCAACAACACGCCTTAAGACGATGCGTGACTCCATTTTTCAGACCTCATCTCGGACTTTCGAGCGTTGGATTGACTTCTTCTGAGCGTTGAGTGTATTCCTTCCCCAAATGGTTTGTAGGCATTCACAGCTAAGCCATTCAGTACTCGGTTACTTCTTCCGTGTCCGGCGGGGGTTGCGATGATGGTGGGCCGCGGGGAACGATACTCATCCGCCGGCAGTGGAAAGCTCATATGCCTCCAACTTGGCATGCGGGGGAAATGAAGATTGACAACGAGGATATATCCGATACGCGACTCACAGCCGCCAAACTCAACATGCTCCGGTGGGGTATTAGCCAAGAGACGACATCGTCAACGAGAACAGAAAACAAGATCATGATGTGAAAGGACAATGAGTAAGTCTATAAATATTTATTGACACGTCCGAGTCCCACGATGATTAACAACACGCCAACTCAAGATCTGATTACAAGCCTATCATTGTCAACAACGCCATGTCATTGATCAAGACTACCTCCGTATTTCTGGCGATCTGCGCCAACGCCTTCGGCCGGGTTACCTCCCGCGCTCCGTCCGGCGCGGCAACCATGGACCTCGGCACCCTTACCGGTCAGGCCCGATTTCTCGGATCGGGCTTCATTTACGGCTTCCCTGACAACGGCACAAGCATCGACACGTCCATCCCGGACTACCTCGTCACCGACATCAAGTTCCACGCCAGCCGAGCCGGCGGCGCGCAAATCCCGGCCAAGGGATGGGTTGGCGGGTATGAAGAGTACCTCGGACGTTTCAACTCTGCGCTGTCTAACTACAGAACGACTCGCAAGTTCGGGGGTGATTTCATCCTGTTGCCTCACGACCTCTGGGGTTCTGATGGATCCCTTGGTACCGGCTCGCCTCTTCCGGGAGACAATGGCGACTGGACGAGCATGGAACAGTTCCTCCGACAGGTGACCAACGATATCAAGGCCAATGGCATGCTTGAGGGTTTGGTCTTCGATATCTGGAACGAACCGGAACTCGACTTATTCTGGCCGCGCTCCTGGGAACAGTATTTGGAGTACTACGTTCGTGCCCATAGGATCATCAGGTCTGTATTCACATTGCTCCCTAGCCTACCGGTCAAATATGTCTAACACCACATACAGAGAGGAGCTTCCTGGAACTCTCATCAGTGGGCCCTCAGGAGCCCACGCACCCGCCGTCGACCGCTCCACTTGGGACACTTGGATGGCCACCGTATCCGCCAACGACGCCATCCCGGACATCTACTCCTGGCACCAAATCGGCATCTGGGAGCGCGACCCCGACAGGACCGTCGCAGACTTCCACGTCCTCCGCACCAAGCACAACCTGCCGGAGCGTCCCATCGACCTGAACGAGTACGCCTGGCCGGACGAGCAGAACCCGGCCGGCGCGGTGTTCTACCTGTCCCAGCTCGAGCGCCACAACCTGCGCGGCCTCCGAGCCAACTGGGGCGGCGGATCGGATCTGCACAATTTCCTGGCCGATCTCGTGTACGAGAACGCCGATGGTAGCTACGGTCCCAACGGCGAGTGGGAGGTCTACAAGTACTACGCCCAGATGACCGGCGAGAGAATCAGCACTGCCGCGTCCCCCGACCTCCTGTTCGACGTGTTTGGAACCGTTGAGGGCGGGAATGTGAAGGTTCTTGCGGGAACACGGGTGACGCAGGCTCCGTACGAAATCAAGATCTCGGGATTGAGCAAATTTGGGCTACCTGTCGATGGGAGTATTGCGGTTCGGAGCTTGCGGTTTGACTGGGCAGGTCGCAAGACTCAGGTCGGCGGCCCGGTTGATCTCGGTACCAGTGTGCTCACTTACTCCGCCGATACGGTCAGTCTTCCTCGGGCCCTTTTTATCTGAAGACTTCTTACTAACATTTGGTTCATGTAGCTGGTTCTACTCGTTGATCCGCCTACCAACTCAACGGCCTTTGCTTACGAGTTTTCGGTAGCGACATCTGCTTGACAGGAAGGCCTGCTTTTTCCCGCAGTTTCTACAAGTTCGAGACCGTGTGAGAATTTTTCATTCCCGGAGAAGCTCTAGGCTGCTGATTTGAAGGTTCAAGTGCCTCAGTCGAATCATCAGATCAACAGTTCTGAGGAGATTTTACATTTCTTGTTCTATTTGACAGTATGGTGTCTGTTATTTGCAGTCCAAACAAGTACATAGTTGGTAGTGGAAGATAAGCCCCATTATCCAGGATCAGTGAGCTTGGTATTGAAAGAGTGTGACTGGGTAAAGCGGCCCATGATACTTGCCACACGTCTTCAAGTTCTCACAAACCGCGTTCAGCCTGCCCGTTGTCAACCGCCGTCTCAGGTCTTCCCAGTCTCCAGATATACCTGAAGCCGACCCCAACACTTCAGCCCTTGATCATTGATTCCGCCATTGCCGAGCTCCAGGAATCACGCACGCGGACCTCTGACCGCCCATCACGAGTCACTGAGCAGCAAGCGGTGTAATACATTTGTTTGCTCAGTCCGAATACAACGTATGATTTGGAGCTCGGCTCGCAATGGCGCCCGGCACAGTAATGAAGCCGACTCCGTCTGGGTATTTTGATAGCAATGTGCATGTTGTTTGTCGGTGTTGTGTCTTAGCGTCACCGTTGAATTACGGTGACGGATCAGGGTCCAGGGAGTTTCGTCAAGTTCAGGAGAACCTATCACCCATGCGAGAACCAGTACGCCCGCAAGACCTGCATTCCAGCGAATAACCGCCCGCTTGGGGAATAGATCTAAAGAGCAACTCGTGGCGCTTGGCATCGGGCGCTCGCTTGCTGCGTCAACAGACGCCTCATTACACAAAACCGTCACGAGATGCGATGACCACGTTTCGTGATCCGGCGTGCTGGGTCACGCAACTCCCACTGTGCAGTGACTTGCCCTCTTCCTCGCCAGACGCGGTCGTTATCGTCACACCCGTTACTCACCAATCGACCATGATTCGTCACAGAACCACTCAAGTCAAGTCTTGGCCGGCACTAACAGCTTGGATACTAGTAAATTAACGGGGTCAATTTATTATATTGCCCAGCCTAACCACATCTATTAATACGCTACTACTACTACAATCTATTTTTACTTATAAAGTATTAGTATTTTTATAGTATAACTTAGCTACTATTAAAGCTAGGCCTAGCTAGATGCCTAGCCCCTAGCGTAATTAATATATTTATTATTATTATCCCTAGTTAATATAAAAATAGCTATTTTACTACTAAAAAAATATACCTAGAAGATAGTAAAGATAATAGAGATCTAGGCTATAATATTTAAAGAGTGCTAGCTATATATATAGTAGTACTACTATAATAAGGGTAGTTTTACCCTCTATAAAAAGAGGACTTCTAATAGTAGTAACTAAGTTAATATTATATATAACTAAGAAGGTAAGAGACCCCTTATTATAGTAAAGTAAAAGACTATAATAAAGCAATATAACTATTAATTTACTAGTAAGATTTAGAAGTTAGTAGTAGAGAAGGATTAATATTAGCTACTACTTAATAGCTATAAGTATTATAATTATACTAACGTTACTAAAAGTAAGCTTATTATTATTACTACCTTCTATTAATTAAGTATAGAGGAGGCTAACTTTATATTAAACCTATACCTATTAAGAAAGTCCCTTCTTAAGTATATTAAAGAGCTCTCTAATAGTAATAATATAACTATATAAGAGATTATAACTATCTTATTAAATTAGGAAGGTATATTATTAACTAACTAAGATATATATAATTTTTAGCGCTAGCTTAGAGAAATAAAATATAGCTTATACTTATTAACTTAGCTATTTTTAAGTATATTAAACTATAATAATAAGATACCTTTTTATATAATTTATTATAGAGCTAATAGTAGAATTAATAATATATTTTAAATATATAAATTATACTTAGAGAAGTTAAAAAATAATTTAAAGCTACTAATAATAAATTATATATATAAAGTAAGTAATTAGTAGTTTATTTTAATAAAAAATCCCTTACTAATAATATATTAAGTAGGTAAATTACTTCTAAATATTACCTTTTTAGGTTATTAGCTTAACCTTAGTAAATATAATATTTAATACTACTTTTTACTTAATATTAATAGAGATAATAGAGTTTTATTTATAGGTATTATTATAGTTAAAATCTCTTATTATTAATAATAGTATATATATACCTAGCGTAATTATTACTAATTTTAATATAGGCTTAAAGTAGGTAGCTACTAATATTCTACTAATAGTAAAATAATAACTCTATATTTAGTATATATTAAAAAATATTAACCTTAATGCTAAAAAGAAATAAGAAGGTTTAATTTATAAGCTAGCGCTAAATAAAGCTACTACTATTAATCTTAATAAAGAAGAGTTACTACTAGAGGCTTAAAGTTATATTATTACTAGTTAAATTATTATAGAGGAGGAGGTATATTAATAGGTAGTAGAGGAGGGCTAGCTAGTACCTACTATATCTAATAAGGTTAAATACTCTTATAATCTTAATAGTATTATTAATATATAGAGGGCTTATATTTACGCCTCTATATACTCTATATATCTTAAAAACTAGTAATCTCTTAAGTAGTAGTTTTTAAATCAATAGGGTATATCTTATTATTAGGTACCTAGATTATATTAACTTTTTTAGAGATAATTAAGTACCTTAAGATAATATATATCCTATAGCTCTAAGAGTTTATTAAATATAAAATAAAGTCCCTTTATAATTATAAATAAAAAACTATGTTACCTACTAAGGGCTTATATTATAAGTTAAAGTCCTACCTTACTAACTAACTTACTAACCTTAATATACTCTATATAAAAATATATAATATAGTAAAAAAGAAAGAGGTTAAATATAATAAATAAATTAAGTAGTTATACTATTAGTACTACTAGCATAATAAGTATCCTATACTTTAACTACTTCTCTTTAAAATATCTCTATAAATACTTAATCTACTATAAATATAGTATATAGCTACTAAGGAGGCTTTTAATAAGAGAAAAAGCCTCTCACTATATACTAGTAACTTCTACTAATAGTAGGGATTACCCTATTATTATAATATCCTTAACTACTTATATAATAGTACTACTAAGGTAAGGATTTAGCTAGAAGATATTAACCTCTATTAGTACCTTAATTAAAACTATATAAGTTTATATATCTCTTACTAAGTAACTTTATACTAACTTCTATAGCTAGATTTACTTAAGCTTAGATAAATTATTCTTAAAGAAGACCCTAACGTTATATTATATTGCTAGCCTTATTACTACCTTCCTAAACCTATTAAAGATAAGCCTAAAGTTAACCTTAATAATACTATATATAAGCCCTCTAACTAGGAGGTATAGGAGAGATAAGAGGCATTATAGGTAAGTATAATAGCGCTACCCTCTACTACTCCTACTATATAGGTATTATTAACTATACTATTAATATTAATAATAATAACGTATAGTAGGGGTAGGGGTAGGGCTAAGGCTTTATATTATTAGCCTATAAGTAAGATTACTACTATATTTACTACTATTAGTAATCTTATAACTTAACTTAATAGTCTCTAGTAAGTTTAAACTTATTACTAATAACTATAGTTACTTAAGGATTAATAATAACTTTACTTTAAGGTAGGGGAGGTAATATATTAATAAGAGGTAGCTTAATAAGAGTAATAGTTTACTACCTAATATAGCTAAGTATTACTTAGCTAGAGATAGTATAGTTAGCTTAGCCTACTACTAATATACTATATTTAGCCTAAGTAGATATTACTACTACCTAGCCTATTAATACTATTAGCTACTCTACTACTATTAAATTAGTAGCAGTATTATAGGTAGAGTTACTAGTTTTAAATTAAGCCTTTTTTTTATATTAAAATTAGCCTTATCTATAAAAAAATAATCTTATAGTAAAAATATATATTTTAATATTATCTCTAGATATTATAAGCCCTATTATTTTCCCTTAAAATAAGTAATAATAACGCTATATTAATATAGGTACTTTAATACTAACTTAGCAACTTAGTAATAACTTTAAAATTACTTATTAATATATTTTAAGCGTAAAGTATAATAATATAGGTAGGTATTTAGTATATAGCTTAGTCTCTCTAGTTTCACTAATATATTAAGTTTAGCTTAGGCAATATAATAAATCGACCCTATTAATTTACCGGTATCTAATAGCTTAAGGAGAGATTAATGTTGGAGGGTTCTGTGTGGTGCTGCGCCGTCGAGATGCTCTGAGTTTGTGGAACTCTACGGCTTGTCTCTTTCTACTTTGGGAGGAAACGATGTTTGCTTGACCTTCGGTTGTGGGGACTTAGAGATAGAGAGGGTTTCGCGTTGAACGTGTTGGTGGTCGCCGACCGAGTTTATGCGCTCTACAGCCTTGTGTGGTGATGTTGAGAACGATATTTCTCTCGCTCATTTAGTTGCAGCGAAATTCTAACGATGCTGTGGAGTTCCCGGGGCTCTTTCGCTACCAGACCTAAGGACTTCGCATGACGTTGAAATGACATGATAAGTGACCAAGGGTACCGTAGGTGATGTAGCCAAGACTGAGAAGCCCGTCGTGATCTCGGGAATAACGTAGGCGGTGTTTCTGTACTCGTAAGTGGACGTGTATTCTTGTTTGGGATCCCGGCAGCTGGACTGGACAGTTCCGGCCACCGGGGCGAAGGGCTGAGCTTGACGAGAGGGGATTGACGAGGGATCACTCGAATCCTTTGACCCCAGTTCTTTTGAAGTCGGGGCGATGACGAAAATGGAGGCGGCAAGGCTGGCCGCTGGGCCCTCTTGCGCCTGTTCGTCTCCTCATCTTCCCTCCTTGTAGTTGCTTGGAAGAACGGGCACCCGTTCTAAGTCTCTCTCTGCTAGCCTCTTCCAAGTAATGCGGCGAGTTGAACAGCGTTGTCGCGCAGCTCCGAAATCTCCTTGGTCTT